GATCTTGTACGCGATTTGGTGCAAAGCTTTACTGGTGGCAAGCCGAAAATGTCTGGAACAGTGGACGAAGATACTCAGCTCTTTGATGCGGGAGCTTTACCCACGGAGAATGGTCAGTCGGTAACAACATACAAAGACATCGTGAGTCTCGCGACCGAGATGGGTGATCCAAGTCTGGTTTACAAATTCATGAACCTGGCATCAAACAATGCCATCTGGAATAGCCGAGCCGCTTTTGGAAAATTTGGCCTTGGAAGCGTGCTTGCAGATTCAAGTTATCTCTCAGAGAACAAGAAGTTCTACCCGAAGCTATTCAGGTACCGATTCGATCCCAACCCCAATGTTCAACGATCCATGAATGAGATTTGGAAGGCGCTAGTCAAGGATCCTAATTCGGTTATCAACGACAACTTTGACATAATCATGGACGATCTCCTGAAGAGTGTGCTATCAGGCAAAGAATGGCGAGCTCGTGAAGCCAGTTGTGCAGCAATCTCGGACCTGGTCCAAGGTCGAGACCTTGATCTGTTTGAGAAATATCTCGATGAGATCTGGAAAGTCTCATTCAAGGTCTTGGATGATGTCAAGGAGACCGTCCGGCTGGCCGCGATGAAGCTATGTAGGACGCTGACCAGCATGTTGATCCGTAATCTGGAGATTGGAGATGGGAACACGAAGCGTTCAACAACCATGCTCAACCATGCCATGCCATTTCTCATTCAACAGATGGAAGGAGGAGCCGGCCAGGACGTTCAACAATATGCCATTGTAACCCTCCTGGAGGTCGTGAAGAAGAGTCCAAGTAAGGCCCTCCAGCCTTTTGCCCCTAGCGTGCTCGAGACCCTTGTCGTGTCGCTCAGCTCCTTGGAACACGAGAGCATCAACTACCTACATTTGAACGCAGACAAATACGGGTTAACCGCAGAGAAGCTAGACAAGATGAGGGTATCGAGTATCAATGCGTCGCCTGTTACGGAAGCTATTGAACGGTGCCTGGAGAGCATAACGTTGCAGATTGGCGAGTCCGGGGAAGGCGCAGATGCAATGCAGGGAGTCGTCTCAAGTTCCACCGCCAAGGGTGTGAATCCGACTATGGACGACGCAATGCAGCGGCTGGCCAATGCCTACCGTGCCGCCATTGGACTGCCATCAAAAGTCGGCCTGAGCCGAGTCATGACAACCCTTGTGGTGCGCCATCAGGCAGCCTTCCGACCTTACGCGGACAGATTCGTCCAACTTACCCGAAAGCACATACTGGATCGCAATGCTACTATCAGTATAGCTTTTAGCACGTCTTTAGGGTATTTGATGCGTCTAGCTTCAAACAAGGAAGTTCAAGCGACGAGCAAGTATGCCCAGAAACTATACTTTGAATCCCAGGAGTTGATGCATCGCTCCGTGGCTGGGGAGATTGTCCAGGCCATCTCCAAAGCGGCCAATGACATTTTCATGAACTCAGCCTCGTCATTCCTACCCTTCGCCTTCATTGGGCGACGTGATACCGAGAAGGAGGTCAGGGACCGATTTGATGTTCCCTGGCAAGAAAACATTGGCGGATCGCGCGCCATCAACCTCTACTTGAAAGAAATTGTGGAGCTCATTTCAGCTCATATCAAATCACCACTCTGGCCTATCAAGCACGCATGCTGTTTCGCGGTCTCCGAGTTGATTGCGTCGATGGAGGTTACAGACAGATACACTAACAACGATGCATCGCTTTTGTGGGGCCTCATCCAAGAGGCACTCGATGGGAAGACATGGGAAGGTAAAGAAGAAGTGGTCAAAGTGTATCCGAAATTCGTTCGACAAGCCCAAACCCTGTGGCCTGATGTTAAAATCAGCCAACAGATGAAAAAGATTGCAATCCGGGAGGCAAAAAGAACTAATGCAGAATATAGACCACACGCTATTGCTGCCCTTGGCGACTTTGCATTGGCACGTGAAGATATGAACCTGAATGCAGACCTCATACCCCATCTGGGCGATGTCTTGAACGAACTTACGGACCAGGATGCAATGGATATCGACAGTGCAAGTGGCAAAGCCTTGGACAATCGGTGAGACAACATATCCACTTTATTGCTTGCACCTACCGCTAACAGAAGGATCTTAGGTCGGTAGTTGAAGCCACGACAAGCGCCATTGTTTCATGCTTATTCAAACTGCTGAGAACGCATGCAGACCCAGAAGTTCTGGACCCATCCATGCACATCGTTCGCAAGGCCCACGCACTTCAGGCCAGTGAGATTGAGATCGCGCTATACGAAGGTGCGAAAAACATGATGCAGGCATGGCCAACAGAATCAAAACGGGACGGTACAGTCGAACTTGGAGATGCAACCAAAGGCTACGATCAGGGTAAGGAGGGAAACCCCGAAAATACCTCAGCCACGAAGAAACCCGTAGCAGCACCAGCCTCGAAAACAGAGGCAGGGAGGAAAGTGGGGGAGATTTCGGAGACAAGCGAAGACCCGGAAGGCCAGAAAATGGTGGAAGCGAAGGAAGGGCGGAAAGGGCGGATTGGGCCTTTTGAGGCATTTGAGCCACTGGCACTGGCCGTTCTCGAAGTCGACCCTGCCCGCCAAGAGCAACCCGAGCGAGTCCGAAAAACACGTGCGGATTTGGCTGTGGAATTGGCTGAGCACGGCTTGCAATCTTCCGCAGCACTAGCGGCGATCCTCGACGGCTGGCTACAGGTCGAGCGGTCTCGATCATTACGTGAAACGATTGAGCGTGCTCGCTTGGTTAATGAGCGGCCGCCGACGCATTAACTAGTCGATTCGCGTATACCGCCTGATGGAGTGGTGTCTTTCCAGGACGATTACTCGTGGCCTGGGATCCGGTATCTGGGATCATCGCCCGGAGTCGCTGTTCCGGCGGTGAGGGGTTGGCTTTTGATTCAGATTCAGAGATTCTTTCTTGGCATTCGCATTGCTAGGGATCTTTCAACCACATGCACTTGGAGGGATCTTGAGAAATGGAGAACTAACGGCGCGTGGTAAGGCTGCATTCCAAGGATGTCTTGTGCTCTGACCTAGCTTGCCTTGGGTAGTTGCAGGGTTCCCAATTCAGAATTCCCACCCATGCCATGCAGCACGCTGCATGTCTTTACGAGGCGGACCCAGATGTTTGGCGCGAACACATGCCTGAGGTGCACAGTTTAAGGACCCTCTTCCCCTATGGTGATCTATTCACTATTGTCTTTGGGTGGCACGAACGATGGCTGCAGACGATGTGGGTCAGGGTTTCGTAGTGTGAGGTCTGCCCTGGAGATGACGATTCATTGACGAGGCTCGTGCTTCTTTTTGAATCCCCACAAAGTCTAAAGCATATTCTTTTTCAGCTCGGTTCCACACAAGGCTTAAATTTTTAATTGTGCGTTTTGGTCGCCCAAGATGGACGTCTTTTCCCATGCCAGGTCTGTCGGCGGTCAGGCCAAGCCGACCAATACAGAAAACATTCGGCTGGAGCAAGCGAGCGCGGTTTTCCGCAGATGCTTGAATCCCTGGAGTGACCGCAGTTGTGCCGACCCCCAGTTTTGACAGACGATATTTGAGAGCAATTACAGAATGGCGACGAAGCTAGAGCGGACTGGAATCAACTGGGTGTAATTCCGAGTCATCCTTGACCAATTCGGGAATTCATCAATCCGGTTCAAGTTGCGCAAGACGAAGAACAAGAGCCGCCTTGTCAAGAGAGACTTCCCACCAGTCCGTTAGTGCGCCATGAATAGACCAGGATGTTCGGGCGGAGGGTTGATGGTTTGCAGGGGTGAGGTGGAGCACGATCCAACCAGACGCCGACGGCCGTTTGTTCGGTCAATCTAGACCCATCGAGGGATTATTGTTCATCCGATCCGTGGATAGACCTCCTAATTTCGAGATCGAGTCCCCATCCAACTCCTCGCCATCGAGCTGTGGATATCCACTTTTCCCATGAACAGGTCTTCCCATTCATCCACTCGGTCTCCTCCACTCCTCCCCTAGCCTGACGTCTTTCGCATTGTATTTCGTTTGTCTGCAATAGCCGGAAGCTTTTCACGCTTGATGCATGCTGCTTGCTAGGTGCAGATGGACTTGCTTCTTGACTCCGGAAGCTTTGAGAGGCTTTTGCTAGGAGCCCAATCAATGCCCCCGTCCTTCTGACGGGCTTGCGCGATGACATCGTAAACTAGATGGCTTCTCACTGGGCCTTTGCCTCAAGCGATTTCGTTGTCTTGCAGACCACTCCATTAGAATCTGTACTTTCCCTTTCTTATGCTCTATCCACTTCATTCAAATTTCTCTTCGTCCTGTCATTTTCTTTTTCTAGACGTCCCATAAGGTTGGAATCGCCGAGTGTCCTTGCTCGTACCATTCCATTCAATCCCTATCTGTGAAAGCGTTCGAACCTGAAGACACCAGCCTTCAATTTTACCGAGCGCGAAAAATCACATTAACCGATTTCCTCCCTCACTTGGTTCTCCCAGAAAGCCATTGCGCCACCCATATGGATTTGTGAACCTGAGTCTCTCGCGACTAATGCACGGTAGTCGCCGGCTGCAGTCAAGCCATATCCACGCTGTCCCGCCCTGCATTTAGTGAGATCTCCTCATGACATTCATAACCACTCTGGTGATGCAAGACGAAAGACGAGGGGATTCCTCGAGGAAACAACCACTCCGACTACCTATTATTGCGCCCAAGGATGACCATTCCTCCTCGGCTAGCTCCAGCCGTAGCGGTCACTTGGGCTCCATCGGCCCTGCTGTGCCTCCCAGGGCCCGCCTCCCCCCACGATCGAGAACTGGGTGTTGGACTTGTCGCACTCGAAAAGTAAAGTGCGATGAAGGAAGACCAATTTGCGGACAGTGTACTCGTCTTGGCCATCATTGCGATTATAGCCCTCGCCTGGCATTTCGCGATGACACTCCAAGGGTACTCGAGCGGATGCAAGATGTTACTATTGTCACGAGTTCGGTCTGGGATTGTCAGTACAAGTCATGCTATCTTGCATTGTCCATGCTGACTCCATATTCAGCAACTTCTCCTTCCATGACCGAGGCGAGCACAGGGTCCGCTGCTGCTGCCGACGACCTTCCACCTTTTGCGTCCTTAACCACCGACGAGGAACGTGAACGAAAGGCCGAACGTTCAAGTCCAGGTACTTACAATGTGGTGGTGAACCAGGACAGCTTTCAGCATCTACCCGAATATAACGACGACGTCGAGTCCAGAAAAGAATTCTTGTCGCCTCTACGACGGGGTTCAGTGGCTACATCACTTACCAGCAGTCTAGGTCGTGATTCAAGTGCAGATGCGAAACAACCTCGTGAGGATCCGAATGTAGTAGTACTGCCACGGTTTGAGGATATTTCCCGCCGTGGAACGTTCAGCTCAAACAACCCCCGATCACCACTTTCACCAACCGCAAAGCATACTATCATCAAAGATGAGGATCCCGAGGAAGCAATACTGATGGAAGAACCAGAAGTAATTGACGCGAGAGATCCAACCCAGGACGCCAGGTACCTACACCAAATTCGTCATGTTGTCTGGAAACAACTTGTGCCTGCAGAACCAGACCAAAGAGATGGGATGGCAAGATCTAGCGTTAATGTTTTGGAAGCTGCAGCAAATGTTTTTGCTCCAGTAAGTATACCCATGTTGATTTTGGGTACCTGATTAACCGACCCTAGCTGTACCACGCCATGATGGCAGTTGCAGCACTCAGTTTATCCTCTCAAAACGAGAACGAAAGGCTTGCTGCATTACAACACTATCAGCAGGCCCTGCCTGCTTTACAGAACAGTTTGAGAAGTCCTGAGGATCTGTCATCAGATGGCGCATTTCTCACTCATTTTCTTTTGCTGGTTTACGAGGTGAGTGTTCAAAGAGACTTGAGAAGCTCGAGGAGCATGTTAACAATGATCAGATCGCCGCAGCAGAAGCAGGTCACTCAAATTTGTGGTCACAGCATCTATCCACTCTTCTACGAATTGCGCTCCTTCGACGAGAAGTTTTCGGCGGTGAACGATTTCCATATGTTGTCTGGTGGATATGCAACATCGATCTGGACGCCCTTTTCAGTGGAGCTGGAACTGGTGAATTCATCGGGTCGATGCTGAATAACGACATGATACCACCTCCAAGCTTTCATTTGTATCCTTTGGGTGTTGATGGTTCGAGCGTTGTTTACTCTGACGAAGTGGATACTCTACCCACAATATTGCAACTTGACTATGAAGTTACAATAATTGCCGCTCGTTTGGCATTGCTCGCGCAAGAATTTCGACACGATTCTGGTTTCGACAACCCTGGTCTAATGCAAAAAGAGCAGGTCACCAGGATCAGACAGAGTCAAGTTTTCGAACTCCAGGAGGCTTTGCGGCAATTATGGGCCGCGCCGGGAGTAATCATGATAGCGCATGATTTGGACGCCCTACCCGACCGTTCAAAACAGCTTTATGAGCATGCTGCGACGCTATATCGATCATGCATTATATACTCACATACTTCCATGTGGCCAGGGCAGCGACTCGAAACCTCACCTGACTATAACACAGAAATTGCGGTGGCTTCCAACCAGATTTTGAACATGACGAGAAAAGCGTTGGCCGAAGATCGATCCGATTGTCGTTATCTGGTAATGCCTTGCTTCATAGCGGGTTTTGCCAGTACAGACGGAACGCATAGGATGCAAGCATTAGATTTGATCCGAAACATGGAAAAGGCTAGCATCGGTCGGAATACTGCCGTAACGAGAAGAGCTCTTGCGGCGGTCTACGAACGACAAAACGAACAATTTATGAATACCGGTCAAAGCTTGGATGTGGACTGGATGGAAGTGATGCAAGAGCAAGGACTTGCGGTTGTGAATTTTGGGCTTTAATTCGAGTTCCGAATTCGATTCGTGGCGAAGCAGGCAGGCCTAGCGTTTTTGTTCATTTCTATGTATGGTGATTCCCCTCGATTGCGATTCTATTTTCTCCTCTGGGAGGCGAGATTTTTATGGAAACCCAGATGTTCATCGCAGGTTCAGTAAGATCTGCGGGCCAGCGGTTCAAATTAATGACGAAGCACGGCCGACAGATCTATGAGCTCCTCTGGATTTATCCGAGGATGCATATGTCAATATACCTACATCTCATGATGTGGACTTCTCAACCAATGTTTCCGTGAAAACCCATCTCTCCTTTTCACCGTGATAGACGATTCAATGGATGCCTGGAACATTTGCCTCAATTTCCCCTGAGTCGTTCCCGGATAAGGCTGTGCAAATTCCCGCACTCGGAATTTCTCGGACTGTGGGTAGACGAGGCTTCCTAATTAACTAAGCAGTAGATGCATGTTGAAACTCTGAACCGGTTCCGCTGGACAGGGGAAAATAGTGCCTGCCCAGTTCCGGACAATGGCATGCAGTGGAAACGGGAGACCATCCTCACAGGTGATTCTTAGGCTCCAGCCCCAAAAAGAGGATGCGAAAGTCAAGCACGCACACAACCTTGGGGTCCTTGGCTTCCCTCTTTGTTCAGCAATCCCATTACTCAATCGCAGATATGTTGATCCAATGAGCCACTGGCGATGCTGGTGCGAGTCATAAAATGGCGGCTTACGGGGTAAAAGGTGTGGTGGAAACCCCACAAAAAAGGTTGGGCTGACTTCAGGTTGGTTGGGAGAATACATGCAAGATTGGTTTCCTACCGGTCGCATGTGTCACTGGCCAGCAGTCGGTTTGCATTGAGTGAGAGCCAGATCCTTTCCCCGCCCAAAGACAAAACCTCTTTAACTAATAAAGACGGGGAAGCGGGGTATGCTCGTTGGAAAAGGTTCCCACGTCCGAGCATGCCAGAGGGCCCAGGTGTGGGTTTGACTTGAAGCTCCACGATTTCATGAGTGATCACCCAGGGAACGGGCAAGGATCTTGAAGCGCCACAAAGAGTCCCTACAGTTGCTCGAACTGCTTGCTCGAGTATCCGCAGGGTCAAGGTATCCTTTTGTCGCGGTCAGACCAGGGTACGCCGTCGTTTAGACTCTGCTGGGTATCCCGCTTGCTTCTGGGCAGTGAATTTTGGGGGAGCTAAGAGGTCTGAACCTTGGTTAGCGAGTACTCGCTCCCAGCATCTTTTCATTCGGCGCACCAGGATCCCGGAAACATTTTACGCGCTTTATTAACCCCTCCACAAACCCTGCCATCGTCAACCTTTCTGGAGACTTTCAACTAAAAAAGAGCTAGCAAAGTCATTCACCGCCAAAGCCCTCTTCCGCCCTCCAAAATGTCTCGGCTCGTGTCGGCTTACGGTCTTTAGATTAGGCTTCCATTCACCAGTGCTTGACTTCCCCTTTCCAGCAAATGGAACTCATCGACGATAGGACCTTTTTAGGGAATTTGGGTTTTCGATGTGCGGATATCAAAAGCCGCAAGAAAAGGGTAATTGAGCGTCGAGGTCCATTGATGTTATCCACATACGATGTCGTCCACCTAGACTAGCAGTGAACGGCAGGTATCCCTTCCTAATCCGCCACACCCAAATAGGCCTTGGACATGACTTCCGTGACTCTGGGAATCGGGGAAATTCCCACAAGCCTTTGGGGGCGCTGACCCCCGCACTCGGTGAAATTATCCTTTGGTACCCTCACCGCAAATTAGGAATGAACGCACGTTGGGAGCCCAGACCGTTCAAAGATGTCCATGTCAGCTGAAATCGAGACTGTTCGCTTTCAACGTGATTCGTACAGTATGTATCGCCTCGATAGGGCGACGTTGATACCCCAGCTCACTAGAGGCTGCAGGATCCACAGCAATAGGGAATAGCCGACCGGGTAATGACAAGATACCCGAGAACCCGAGAAACCAAAGTGTGAAATTGGGTTGCCGATGGTCGTGTGGGTCAATCAGCTCGACAATACCCGTCGGCTTTTGACTGCCGGCAACTTTAATTTCCACCCTTCCCTTGGTTTAAGTAGCCGTTCATACCCACCGTAGCTCGCCTGTTGCGTGTTGTCAACGTCGCCTCTCATGCAATTCCCTTCGTTCGCTGTCACATTTCCATGCCGCTTAGTGGGTTTCTTGATGTTTGATCCGAAGCAATCCTTGATTCGTTCGCGATATGGTCGAGTTAGCGTGCATTTCTATATTGAGCCCCTCCTGTGCTTCGTTGACCGGTGAAAGAGATACAACTTCAAAGCATTAGTGAGTGGACACAACAAGACCAGACAATATAACTGCAATGCTTGTAAACAATGGACCATGGAAGATATATCCACCTGCGCAGTCAACGCTGTTAACCCTCACCTGCAGTTAATGGTCGGCATTTGCCCACAGAGCCGTCGAACCATAAACTCTCAGACAAACTACAGCACCACCCATTTCAGAGAAGAAATGGCCGCACAACTGAACTGCAGGATTGGATATATATTGCATTGGGAGCATTATAGCCTGACGATAGTCCTAGGAAATCAGAGATTTTGGTATCAGTTGACTTGACTTCTAGGTCGCGAGCAAGACTCCTAGTTCACTATTCCCCCGCCGAAATGCAAAGGCTACATACAATATACACTTTCCCTTTAAGTATAAAACTAGAGAAATTCTTTTTACCCACACCGAGACTCGAACCCACAACACGACAAAAACTTTTCAACCCACCTTCTATCCCAATTCCGGGGTCAATGGTACAGTCGGAGCAAGTGAAAACCCGCGTTTTAGATAACTCCATCGAAGGGTTTTTTCTTCAACAGCCTTGAAGTCCATCGCGGCCAAAATTTGTTGTTTAGGAACCAGTTGAATTTGGTGACGGAAACTGGGGAACTTGTGGTATTTATGCTGTCGAGAGAATTCACTACTGGTGAAGGCTGAGTGACCGGGGTGCCCGGGTTGCCTTTGCGTTGAAGTTTAGTGTCGCATAGGTAAGAGAGGACTCAGTGTGACCAAGGCTCTATTCTCAGCCTCTTTTAGCTACGCTTATCCGCAAGTTATAGCTCCTATGCCAGGTTCCAGAACCCGAACCAAAACAATATTCCGGCCGCTGAACCACAGCCTGAAATGTCTTGATCTACCAATTTTCTTGAGACTCAGCAGCCGGAAGTCTACTTTTTCACACTCTTCTGAAGTTAGGGGGATGGAAGCGCTATTTCGGATCGGATGGTTCAAGCATTCGCAGTCGCGAGATACATGCTGAAACAACACTTGAGCTGCAGCGGCAAATGCTCAAGGGGAATGGACAAGGCTGAAAGTCAGTTGGACCTGCAGGGTTCACCCAACCAGGGTACGTTGGTATTCCTGGCCGGCTTTTATGATATAGGCATTAGCAAACCGTGTTTGAATAACTCGCAGCTTTGGACACTGGTCTTCCCATCCACGTAGGCTCGCCCGTGTCCTCCTTCCTGAACTATCTTGTGAAATATTCAAAGCAGAAGGCGCCATTCTGGACCGCCCTGCCAAGGCAGGCGCACATCCAAGGCAGACGCACGGGTGATTTCACGCCTCTTGAATCCGCATAGACCAAGCCCATAGAAACCCGGAACAGAATATCTCTGAGCTTTAATTGACACGTGGACCAAACCATGCCAAAGTGAAGGATATCCAAATTAAATAGCAATTGTTGGCCTCAGGCTGTCAGGCATAGAAATGGGCCCCCGCGGCCGCTAACCCGCCACGGATAGGCGCGAATCTCCGCCCACGTGACCTTCAATAACCACCACTACTTATTTTACAACCTCCCAATTTCTGGTTGGACTTCGGTCCATTTGGTCAATTTGAAACGATACAGAGAAGATTAGCATGGCCCCTGCACTAAGGATGACACGCTTCTCAAAGAGTGCTAAAAGTTTTTTTGGCATTTTTTGGCCCACGTTTCGTGATGTCGTGGGTTCGAAATGGCATTGGGAAGGTTTTTTCTTTTTCTTTTTCTGCACATTTCGGAGGTAGAGATTTTGGGCTGAGAGAACATCTTGATTTTCTTTTGTGTGTTTGAATTAGAATAGGGTCACGTGCATGGCTGGACGCTGTTCTCGATTCTAGGCTACTAAATTAAATGCCCGGGCATTTATTTCTCCTCCTCGTCCTATTTGCTGCTGTTCTCAGCACTGGTCAAATGCTGCGACAGTCGTGGTCTCTACAAATGCTTGATTTTACCGCGGCTTAGTTATACAACCAATCTACATTCGTGACCTAGAGGATTCAGCCTCTGGTTAAAAGAAAGGTGAAGTGGTTCCTGACATCAAAGATAAGTCCATCCTTTACGTTCCCGAACGTCAACGGCCGCCATCGACTCTTGGCCACATGTTCAGCCGTTCAAAATAGCCTTCATCCTGCTCTGGCCATCATTATGATTCACGCGAGGCTCTTCATCATCGAGAAACAAGCTCCAGCTGGTCTGCCGCATCTCATTGCTTTCATACCCAGCTTCTCCAGGCCATCATAGATCCGCGGCCCGATTGATCTCCATCCAGTCCCGGACCTCGTTCCATTTCCTGCACATGTGGCGGGCGGACTTGAATCCGGACGTCGCGCCCTTGGAGCTGCCCATCACGTCCGGATAGGGTCTACTTTCCCTGTCGTTGATGGGCTCGAGACTCGTGTCCGAGGCGCAGAGTACTGCTTGTCGCACTGCATGACAGGACACCGTATGCGTTAGCAGATGCACTTTTCTCAGGATATACGCATGCTAGGTGCGAAGAGTTTCTCTGATGATTAGCTTACCGTGGTCGAGACAGTGGAACGCGTGCGTCTGCGTCTGGACCTGCGGCTCGACGTGGTCTTCGTAGTCCATGAGGATGCGCCTGAGGAGCGACTTTATCGACAGCGGGACAAACGTCAGCATCAGCCAATAATTTTGGTCCCGCGAAAGAAAAAACGGGGCATGGGGATTCCTCCTGCAATTTCATCTAACTCACCAGACAGCCCAACTGCCGTATCACCGAAACCTCATAGATCTCCGTGTCCGAGACATTGTTCCCCGCGGCGTCCAACGCGATCATACTGGGCGGCAAGCCGAACTTCCGGGGATTTTTGACCGCGATGCTGCCCCCACCGTGCGGGAACATGTTGGACCATGCGCTGTCGGCGGCTTTGCCCTTTTGCTGGAACGGGTGGACGTCTTTGAACGTCATTTCGTACAGTGGGAAGTCCGGCACGAAGGAGTCTTGCTTTTGTTGTTGCTTTTGCTGTTGTTGTGCAGCGATTGCGGGAGGGTAGGCCGGCCATGATAGTGAGGCCTTGGAGGGGATGAGTCGCAGCCCGGGGATGGCGATGCGCAGTTGTGGGACGAAGTACAGGAGTGCGCTGCTTACTGTCAGGAGGGTGAGCAGGGCGAGGAGGATCCTTTTGGACTGGATGGCTTTGTGTTGTTGTCGGAAGGGGACGGGTTCCCCTGTGTAGGCTCCTCGAGGGGATTTGGGCGTGCGTGGACCGGAATCGATTGAGTCTACTGATGTCCCGTGGTGGTAGGGTCGGAATCGCAGGGCGGACGGCGGCATGGTGATAGACAAGCAGACAGACAGACAGCCTTGCGGCATACAACGGCTGAGGATAATGTCGTGGGGACTTAACGAGGGTTTGTTGATCGCAGCTAAAACATTGGATATCTTTCAATGGAAGTCCGATATGAGTCGGTGTCATGTGAGACAAAGAATAGCTTGTGGACGTATCTTACTGTGTCTTTGTCGCTTGGTTGAAACCGGAATCCGTTGTTCTTAGAAAACTCGAACACATGATTTTGCGAACTTCGTGTATCTCTCAGTCGGTGAATGCTAACATGCTAAATGGATCTCACAAATCTAACACGCATGTGCTTAGCAGGAGAAGTGGATAGTTTGTGTTGGGGTCTTGATATGGTTGGAATGTCTCCCTTCAATACCCCTTTCCACACCAAGAATTGACATCATTCATCTCCGGCCTCCTACCTGTCTTCAAATATTCAGACAAGACTCATTTGTCTTCTAGCAATGACATAAAACTCAAAATCATAGGATCAACACGCGTCACTTCTGCCCAGTACACCATGGCCGTCTACCAAACGCCTCGCTTGCTGCAGTCCCAGCGGCTGCAAAAATCGACTGACTCCTTTCTCAATGCCCTGAATCTATTGTTCTTACCTGCACATAACCCCAGCACCGTCACTTGTCTACATGATTCGTTCAGAAGTGAGGTGTGTTCAGCGCCATGAGACACATCAAGCCAGAAACCAGACCCGCGATTGGCAGTGTCAACACCCAACCCATAAAGATAAAAGCAAGTTGTCCCCAGTTGACGGCTCCTAAGTCATAGTTCATTAGAGCAACGCCTAGCGTGCTCCCTGTCAGAACTTGAGTGGTAGAGACCGGCAGGGAGAGGCGCGATGCCAAGAGGACAGTAATTGCTGCACCAAGCTCAACACTGAAACCCCTTGTTGGGGACATCTGAGTGATCTTGTTGCCCATAGCCCTGATGATATGGTAGCCATAGAACTAAGGAAGAACACCAGTCAGTAAGACACTCTAAAATGAGACAAGATGCGGAGCATATGTCGTATAAGTTGTGACGTGTCGTCATGAAGGACAAGTGAGAGGAGACAAACTTACCCAAAAGCCAGCACCAAGGAGAAAACCTGCAATGACAAGGAACCACACAGGTGTTGGAGATGTTGTTGAAACCTCGCCAGCTAAGTAGGTCTGATAGACAGCCGCCCACGGACCGACAGCGTTCGCAACATCATTACTACCATGAGCAATGGACATCAACATTGCACTGGCGACTTGACAGTACGTCCATAAATGTTCGATTCTGACATCGTATTTGGAAGCTCGAGCATGAATTTCTCGAAGTTTGGCCGAGTCGTGAGAAACACAGTCACGTGTAACACCTTGGAGGAGACCGAACTTGAGATAGCCATACCACCTTTGGGGATTAGTCCAAGGGAGATGTCTAACAGGATCGAGGAATCGTTGATATGGGGTTGGTGGTCTCTTTGATACGGCAGCACCCGACTGGGCATTATTGATGCCAATATGTCCCTTCTCCAGAGTTGATGCGTCTGAAGTCGTTTGTACTTCATCGCCAGTTGAGGGTCTCTGCTCTTTGAGAGAATTGACCGAGGATGCTTGTTCCGTCTCGGCGTATGGATCCTCATAATAGTCGATGACAAACTTGCTTTCCTTTGCAGGGAAGTAGAGAGGTGGGTTTTCCCGGCGTAGCAGTGGCCCAAGTGGGATATGATAGAACTTGACACGTGAATCCTCCTTGATGAGCCGTCGCTCAAAGTATGGAACGAAGAACACATAACAAACGCCCAACATACCAACCCACACCCCCAGGACAATCCCAACTGCCTTTCCGACACCAAATTCTTCTAGAGAGGGTGCAGTTGGTGTTTCGACAACAATGAAGAGCGCTAGGATAGCAGCAGTTGTTGCAAAATAGAATGGAATGAGTCTCATCGCCCATTTGAAAGGCTCCTTCCGTTCAAGCACGGAGTATTTGACTGCACCGAAGATGATAGCGGAGAAGCAAGCAGCAATCAGTGGAGCAATACCCCAAGACGCAGCAACTTGGGAGACACTCCCTGATGACCATGCCCACTTGACAGAAGCCTGGGCTGCAAACCCTGCACCTATAAGACTACCGACGACAGTCTGTGTCGTGCTTACTGGCATACCAAGACGTGTGGCTACCATCAACCATGAGGCTGAGCCCACCTCAACGCAGCCCATTGTGAGCATCAAGGCACCAGGAGAGCCTTGGAAGCGGTCGATGTTAATTATGCCATTCTTAATTGTGTTGGTGACTCGAGCGCCTAGACCGACAGCACCAATAAACTCAGTGATCATGGAAAGGAAGCCGACCTGCGGCATAGTAAGGGTCCGAGCGGCCACCGAGGTGGCATAGGAATTGGCAACATCGTTCGCTCCGTTACCGAAAGCACTGAAAACAAATGCTATGCTGGTTATGGCAAGGATCCAATCATATTTCGCGGTGATTGCTGGCGCCATGACGACCAGATTAGCCCTTCACTGAAGAGACGAGAAAGATAAAAATATTCTTGTGTGCTTGTGGTAGCAAGAAGAGAACCGTCGAGAAGAGACCCAGAAAGCGTGTTAAATAGCTAAGGTCAAGAACAGCGGATCCCAAGCTTCACACAACGGCCACCACCGAGCATGATTTTCAGGATTGTTCATCCTGTGACATGGATGGCGGGGTTCTCGTTCGAACGTTGACCGAGTATGTGCTCAGTGCTCAATATCACTCCGGTCGTGGGTCCGGACAATCCTCGCAGTCTGGGAGTTCATGTTCTTTCACGAGACCCATAATTGAAAACTCGAATCTTGCGACGTGCAACCCAGCTAGGGAACATGTTCTGAGGCAGCTTTCGACGAGGCCAAGTTGTCCGCTTGCAGGCCAAGATCTCCGCCAAGTGCTTGGATGGCGGATCTCATCTGACCCAGAGGGTGAATTTTTCAGGACATGACGTTGGAAGAACCAATGGTAGTGATGAATCGAGGCACGTTTTGATCAACTTCGAGCTTGTTTCCTTGGTGGTTCAGCAAGGCAAAAAGCTTGAGCTCGAGATTGCGTGGGATGTAGCTTTTGAGGTTCAAAAATTCGACAAATAACCCAGGTATTTGGGTGGGAGAGCTGGGGACGAAGACGTGTATTCTCTTTGCCATTGTAGGCAAGTGAGCACACGACACATTTCCTCTTTGTTGGTGAACAGACTTCTTACCCCGGTGGAGGTGAAGCAGTTGAGGTCTGGAAGGTCGCTATGTGGTTGGCTACCTGGGGCTGTGGCTTTCGCTTATGCCGACGGGAAGTCTAAGCGTGGCTGGAGATGCATCTCGCTATCGACCGGGATGAAGTCTGTACGGATCTTTCGAGTCTTGACTGAATCCAGCGAGATGAGATGTTGAAATTGTCCAATTCAGACCAATTGAAACGTCAAATCCTTGCACGTGGCCTTGGCAATTTGAATATGGCCAAATTGGTCAGTTAAGATCACTCCGTACGAGTACTGCATACACCTTCGTTCATTTGCCATTGCTTCTCTACCTAAAGTGCTCGGATAAACAGGATGTAGCAGGCACGTACCTACGACAGACATCCGAGTTCGAGCACGTGAAAATGTCAGTCTTCATGTAATACGATTCTCCATCTTCATCGATCAAAGGCTGCCTATCTAGATCCTACTTCGCGCCTGCACCATTTGCACCGTGGTAGAATCGGGACATTTTCCCTACCACAACCATCACTTATAGAGTGTCAGCCACAAAATCATAGTAGCGTAGGCGCGGCAGGAGACATCCAGCCACACAAGCTCTTGCGCACGAGCTTTTCCTACACAAGGATCCAATCCTTTCACGGGTGTCCATCGACGATGTCCATTGCATTGCTCCGCGGCTTCTCAGGGGGCGGAGAAGCCTTCATCACGGGAGCGTAGCCACTCCAGAACAACGAAAACAATTCACAACTGCCGACCTTCCTGATCAAGCAGCATTCTCAGACATGATATTCCAGATCAACAATTCTGTAACAAGATCTGTATGATCGACCGTCCCCGGCTTGGCCCGTTGTATAGGCGAATGTGCTTGAAGTTATACGGATCTCGCTCCGTGTGTTTCAAGGTTGTTCCTATGGGGGGGAACCAAGAAGGGGTAGAGCCGTTAAAGGGTAGTTGTCAATGCTTAGCTTCTTGCATGTAGATGTTTGTTTCCGAGAAATGCTCCGTCGAGGTCTGAGCTTCCATCAAACCAACGGCTATCGTGAAGTGCTCAACATACTCGTCTGTTATCATATAGGTCAATCTGATACCAAGAAGGAGCCGAGAAGTATCAAGATTTTACAGTCTGGATTGCGATGCTGGTCCTGTCTGACCATGGGTCCTTCATGATGGCAGGTTTTTGAGGTAGGAGTTTCGTCCGGGTGTTTCCATATCACTTCCTGAATTTGAGCTGTGCGAGCTTTTATCATATGGATCGCCGTTTTCCATCTCCGGATTAAGAGAAATCAAAAAGCAATCCATTGCTGAGTCCAAACAAGCCCACCACTGCCACTACCCCTACCAAACTCATCAACGACAATTCCCGTACCACGAATCTTGCCACCAATCCCTTCCCTGTCAGGGGTACAATATCTCAACAAGACACGCCTCTCGTCGATAAAGAATGTGATATCCACCCATTTAGGTTCAAGGGCTGCTGAAACAGCACCACAACTGATAACGGCATGTTCTTCGAGTGTAGAAACCTTTTCAGCGATGGAGTAGACACCAAGAGTGTCCCAGATACGGTGTTGGATCTCGGATTTCTCGAGAAGATTGGTCACCTGGTGCCTCACCTTGGTCGAACGACAATTTGATGTGCCGACGTAGAGTGGTGGGCCAATGCCCGAGTCGACACTCAGAGCATGCTCCTCGTACGCAAAGAATGACGAGGCATTGAAAATACTCTCGGCGAGGACGAGTAGACGGGCGAAATGTGCATTCAAAGCTTCTCGCCGCTCCGCATATGTTCGACACGAACGATGGCAGTCACACGTCTCAGGCGGGTCACAGAGGGGCACAATCTTAGCACCCGTTTCCGGTTCGTGGAATGCCATCTGCGTCAAAAGCAGGAGATAAACTGCCTCACGATAGGTTTTCAGCAAATGTGCTGCGTGTTTGTCCTGCGTCCGCCGTTGGGCGATGTCCATCTTCGTGTACTCGGCATATGCCATCGACCACTGCAGACATCGCGAGATGTGGATCTGTTGACGTCGAAATCCGGATCCGGAAAGAACCCCCCGTTCGAGAAGGCCCCATGTATGCCAGATCCATTTGGCTTCGGTGAAGAGAACGTCACGGGCTTGGTGGAGCGAATTAAATGCCCTTGGAATCGGGTATGGAACCGGATCTGGTATGTGGAATGGTGTAGGAGGCGTCACATAAGGGGCTCCGAAGGGGTCGATATCGTTGTTGATCTCATTCTCCGGTGGATTCCAATCTTCAGGGTCGCTCAATATAGTACATGCACCACCAAAGAGACGAACCGACTCGAGTTCAATCTTGAGAAAAAGCCTCCTCAAGCTCTCGTAGTTGATATCTACAGTCCGATATTGGGTGTCAGTATAAGTCGTCTTGAAATTCCGACTTAGCAGGCCCTTTAACCCCGCCGTCATATGGGCCTGTGCACGATCCATATCGCCCTGGAAAGTATCATACACAGCCATGAGCTTCATAGCCAGCATGTTGATCTCGGCAGCGTTGGGAATATTAGAGGCCATATCCTCCGATAACTTGCGAATGGCCCGCTGATACAGTTTGTCCGAGATATCGCAGAACTCGAAAGCTTCGGGCGAGATACCTAGCTCGAAACGCCGATGTGCAGCGCCAACCGCTGCGGCGACGGCTAGGACAGTCGGATACTGCAGACACGCGCGGATGGCGTATGATCGCCACATGGAGCTGTCAAAGTAGGCCGCAAACTCGGGGCCGGTGCGGGAGCGGAAGAAATCAAAACAGTAGAATTCTCCATCGTCGTCGAAGCGCACGGAGGATGGACTTCGCCATATCCGTTTCAGTTGGTCGTTATTATTGCCGCACAGGCCCCGTCCGGTTGTCTGATGTCGTGGAATGGCAATTGTGTTGTTGGTCTTGAATCTCTTCGAGCCCGGTTCGAGTACTGTGTCTGGCGAATCTCCCGATGAAGAAGTCTCTGGTGGAGAGAGTGTTGGATAACCGTCACATTTTCGACCTGTGCTGGTACACCGTTTGCAAAAGGGCTTTTCTTCACCACATTTCTTTCGGCGGATTCTAGTTTCTGCATGTTAGAGTAATGTATATGATTGTTTTTGTCTCACATACTTGCAAGTCAAACATCCACTTCGGACTTTGTTATGCGATTTACGAGTCCGTTTCGGTTTCTCCTGGACAGCAACCTCCTCGACGAGGACTGGTGCAGTCATGGTGGACGAATTATTCTGATGGTCCAGGACGGAATATAATTCACGTATTTAATGAGGGATAGCCGTAGAATGAGTGGGACATTGGGGATATATGACTTTCAGGACAAGCTTTCAACGAGCTTATCCGGATACGAAACAACAATAAATGAGGAAAAGGCCCTCTACGTACCTGGCTTGCTGGTCTCCAACCTACGTTAGAGCGGCCGATGACTCGCGAGCGGCTCTCCCAACTTGAAAGTCTACTCCATGGTCCAGTTGGGAATAGGTTCATAAGATCCTTATCGATAAGGGCAACATTGTCTGTAATTGGCCAGGGCGTATTTTTTGGATGGTGGTGGCGCTGTGGAGTCCGGGTTGCTGACACAATAGAGGGCCATTCGGATGTGACTCCAGACGCAGAGTCCAGGCAGAAAACGAGCTAAAAGGTTCTTGGAGAAGCAGTATTGGTCGATACTGCTGATCCGGACCTGGAAGTATTGAGAATAGAAGATCACTGCTGTGGATTACCTTGGTAGGGCTGCTGACAACAATGTGGTCAACCGTGGGGTGAGGTCATTCTAGAATCGTGGTGAATTGGCGCAAAGAGCGGATCATCCAGAGATTAAAGACGGTATGGGGGCCTTTTCAACACATAGGCATGGATCCTAAGTCGAGTTTCAATGCCAGATGAATAACTGGTAGATGGAGGACAACGAGCAGGTACTTCAATATGTGTGAGAAATCCAAGGCGCAATAAGTACACTGAGTTACGTCATCCAAGGTGGGGGAGAAGTTAATCCGCACCCGTCCTTTGCAACCACAGCATCACTGGCAGGCACTTGAACCAGACTTGCTATTTGATATCACCTACTGCTCCGTAGCTGCATCTACCGACGCCGGCGACCGAGTCTGAATGGTTCAAACTCCGATGCACCGACCTGAAGAAATACCTGAGTGAGCAGCTACCCAGCAAAGCCTGACGCACCACCCAAGTCGTGCCCCTCAATCAGCACCTTGTAAGTCCCTTAGGTAATCAGCTCCGACAGCCCACCAACCAAGACTCAATATCATCTCACCTGATCATTTGATCGCTGTCCAGACGGAAACATCAAATATCTGGAAGTCACTGCCTCTATACGTCTGGAGAAAGGGAAATACTTCTATCCGTCGAGACGAGCCCAATATCTAGATCAAATTCAACCCACTCACCCACCCATCAACACTTCAAGTTACATCTTCCCAAGAAAATACAATCATGGCGCCGCCCACACCAGCCAACTACATCGCCTACACAGCAGCCATCAACCCAGCCTCCACGACACCCAAACTGAGCTACGCACAAGTATGGGCGGGACTGGAGAAGAAGATCCGCGCGGGGCAGGACTTCGTGGGCGGAGCGATCGTGTCGACGGACGTGATCTCGGAATCGACGACCGAGCACGGCCAGCCCGTGACGGTGCGCGAGGTCGTGTTCCGCGAGGGCAACCGACGCGTCCAGGAGCGCTGCATTGCCTTCGCGCCCATGAAGGTCGAGTTCCACCAGGGGGATGGCTCCAAGGTCATGAATATCATTAGCGAGGGCGCCGAGGGCGAGTTGTACATGACTTATGCTTTTGAGTGGTTACATCCCGAGTTGGATGCCCAGGGGCTGGAAGACAGGAAGAAGCAGGAGTGGAAGATCGCGAAGATGGCTGTCGAAAAGACAATTGAGGTCATGAGGGCCATGGTTGTTGATGGGAGGCTGTGAGTTATGCTTATCGACTTCATGGCTAAGCTATACTACCTACTGGTGGATGTTGTTACCAATGTCAATGCCAGTGCGGGAAACTTGTTGATGAGAACAATACTTCAAGCACGGAAGCTGGTCCTTCAAGAGTTCTCTGTCGACTAGCTCTAGCTAGATGGGACCAACAAGTCCAAGACTAACTACATATTGTCACTGCGACAACGAATAAAAGTCCAATCAACCATGATTGAAGCCACTCGCGGGAGCCCCAGCTGCCAATATTTGTCTCTCAATGTCTAATGCATAGTCGATACCCTGTCGATTCCACCCGTATTGATACATTAGCACATTTCGTAATGCCCAATTCTCCCAAGCAAGCATTCGAACATGGGCTTCTGCTTCATGCGTAGCAAGAGATGCGTCCGCCCCTGTACCATAGCTTCCATGCAAGTTATTATTGTTCCAAGGAGAATGTGTTGCATGGGTTTCGAGGGAGTTCCCATTTCTCGGGCGAGGAGCCGGAAGGTGTTCGAGTATCGATCGTTCAATCATCGCATTTTGTGAAGACGATCGCAGTCGATAAGGTGGTACGTATGGCTTGCGTACCGAGTCTTCTGCTGGAGAGCCGGACAACTTATTCATCTGCTTTTGAGATTTGCCCTCTTGTCCTTGTCCACACTTCTTTCCTCCAGCTTGGACATTCTGATCCTTGCTTTCGTTCTCATGGATCGTCTCGTCAATTCCAGCCTTGACAGAATTTAGCGCTTCTGCGGTGGAAATCTATCATGTTGGTTAGAGGCACATGGCGGACTCTAGGTCTCAAACGCAGTGTTCAAGTTCTAATATGAACCATTCCAGGTTGACAAGCACTAACCTTTCGTTTCTTCCAGTCTGCTTGAGCAGCTTGTAGGGCTGTGTTGACTTCATCTGCAGTACCCGTCGGCTCAGTGTCGACAGAGAGTACTTTGGACATATCACTATCTTGTTCGGGATGATAATCGGGATGTTCTGTCATTGCTGGAATTATGCTGATGAAACAGCTGTAGAATGATTCTTCCGATGACGATGACGGCGATGTAGGCAGTTTGGCCAATACTGAAGTTGCAGCTTGAACGATAAGAATCCAGAAACATAAAAGGATTTGTCGACAGAAAAGTTGAGACTTCCCACGACCAGGAAGGCCCATGACTATATACTTGATTGTAGTGAAACTGTGACAATGGTCATGACTGAGATTAATAATTTCGTTTGGAACAAGTGGACAGATCCAAACATTGTTTGCTAGTACCAGTGACCCGATTGCTACACAATCGACCAAGCCGGGTAGCTTCCTCGGAGGTTAATGGACGTTGGGAGACTTTCATCCATCCTGACCCATAATACAAAGACGTTGAGTAGCCTCCGCTCAGATATCCTCGCTTCAAAGGCTGAGCAACTTCCATGCTTCGAAGTGGCCAATTTGTGCGTTTGACAGGCAGCTTTGAGGTCCATATTTCAACGGCCGGGCTAGGCTTGATGAGGAGCTGGTAACGCAAAAACGAGCTGTTGTTCTCAATCCCAAGCATCACCCCAGTCATCATCATTGACTTCGGGTTCTTTCGGTTTCGGCACTCCTTTTTCCACCGCTTTCTTGACAGCTGTGTTCCGCGAGGGGATGACCGTAGTTTTCTTGACTGTACTTGCAGCACTTGGAGGGCCTGCAGAGGCACTTCTAGAAGGGCCTGGTCTTACACCCAAAGTGCTTGCTGATGTACCGGGAGTCTTGGCTAACCCCTTTGGCAATGGTTTGGCCGTTTTCGACTTGGATTGTGCCGCCAACCATCCGGCAAAATCTGGTTCACCACCATCGTCAAATGCAGTGACAGGAGCAGATGGACTTGGCTGGCTCTTCTTTGGAGTCGCTGATGAGGCATCAAAGAAGTTGTCACCATCATCGTCCATAGTGCCCCATGCATCGGCTGCGTCATCATTATCTTCAAACACGTCCTCGGGTTCGGCAGGTTGGGAAGTGAACGTTTTTATTGTCTGCGAGGTGGTAGGCCGTGACGAGATTGTAGGCCGTTGCTCATGACTGACATTGATAGTAGGAGTAGTCCAGCCAGATGCGGGTAGTGATTGTGTCTGTAATAAGGAGGAACCGTTTGTGGCTGCTGAGGGTGTCATCTCACCCCTGGCTGCAGTCACCTTGTTGGTGAAGGATGAAATTGCCCACCCAGCCCAACCACTATCACTTTGGTTCCCTATTCTCGCAGAAGGTGCCGGTCCAGCAGCACCAGTAGCAGGCTCTGGTGGAAGAGCAGTATCAGGCATGTTTGCAACATACTTGCGTACTTTCTGAAGATAAATGTCAAGACACTTGCTTGCTTGATCTCGTACCATCTTTTCCTTATCCACAAGAGCAATACACACTGTAGGCAGGACTTTGGAGGCACAATCTTCCTCGGTGAAGACATCCACAGTGGCACTGAGGGCCAGTAATGCAGCATTACGTGCATGAACGAAAGGATCTCTCAGTGAACGGGAAAAGGCAGCAATCAGAACCTTTGCTCTTGAACCAACTCCCAAATTCTTTGCAATCTTTCCCAGGCAAATAGTTGTGTTTGTTCGAATTCCAGGCTGTTCGTCATTGGCAGTTTTGGCCAAGAATCGAAGCAATTCTCCATTGACAACTCGATCGGAGAGTTTAGATATCACTGATAAAACCGCTTTGACCGTTTGTTCTCTTACAGCAGGAGCTGTATCTGTGAACCCCGTGGTCATAAGCGGCCATATCTTACCATTGATATCCTTCTGAGGAATTCGATCAACCATGATTGGCAGGTTATCAAGAAGACAGACTCTCATTGCTCGATCTGGACTGGCAAAAAGACGTATGACGAGAGGAGCAAGTTTAGCCTCGAATTCGTCATCAGACATTTTAAGGCCAATTTTCATAATGGCACCAAAGACACTGGGACCGCCACCACCGAATTCGACTGATTTGAGCAATTCCGGAAGGATTTTCATCCTAAAGAAGTCTTCAGGGAAATCATCAGTGAGACTGTCAAGTTCACCTAGGAATTGTTCTCTCTCCTCCTCATTCTTCAAGCCAAGGCTGTCAGCGCCTTCCGTGATGTGGATTAGAGGTGTCTCGAAAAAACCACCTGCCTTCTTTCCTTGATCGAGGAACTGACCCGAGGTTAGTCTCAATTTTGGATTGGCGTTAACAAGGCGTTTATAAGACTGAGTCATGCTTGCTGGTACACTCTTGGCCTGAGCCAGTTGATCAGCCCCCATGAATGAGCCATTGAAAGCCTCGTAGACAAGTATACCCAAACCATAGGCATCCGGAGCACCAAGAGGATTCTTTTTGATAGCAGACCAGCCGCCATTTGCTACCTCTGGAGGGGCATAACGATTAGCATCTGGGACCAGGGTTGCGTAGGTGTATATTATGGCATCATCCTCATTCATCGAACTCAGAACCTCAAATCCACCAAGTTTCCACTCTCCACTTTCACTAGTGAAGATAGAAGAGACTCGAATGGAACCATGAACAGAGGATGCCTCGTTGTTGATAAACTTGAGAGTGGAGGCGACGGTGTAGAGTCCCCATTTAACAGTTTCTTCACTTAGACTCTTGCGCTTCACATGCCATGCCAGCGGAGACACTTTTTCGGTGATGATATAAATGTTTGTTTCATTTTCAATGACATCGAAGACTTTTATGACTCCAGGATGGCGTAAGGTCCGCAGTCTTCGAGCGGCGTTCTTAGCCAGTGGTAGCCGGGCCTTGTTCGCGTTAATATCGAATGTGAAGAGAGAACACGGGGAATTGTCGTCCTGCAAGATTAGAGAGGAGTTAGTAGGAAAAGTAGCGACATGTACAAAGGCAGCGTACTTTTTTGATTCCATTATGCACGGTCCATATCGAGTCTGAGATGTCGATCCTATCGCCGATGGTCACAGGAAAGGAGCTGGATTTTGCGATTGCGGATGCGACCGCAGACTTGAGAAAGTCCATGAGCGGTGGCTAGAGGGGACGAGGGGACACATCAACAGAACAGCGCGAAATGCAACAATGCAACAGAGGAGCAGATAAGGTACGATGGTGAGTGCAGGACAGATTGATTGTCGGAAGTGCCATATGTCGCCGCAACTGCCACTCTTCGCCTACGACCTATCGCTCTTTCCCACTACGCGTTGCGTCCTCCAAAAATCTTCCCCGCGTTTGGGAAACTCCAGATATGCCCATCCTGGGTGCCACTGTAAATGTAACCACGTTGGTTGGATGCCACGAATAAATCTGAATGTGTCCTCTGTAAGCTGAAAGGTCTATCTGATTCTCCTCCTTCTCCTGCTCAACTACCATTTCCGTCCTCTTCACCCTCCCAACATGGCTCAACGACCGACCTCTAGCAGGCGGACATTCTCATCCACCAATGTACCCCGCGAGACCGCATATCGCCCGCATGAGGGTAAATTGGCTATTGTTACGGGTGGCTCCAGAGGTACAAGGGATTATCAATACGATGCCGCCGCTGTCTGACACATCCCAGGCATCGGAGCAGCCACCGCTCGCAATCTTGCTGCCAAAGGTTGTAACCTACTCCTAGTCTACACCTCTGACTCTTCCACCAAACCAACAAAGGCTCTCTGTGAAGAACTATCCAGTCAGCATGATATTCTTGCCGTCCCCGTCCAGGGTGATCTCGCAGACCCTTCTCGGAGTGTCCCTCATATTCTCTCGACCGCACAAAATCATTTCTCACATCCTCGCACCGGTTCATTTCAGGTTGACATCCTCATCAACAACGCAGGCATTGCTGGCAATAGATTGCTGAATGATCCAAAGTTGGGTCCAATCGAAGAGACGGAGTTCCACAAACAGTACAATGTCAATGTGCTGGCTCCATTACTGTTGGTCCAGGCAGTTCAACCTTACCTACCCACGGATAGGTCAGGGAGAATTGTCAATGTATCCAGTGTGTCTGCCGCCTTTGGCTGTGAGTCACAATCCATATATGCTGGTACCAAGGCAGCTCTTGAGGGCATGACTCGAGTTTGGGCAAGAGAACTTGCAGAGAATGCCACGGTTAATGCTGTCAACCCTGGCCCGGTATGGGGAGATATGTATAGTGAAGCGGGCGAGGAATTCTGGAAGACCAATCAGAAGTACGTGGACGGTGCTCCTCTCATGACCTATACCGGTGATGAGACCACACGAGCTCGCGCAGGTGGTGATGGTCAAAAGTATGATGAGATAGTCAAGAAAGGAATGGGTGGAAAGAGACCTGGATTTACGGATGAAATTGCTGGTGTCATTGGAATGCTGTGCTCAGAAGAGAGCGGATGGACTACAGGAAGCGTAATTTGTGCCAACGGTGGGATGAAAATGTCGATAGCATGAATGGAGAATGTTGACTTGTAATCATCAAGAGGATGATGGCTTCGTTCTGCTCAATCATCAGATTTATAGACGAAACAATTAAATGTACGTCATTTGAAAAGAATCCTCCGAGGATAATCCGAACCTGCGGGCACTTTCATCTTGAATCTTTCCAATCCACACCTTCACCACAGACACTCAAGACCAAACAACCACGGCTCACTCCCAATCTCCCAGCAAACCACCGCAGCCATGGTCGACGTCCTTCCCGTATCCTCGTTCCCCTCACACATCTCGCTCCTGCCATCGATCCAACAATGCAACCTCTCGAACCTCCCTGAAAACTACTTCCTGAAATACTACCTGTACCACGCCTTGACGTGGCCACAACTGAGTTTCGTGGCGGTGGTACGGGGCACGAACGGGACCAAACCCGGGACCTACCCAAAGGTGGTAGGGTACGTGCTGGCGAAGATGGAAGAAGACCCGCCGGACGGGGTGCAGCACGGGCACATCACGTCGCTGTCGGTGATGCGGACGCACCGACGGCTGGGGATCGCCGAGAAGCTGATGCGCATGAGCCAGCGGGCCATGGCCGAGGTGTTCAACGCCAACTACGTCAGTCTGCACGTCCGCATGAGCAACGTGGCGGCCCTGCATCTGTATCGTGACACGCTGGGCTTCGAGGTCGAGAAGGTCGAGAGCAAATACTATGCCGACGGCGAGGATGCCTATGCCATGAAGATGGATCTGAGGGGCTTGCAGATCAAGGATGTGCCGGAGAAGGAGGACGAGGATGCCGACGAAGGGGATGCCGTGGGGAGTTTGGGCAATGGTGCGGTTAATGGTGCTGAGGGTGCGAAGAAGGAGAAGCTCGTCAAGGTTAAGGTCGGTCGTGGGCTGGGAGTGGGGGATCTGGTCGAGAGGAATGAAGGCTCGACGAAGGCTCAATATTGAAGGAATGAATACTTCAGATGGAAGGTCCGATGCCCAAGCTAGACTCCATTCATCTCTTGTTCACCGCATTTTCAGAAAGCGAAAAGCACGATGAAGGAAACACATCTGATGGTTTCTGCATAGCGAGGGGAGGTTTCAATCAAAAAGTGTAGGAAAGCAGGACGAGAGTACCTCAAGTTTTTCGAACTCCATATCAAAGTGTCTCATGGATGAAGCAAATGATGATCGGACGACAATTTTTCAAAAGTGTCTCAAAGTCACAACACCTGAGATTATGCAAATTTGTCGTGCCCGAGCAATCCTCTACATTTACAGCAACTGACGCGGTACGAAGCATTCGCATTGCAAGTATTTTCTGGCTTATGAGGAGATGAATACATCGCTCCGTTTCTGGAGGACAGTTTTTCGGTTTCGAATTGGTATCTGAATGCTATCGCATCCGCTCAATAGAAATTTCGAATACCACAATTCTAGGCCACGAATCCAACTCAGAAGATCGCAAGTGCGTTCGGAGGGCTACCAACGCCACCAGGGACATTGAGTGGCACGCTAGTGAGCAAGAACTCGTAGCGACCGACCTTCTTGCAATGGGCCCCGAGGGCTTTCAAATCCCACAGCTCTCCGATATTGAGCCCGAACAGCGAGAGGAAGTATTGATGAAGCACTGTACAGAATATCAGCATTAGGAAAGCAGCCTAGATCGCCAACCAAGAATATCAAGATGGTATGGGAGAGAAAGGGAGACGACATACCAAGCTCGCCAATGGAACCTTCCCGGTTATCCTCATCCTCAATCGTCGGTGGTAGGACCTCAAACGCAATGGCATCTCCCGCCACGGCCGCAAAATGATGATTCCAGAACCACTTGGCACTCTCACGATTGCCTTTGACGCCGACGGCCTTATGAGTCCCAAGCTTTTGCTCCTGCTCTTCAGCTGATGCATCACCTAGGTCCTCGGTGAAGCCAGAACGCACAATCACGATATCACCATGCTTGAATTTGGTGCCCTGGTGCTCTGCCACAGCCTCCAGGTCTTGCACCGAGATTGCATGTGCTGAAAAGCAGTCGTATGAGATGCCCTTGGCTTCTGCGTATGCCCGATAATCGAGGAGAACTCCACGACCGACTAAGCCGCCACGGTCGTGCCAATGGTTCAAGGTAGGGAGGGTCTTGTCTAGATCGGCCTCACCAAAGGCTTGGATGAGGTCAGTCCTTGCTGGACTGGTACCGTTGTAATTGAGGCCCGTGGGTTGATGTGCGAAGTGGACAAGAGAGTCCCATTGAGAGGAGCACTGGGTGTTGAATTCGAGTTCATCGTCGTAGGCGTGAATGTCAAAAGGAGACTCTTTGAAAGAGATGATTTTGTGTTCAAGCCCTTTACGTAGGAAGCCCGGCTTCTTGATAGCTCCGATGGGCCAATTCAGTGAGATGGAGACTCCGTCACGAGCCTCTTTGAATGCTTCCTGTACGACTTTGGTACTCAGGAGATTGAGGCAACCAAGATGATCTTTCTTGCCATCTTTGTCAAAGACTCCCCAGGCGCAACCCTGGGGCATATCCTTGACTTTTGGAAGGCTGTCAAAATCGGGGAGATTGGTGTAGTCGGCCATGTTTACTGGAAATTGCGAGCGACGTACCTAGGTATTCCTAGATGGGTTTTGGATATCAAGAAAAGGGAGGAAATCGCAGGGTCGCAAGAGAAGAGGGGTAGTTAATGTTCTCTCCCCAGAATCTGTTCCTTACCTAGCACGGATAGTTATACTATCTCGTTGTCCAAAGTTTAGGGACAATTCCACCACGCAACCAGCGCATCTGGCCAGCATGAGACGCGATTCAGACGCGGGGTAAATTGACGAAGGCAGGGTTGGAGAGGGGAGACACTAGATAGGGGAGGCAAGTGTGTCATTCAAGTTCCCACCGAAAGAACAATGGCGATGTCAAAGTTTGTCAATATCCTCGGATAAGCGCTTGACTTGGGATTTCTTGTCATAGGCCATGAGGAGACGCTGTGGTTCCTGCAAAAGCACTGAGACTGCCAAGCTGCTCATTCCACCGGACATGGAAATTTTACGGGGTACCCGAGGTTGAAAGGAAGGCCTGGAGGCAAATGTTGGAGATGAGCTACACACTTGCAGAATTAGGTCTTCCCTTGAGAAATCATTGAATAATAATAGGCAATGGGCGACTGATAGATGGCGATTGAAAGCCACTGACACCACACTTGGCCAGAAAAGGACTGTGCACGGCATTCCTTCTATGTGATCAGCATTTCGCAGGTACTGTCGGCGGGAAGCGAGAGAAGACAGGTACTGGTAACAACGTACAAGAGGCAGCTATATAGGAGCACTAGACCACCGAGTTGACGCTGGGATGACTGATTCAGCATCAGCATCATCCTCACCGACTTGAAGGGAAGGAATGCCGAAACGAACCCTGGGGAAGGGCAAGACTGAAGCGTATGCAGGGATTTCTATATCTAGCAATTATTACTTCAGGGTCATTGTGAAACGGAGACCGATGAACAAGAACAGCTGCTCCTAACACAGCCTCGATGGTTTGAAAGGCTCAAGCTGCTGAGAATGATGAAGCTACCACGCCCACTGCAACCTATAAGTAACCTCTTCCAAGCTTCCAAGACTCCATATCCCGGCACGCCAAACCCCTTCCCACAGGATTAGGCATCTCTTTCAGGCGTGAACCTGCGAGACCTCCCACCTAAAGCGAGCCTTTTAGGGGAGCCCGGACCCCTCGGCCCCCCTGGACTTTGTCACTGAGGCTCCTCTTTGGTGGCTCAGTTCTTGGCAAAGGGAGACCCAATTTGCCGCCATGCTTTGGCCAATTATGTTGACCAGGCTCATTGAGGTTTTTCAGCTCCAAGTTCTTTGCTGTGGCAGTTCAATCAGTCTTGTTCAGACCCTGCCAGTGGCACGCGACACTCTACGCGGTAGCAGGAGCTTGATCTCGTTCCCTCCAGATCCCACACCAAAATTGTTACCAAGACCAGACAAGCCAAGCTGCCCGTGGTTGCTCTTCGTCTTACATCTGCCATCTTACCCTCTCAGGCTTTTTCTACGTACCATCTCCCTTTCAGCCGCATGTGTATCTGTTTTGCTTCCTAACAGATGCTTCATTCACTGTTTACAGTCTCAAAAGATTTCACTGGATTAAGTTGGCAATCAACAAATCCGAAAAGCCATGGATCGCTTCGTTAATCGCCTTGATCTTCAGGGTAGAGGCCTCGCGCCCCAGGGGAGAATCCCGACCCGAGCCTTAGTCTCGTAAGTTCCCATCAAAAGAACCCTCACTCAGCCTTGTCCTGCTCTATCAATATCAATATCCAATTCTAATTCTTGGACAGATATGTTATCGATTACTTAATAATAATGTGAGTGGTCATCTTGTGGGAGACTTCACGGTCAATTTCCCATCTAACACCAACAGTGTTCTGGCAATAATTTACGCTGTCCTCGACAAAATCGTCACACCCTTTTCTCAACCATTCTCTCTCAACAATGCATCATTACAATATCCATACGCCGATCCAGAACGAATCCCCATATGGCTTGCACTGGTCATTTCCGGCCTCTTCCCTGGAATTGTCATCGCCGTCTACACTTTATTCCTCGATGGTCTTTTCTCACATCATCGTCGTACCACCCGAACTCGAACCAAGTACACCTTCTGGGATCGATTATGGGAACTCAACTGCGGCTGGTTAGGTCTTCTACTCGCCCAAGGCGCCGCATTCGTCATTACAGGGTCTCTCAAGAATTTGATCGGTAAGCCTCGACCCGACATCATCGCGCGATGTAAACCCGATCCAGCCAAAGTCGACGCCCTTGCGGTATTTACTCTCGCCACCAAAGCACTGTGCACCGAAACAGACGAGCACATCATGCAAGATGGCTTTCGCTCATTCCCGTCCGGCCACTCCTCCAGCAGCTTTGCCGGCCTATTCTACCTGTCACTCTACCTGGCCGCCAAACTCCATGTCCTGGATCAGCGCGGTGAAGTCTGGCGAACTTTCATCGTTCTCATACCGACACTTGCAGCCGCGTGTGTCGCCGGGTCGAGAATCATGGATGCGCGCCACCACCCATTCGATGTTCTCTTCGGATCATTGCTCGGTATCCTCGTGGCCTGGGCCAGCTACCGCCAATACTTCCCACCCGTGCACCACGTCTGGGAGAAGGGTCGCGCGTACCCAATGCGCACATGGGGAACACCAATCCGCAGACCCGTGCGGGGCAAAGTCCTCGTCGACAGCGAAACACTCGAAGTTCTATCCGACCGAGTCCCCGTCTCCGGCGAAGAAGACGATGATTCACGCTACGAAATGGATTTCAATACCAACAATGGCGCAGGAGGTCCACGACACACAAAGCCAGAGTTTTCAAACCGTGGCAATCTGGACTTGGAGACCGGATATTCATCGCAAGCCTCACGGAGGCAGGATACCTTTTCCTCGGTCCAAGTTCCTGCGCCGCTGCAGCCGTCGAGTACGGGCAATAACGCTTTCCGCGAGCAGATGGAGCACAATCAACGAATGCGCACTGGTGGCGGCGCTAGCACCGGGAGTCCTGAGAGAGATGCGGATGGACTGGAGGATGAGCCCTTGCACCGCGGTCGTGCTTGAATGGCGGAACCCGGGAAAAAAAGGAAAGGTCTCAACCTTTTGCCGTCCCAAACAATGAAATAGGCACATCAGCCGCCTCTCTACCTGCCTAGAGTCACCTTATCGCTTGTCAGGCCTTGCCCAGATCGGTCAATTTCTTGAAACCATTAGATTTACGGCAACGTCGGAATATTTTGTACATTCGACCACCAGAACCCAAGCGACTGGGCGGACGGACATTTGACCCTGGGGAAAATCTGAATATCGGTGTAGGGTCGAGGGCATCTGCAGGGCGTTTCCGTGTGTGTTTTATTGTGTCTTCCGGAAAAGTGAAGCTCGGGGAGCCACATTATCTTCTTCTGCCCTGTTCGGCCGGCATGGGAGCAGCGAGGCCACGCAACCATTTAAATCATCGATTGGGGTCAATCTGGTTGGGGTTTATATGAATGGACGTGAGGCGTCACGTACGCTTGTGCTTTAGGAAACGGTTGGGTATGGATTGGGATATGGATTGGGTTTGGGAATTTCCGTAAGTAGCAGCATGAGATGATCTGCCCACTCGTCTCCGGAGGATCTATGAACGAATAAAGTATTTACCTACCTACCTAGTCAGGTAGATAGGTAGACATTGAACGGGAGTTTTGTTTTTGACTGGTTGCTTTTGAATACTAATTATAAAAGAACTTTTTTCTTGTTTTTTGTTTTCTTGTTGGCTTTCGGTTGTTTGTGAATCATTCACTCCATCTCCTGCCCGGATATTCGTTCGCTCATCAATGCTAAATCTCCACCTGGTGAATGTTACCCACCCTAGCACTCTAACTCGATCACGCAGACAGCAAAAGTGACACAAGTAGTCTTTGGGAATCGTTGGAAACGTGGTAATGAGATCTGAAATCAACGGCTTTCATCGTATCCCTCTGCATTGCACCATGTGACAAGGTGACGTTGAGCAGGACGACCTTCTAGTTTAACTTCTCCTGCTGGCGTGATTGATTGACTATTTAGCCGACTCTTTCCTTCTACCCATCATCGCATAGCTCTTCTTCAACAACTCATCCCGGAGCTGGAAGTTTAGAAAGAAGACATCAATTTCAAGCAGCAATCATCCTCGGTCTGTCTACATCTCTGGATCCATGAAGACAGATGCTTCGTCCATATATCCAGATCAATCAGCTAAAGACCCCCCAATACCGTTCGATCATATTTCGTTGTGTAGAAACCCTCTTAGTCACTCATCTCCTCCTCGTCGCTATCGCCCGCCTCGATCCAGACCAGACGCGTGCCATTGTTAGCAACCTGCCAAACCTATTGAGTAAACATGTCAGCACATACTCTCCATATTTCAGATTGGGAAAAGAACAGCAACTAAAAGATTCCAAAGAAGAGGTGTTTTACTCACATCAAGCAACTCATACTCCTCGATCGTCCGTGTAAATTGATCACTCGTGAAACCCTTCGCCTGAACCAATTCCCTGACACGAGTGAGGTTCAACTCGCCTCTCGCACCGCCGGTTCCAACACTGGCGGCGCCCGATTCCCTCATGCCGCGGATCAGATCGTAGATTCTGCTGGAGATGGTCTGATCGCCGCCATTGCGTTGGTCATGGTATAAGCTTGCCTTAGACACCTCGATGAGTCGCAGTGCCTCGTCGACGTCCTCGCTGACGACTTCGTTGCTGAAGCGCAGGCGTGCGAGAGCCTGGGATAGGCGGAGAACACCAAGTAGCGTACGTGGTGAAGTATGTGTGAATTGCTTCTTGCCTCCCTCGTCTCGCTTTTGCTGTTGGCGCATGCGAACGTATGCGCCGACCATGTAGTCGCTGACGGATTTGGGGACGTTGGGTCGGAAGGTTCTGGCTTGTGCAATGTATTGTCGCACCTCGTCTGGTGCGAATGTGACACCTTCACCCTCTCGTTGGGGATGTGCGTTGTGCATATGGACGTGACAAACGTGATTGGCAAGCTCTTCGTCTGCTTCTCGAGAAGGCGTGTCCAGAATCAAGAACAAAACATCGAAACGAGACAGGAGAGCTGCTGGCAAATTGATATTGTCGACAGGAGATATGCGTGGGTTATAGCGGCCGTACAAAGGATTGGCAGCTGCCAGAATCGAGGTTCTAGCATTCAAGGTCGTCGTAATACCAGCTTTGCTGATACTGATGGTTTGTTGTTCCATGACTTCATGGATAGCAGTTCTATCCCCATCGTCCATTTTGTCGAACTCGTCGATACAGCAAATGCCATTATCAGAAAGAACCAATGCACCACCTTCGAGGACCATCTCGTCGGTGACTGGATCACGCATCACGGCAGCTGTGAGACCGACGCCACTTGAACCTCGACCGGTGGTATAGACAGCCCGTGGTGCGACTTTTTGAATATATCTGAGCAATTGGGACTTGGCCACACCGGGGTCACCCATCAGACAGATATTGATATCACCACGGATACGCATGCCATCACCCATCTCTTTGGTGACTCCACCGATCAAAAGAAGGAGGAGAGCTTTCTTAACATCTAAATGCCCATAAATTTCTGGGGCAATAGACTTTGCAAGATATTCATACAGATGGCCAGTGGCTTTGAAGGACTCGATGCGCCGTAGTACACGCATATCAAGTTTCACATTTTGGTATGCTTTCTTGTGTTGAGTGATATGCTGGGCTTCGAGATAGGTGTCTGTCAGGAGCCCGGCGCGAATTGCTTTAAATCCTGTGTAGGGCGTGGGAAGGAAGATACCATCGATGTCCACAATGTCGCCTGGGTTGACTTTTCTTGCAAGAGGTCCATTGCAGTGAACTGTCAGTGTTCTTGGAATGTGACCAACAGGAACCTGGTCTGCCATCTCTTGAATCTTGACTTCTTGGAATGGTACGAATTTGGAGGCACGAGTGGCTGGGAATAATTGACCTTTCGTGTTGTTGTTCGTACAATCTTCTGAAGGACAGACTTGCATTGGTGTGAATTGTTTCGAAGCAATAGGTTGGAAGATCTCGCAACCACATCGATCGCAAGTATATGCTTGAATGCGCACACTTGGTTTGACATCTGAGACTCTTGTCGTTATACCACGGATGGTTATCAATTGTCCCAAGTGCTCTCCACGAACTTGTCGCACCGCAAGAGTTTTCTTGGCGATGTCTGCCCCGGTAGGAGTAATGGGTTTGAAGCAGAGTGTGTATCTTCTTGTCAACTCGGGCGGAAAGGAGGCCACCGCAGGGTTCACGTCGGGGTCTGTTTCGGCATTCTGGGCGATTGTCTGGTTCCGTCTTGTTCGTTGAGAGGTGATGATATCTATGATATCGTCTTTGAATCTAGAGATCGTTCAAAATATGTCCCACAAGTGGAATCCTATGCGACTTACGACATTGCTTTTGTAGGTTCTGGCATTGCCTTGTCTACCGCGTCTGAGACCAGATCAATGTAATGTTTCGTGTTCTTGGTGATTGACTCGACGAGGTGGAGATTGGAATCGTTTCCTAGAGACTCCTCGAACTGAATCATGGTGTCAGTTCCGTTGCGCGAGCATATTAAGCATTTCTCAAGCACACCTCTTGTAGATCGTCCAGTTCTATTAGAACATCTGATCGCTCTCGATTTGCAACATCTAGAAGCATATCAAGATACTTCCTCTTGGGTCGACGGCGCGACGCGTTGCTGTCCTGTTCGGGGAGATCATCCATGAAATCATATTCATCACTGGTATGATCGCCATCAATCTGCAAGCTTCCGATTGCCTCGGTGGCAGCATTTGTCTTGGAGGTCTCGAACTTTTCTAGAAAGGACTGAAATGCGTCGAGTTGCTTTTCGTAGTCGGCAAGCGCTTTATGTTGCAGGAGCGCCATTGTGAATTTCTCTGCTGTCAAGAAATCGTCAAATGGTGGTGGTTGAGGGGTTTGCGAAAGTGGAAGCGATTGTGTAGACACGACTGGCAAGGGGTGGCTGGCGGGCTCGGGCTCAGTTACAAATTGCAGAAACGCGTCCAATGCGCGTCGCGCGTAAAGTGCTACGGCCAAGCTTAGGGATCAAAATGCCAAGTTCATTACAAGCATCTTTACTCCGGCGTACACAACTTCAAATCGATTCAATCTCTGAGCCGAGGCCCATTTCACGGTTGTTTCTCAACAAGCCCGTGACAGGACATCGAACATTCTCCGAGCTGTCCTTTGGCGAGTCTTTTCGTTCTGTACATGTTTTCAATGCGAAGAACATCTTACAACCGAAATTATTAAACAAGCGCTTCGCTCGAAGAACGCTGCGGTATAGCGTGAAAAACTATTTTGCGACACTTTCCCCGCTTACTTCAGAGCTCTATCATACGTTCTGTTTCAGGGACAGCTGCAAGCAATGGCACCCGCTGTTCGTGCAGAGGTCGCTCTTGTCTCACTTAAAAACTGCCTCGTCAACCTGCCCCCAGGCCTGATAGCATTAATAAGCAATACTAATATTGTAAGTACGCCGCATGGCGAACAGATCCACGGCTGACATCCAACAGCCCGCTCAGAATATTGTGGTAGAACTGCAATATCGGTCACAGACACTCTCATCGGGGGCTGTCTCGAGTGGCAATGCCTCTGGATTTCAACGATCTGCTTATGTCGGGTGGACTGGAATGCCCAGTCGGACTCGACCATCTTCCGTTATCAATAATGATCGGGCTCGCTCAGGACGCGAGCAGGAGACCCAAATGGTCGAAATTGACGCCACTTTTGCAAAATTACTAGGTCTATCTGAAGGCTCAAAAATTGGAATTTTAATCCATCTGGATCCTCCTGTTGCGCACAGCATTAACATCGAACCCTTAACTCCGGCCGATTGGGAGGTCATTGAATTGCACGCGACTTTTCTAGAGCTCAACCTTCTATCTCAAATTCGAGCCCTTCCGAACCCAGCATACAGCAGCAAAGCTTCGACCCAAGCTGAAACTACTCATCCCCTCACACTGCACTTGTCTCCGACATCTACCGCCAATATCATAGTTACTTCTCTGGTGCCAGCCGTTCCCAGCACATCACCATTTGCAAAAATTGCTCCTGATGCGGAGGTCATTGTGGCTCCGAAAACCCGACCTAAAGCTAGTCGGAGCACAAGAGGAGACTCTAGGAGCATAGCTAGCCGGCGCAGTGGTAAGAGCGGGACAAGTGTCGCCCGTGGATCTAACTCTCGGAGGACGCCTACAAGATCTGCCATATTCGCCCGAGCATTCGACCGATCTGTTGCCAATGCATTCTTCGACAACAACTCCGACTTATCCGAGAATAGTAAACTCTGTATCTGGGTGAGCCAAGAAGTCATTGAATCAAACAGCTTGAAGGGCACACCGTGGGCGAACATCACAATAGTAAAGCCATCAGGACTAAGAGCACAGTTGGACTCTACACAAGTCAATCAGCTCAAGGAGGAAGAAAACAGTGAAGTGGGAAGACCTTCGTCAAGGATTGTGGCCAGGCTCCTTCCATGGACCAACCCCTTGGACAATCAGCATGTAGTACTCTCTTCAGCATTGTGCCAAATGCTTGGAGTTGATGGCCTGGTTGGTATCATTGTCCGAATTGAAGCAGCTTTAGCACCGCTATCACGATACTCGATCAAGAAATTTTCCTTCTATCCATTCTTACCACGAAATGGGAAAAAGAAAGAAGGCCTGAAATTTGGCGGAGACTCTAAGGCAGCCAGGCAAGCCTTTGCGGATAAGATAAGAATGACCTTTGCTGGTGATGACAGCCTACTTTCAGGACCAATAACGGATGGTATGGTCTTACCACCATCTGGCGATCCTTCCTCTGCAGCTTCATTTGACGGAGGCATTTTACGATTTCGAAAACCTGCGGACCATGGAGATGAGTCTGGTGAATCATCCTTGTCCTGGGTCCTTGGGCAGGAACAAGACCGCGAATTCGATGTCAAGGACGAAATTCCTAGGCCTCTAGACTTTACCTCTCTATTTCCCGGTTTCTCTCACAATGTTCCTACTACAACTTCCGATCTTGTAGGCGTGGACGGAGTACTGAAACAATGCATGTCAAACCTCACACTGTGTTCGTCAGTACTCTTAACGGGTGGAATTGGCTCGGGGAAGACTTCGCTTGCTCAGTGCATCGCTCAACGCCTCCGAGAAGACTACGTCTTCAATGTAACATACTTCTCTTGCCAGAAGCTGGTAACAGATGAGATCCGTGTCTCAACTATCAAGGAGACCTTATCGAGAATTTTCATGTCAGCATCCTGGTGTGCAAGATTGGGTGGCCAATCGGTCATCATTCTTGATGATCTGGACAAGATTTGTCCTGTTGAGACAGAACTACAAGTTGGAAACGATAATGGACGCAGCCGACAGATCACCGAGCTTCTCTGTGCTATTGTTCGACAGTATTGCAGTATACATTCCGGTGTGGCTTTATTGGCAACAGCACAATCCAAAGACAGCTTGAATTCCATTATCATAGGTGGACACATCGTGGGTGATATCATCACCATCAAAGCCCCAACGAAGGATGTACGTCGAGATATCCTCGACTCACTTACCCATGATGGCTCGGCCCCAAAGATGAACGGCCATGCGAGAACCGAGAGCGACAACAAGAGCATGTCTGAGAGTTCTTGGATGGACCCGACGAACACTTCTTCCAGACCAGGATCATCGACATCCGCTCGAGTTGAAGGTTTTCGCTTATCTCCAAGCCTTGATCTACTTGATATTGCTGGGAAAACCGACGGTTACATGCCTGCAGATCTCGTGTTACTAGTTTCACGTGCAAGAAATGAGACTTTGACTCGCATCCTCTCAGAGAACGACGCTTCTGACGCCGCCCCCATTCTGACCAAGGCGGACTTCGATGCCGCGCTCAAGAACTTCACACCATCATCCCTACGCAATGTAACCTTGACACACTCCAGCACCACCTTTGCTGCAATTGGAGGCCTACGAGAAACACGAAATACGCTCCTTGAAACCTTGGCATATCCCACCAAGTATGCGCCAATCTTCGCGAGATCACCCCTTCGCCTTCGCTCTGGTCTCCTCCTCTATGGCTTCCCTGGATGTGGAAAAACATTGCTCGCATCCGCGGTAGCAGGAGAATGCGGTCTAAATTTCATCTCAGTCAAGGGGCCGGAGATCCTGAACAAATACATCGGTGCGTCTGAGAAGTCAGTGCGAGATCTCTTCGAACGCGCACAGGCCGCAAAACCATGCGTCCTCTTCTTCGATGAATTCGACAGTATCGCGCCCAAGCGAGGCCACGACAGCACAGGCGTGACCGACCGCGTAGTCAATCAGATGCTTACACAGATGGACGGTGCCGAGGGTCTCGACGGCGTGTACGTGCTCGCAGCGACATCTCGGCCAGATCTCATCGACCCGGCCCTCCTCCGTCCCGGCCGACTAGACAAATCTCTCCTTTGCGACATGCCAGATATGGACGACCGACTGGACATCCTACGTGCCGTGTCCGTCAAACTCGCGCTAACCCCTGAAGTAGACAACAAACTCCTCAGCGTCGCCGCACGCACCGAAGGCTTCAGCGGCGCCGATCTCCAAGCACTGATGTACAACGCACACCTCGAGGCGATCCACGATTTACTGGGCGACATCAAGAGCGCGACCGCGGGGAAAGGCAAAGACACTCAATCCAACGACAGCACCACCAGCGTCAACGGCTCCGGCACCCGCCGCCGCAAACGCCCCGGCAGCGACAAGCCCGACTTCATCCAATTCCTGTACTCGGCGGAAGAAGATGCGCGGGCGAAGAAAACCCTCACGTCGTCCGCGACCGACTCCAAAGCAGTCATCGCCGCGAAGATCGACGAGCTGAAACTCGTGCGCAAGCGGCAGAAAGCGGCCTTACGGTCTGGTGTCAGTTCGTACGCGGCGTCAGCCGACGACAACACCAACAATACCTCGTCGCAGAAGGGAGGCGGTGACGAGACCGAAAATGGTAAGGAAGAAGTGCTGATCGAATGGCGCCACATGGAGAAATCGCTCGCCAGCACGAGGAGCTCCATCAGTGGTGATGAGAGGAAACGGCTAGCGGCGATTTATCGCGAGTTTGTCGTGGGCAGGAATGGGGAGATGCCGAATGGTGATGGGGGCAGGGAGGTTGGCGGGCGGACGAGTCTGATGTAAATATGTAGCCCTGGTTGGAGAGGTGTGGGATTAGATAAATATTTATAAGCGTATGATTGATTGCAAGTGATGTTGAGGGGACAGGAGTGGTTATGGGTGGCTGCGCGTGACGCCACAGAATTTAAACTATATATTCATCAGAACTTACAACTTTGAAGACCACACGTTCTAGAGCACTCGCAGGACTCGCCCTCTCCATTTTCCAGACTACAAAGTTCAACAGCAACCTGTCGCGATTCGACTTCCGAGTGAATTGCACGTGTAAGCTACTACTATAGTCAAGGGCCGCAGCATATTTAGAAAAGACAAAGGAAAGGGATGGTCAAATGGTGCTTGAACAGAGTCGAAAGTGGATAATTTATGTTCGACATGCCATAGTGGTCTGGTACGATTGATTACTAGATCATATCATAAAATGGGACCAAGAATGTGTAAATCTACCTAGGCGACAAGGTATCGAGGTAGCATTCTCGCCCCCAAAGTCATACAGAATTACAAGTGTCAGATAGCTATATTCTCGAATCCCCGGGAGTTCGTGGCAATTAGAGTTGAGAGGACTGTTGAGAAGAGGAACAGGTTCATGGGTATCAATCAATCAATCATTTCGAGGTGGCGCGACCAAGAGCGAATACAGCGACGATAACAACTGCAAGAGTCACGATTGCTCCTGGTAGAAGGAGATCGTTAGGAACGCCGGCGATGATTTCCTTCTCTTGTTGTTGTGGAGGTGTCATTGTTGCTAGGCCGTGGGGTCTCTTGGATCGAATTGTCTTGACTGGTGCTGGTTCCTCTTCACTGTCCTCCTCGCTTTCGGGTAGTGCTGTTGCAAGTACCTCTTTTGCGATCGACTCTGGTGGAGTGGGCGGTTTTGATAATTGAGGCCGTGGATCGAGAGTTGTGACAATTGGTGGTTGAGAGGGGTCATGCACAAACAAATCGACTTTGTCTCGTTTACCCTGCCGTGCAAGTAGAATGGCATCAACCAGATCCTGGTCCGTGGTAATGGACACTGTGTCGCCTTCGTCGTCCATATAACTCAAAGCATAACCTGCTTTACCCAATTTGCCATCTTCGACGGTGGCTTCGCCTCCAACAGCTTCCACTTCTGTACCAAGTTTGGCAGTGACGTGGCTCACAAGCTCCGTCACACCGAGACTTGCAATAACTTGGATGCGGTGCACACGGCCACTTGGTGCTTTGAATTTGAAGGGGAAGGGAATCTCCTCAGGGGGCTCAATTGACGGCAGAACTTCGGAATGAGCATCACCATGATGGGAAGCAGAGTCATGTGGCATGACACTATCACCTCGTTCCACACCGGGGCGGGTGGCTTCAGATTCCATTATTGACCTGTGACCAGGTGTGGTTGGGCGATGGCTGCCGTCACCAGATATCATTGACTCGGTGTCGTTATCCATGGACAACCAAAATTTGTTCCAGGCAGGACCTTCACTTTCGCCAGTATTCATTGTGTTGATTTGTTCGAGTGTAGCATATGTCAATTTAAGCACATCGACCATGCCGACAATCTCACCCGTCTCGTTCATAACTGGGAGGTTGAGATAATGGCCATCTATTGAAATTAGCAACGGCTTGGCGTCTAGTGGTCTGAGTACTTACCGTGCATTTTGCGGAGTGCAGCCTGGATACTCATATCCGAGGGAGCAAAATCGGGATGAGGTGTCATCACACGAACAACACTGCAAGTGGTAGGATCAAGTCCGGGCGCGATGACACGCAAGACAACATCTTTACTTGTGAAAATTCCAGTAATTGATCCTTGATCCTGGACCAAAACAGCGGTTGTATGATTCTCTTTCATAAGCTGGGCCGCCTCTTTTACCGAAGTTCTTACTGAGACAGTCGTGGGAGGTAGGCCGTTCAATACTGATTCCAGGGTCGGGCCCGACATTTTCATCCTTAGAGCTTCGACATATTGAATAATTTGTTGAGGTTGACTTGAGCCAAGTTCAGATTGGACACCTTCCAGCGCATCATAGAGCTTTCGCGAAGAACTGTATGCACGTTCCAACTTTTCCATAGCCTCGTAGAAACATTTCGTGATATCAAGGATACCCGAAATATCTTGATTTTCGTCCATAACGGGAAGATGACGGAAACCCTTTCTCACCATTAGGTCCAAAGCATCTGTGGCACTTGTGTCGGTTCTTGCACAAAGAGGATTTTTTGTCATGATTTGTTCAATGGTGACCTGGTTTGCTTTAATTCCGGCACCAACCACGCGGAATGCAAGATCTTTGGCCGTAAAAATACCCGCAATTCTGTCATCATCATCTGTGACCAGGACGCAGTCTTCTCTTTTGGCAGCCATCAACTGGGCCGCTTCGGCAACAGTGGTGTTTGGCTTTATCTGTAAAGCCTGACTAGGTTTGAGAGCGAGAACAGTTCCGGGAGGTGCTTTTCGTGTATGGCGGGCTCTTGAAGGGACATGCTTCTTCTTGCTGAGGTCGGCCTCCATCTTGCGTCGAATAGCCTGGGAGAGGTGTTAGAGGAAAAGATAACGATAAGGGTATATCCTGTTGGAGGCATACCTCATCCCTCTTACTCTGCTTCTGCCTACTAGCAGACATGGTTGAAGTCCCAGACATCTCGCTCGCAGCTTGACTGTTGACTGTCTCAAACTTTGGACGGGGAATGTTGGAGGGACTGTCCGTGAAAGGCAGCTGGCCACGACGATTGCCTGTAGGGGTGCCTCTGAATGTACCACTAACCTGACTTGACGACATGTTGAAAGATGAAGAACAAGTGCAGGGAACGTGACCGAGGTGGTCTGTGGGTAAAGATGCAAGTCACAACACTGAGGAAGTCGATTGGCTTTTCAGGAGAGCAAGCAAACAAAACCCAAGATGTGAGGATTGGCGGATTGGTGGATGGACTGACGGTTGACGGCTGGTTGCCAGGCTGAATTTGGACCACTGGTACAGACTGCAGCCGGTCCCGCCCAGATCTTCGGGGATGCGCGATTTCGGGTTGTAAACAAACTGCTGTACAGTGCACGTGCTCGGCAAACCTGTTGTTTTTAGACTATGGTCTACTAGTGACTGACTATACCAGATAAGATAGCGTAGTGTCTTGGCGCTACTAATGGCTCATCTTGAAGCTGTGTCTTCTTCGTAGTTAGCTCTAGGTAGCGATGAGACCAGCGATCGTCCAGTCCGGGACTACTTGCTGGAGATGTTTGAAAGCCAATATCATATATCTAAAATAGCTGCAATAGGGGGTACTTACTGTGAATATGTCCTTTTCGGGGGTCTTTGTGTGCAATTTGAGTTAAAGGATAGGCATCTCCATGCGCAACCTGTTTCGATTGTCAGATGCACCAAGGTGGTGGCGGCAAGGCTGTGATTCCCTCACGAATCCTTCTCTCCCATGTCAGTTGACCGAAAGCGCCTTTTACAACTCGTACTACAAATCAAGTTCTCAAATCAAGTCCTCATATCTCATGTGAAAGGTGGGGGCTGATGATCGAGGAAGACGAATAATCTTACTGAACATACTCATAGATGGCGCCATGGCTATCGAACTTGTCCAATTCACATCGAAGACAGCAGCCGAGGCACACTTACATGGACAAGCACAATCCTAGCAACCTCGTACAATTCATTCACACTCATGGAGACAGGTCCAATCAACAGGCGTGAACTCGCTCTCCTTTGCAAAAGTGGCTAGTTGACGTTCATGTTTCATGGATGCTGTGCCGCCCTTGGCATTTTCTGTTCTACCAAGTTTTGTGGCTGGGCACAAGCCGAATACGAGCTATGAAAGACAGGACCGCCGTTGCGCAGTCCCCTTGGATCCATTAAGTCTACGAATTTCCTGTTACGATGCCTGTTGACTCTTCAGATTATTGTTAGCCTGTCTCTCGCCATGTGGACAACCGCCAACTTAGTACTGGCCGTCGCTGGTCTTGTCTCAGCGCAATGTACTGGCAGCACTACCATCTCAAGCAGTTCTCAGGCAACAGCGCTCGCGCAATGCCAAAGTTATGATGGTGATATTCGTCTCGGATCCGACATCACGGGTTCAATTTCACTTGAGGGTGTGGTTACAATCACTGGAGATCTTGCATTGGCATATGGCACGGAAATAACCAGCCTGACTGCTCCTGATCTTGTTACCATTGGAGAGACTCTGAGCATTAGCAACAATGATCTTCTGACCAGCATCAGCCTTCCATCTCTTAAGAATATCGACAGGATCTACATCAGTGGTGCACCAAACTTGACGGATATTGTTTCTACCAATGGAATATCCAACATCAGCACTATTCAGATTTCCGAAACAGCATTAACCAAACTTGACTGGCTAAAGGCCGTGAACATCTCTAGGCTTGAGTTAACAGAGAATCCTGGGCTGAGCGACGTCTCTCTTCCCGTGGTCAATGGGTTGGGCTCCTTCACCTTTGAATGGAACGGCCCAGCAATGAAGATATCCCTTCCGAATCTAGAGGCGGCGTACAACCTCACATTCTCACACGCGCAAGAAATTGATCTGTCTGCCCTCGAATTGGTCACTTATTCTCTTGGTTTCATTGCCAATGATCTTGAATCTCTGTCCATGGAGAAGTTATCCAGCCTTGACAACTTCATGCTTTGGAACAATACGGCTTTGTCGCAGCTGTCGCTTCCAATCCTCACCAATGTAACCGGAGATATTGTAACAAATGGAAATACAGCTCTGGGAACTCTGTCACTGCCAAGCTTAGAGCGCGTACGTGGGGATATCGCTTTGAATGGGAGTTATACGAATATTTCAATGCCCGCGCTCGTCGATGTGCAAGGAAATGTTGTCATTCGGAGCTCGACCGCTTTCAACTGTTCGTCTCTAACACCCTACGATCAGAGCGATGTCTTCAAGGCCCAGTACAATTGTACTGCCTCCGAACTGGCTGCTACACCCTCTCCTGCACCTGACCCAGGCTCCGAGTCAGGTGGGGGAGGTGGCTTATCCACTGGAGCCAAGGCCGGAATCGCTGTAGGAGTGGTACTTGGAGTCCTTGCGGTTGGATTCGCCGTGTGGTTTCTATTGAAAAAGCGTAAAGTGAGCAATGGGTCCATCCAAGCCCCAGGGACTCAGGCCGATGAGACGAAGACTGGTACCTTCATCGACAATAAGTCTACACAAGGTCCTTACGAAGCAGATTCTCAAGCGGTTGGTCGCGCCGAGCTGCCCACGGGCCACAATGACCATACAAGCACTGCATATGATGGCAAGCCGACCAGCCACGGACGGGCAGAGCTGTTTTCTGAGCATCCAGAATTGCACGGCAATCAGCGAGGACCAACCTAGAGGGCGTAGACCGGCATAGAAGTCCATTGGATCACGGCTTCTTATTCCAACATGTGTTCTCCCGCCACGGTCTGTCTGCTTGAGGCGGACGTGATACCAAATACAAAGTACCACAAATGCTGAAGTTTTCAGGTGAGACCCTAGTTTTTTCCGAAGCCATACAATATTGGGTATATAATCCTCTCGACAATTGAAGTTGATCAGTCCATGGCTTATGAATTATGTCGAATTGATGGTCTAATTCTACTTTCGAAGAACTCTCGCTACAGAGGAAAATCGACTAGCTAGATGAAGCAGGCCAGTACTTTTGCACAAACTCAAGTGGCTCCTTCAACCACGGTGTCTCCATGTTGTGGTCCCTGTCGAAGACGTGGTATATCTTGTGCCCCTTGTCAAGGACATAGTGCCCTGATGGCCAACATAGCTGTATTGGCACTTCAGGTTGAAGGCTTTGAAACTTCTCTGCCCATGTCGCCGAATGTTTCCACGAAACCTTGCCCGTGTCAGCTTCCGTTTAAATTACGTACGATGGTGATACATACCGCTTCATCCTCCTTTGAATGATACAACAGAATTGGAGGCAACTTTGGTGCTCTCTCAAGACTAGTCATCGGGTCAATCCACGCATTCTCACCAGAAATGTCGCAAAATTTATTAGCCTGGATCATGGCACGGTGGAGGTCCATCCTGGTACCGAACCGGGCTCGCGTACAAATTGCTCCAGGCTCTAAGGCTGCCAAGTGATCCTCAACCAGAGAGTATGGAATACGCGGCGTGAATGCTGGGTGGGAAGTGGGATCTTCTGGTATGTCAAATGCATCTTTGAGGTCCAGTGCAGGATACTGTATGAAAAGAACCTTAATAGAGAGTTTGGTCATCCCTAGCAATGCTGTCTGCGCCGTGAGGTAGCCTCCAGCGCTCTCACCACCGATTAGCAGGTTATTCACATCCAGCTCAAGTGCCGGGATAGATTTCTGCAGGACGCTCTGCGCATCCTGCTCGACCCATTTCCAAAATGAACGGACGTCGTTGATGCCGTCTACCATCTCATGTTCAGGCCGAAGACGATAGTCTGGGGCGAGGACCACAGCCCCGTATTTGAGTGCCAACTCGAGGAAACTGTTTTCCTATCAATTAACGGCAGAGCCAACCTCAGACTGCCCTTACAATGGTCTCAGCGATGCATCTGCCTCTCCTTCTGTCCATCCACCACCATGAAACCTGACCAACAACGGCCGTGGCCCAGGTGGTAGGCTTTTTGGAATAACAAAGAACGCATGGATTGGCTGGTTGTTCACATGTTTGTAGGCCACCCGGTAGGCGTCAAACTGTGGAAGAATTTTCAAAGTGTTACTCCATTGCTTTTCGGGGTCGATGGTATAAGGCTCCATGGTTACCCGGTGATTTGGTCTTAAACGCCGGGTTATTCGTGGAATTGTCTGTAACCACTAAGTCGCTCCGTGGAATCCTCATGTATGCTCCTCCACCGAGCGAATGGCCGGTCCTTTATAGCATAGCAGAGCTGGGAGGACATGTGAAGCGTGACATGCATATCTTGATCCTCAAAGTACCCAAGCCATGTTGTGCTCGAGCTAGTCAATTTCCATTGTGAATCTCCAGAATGGGCTGAATAGCTGATCAACAAGTTTCGAGAGCATTATTAATATTCCCCACACCTTGATACTAGTATGCGAGTAGAATACTCGGGCAGCTTTCTTAGACGGGCGCGGCATCAAGCCTAAGGCTTGGCAGATATTCCCAGTGTACTGCATGATTCCCTCCTGTTCAATGCCACTCAACCTCGAGATATCGTCTTCCCGTAATCTCAATGGACTGTGACGAGAGCCAGGGTTTCTCCAACTAGCGCAGCTTATCCTGAATACGTGCCGCAATTGCGCCTTTAGTGAGGGTCACCCCTTTTCAACTTCCGCTGTACCGCTGCATTCATTCGTCTACTTTACCCGTCTGTCTTCTACCCTGCGATGTCAAGGGAGTTAATCTATTGCCGGTGTTTATGACTCTGGTCTACAGCGCAAGTTAAGAGGCTAAGCCATCGACATACGCTAAAACAACAGACTGCATCCATGTATCGAGTATCTGCGCTTGCGAAAGTACCATCATGACAACAAAGGCCCTGCGCTACCGCTCGGAGTGTCTGATCGCTCTCGCCGAACCCTGCATGCATCCTGGTATCCCGTTCACAGCAAAGACTTTTTGAGGCTTAGCTTAGCAGCCTAACAAGCTTCACTGATCCTTGGAAACGCCCAAATCTGTGGTAGCATTAGGGACGTTCGTGATTGAATGCCTGGTGACGCTCGCACCCAGCTTGACGGCAGAGTCTTGGATGACTAAGTCGCTTATCTGGCTCGATCTTTACGCATATCTTCTCTAACCTCCCAGCCTTGGAGGTCTTCAGAAAGTTATAAGTGAGAAATGTCGACCCCTCCCTGAAGCACGGCTATTTGTGTACAAGGCAGTCAAGCGCAGAGCTACTGGTATTCCGTACGGTGTGAGTGAAATATATCGAGGCACTAGGGAATTTACTGACCGGCTTGAGTTTGTAAACATGCGAATATACTGCCTGGTGAAAGTATGGGGCAAACGAGGTGGAAAAGATTGCTCGGTTTGCTGACTTCGCCTTGCGTGAAGCTGAACCATCGTTTGAATTTAGTTGTAGTATGTTATGGCAATGATGCCGATATCCGGCGGGGAGATTCCCCGTGGAGCTTGACAACAATACTCAGGCTTGATACTGAGCATGCAAAAGTACGAGCCTCTCTGTAACTAGCTACCGATATCCGTATGCCGCCTGATCAGGCTATTGGTCAGCATAAAGAGCTTTAGGAGCAATGGGTGACATTGACTCCAGTTTTATGCACTGTTCCACTCGACTGTACGAGGAGGAATTCGATTGTTATTTTCTCGAGACACTATACCCCTAGCATATGGAACGAAGAAAATGGCTGAGCTTAATCCGTTGGCCGAATGGTCAAGTGATGCAAGAAGCAACTGCGAGAGACTACGATGTGGACAGTGGTGTAGAAGCTGACCGTAAAGTGGCGGAGAAGCCTTATCTAGAATAAGCCACAGCCTCGTAGAAGCGCACGCCGCTTTACTCATCAACGGATGTGGCCTAGTATGTCTTGGCATATGCAACACTTGGCAGAGCGCACACGGCCGGGGGTGACTTTCAAGAAATCGGCTGGCGTACTTTGAGTCCTCACCACCGACAACTAGCATTTCGCTCTCACAACCACCTCTCCTCTTTCGAAAGATTCATAGACTTCTGTGCAGATCCCACAGGAGTCAATCGATCTTATCTAGCAATCATGGTCAAGAAGCGAGCCTCCAAGTAAGCAGCCAAATTCCGACAATGTTCCATCTTCCAGATACCTCTCGCCTCTGGGATTTTCACCGGTGGCGCAGGCAAAAAAACTGGTCATTTTGAAGAATGATAAGAAGAGGATGAGTTTTTGCTAACGAATTCGTTCTTTTTCACAGCGGGAGGAACAAGAAAGGTCGTGGTCACGTCAAGCCGATTCGATGCTCCAACTGCTCGCGATGCACACCAAAGGATAAGGCAATCAAGAGATTCACCATCAGAAACATGGTTGAGTCTGCCGCTATTCGTACGCCCTCCTCCCCTCCTAAATTTGTCTTCTTCATCTCCGATATTCTCAACACCTTCTTATCCATCTCGGGGCGAGGAGAGATAGAGTATTGGAAGAAAACCAGACCTTCAAAGCCATTTTTAGTGGAATAATGTTCTGACAAAACCTAATTGTTATAGGTGATATCTCCGACGCATCTGTGTTCGCTGACTACGCCGTACCCAAGATGTACCTGAAGCTCCAATACTGCGTCTCGTGCGCCATTCACGGCAAGATTGTGCGTGTCCGATCGAGAGAAGGACGCCGCAACCGTGCTCCTCCCCCAAGAGTCCGATACAACAAGGACGGAAAGAAGGTCAACCCTCAACAGCAGGCCGCCAAGACTCCTCAGGCATAAGGAAAAGGATGATTACGAACTCGAACGTTGTTCTTTTGCGGATCTATGGCATTGAAACATGAATGTGATGTGGTGGGCTTTTTTCAACAGTCTACGGCACACGGACAAGATGCGTGGTGGTTGCAAAATGATGATGATGTGATGCTGTGTTACTCGCGCTCGTGCAGAATGGGTGGCGAGGACATCAGCACATATTGGCGCATGGGGAACTATCGGAGACGGCCAATTCAGATGAAAATGCTGCTAGCATCGACCAGTCCGCTCATGTTTAGGGCTGCATAGGTAGCTAGTGTGATTTCAAAATCGAAAAGACAATTGAAAAAGCCAAAACTCTGGTGCGACTCGCTGTTGAATGAAGTTCTGCTCATTCTCCTCCGGGCCCAGCGTGCTCTGTCATGGGTGATAAGGATAAGTAGGACCCCGTCTCGCTCGGAGACTCGCCCAAGGATCGTAATATATATACCGGTTTCTGCTGAGTTCGGGATACTAACGCCTTTTCGCCGCCGGTATAAGTGAATCATCTGGCAGCCCTCCTCTCTTCGTACCAGGCAAACTCCCCGTGCCGATATCATTCGTTTCCGTGCTAACCCTCCTGTGTGGGTAGACTTCGTCCAGTCCCTCAAAGCAGTTGTTGCTCACCCAGATTTTCCCTTTGTTCGACCCTTCATCTGTACATTTGAAGTATTCATGCTGCAAGGCTTTCTCGGCTGTCAAGCGCTGTTCGGGATCGTATTCAAACAATTCGGATAATAATTGGAATCCTCGTTGTCCTGGCGATTTGTCTGAGGGATATGTTGCATGTCTCAGGCAGTTATTGTACCACGTTTCCAAACCAGTGCCATTGTTTCCATTCGTGCTCCTGCCCATGGAGGTTGGAGGGTTCGGGTATAATCCACCAGATACACCACCTCGTGAAAGGATAAGAGTCTGAAGTTGAGAATATTCCGGCATATCAACCAAACCCTTCCAGTTCTCTCTTCTTGGCATACCGAGAATCTCTACGATCTTTCCCATTTGATTGCGTTGGAAGGGAACAGTCTTCTTGCTGTCCATTTTTGTTTCTTCGCCCTTGAATATAGGTCGCAGACTTAATAATTCCGCGAAGATGCAACCCACTGCCCAGAGATCAATGGCAGGAGTATAATGGCGAGCTCCCAGAAGTAGGTCGGGGCTACGATACCAGATAGTAACCACGACTTTATCCCCGGAGTACAGCGACGATAGGGGTTTGTGAAACAGCCGGGCAAGACCAAGATCACCAATTCGTACATGGCCGGATGAAGTGACCATAATATTGGCTGGTTTTAGATCCCGGTGAATGACCCAATTCTGATGAAGATAGAAGAGACCATTCAGCAATTGGAAGAGAATGGACTTGATCATGGTTGCTGGAATCGGTCTTCGAGTTGGTTGCGTATGATGGTGAATGATTTGCAACAAGTCGTGCTCACAATATTCGAAAACCATGAAGACACATTTATCCTCCAGAATGATTTCTGCAAGATGAATCACATTAGGATGAGACAACTCGGTGCATAATGACATCTCTCTGATGGCTGATTGTGACAGGCCCGTATATTGTACATTGTCGCCTTCTTTTTCAGGTTTAAATCTGGTAAGAGTCAGCAGGGTGACGTACAGGAGATGGAAAAGAAATACTTTTTGATGGCATATAATTCCTTTGGAGGAGTTGCACCGACAGGGCTTGAAGGGTCGCCTTTGGGATTCTTCTCTACAGCCTTGTAGACACGACCGTAAGTTCCGCTGCTGATGAAGCCAATGATGTTGTACTTGTGTCCGATTTTGACCTTCGCGGTATAGCTGTTGCCAGGCTGCTTCTTGTCAAGATTTCGAAGGGCATCTGAGGTATAATTTCAGCAAGAAAAATCATCAAGAGAGCCGGTCTAGAAGATACCTTCGACTAAACCTATCTGGGTGGACTTCCTCAACTGCTGGGCAATGTTGAGGCTTGAGCCTGGTCTCGACATGTTGAGCATTGTGACGACTTGAGGGAGGCCTCCGCAGGGTTCGCTATAGCCAGACTTTGCCACCCTAGCATGGGCAAATATGTTTGAACAACCCTCTCCCCCATGAGCTGTACTGGGGTCTCCAATTGATCAATGGAGATTGCCGAACAAGTGGCTATGGAAGTCGACTTAGCCGCAGTCTCAGTGGCAATACAATATGGATGATTATAATGTCGATGGAAATGTCGATCACGCTAAGATGGGTATCAGAAGATGCAATTGTCTGGTCAATACTCCTTGATAGCCAACTAAAAAGTCTCATTGCCGAGGATGGTCATCTGGTTGAGGGAAAAGGTGAGGTCCTTTGGGGTTGTACGAGGCTTTGGACGGATGTACGAGATGCCAAGACGGGCCAGGCTGAACCTTACCGAATTTAGGGTGGACCATGGAGCCAATCCAGCCTTGCACCTTCCTCGCTTTGCTTCTTCCCTTTTCACTTTCCCATCGGAGTCCTCCGTCAACAGCACCTTCCTCACCAACGAGATCATGGGAAATCAAAACAATCCTGTTGCCTTGATGCACTTCTTCTGCACCATGACGCATACCAATATTCGCTTCTTCCCGATATCTCTCTCGTTGTTGACTCGTATTGGTTTATAAGGTGAGCCACTGAATGCTTCCATCATCGAACGAGCCCACCACACTTCCATTCCACAATATACCACACGATTCAAGATGACCATGAACCGAGCCATGCTAACTCGAACCAGCAGCGGTTACAAGTCCTTGAACAGGACCCCATCGAGTGAAACAGGAGTCAAGATGCCCATCACCACTCCTCAGGCTGTCAAAGCCAAGTCTGCACGCCAACCCTTCTTTCTCTTCTTTCTCCTCTTTATCTCAACACTAGGACCCCTTCAATTCGGTTACCATCTTGTAAGTTTGCACTGAAATTGTCAACATCTAAGCCGTTTAGTCTAACAGTCTACAGGGTGAACTCAATGCCCCAGAATCAGTCATCAGATGCGAGGCCAAACAGCTACCCACCACAACGGACCTCAATGCATCCAAATTCTCCAAATGTATCCCCATGAATTCAGGCCAATGGGGCATGATCCAGTCTCTCTTTAGTGTCGGTGGTCTGTTCGGTGCTCTTCTCATTGGCCGTGTGGCAACAAAGAGAGGTCGACGTTTTGCCTTGAGACTTCTTACCTTCTTCCTCGCCGTTGGTCCCATTCTAGAGGCTCTTGCCAGCAAGATGTGGATGTTAGCACTGGGAAGAGCAGTATCTGGTCTTGGAGCAGGTGCAGCCACCGTCGTGGGTCCCATCTACGTTTCTGAGGTCTCACCTCTGAACAAACGTGGACTATTTGGTGCATTCACTCAAGTCCAAATCAATGCTGGTATTGCTATCTCTCAATTGCTCGGCTACTTCCTGTCCAAGAAATCAACATGGCGTTGGATCCTTGCTACTGCTGGATTTATTGCCGCTATCAATTTCATTGGTCTCTTTTTTGCCCCAGAGACCCCAACTTGGCTTGCCGCCAACAATCAGCCTCGAAATGCCAGGCTAGCTCTTCAACGTATCCGCGGTCGTACTGCTGATATCCGCGAGGAGATGGAACAATGGTCCATTTCCGGTGATCATGAGCAGCAAAGCTTGCTACCACAGCAAAGAGCCCATCCGACTGCCCAAGAACCCGCAAAATCATTCATCGACGTGATCAGAATTCCCAAGTACAGACGAGCTGTTCTCGCAGTCAGTGCAACCATGATCGCCCAACAGCTTACCGGTATCAACAGCGTCGTCATGTACAGCGTCTCAATTTTAGGAGAAGCTCTCCCACACAAAGCTGCACTGGTCACTATCATTGTCTCTGCAGCCAATGTTCTGGTCACTTTGATTTTCTCTCCTCTGGCTGACAAGATTGGAAGGAAGAAATGTCTTTTGGCATCGATCGCTGGAATGGGTTTTGCTTCGGGAATGCTCGCTGATGGTCTTGCCAAAGACAAGAAAGTCCTTACCATTGTTGGTGTTGCCCTATTTGTTTGCAGCTTCGGCCTCGGATTGGGCCCCATACCTTTCATTCTACCCAGTGAGCTTGTCGGACCTGAGGCCGTCGGTGCAATATCCAGCTGGGCCCTTGCTTTCAATTGGCTCTCAACCTTTCTGGTAGCTCAATTCGTCCCGATTCTCAACAGCAAGTTGCCTCCAGGCAAACTATACGTCATCTTTGGTTCCATCGCTGCATTCTTCGGCATTTTGATCAGTCTGATTGTTCCAGAAAGCAAAGGGAAAGCCAGTGCAGAGAAAGTTTGGGCAGATCACGATCGTGGCTGTCGATACTGTCGCATCTGCAAGGCGTGTTGTTTTGCTTGCCCATGTGGTCGCAAACGGAGCAGAGGAGCTCCGGCCTCGACCTGATTTTTGTTTCTCTTCGTTGTCCCTCATCATTGTCGCCAGCGGCTGGACAAACATACCTACTGACCACCATTTGTTTTGAGCGGGAGTTCTTGAAGATCGGTTTCGGGAAATAGAACCTGGGGTTGCGAACATGTCTGTAACTGGAGCTGTGGGAAAGATGGACTACTGGCTGCGTTCCGATTATGTATCATTACTGTATCCGTATCAAGGTAGATGTCCCTAAATGCACCTTTTTGAGTCCTTTGAACTTTTCTCATGCCAGTAGCTATCGACTCCTCTGCGTGACCACGACCCATTTCCTTCGTCACCACCAGTCGACAAGATCGTGGTTAGGCTAAGCAAGAGAACTGCGGAATGTGAAAAAACCAAATCGTGTAGAATGAAAACAGATATCATGCATTCAGTTTCCATGAGTTGCGCTGCGAGCTCTGCCTAGGTACCTATCTGGGAAAAGAGGTGGCTAGGTACGCATAAGCTGCCATGGTATGATATGTAGCTAATCTATGTCTGCCTAGCTAACATATACTGAATACTGATTCTCAATTCATCCCATGATCGTTGCATTCCCCGTCATTGCCAGTCCATACGCACCGTTGTATGTGTGATGTTGAGCTCGGTAGTGGTGCATGTAAGACATGTCAGTGGCACACTGGCCTGAGACCTCATTCATTCGTGCATGACTGGGACAGTTTGCACAGCCATGAGCCCGGCGTTTCTATTGGTATTGGGAGGAAATTGAGCAATGCAATGGGGTCGTTGCTTCGTACTGTCATTTTCGTCCAGTCCCACTGGGTGCTGTTGGTGAGACAAAACCATTCGCCCAAATTCCGCTGGAGAGCTGGTCGAAGCGCTGAAATGCTGGAGTGCTATTGATACAGGAGTACAGACTGGCCAGCAGCCATAGTATGATGTCTCGTCTCATTTCGATGGTCGTCGAATGGCGAGGTGCAGAGTGTACGAAGGGCACTCAGGTTCCTCTGAACAAGAATTGCATGTCTTCGGGTGTCAATTTGTCGAGCGCGACTTGATCATTGTTGACGGTGCCGTTGATCATGTTGGCTTTCTTCTCCTGCAGAAGGACCATTCGAGATTCGACCGAGTCTTCTATGCAGAGGCGGGTGATGACGCAGGGACGACGTTGACCGATACGGTGGCAGCGATCGGCGGATTGCCATTCTGCTGCGGGATTCCACCATCTGCTCAGGACACTGCGTTAGCATTTCAGATCTCGGAGAGTGATGGGAAACTGGAGGAGGGGATTGAGAAACTTACGGATCAACGATGTATACCCTGCTAGCCTCGGTCAAGTTGAGCGCGACTCCACCAGCCTTCAGCGAGACCAGGAACACCTCAACGTCAACATTGTTCATGAAGTGATCGATGGACTTCTGGCGTTGAGCAGGACTCATACTACCGTCAAGCAAAACAGTGCTAAAGCCAGACTTTTGAAGTCTCCACTGAACAAGTTGAAGCATCGACGTAAATTGAGAGAAAACAATGCTCTTGTGAGTTTGTTTCTTGCTGCGCAACTTGTATAGATCATACACGAGCATCTCGATCTTGGTTGACGAAGTCCAATCCTCCATTTTTATTCGGTTGATGATAGAGGACTTCTTGACATTCTCTTCATCCTGCTCAATTTCTGGTTGATCCCAGTCAATGACCAGAGGAATATGACATGCAGGACAGTCGGCATCACCATCAGCACCATCGAATGACTGAACATATGATTTAGCACATTGACGACAGAACTCGTGACGACAGCGGGAACGAATTGCTTCCTCTGCAGGCTCATCACAGATGCAGCAGACAAGAACGTTTTGACCACCATCTGCATGTTTGCGGAGAATCAAATCAGGATGATTTGCAACTTGTCTCATTTGCATGATCAGACCAAAGATGTTTGCATAATTGTTCAACATGACACCCTGTGCAACGTAGGTATCAAACTCTCGGGTCGTGTTGGACATGATACTTTGAGAAAAGTCTCGCTCCATCTCTCCAAAGAATTCGTTGTGAATGATCACGTCCTTGGGAGGCAACTCCATTGAAGAAGTGTGGTCACGTTTCATGCGACGTAACATGATGCGATCAGTGATCAATCGTAGCTTGTCGAGACCTTCCTTTCGCTTCACTGCATCATCACCAGTGATGGGGTTCAAGATTTCTTGGTTGAACACAGAAACATGATTGAATCCACTATGCTTGCATGTTGTACACATCTTCTGCTCATTCTGGCTCCAATGGAGTTCGCGGCACTCACAACTCTTGCAAAAATAGCAAGCGAAAGGTATGACCTGCAGGAATCGAAGGAGAGAAAAGAATTCTCCAATCCTATTTTGCACGGGAGTTCCTGAGAGACACCATTTGTAATCTGCTTCCAATGCGAAGCAAGCCTTGGCAACGCTGGCAGTCCTCGACTTTATACTGTGAGCTTCGTCAAGGATAAGTCGGTGGTATTTGATGGAGTGCAGTATGCTGTCTTCCTTCACGATTCCATCATTTCGATTCCAGCCCTTGTATTGTTTGCGATACATGTTCTCGAGACCTGCATAGGAGCACATGATGACATCGTACTTCTTCAAGTCCTTGACCGTGAGCAGTTTGCATTTGGGGTTGGCTGAGGTATGGTAGACAAGGACCTTCAACTTTCCACTGGTATAGTCTGATATCTCTGACTGCCATTGCATGAGGGCGACCGGTGGGACTAAAACCAATGTTGGTGCTTTGGCAGGCCAGTCTGACATGATCAAGCTGACGGCTTGGATTGTCTTTCCCATGCCCATCTCATCACCGAGAAGACCACCCTTCCATTGTGACTTTTCTTGCTTGATCATCCAATCCAGGCCCTCGAGTTGAAATCCTTTCAATTTGCGATTAATGCCTTCAGGCTGCTTGGCAGGGACTGGCTTGATTGGATCAATTTTCTTGAGATCGGACCACATGGTAACGATTTCCGGATGAGACTTCTCTAGTTTCTTACGTTCTCGCTTCTGACGTCTCTTCACAGGATCCCATTCGAACTCTTCTTCTTGGTCAGGAATTCGACGATTGAAACGACCACGGCGTAGCGTCTGTCTGGAACGCTTAGTTGTGGCTCTTCCCGTGGCACCAAGAGCGTTGGGAGCGTTAAGCGTAGCGTTAAAATCATCAGGCACTTCGGATGGGGTGGCAGATAATGATGTCAGATCGAAATTTGAGGAAGCATCATCGTACGAGGAAGCCAAGGAGTCAAGATCAGACTCACCAACAGAAACTGAAGGAAGGCGTTGAGCTGGGGCAAGCTTGCGTAGAGGAAGGCTAGTTCTCTGGGTTCTGGCAAGAGGAATATTATCATCATCATCGGATGTGTCAAATAGTTCGATGTTGGCAGCGGATTGTTGAGTGAGCTTTTGTTTCTTGGAGAGAGGTTCAGAGTCCGAATCGTCAGAATCCTGTATGGCGTTATACTCCTCCGCCTGTAACTTCATTGCGATTTTTGAATCATTGTCTTCCTGCTCATAGCCAGTGTCCATGTCAGAAGTATCGTGTCCACGTCTTCTCTTGCTCCCACCAAGAGCGAAGGTAGAAGTACTGAGTTCGATGGCTCTGGCCGTAGCACCAACTTTGGTCTTGGAAGAGGATTTATTCATCATGATAGGCGTTTGAACGGTACTGGTGCCGGGAGTTTCATAGAGAGACGACTCGGCCGAGTCAGCAACAGGAGAAGGGGAAGCTGTGGAATTGGTAGTTGTAACTTGTCCACGCCGTGTTGCAGATCGGCCTCCCCTGGGAAGATAGACTCCTTTGAATGAAGAGGTTTTGGGAATTGGATCGGAATTGATGATTTCTTCGAGGCCATCCGAGTCGGGGATCTCAAGTGGTTTAGCATTTCTAGTGCTACGCCTCGAGGGGGCTCGCGATGAAGGGACTGAGGATTGAGGGGTGGCGATTTTCGAGGCTTTATCAAAATATCAGTCACGGACCAAGCGCGGGGCGAAGTTAGTGGATAACTTACTGGGCGTTTGCTTTGATGAGGCTGCGCTTCTCAGCGGACGTCCTCGGGGTGCCATCTTGGTGACAATTGTCGGAGAGAATTCAGAGAATGATGGGAACAGTCATGGGGGAGTGAGGTAAAGAAGACCGTCCTGGATCTGTAAAAATGTCTATCAGATCGAGAACAATGCCTCACCAAATCAGAGGCAGTCACCCCCCTGCTTAGCGCCGTTTCTGCCTGGGCTAACGCGAACTCAGGGCGCGTCTCCACGCGTAAAGTGGTTTTCTTGGCAATTCATCTGCGGATTCTACAATGGAGTTTGAACGCCGCAATAACACCGAGTCCCGTGATCGCGACCCTGAATTAGGTACCTAAATAATTGCTCCTGGCAAGGCTGTCTTATCTTTCTTGCCTTGTCATCCTACTCCTTGTCGCACTTTCTGATTACTGTCAGACCTACAATGTTATTCTCATTGTTGTCATCACACATTCCACACATGAACGGTCTACGTGCACTGTGGTGCTTGTGCTTTCAGGTTTCAGCTTATCCCCAACCGAGAGTTATAGTTTGTGGAGTGGGATAACTTGAAGCCACTACGAGACGATGCAAGTAGTTCTGCTTTCGGATCTGACTATGTACCAGTGGTGGATGAATGTTGGTGCGACACCAGGGACCACCAGGGACCACCAGGGGCAATTACGATCTAACAAGTGATTTTGACATCTGCGTCTTCCAAGAATATAAGCTGTTGTACTTTGAACCCTGCGACATGGAAGGGATTGTCGAGTCTTCTTCATTTGCGCTGTCTGCAATCAATATTCCGCTTTTGGCGACCACCTCCGCCCATATACAAGATCTCTGGGCGAACTCCAACATACATTATGCATCCCGAGACGCAGCATACACTCGCTTACACCCTTCTAATCGAATTGCTTGCGTACGCGGTATCCTCAGCCTGGTCAATATTCAGAGTCCAATCTAACGATCTTCTCACGATAGCTACCAGTTTGCGTCTCCTGTGCGATGGTACGTTCTACTCCATGTCCTACTTGGGTGTCTTGCATTGATAGTGGTTCAGGATAGAAACCCAAGCCCACATTCTCGAGAATGCCCAAATCGAGCGAGTCATCGAGATTGGACCTTCAAACACGCTGACCAGCATGATCAAGAAAACCCATGCTTCGAGTCAGGCGATTCGCGATGTTGCTCGAGGCATGAGGAGAGAGTTCCTATGTGTCAGCAATGATGAGGCCCAGATATATTACCAAGACCTCAAATATGACCATAGTCCCACCAATGCACAATCTATAGAGGAGGCTGAAACAATGCTACTTGCCGACAAGTCTACTCTCCAGTCTACTCCCTCTGATGGGGTATCCGCAGTACCAAAATCCCTTCTGGATATAAGGTTGGCGGGCTCTAGTGGTAAGCGCTTGGTGGAAAATCACGATACTCACCCAACGGCACTTGAGGTTATCAGAACGATCCTGTCAACAAAATTGAAAAAGCTTCCAGCAGGGATAGCATCCTCGAGCTCTATCAAACAGCTCGCTGCCGGTATTTAGTCATTGCCACTGTAACCAGACAGTGGATACTGACATTTAGTAGGCAGGTCGTCTTTGGAGAATGAGATTGTCGGAGATTTTCTCGATGAGTTCAAGTCGGTACCCGAGAGACCAGAAGAATTATCCTTGCAGGCGCTTGCTGACGATATACAACTCACCTTTGATGGAACCTTGGGCAAGAAGACAACCTTGTCGATCGAAAGAATGTTTTCCACGATGATGCCACCAGGATACAGCCCGAGTACTGCACGTGAACATCTGTCGAGCCAGTGGGGTCTCGGTGTTGGACGTCAGAATAGTGTCCTTCTCCTTACTCTGTCGATGCCGCCCTCAACAAGACTGTCGACGACACAGGATGCCGATGTATTCCTTGACAATGTCCTCAGCTCCTACGCCAAAGCAGCGAAACTCACATTCTCCGGGACCACAGACAGATCAAATGGGGAACAGCACATGACCATGGTCAACCCTCAGCTGCTTAGCCGCCTTATGAAGGGTCAATCAGAGGTCATAATGGACGTTCTGCGTGTTCTTGCTCAACATACGGATAATCTAGATTTAGCCAGCTCGGATAAGGCGCTCGCTTCGCTAAGAGATCAGGCAGCATCTATTCAAGGTGAGCTTGACATCTGGGTGCAGGAACATGGCGAGGTGTATAGTTTAGGGATTCGACCTTTGTTCTCGGCGGTAAAGGTTCGAGAATACGATTCCACCTGGAACTGGGTGATGCAGAACCTGTATCTCGTGCTCAACAGTATGATTGACAAGAACTTCACCTGCAGTCGTTTAGAGCTCGAACGACTGTTCCATCCCGTCCTACGCAGATCAACCGACAGAGTGCTTCTTTCTATCAAGTACATCCTCTCAGAACATTTCAGACAATGCAATGATGAAGCAGCCCGCTCACGAATTCGCGTTATTGCACATACACTTTTGGCTTTGTGCGCAAAGAGCTTGAAGGAATGTCCCAGATTTATCGACTCTGGTCCACCTCCACATCCTTGCAAACCAGCTAAGATGATGAATAACGGTGTCCAAGGTGTCCAAGGTGTCAGCAGCATCAATATGTACACACCTGCGGACATCATAGCAGCATACTCTCGACTTCCAGTGGACCGATCTACCTCGAAGCCGCACATCAAGCGAAGAATCAAGTCTAAATGGATCAAATGTAAGGACTCAACGAGTCTCTTGAATGACGCAATGTTCTGTCTTCGCCATTCAGGCCTCTCCTTCAGTGGACGTTATGTCTTGCTGGTTGGTGCCGGTCGCAAATCAATTGGGGCTGATGTTCTGAAAGGACTTCTCGGTGGTGGTGCTTGTGTGCTCGTAACGACGAGCAATTTTTCGACTGAAACCGCCGCATATTACCAACAGATATTTTGTGACTTTGGTGCCCGTGGCTCTCGACTCATCGTGGCCCCATTCAACCAGGGAAGTAAAGGGGATGTTGCATCGCTCGTGCGTTATATCTTTTCCGAGCCGTCCGAGCAAGGTCTCGGATGGGACCTTGACCATGTCATCCCACTGGCTGCCATCTCGGAAGCTGGACGTGAAATTGATCTCATTGACTCCACAGCCGAGCTAGCTCACAGGCTGATGCTCATCAACTTGTTGAGATTGCTCGGGGAAATCAAGATCTGGAAGTCAGCAACACGAAAGTTCAACAGACCCACTCAAGTTTTGGTCCCCCTCTCTCCAAACCATGGCACCTTCGGTCATGATGGACTATATGGAGAATCTAAACTCTCCCTGGAAACTCTGTTCAATCGCTGGTACTCGGAATCATGGTCAGGCTATGTGTCCATCACGGGAACAGTTATTGGTTGGACCAAAGGTACAAGGCTGATGCATTCTAACGACGAGCTAGCGCCATTGATCGAGACTCTGGCCGGCATCAGAACTTTCTCCACTCGCGAGATGAGTCTCCACATGCTGGCTTTGATGAGTACTCCATTAGTGAGTCTATCCCAGGAAGAGCCCATCCTGGCGGACTTCAGTGGGGGCCTATCCCAAGTCCTTGACTTTAGGTCTATCTTTGAACGAGCACAACGAGTTTTGCAAAACCAGAACGAGATGCATCGGCTGTTGCAGCTTGAAATTCTGGCCGATCACGCATCAAAAGGTGTTGGTTCGCCTCAGATGACCGCCACAATTACGACAAACCCTCGGCCAGCCCCTCGGCTAGAGTTTCCCAGACTTCCATCTCATACTGTCGAGCTCGAGCCACTGAGTCATCTTCGTGGTATGCTCGACCTAGACAGGGTTGTGGTCGTCACTGGATTTGCTGAGATCGGACCTTACGGCAACTCTCGTACACGGTGGGATATGGAGGCGCTTGGCGACTTTTCTGCAGCATCCTATATCGAGATCGCTCAGATGATGGGACTCATTCGATTTGAGAGTGATGTCAGGGGGAAGAACGATGTGCGCCAAGCTGCATGGGTTGACAATAAGACGGGACTGCCTATAGACGATGGAGACGTTGCAGCGAGATATGTGGACGTCATTCATGCGCATTGTGGTATCAGGCCCATCGAGCCTGATTTGATGGATGGGTATGATCCAAAAGACAAAACGTTTTTCCATGAGGTGGCACTCGAGAGAGATCTGGCGCCGTTTAAGATCTCCCAGTCTTTGGCCACTCAATATTTACGCAAACACGGCGACAAAGTTCAGTTGAAAACGATTAACAACAGCGAGAACGTTCTCGTAACTTTTAAGAAGGGAGCTATTATCCACATTCCGAAAGCAATAGATTTTAATCGCGACGTGGCAGGACAAATCCCATCCGGATGGAGCGCGGCCACATATGGAGTGTCGGAGGAAATTATCAATCAAGTTGATCGTGGCACTTTGTATACTCTGGTGTGCGTTTCGGAGGCACTGATAGCCAGTGGTATTATCGATCCCTACGAGTTTTACGAGCATATCCACGTCTCAGAACTTGGCAACTGTATTGGCAGTGGATTAGGGGGTATTGACGCCTTGCGAAACATCTACCGGGATCGTTTCATCGATAAAAGTATGCCAAACGATGTCCTCCAGGAAACCTTCGCAAACACGACAGCCGCTTGGATTAACATGCTTCTCTTTTCCTCAAGTGGACCTATCAAGACTCCAGTAGGAGCATGTGCTACTGCTCTTGAATCGTTGGATGCAGGGTATGATCTAATTGTTAGTGGTAAAGCGCAGGTCTGTGTCGTTGGTGGCCATGACGGGTTTTCGGAAGAGGTTTCATACGAGTTTGGCATGATGAGTGCTACTCTGGATACTGTGCGCGATGCTGCCCATGGCCGATCCCCGAAAGAAATGTCTCGTCCTGCCACTTCCAGTCGAGACGGTTTCGTTGAGTCATATGGTGCAGGAGCACAGATCATCACCTCTGCAAGCCTAGCTCTTCGGATGGGGCTACCTATTTATGGTGTCGTTGCCATGACCGGTACTGCGAGCGACAAGGTTGGTCGATCAGTCCCTGCACCGGGTAAAGGCCTGGCAGTATTGGCAAGAGAATCATTACGAGATGTCCCTTCACCCATGCTCGATATCACATTTCGACGGCAACGGCTACAGAACAGGCTTGAGCAAATTGACCATTTCAGAAATGACAGCTTAATTGAGTTGTTGGACCACCATCATGGAACGGAATCGCTGAAGGTTTATAAGGCAACTAATACTATCAGCAAAGAGACCAAAGTCCTAGGAGTCGATGAAGAATTACCAGAAGGCTGGGATTGCTGCCATCCAACACGTACTGCTTACATTGAGCAAGTCGATATGGAGTATAGGCGCATGCAGAAGGAAGCGCGATACACACTCGGAGGAAATACATTCTACCACAACGATCCCAGGATATCGCCCCTGCGAGGAGCGTTAGCAGTCTGGAATCTTACCGTTGACGACCTTGATTTCGCATCGTTCCACGGTACATCCACAAAGCTCAATGAAAAGAACGAATCTGCTGTCCTTCAATCACAACTAAACCACCTCGGTCGCTCCCAGGGGAATCCTATCTGGGGAGTGTTCCAAAAGTACCTCACAGGCCATTCCAAAGGGGCTGCCGGGGCGTGGATGTTGAATGGAGCGATACAGGCCATGAATGACGGCGTCATTCCAGGGAACCGCAACGCGGACAACATCGACTCTACACTAGAACAATTCGACCATATTGTCTATCCGAACCGGAATATTCCCAAAGACAGTATCAAGGCATTCACGGTGAGCAGTTTCGGTTTCGGCCAGAAAGGTGCTCAGGCAGTCGTGGTGCATCCGAGGTATTTGTACGCCACGATCGACAGGGAGGACTACGATGCCTACGTCCAGCTACGGTCAAAAAGGGACAAAAAGGCTCAGCGGAGATTTCAAGAAGATCTCATAAACAATACTGTGGTCCGAGTCAAGGATAGCCCTCCATATCGACCGGAAGACGAGATTGCAACTCTTTTGGACGCTGACAGCCGATTTCGTTGCGAGAGTTGATTCACCTACTGCGAGAAAGCAATGGTAGGGAGGATCAGGAGTGTAGATTTTGTTTACAGATCAATGTTATCCATCGGCCAACTGACTCGCCTGGCATCCAATGTCTGAATCCAAGTATCATCTACGAACAAAAGTCCACGTTCGGGGGCTGTCAACTTTGGCTTTGGCTTGGTCTTGGTGGGGCCGAACGGCTTTCGGTTCCCGAATTGGTAGGAGTTAAACAGAGTTGATTGGAGCCGTCAGAAAGACTAGATTAACTATGTGCCAGAAGCGACACTGCCTACGAGTAGTACTTCGCACACCCCTGAATATGAGACTCATAATTGTCAGATATTACCAAACCAGATCAGATCGGTGGCTCACTTCAAGTACGGACACACCCGCTGCACGTTCTGGAACATGGGCCGAGAGCGTCGACATCAAGCATTTTATCTGCAGAGCCTCGCCTTCCATAGTTTCCAGTAGGCCACCAGGGTGTTGACGCACACAACCGATCGGTATCGATTTCAATCCTCAATATACCAGCGGAACAATATCTGCCTAGCCCTGGATCGAACGGCTGATCCTCCAGCTTCATGGCGAAATTTTGATTACAACGTTACATGCTGAAACGCAAACACCCACAACTAAGGTTTACCGTCGTCAGCCCTACTGCTCGGTTCATAGATCCCTTACAGCTAGGAAAAGGAAATACGGCATATTATAGGTAAGGAAGACTGAAGTGTTGTTCATGCTCGTGTCCTTCAAAGGACGTTGTACCGTAGCCTAGCGCCACATCGTTTTTGATGGCTCTATCCGAATATCTATATTAGTTCTTTCTCAAGTTCCTTTTGCATATCCTGATCATGTGTCCTCTCATACCTCTCCCACTTCTAATTCTCCAGCAATTTGTCTTAACCAACAGCTGCTTTATCGTGAAGAAAAGCTCTGATCGGGTCAAAAATGAACCATCCACGAGAATCTCTCAAGACCGTATCTTCAGAAGAGGCTCATTTTGCTCGAGTCGACAGCACTAACCAAGATCATGACGAAGACTCAGACTTGGGTACACTTGCTGCCAATGACCCTCAAAATCCACACGCCTGGTCGAAAAATAGAAAAATACTTCTGCACCTCGCCGTCTTCCTCACCTCTTTCACACCGTGAGTCAAAAGCTTGCTGAGTCTTTGTTTCCCCAGTCGTTCGTATATCCAAGACTCGCTAACTTTTTGTATTTGGCACAGAACGCTTCAAGCCTCAGTCTTTGTTGCCAGCGTCAACCCGGTCGTCAAAAGATTTGGCGTGACACTCAATGAATCCTTGCTCGGAATCTCGCTATGTGCCATCGGCTTTGCCGTCGGGCCCGCTCTCGCTTCAACTGCGTCCGAACTCTTTGGACGACGATGGATTCTGATCGGCTCTATCACCCTCTGCCTCGTGTTCAATGTGGTTGCAGCGACCGCCACTTCATTCGCTGTGCTTCTTGTCGGTCGAACACTCTCAGGAATCACCGGCTCCCCGAGTGTCACACTCCTGATGGGGATCAACAATGACCTCTACCCCGAAGGAAAGAGTCGAGATCTCCTGATCTCCCTGTACGCAGTGGCCATGGTATGGTCCACGCAACTGGGTCCTCTTATCGGCGAAGCTGTGGTCAACCGACAAGATTGGCGGTGGTCCATGTGGATCGTCGCTATACTCTTAGGCGTCTGCTTGGTATCGCTCATCCCACTGCAGGAAACATTTGCGCCTGAGATTCTGCGACGGCAAAAGATCCGTGCGGGAACCAAGATGGAAAATAGGCAGATCCTGTCTACCCTGGTCAAGAAGGGACTCTGGCGACCTATACATATGCTCTTTGTCGAGCCTCTGGTACTTCCTTGCGCTCTGACCGTGGCTGTCAGCCAGGTTATTCTCTTCGTTAACTACGTGGCTGTTCCTTACGTCCTGCTTAACATCTACCATTTTAGCGAGTACCAGGTCGGCCTTTCGTTCTTGTCCCTATTTGCGGGTAGTATTATCGGTCTCATCATCGTCAAGTTCTGTGAGATCCGTATTGTGGAAGTCCGGAGGAAGCAGGCGGAGATGGAGAAAAGACCAGTGAGAACCGAGGATCGACTGTATGCCGCCATGATTGGTGGCGTTATCCAACCAGTTACCCTGTTCTGGTGAGTTGTTGACTCTCTGATCATCTTTTAAATTATATGACCTTGTCTTGAACACTCACTAACCACTGATAACAGGTTTGCATGGACGGCACGCGAGAACATCCACTGGATTGTGCCTCTTCTCGCGATGATGTTCTGGAGCACCTCATTCACCTTGACCCAGCTAGGGATGCCAATCTACAAAAATGCCTACTACTCCGCGCCATTCGGAGCATCGGCACTGGCACCAGACCTGATGTTGAGATATGCTCTGTCCTCATTCTTCCCATTGTTCACGCCAAACATGATTGATCGCATGACGGTGGGGTGGGCTATGTCGTTCTTTGCATTCCTGTCAATCCCCATGGCATTGATCCCCTTCTACGTGTTTCGATATGGCGCTCGATTGGTTGAGAAGTCTCGTTACCTACCGAAGGATGTGGAGATGTCAAATCTGAGTTAGTTGTGAATGAAACGGTTCAAGGAAAGTGAGGTTTTAAGATAACCCAGAGAGAGGCAAAAATGGGCAGAGTTGGATGTCTCTTTTGCGGGCATACAAATAATTAGCACTCAATCAACTCGAAATTATCCGTTACAACTCGAGACGGTGTGTAGAAATTCCTGGATGTACAGAGCCAAGCTGCCCTGAACCAGTTACCAGCAACTGATTGTAAACGTCTCTCAGCAGGGTTCGGCTTCCTAAAAAAATCAGCGGGATAGTCTTCACTGGCCATGACGTGGCTCAAGGCGTGCCATTCTGGGGTTTCGAGTTGCGGAACACAAGGTCCAAACCAGCTCATAAATTGATCAATATCGAAGGAGAACAAGCGTACTCAACCCAGGGTAGACTGAATAGAAGGAGCACGGATCAAAAAACAACACTGTACTTGAAGAAATACAAGCGAAGCACTTGCGCTACTCTCGCTATTGGAAATAACATCGATTATCTAGATTCACTCTAGGAGGTGGACTGTCTTCCAGAAAACAATGTCGTCTGTAGTGAAAGTGCTGTCGAGGTAAGGCTTAGGCTAGCGTGATTTCTGCCTGGGAACTAAGCCTAAAACGCGACATCTAAAGTGGTTTTTCGCGTCCCCGGCTGCACTTAAACTTTTAGTATGAAAAGTAACACTACAACCTAGGGAAAGATATCAGACTTGCTCCTTGCATATTGCGAGTTCATACTCCGCAGTCACTTCGACACCCATCGAGGCAGTGAACTCATCTTTTACCCCTCTGGCCTGTTGTCTTATCTCGATCTTCCCGATCAACTCTCCATCCTATCGTCACCCCACTTTGCCACTCAGAGAGACACCCAAAATGTAAGTACACGCCCTATGTTCAAGCTCAACTGAGATCCTGAGTACTAATCTTCCCAGGTCTCGTCGTGGTGCCGCTGCGTCGGATCGCAATGCTGCCGCCAATCGAATTCGTGGTCCACAATCCGCCTTGACAGACTTCCTTGCCTCTCACAACATCTCTGCTCAACAGATCCAGAGTGATCATCAGCGACGCCTACAACAGGCTGCTCGAGACGCAGAAGCAGCGAACGCCAACAACACTGAAGACAAAGAAAATGAGAACGACTCGACCGGTGAAGATGTAGCAGAACGTCAAAAGCGCAAGCGGAAAGAGGAGAAGGCCATTTTAAAGTTGAAACAAAGTAAGGAATTCAAGCGGCGCAAGTTCCAGCGGCAATCGAGGGGTGAGGACGATGATATGGATGACGATGCTCTCGCCCGCGAGATGCTCAACACGCAGTCCAAGCCATTGCCTGGTCAGCTAGAGAATTGCGACATCTGTGAGAAACGATTCACCGTCACACCTTACTCCAAGACCGGTCCAAATGGTGGTTTACTTTGCACAAAATGCTCCAAGGAGATCAACGATGAAGAGAAAAAGGAAGCAGCTGCCAAGAAGAAGAAGTCCGTTGCCCCACGAGGTCGAAAAAGACAGACTGAAAGTGACCGGCTGATGGGAGATGTGAAACCGGGAGCGAAGAGTCTGGTCGATATCTGTGTCCGTCGAGTCGCCAATGTGGTTCACGACATCGATGATTTCGGCGATATGCCTGAAGATGTCCTCGATCGCTTGAGCCAAATTCTGTCCAAGCAGAGAGTCTTGACTCCGAGAGTTCTCCAACTATTTCTACGACGAGAGCTCAGTCGGATCTCCATCTACGACTGCGGCAAACTCGAGACTGAAGATTTTAAGAAGATCTTTGCCTTTATGCCTGACATTGAATTCGTCAACCTGCGGTTTGCTGGTCAACTCAAGGATGACACCATTCATTACATGATAGATAAATGCAAGAAGATCCGTGAACTGCAACTGGGAGCTACAAATCTCGTGACCGACAAAGCTTGGATTGAACTATTTCGGACCATAGGACCCGGTCTGGAAAGTCTGAAACTTTCAGAGCTAAACGACTCGATGAAGGGCGATACCACTGCTGAGCTTGTTCAGAACTGTCAAGATCTCAAACGACTGAAGCTCAGATCTTGTTCACACATGGATGAAACATCAATCAGTCTACTCGGCCAGCTCCAGCATCTCGAACACCTTACCCTGGCTGTCGCCCAACAAGAAACATCATCCGCAACCCTCGTCTCGCTAATCAACACATTGGGACCAAAACTTCGCACCCTCTGCCTCGAAGAGTACACAGACCTCGACGACTCTGTCCTCAATGCAATCGCAAACAACTGCAACAGACTTTCCAAACTCCGCATTACCGGCTCCATCAACGCCGCAGACACCGCTTTTGCTGAACTGTTTGGAAACAACTCACCAATCCCTTCTCTCACCTACGCCGACCTATCTGACAACAGAGATATCGACAATACCACTGTTGAAGGCTCTACCGAAGCCCCCATCGGCGTCGCAGACTCCACTTTCGAAGCCTTGATGAACCATTCCGGCTCGACCCTACAGCAGCTCAACCTCAAATCCGACCGCCATATCTCGCACGCAGCACTGCTGAGCGTCTTCGACGGCAAGAAGAAATACCCAGCCCTGAGAGACATTGACTTGTCCTTCGTGACCAAAGTCGACGACGTGGTTATGGCAGGTATCTTCCGTAGCTGCCCTGCACTGACCAAGCTCGCTGTGTTCGCTTGCTTTAACGCGAGGAACGCGAGGATTCCAGTTGGCATTGCAGTTATTGGGCTGCCAAATGCGCAGGACAGTATTATTATCGGGGGAGATGCCATCGGTGAGGCCTGAGCGTTTTCTCTTCTGGTGTGGGAGACATGATTTTATGATGACCACGTTTACGATGGACCCTGGGGGTGGAGAGGATGATTGCATGCGTTCACACCATGAATAAAGGCACAGGTGGAAACGGACGGACTGTACAACGTTCAGTACCAGCAGATCAGGCCCAGAATGGCGTGTGCTGGAATCCTCCACAGCCTCCACACGTTCCATATGAACATACTGGGAAAGGACGGTGTGGGCCTAGCTACAAAAAGCCTGGCTATGAATTTTCGCTCCATGCGATTCTTGTACTTACGGCAATTAACGAGCCAGCATACTCAATCACGCATATGACATGATGCAGTTAAGCAGCAGTAGCATAGCCGTGGTATAACTATTGCCCGTGTGTGCGTCTACATGCAATTATGAAATGTAATCAATATTCTTGGTCGTAAGCTCTGCTCGTTCTGCAAGAGATGGTATCTGCTCTGAGTTCTAGTGTGCAAGAAGACTTGTTCTGCGCAGCTGGTTGTCCATGCGAACTGCTGAGTACCCTTTTGATATCGACAATAACACATAATCGGGTCATCTTTGCCAGCTATCATACACAATATTTCCCAACACACAGAATAAGATCTGTTGATGATACGAACCACCTCATCTGTACAGCTCCACAATGATGGCGGAGTTAGCCGAGCTTTCAACTCAAAGCATCTCAATCCCCTCGACCAACGCGTCGAGCCTATCCGCGCTAACACTCTGATGTGCCTCATCATTATCCTCTGACGGACATAACCATCCAGCCAACGCACCCATCTGCCTGACCTTCGTCTCTTGCTCTAGCAGCGCAGACCGCTCTCTTGCAACGTCGATGACATTCTGGCTGATATTCGCCAGTCTCGCCACGTTCAAACCGTAGCTACGATGTGCGACACCCTCGCCAACTTCATAGAGAAATGTAACGTTGTCGCTTCCTTCTTCGTCGTCCTCAGTGAAGCGCATGTGGACGTTCTTCAATTCCCCATGGGGAAAGCCATTCGCCATGCGCGCCAGCATTTGATAATGCGTGATGAAGAGGGTGAGGCATTTGCGGTCCCGGACAAGATAGTCGAGGACGGATGCGGCAATGGCAACGCCGTCGTGGGTGCTTGTGCCGCGGCCGAGCTCATCGAGCACGACCAGGCTGCGATCTGTAGCGAGCTTGAGGATATCGCTCGTTTCGCTGAGTTCGACCATAAAGGTACTTTCGCCAGACATCATATTGTCAAAGGCACCCATGCGAGTGAAGACCGCATCAAGAATGCCTAAAGTGGCAGATGTCGCTGGGACGAAGGACCCGATTTGAGCCATGATGGCTATCAGGGCGACGGAGCGGACATATGATGATTTGCCTCCCATGTTGGGCCCAGTGACCAGTAGTGCACGATTAGTGGACTGAGACAGATTGATGTTGTTCGGTACGTAGGAGTCGATCAGGATTTGCTCGACCATGGGGTGACGGGCTCCTTCTATTTCAACACCAGTTCCATCAGTAAATGTTGGCCGAATGTAACCCGGTTGAGAAGCCACATTCGCCAAAGATGCTAAGCAATCAAGAGTAGCGAGACCCTGTATCGTATCACGGAAAACCTGATACTTCGTGCTGATGTCGCCCAGCATATCTTTGTATGCTGCGTCACATGCCGCAGCCAGACTTTCTCTATGTTGATCTCGTTCGCGAATGAGTGTCACAACTTCAGGTGGATGAAATCTCGAGAGCTTCTTGGTGCCCGATATCTTTGCCCATGATGCTGGCACCTTTTTGATTGTTGCGGAACTGTTTTCGACCTCGATCAGATAGTCGATTCCTGCAACCGTATTGTATTTTATCCCCCCTTTCTTCCCCAGCCGTTCAGCGGCGGTCGTGCGAAACTGATCCAAGTCGTGTTCGACACTAATGATGCCCAGGCGATGCTCACTGATAGCATCTGTCTCGTACTCTTCTTGAAAGAAGTTGTACTTGTCGTCTTCTTTTGCGGATTGAAGATTTATCTTGTTCAGATAACCCAATACTTCAGGAAGTATCAAGGGCAGCAAAATCATAGCTTCTGATATTATATCAGAATCAAACCCTGTGGAGTTTGCATCACTGATATGGGCGAATTCACTGGAAAGTGACTGCAATGATTGCAAAACATTGAGAAGTTCTGGCCTTGTACATTTACCATAATATATCCGTATCAAACTTTTCTCCAAGTCGATCTTCACCTTCGAAAGAACGCGCCTCAATCTCTCGGCAAGAACAGTTTTTTCAGGATCAAGTAGTTCCTCAACAGCGTTCAGACGTGCGTCGATCAATTTTCTGTCCAGTAAAGGACGACCGACCCATTTACGAAGCAATCGTCCTCCAAATTTGGTTTGAGTACGATTCATCATCCAATATAGACTTCCCTTCGTTGAGTGGTCGGTTTGGTTTTGATAAATTTCCAGGCTTGTCAGCGTGTTTCCATTCAATAACATATGTGATCGCGCAGAGAATGGTTGAAAGTGTTTGGTTAGCTGGAAAACGTGCTCAAGACCATAGTCGGATAGATGAGTGATCATCGATGACAGACAAATTGATACATTCTCTGGCAGACCCAATATCTTGTCAAAGATCTTGCCCGCCTTTTCTGATTCCGACTGCGAATCATTCAATCGATCAGCATAGAATGTCGAGATATGGTTATTAGCCTGTGCCGCAATTGTTTTCTCCTTTGCTACCCTCTCAACTCTGATTTTGTCGCCAAACACATTTGTCTTGCTTCCAGACAAATGCACCACTAGCTTTTCGGTGGCTTTGGAGAGCTCGCCAACGATGAGAAATTCGCAAGGTGCAATGTGAAGAAGTCGGGTTTCGATTTCACTACGCATGAAGCCGTCCTCAAAGTCATCGTAGATAATATCCCCGGTGGCAGGTTGAACAGCAATGAGACCAACATGTACTTTTTCATCATTGCCTTGACCTTTGACATTGACCTCTGTCAAGCAAAGCAGGTAACCAGTAGAGGGTGATTGCATAGCCGGACCTCCTCTTCCATCTTCCCCGAGGCCTTCGATATCGTCGATATATGTACCTTTGGTATAAAGGTTCGTGAGTTTGCGTACAAATGGCGTGTTTCTGTTATCGCCAACAGCTTTGAGTGCCGCAGTTTCGAGTTGGCGAACGACCCCGACTTTGTGTCCAGCTGATACCAGACGCTTGACATGAACATGGAGACGATGGACTGGAATGCTTGCAGAAGCAAAGCGGTCTAAATGAGCCTCCGATGGATGTTCATCAAAGCGATATTTGCCAGGAATGCAGAAAATACTCAGTTCCTTGGATGCAATGCGTGCATCCTCACCAAAAAAGCGGAATTTATATCCCACTTCAACCACCAAGACAGTATCCATGTGTTTCTTCTTGATGTCAATGACTTGCTTTTCCATAGGTGTAAGTTTGCTGCCACCTTTCTTTGCACCACCTTTTGCCCGGGAGTTCGGTTTGGGAATCTCTTCCGCAACATCCTCGTCACCATCTTCCTCCTGTTCTTCGGCATTGTCCTCCAACAGCTTGTTGCGTCTCTTGATATCGGCAATGCTGTCGGGTTTGCCTAGTTTCTTGACAAAACGACGATGCAGTTCATCCTTGCGCTGTTTTTCGGGACTATTCGGGTCCTCTGGTTCTTGATTCTCTTGCAAAGGTGACGAGAAGATGTATTTAGCAGTTCTGTCTGACGCTCTTTGTGTAGAGAGTGTTGAGGTCCTTTGACCATTTGCCACTACTGGTCGCAGTGTCCGATTGTTGTCTTCGCTCTCTTCAGCAACCTCCTCGCTTGGTCCAATCTTATCTTGAGGGACAGGAGTGATCTTTCGTCTTTTGGCGGCAGGCCGAACCACATCGTCCTCATCACTGGGTTGGTTCGGTGAGCTGGTACTGGCTACAGGACTGGGTAACGGTGGAGGGACCTTGAAGAAGGTAGACAAGGTCGTCTGCTGATGCTGCTGCTGCTTTTTCTTCTGAACAGGTGCCATTGTAACTATCGGCATGTCCTTTGGCATCAGAGACACAGGAGATACACTGTTGCTGCCTTTCTGCAGTCAAAATCGTCGTTGCACTTGCGGGAGGCGTTGAAGTTGGTGTTAGGCCCAATGAGATCATCACCAGAAAACGCGTCGCGTATAACACTTTAGAGCAAGTCCACTAGTGCCGACTTTGATGAATTGAACTCGCACTATCTAGCACTAGCTATTTGCTAGCACTCTAAGCCATCCTCAAGTTCTCACCAAGACTCTTTCCATTGATTTCAGTCAACAGAGGCTATTTCAACTCAATGTTGATTGACTCTTCAAGATCTCAAATCCTCGTGTCAAGATATTCATATCATTCGTCAGTCATTGTTCGAGTCTTGGACTTGATGTTCTCTGGCAAAGCTCAACAATCGCGGCCGAAATAGCTCCTCCAATTCCAATAATGATTTTGCCGAGACATCGCCGGTCCAACGTCATGTTCCCAAGCTGAGCTCCCTTGGACATCCAACAAGGAGGGACACTGCCAGGCTTCCATCATAATTTCCACCCCTGCCTCGAAGTCGTGTACTGAAGAAAGTGGTCGCTAGCATCAATGCCATTATTTGTGTACAGAAGACCGCAACCGCTCGGAAGCGAGTGTCACCTCAGGTAGGCTTTCATCAGCAAGCCACAGTCCACATGGCAGCAATGGTGACTGTGAGAGCAAGGTTCAATAACCCAGAGACTCTTGGAATTTATGGCGCTCTTTCGCTGCTACCACATCATTGGCATGGCCTCGGCTGTCCCCAAGAAGAGAGAGGCTAATGTGCTTTCAAGACTCATGTTGTGGGATAACGCATCCTATCTCGGTAAGTAGTGGCCTCTGAAATTCTGATGGTGAGTCGAGGCTTGATGCATAATGAAGCAGAAGATCTGTCAGCATCGAGCTTCGCATTCAATAGGGTATATCATTCAGGGATGTTTCAATTGTGGGGAGGTATCCAGCTGGATGTTTCCTTTGGTCATGATCTGATCAACCGCTAGGTAAGGTTGCAGCCGATGCTCGTGACAAAACTGGCATGGTTTGCTAGTCAACATCTCTTCAAGACAGACTTATTCACAAGAAGATAGAGTTCCATTCCCCATCATTGGATGTGTCAAGTTCACTTGCTCCTTTTGCGCAAGTCATGGCCACTACCGCCATTCCTTGGTCCATTCGCCATAGGCTTATATCAGATTTCCCCCCGTTCTTTCTCGTGTTCTATGAAGCACTACTGATCGACTGTCACGAGGACCAAGTCTATGCCGATTGTTAGTCAGGGTTGTTCCCCAGTCGTAGGAGGGCGATTAGTGTGGGATTTCCTTTCAATTTCCTGGCTATTCGAAGCACATGGAACTCTTCGGCCTCGTCTCTGGTGCTCTGTGGTTTTGGAGTGGATGCGGAGCCAGGATCTGAGCGACGGAACATCCCTGTGTCCGATTTGTTATGCAACAACAATCGATGCAGGACAACAACATGCAGCATGAGACTTGTGAAGACCAGGCCCTGGAATGGAGAATGTTACGTGTATATTAAAGTCCCTGCCCAATTTCGACTTTCGGTTGGGAACTAGTCACAATCTTATCTCACGATATCTCTGGGTTGGTCTCACAAGTGAAAAACCAGACTTCAACAATGCCATCTTTCACGGTTAGTGATGGAACCAACATCTACTACAAAGACTGGGGTAATAAAGATGCAAAAGGGACTGTCGTCTTTTCACATGGATGGCCATTGAACAGCGATAATTGGGAGAATCAGATGTTCTACCTGGCCAATCGCGGTTATCGTGTCGTTGCCCATGATAGACGAGGCCATGGGCGTTCTGACCAGCCTTGGACTGGCAACAATATGAACACCTATGCGGATGATCTTCTCCAACTCATTGAGCACCTCGATTTGAAGGATGTCATGCTGGTGGGCCACTCGACTGGTGGAGGTGAAGTCGCGAGATTTCTCGGCCGACATGGCTCAAGCAGAGTCCAGAAAGCTGTCTTAGTCAGCGCGATCACCCCATTTCTACTCAAGACTGAGGACAATCCGAAAGGTACGCCGATCGAGGTATTCGATTCCTTCCGCGCGGCAATCGAGAAAGACAGGGCTCAATTCTTCATTGACGTCGCCTCCGGGCCTTTCTTCGGATTCAATCGCCCAAGCGTCAAGGCCAGCCAGGGTCAAATCTGGAGCTGGTGGCAGCAAGGAATGATGACCGGCATCCGAGGTGCACACGAATGTGTTGAAGTCTTCTCCAAGACAGACATGCGTGAGGACTTGAAGCGCATTGACATACCAGTCTTGGTCCTTCATGGTGACGATGATCAGATTGTACCATTTGAGGGTAGTGCACCCGAGGTCATGAAATTGCTTAAGAAGGGAACGTTGAAGGTTTTTGAAGGAGCTTCGCATGCTTTGCCTAACATGAATATCGATGGAGTCAACCACGAATTGTTGGCTTTCCTTGCAGCATAAGAAGAGTCAACAAGCTCGCAAGGGAAGGTAGTACATTACGCAAGTCATACTTTGCAATCACGCTCTTTAATACTCAGTTATATATGCAGGATGGACCGATCCAGAATAGCTTCAAATTGTGAGAGAAAATCAGTCCCCATACTTTATGTGCCTTCCCTCAACCGGTGCTCATTGATGTGGGGGATCTTCAAAGTTACACGTGCTCACCTAAGTTGTGGGGAAAGAGGCAGGCCAAATTCTCAGCCTCGTCGTCCACCCACATCCACCACATTTTCACTTGTCACCTCCCAATGACTTCATTATCAGGATAGCTATGACCCTGGTTTCTAGTATCCTGTTCCTATGCTGCTGACATGTGATACTGACCTGCTAGATATATCTTGGCACTGGAAAAACGGAATTCCACTACCACTAGTAGTGTCACACTTGCGAAGCGTAGCACTCAGTGTCAGTCCTGTTTTGAACCAACACGATAAGATTTTGAAGTCCTCACTCCGTGAGAGAAAGATTCCAACCCTATCAATTCACTGCCTGAGCGCGACATCAAGCTAAATTCTTCACCAATTCTCTCAGTCTCCCTTCACCTGAAAGTGCGCCTCTATTGCAAATTACGTTCTTTAACAATCACATTTCAGAGCATGGTGGAGTTCTGTCGTTCTGTCACTCGTTTACGTTATGATCAAGCAAGTGCTCTCTTTTCTGGCACTCCCTGTCATCTCATGATTTGAACAGTAACTGCTTTCCCGAAGCCACGCACACTGAAGTGCGCATGGTACTTGGAAGTTCCCACGATGTCTTTACCACCACTACGGGTTTCTAAAAAGCGAGTGACTCTCCAAGAGATCTTCACTCAACTCTCGGTGACTGATGACTTACAGGGATCGAAAAGACGCAGAGAGTCTGCTTAACAAGCATCGAACCAAATACTGCTTCATCGCCCACCGGGCTGCATGCAAGCCAGATGACCCCAACTCAGAATACCAAGTCGGTGACAGAGTCTGTAAGCTGACAGATGTCAACCGGGAGAATCGTCAGATTTGGTGCGTTGTCGCCATTGGTAAGGGATCGCGATGCTTCACATTTGCGCCAAACTCTAGAGAGGACAATGAACCCGATACATGCACTGTTATCGCACCATTTTCTGATACCGAGAAGGGACATGTGGAGAGCCGAGAGCACTGGCTTGTCAAGTACGATCGGAGTCTTCTCACCAAGGCGCCGTCTTATCACTGCGGTGGCACGGTTCGGATCTCGGTCAATGCGCGGCTAGAGCACCATGTCATTCAGGAATGCGATTGGACCTACAATGATCTCTACACAGGTTGGATCTATCGAATAGAAGACGCCGACCACGGATGGATGACAGAGAGATTTCTGGATGAAGCAATCAAGCGCGCTTTGCTACCAGTCAATCCAGTCAAAACGGAAGCCCACGATACCATTACCGAGCCTCCGGAACCTGCGGAGCGCCCCAGCAAGTCCAAGAGGTCAAAAAAGAAACACAAGGAGCCTAATGAAGACGATTCGAAACAAGCCGAAATGAAATAATAAGCGAAAGACCTGAGAAAACAACTGCGCGAGCAGCAGTCCGCGAGGCTGAAAGAGTAGATGGTGAACTACAGTTTGAAGACGAAGGTCAAGGCGCTGAAGCAGGAACTGATCACGGTCAAAGCTGATGCCGAAGAGGCATTGGAAGAGGCGCAGGAAGAGTCTAAGCAACCAAGACGTGAAGTCAAGCGGAAGTATCGTGCTCTGCTCAAGAAGGCGAAACGCACGAAGAGAGAAGTGGGCAGTGAAAGTGAAAGTGATAGTAATTGATGCAGCTTTGAGATACGTCACGAAATGTCGGCTGGGAGGTGCAAGTCTTTCGACGTCACACCTAGAGCAGTGCAGTGAAACAAAGGGGTCGTTGCTTGTGGATACGGCCGGGGTCTGTCACCTATCCTCGGATCAGCAGAAACACGGCATTTGGGATGTGAAGAATGATCAAAAGCCACTACCATATCAACTTGTTGTTGGGCTATTGCGAGGAAGATATTTGGTGCTTCCAGTGTATGAAATTAGTGAGATGGCGGGCATAAAGCTGGGAAATATCGGTCCTTGCGTGGCATGCAGTCAGGAAATTACGTGCTTTGTTCTCACATTCAGGCTCCGTAGCTTTGTAATGTTGCGGCTGGTGCATGGCTCGGGCTTCCACTACTCTATCAATCGAGACTTGTCTCGATGCCACATCCGCTCGTCCTTGAACACTCTTGCCCTCGACAAAGACTTTCGGAGTGACCATGAATGTTGTGTTTGGCTGAGACATGTCATATTCACTACGGCCATCAAGAGATAAACATCTGCTTGTTCTGTTCTGCCCATTCCTCGAACGTGATTCCTTTCTTACCAGTGTATTTCTCAACATTCGACAGCTGCTCAGCGTCAACTGAATAGCCACAAGTAAGACTGCGTGCAGAGTCTGTAGCTTCCAATTGTCTGATCATGTATTCCGCGAGAGGAGCAGGCCAACGTCGTTCTTCTGTAAAGCTCTTGTATGCTTCCTCTCTTTCCATCGGTTCAATGGTAGGATTCTTGCCCAGGACTTTTGCCAGTGTCTTGACGCAGTCTGCCTGGGAAATCAATTGTGGTCCGTACAGATACATGGCCGTGTTTTCGTCCTGTGGACCTTCCACAAGAGCCTTGCCACAGGCTCTCCCAATGTCCTCTGGAGCAATACAATCAACTGTCGAATTGGGTGCGAAGATCTTCACCAACCCACTCTCGAGTCCTGCTTTATACTGAAGTGTGTTGCTGGCAAATGAACCTGGTCTGGCCGCGATGTATCCGCCAGCACCAAATGCTTCTTTCAAATTCATCTCGACTTGAGCGTGGAAGTAGGGTATCACCTCACTGGGCTTCACATCCTCTGGTTCAACTTGGATGGTGAAGCTGCTGAGAAATACCACCAGTTCGATACCGGCAGACTTGAGTGCCTGAATGGTAGACCTCATGTTGTCGGGTGAGCGGTGAGCGATGTAGATAAAAGCACGGGTTGCTTGAGTGCTAGATACAGCATCGCGGACAGTGTCGGGGATTTGCAAATCGGCGTGTACTGTCTCGAATCTGCCGTCCTTCACCTTTGCCTCATCGAGGCCTGGAATGGGCTTATTTGTGTCTCGCATTGCCAGTACCACCGTTGCTCCAAGTTCATGGGCAGCCCGTGCGGTGGCTGACCCAACCGCTCCAGTTGGTCCAAATACTATGACTTTTGAAGCCGCCAGGTTATGTTAAAATTCGGGTTGAAAGTGCTGATCCGGTATTGTACTGGAGAGCTTATTGGGAAATTCTTTACAAAGCCACAGTCAAGAAGGAATGTTGAAAACACAAACTGAGAAGCGAACTCTACGCTTTCTATAGTTTCTACATCCTTGCTTGAGACCAGGAACAACAGGTCATTCAGCACCATCTGGACCGTCTCTCAACCATGTCAAGTCGAGCTATTCCTAAAGCGGGAAACAATCTCAAGCACGCTAATTTTCTCGGCCGGCAAAGCTTTCGATAAGGCCTCCACCCGTTAAACAATTTGGATATTTCATCTTGTTCTTGGATAGTTCCTCAGCGGTGCTTCGTGTATCTGTCTCTTTTGATGAGGAGAGCCTAGCCGTTTGCAAAGTCCGAATGTTGCCGCAATGATGGTCTGGGCAGGCTATGAAGTGAAGCTTTAACACCGTCCGATAGGAACATGGCTGGTATGGATAACTCGGGTAAGTTTGCCAATGTTTAATAACCCAAGTGATCGATTTGACCTTTCGCTCGTCAATCAGCGGCAGGAATGCCATTCGTCATCTCCACCAGCATGAACAAAGCAGATCCTGAAATGCGCAAGCTGATCAGGAGCCACTGCATGCTGGGGAGAAATCGTGGAAGAATCTTGCAGAGCAGGCGAAAGCCCAAGACGGTCGTTCCAGGCTCAGAGCCAGTCCAAATATTGCCAGACCTGGAGACTATGTCCGCAGTGCCCAATAAGCTTGGTTCAGAATTATCGTTGGTACGGTTCGCTGATTCAGTAGAGCCCTCTACGCTATGGGAAGTCTTGAAATGTGAGTGAGCTCACCCTAGATTATCTAGCAGACATAATGCAAGATGTGTTGAGAAGCTAACGATCCTACCGTTTGAAGTCACCTCGGTATCTAAACAGATTTTCTTCCCCTTGGAGAGGTGCTTTGATTTCAACATAAGTGACCGATCCATGTTCGATCTTTTGTCATCCGATCCGGCGTATCTCCATGCTGTGATCTTTGGGGCTCAATCATACTTGGATTTGGCTGCGGGCCGCTCCAGTGAGCGATCGTCAGTGCACATGTTGAAGACAATTCAGCTCCTCCGCAGTAGGCTTTCGATTTTCGATGGAAAGGAGCAGACATCCTTCTCTAATCCCACAATACTGATCGTCTTAACTCTGACACACGTGGCACATTTAAGTGGCGACCATATCACTGCTGAGAAACACTTGGAAGGTCTCAGGGAGATTATAAACCTACGAGGAGGCATTGCTACTTTCCAAGACACTCCTAAGATCCTCACCGAATTACTAAGGTTCGCAAGAATCCTGACCCTCACTTATCTCTTTGGGACTACAATACAGGGGGTTTGAGGCTGATCCTCTTCAGGTGTGACATCAGCATTGCAATTCACAAAGGAACAAAACCGGTCTTTGACTTCGACCAGGCTTTACAACATAGCATATATCGACCACAGGCTAAGTCATCTTCTGCACCCACTCCTTGTCTGGATCACAAAACCCCGTATGGCAAGGACCCATATACAAATTTTATGACAAACAAGAAATTAGCCGAGTTATGGGTTACTCTGAGCAACTTCTGTTGTCTAGTAAACTCGGTGGCGGACAATAATATCAAGCTCAGCGACCAAATCCTCTTAAACACTATGAGATCAGTGATGTACGCACTCCTTGGTATGAACTTCTCCACTAATCCCATCAACGAAGTGATTCGTCTTGGGTTGCTTGCATTCTGTTCAAATTCTTTCTTGGAGCGACGGGGAATTTACCTTCCGAATGGCTACCTCTGTAAGAATTACAGGACTTGCTTAGAGGACGTCAAAACTCAGCATCAAGGCACTTCTCAGGTTTTACTGTGGCTCCTTATGATTGGTAAAATATCCATTTTTACCTCTGATACAGATGACTCTGTATGGATAAAATCTAGGCTAAGAGATAATATCGGCTCGAATAAGGATTGCTCGTGGCCGCAGCTTCGACGAATTCTCAAGTCCTTTCTTTGGATTGATATTCTACACGATGCACCTGGGAAATTGATCTTTGAGAGTTTCTCCCAAATCAACGAAGTTGCAGTGTAAGAATGGTCACGCCTGGTCGCTTACGCTGTGAGACCCCTCACCGATCATGTAGTTTGAATGACTGAAGAGGAATATGGCATTGTTCTCCTGAAATTGGAGACGACCACGCCGCTGGTCGTTCCTAAGAACCAGAGACAGGATAGCAAGGGGAACCCATTAATAGCATCTAGTTAAGGAATAAAAGGGAGGTACTACGGCGAGAGTTGTTTCCTCAACGAGTGATTGTAGAGCCGCTTTGTAGTTAACTAGCTGTTAGTGCTAACTACCCACATAGTAGATAGCACTGCTCATGTTTCCCCATACTAGTTAGGAGTACTGGGTATGTTGTCGCAGATAGAAACGCGGCCCGGAAGCTTCACCTAGTTAGACGCTAAGCGCCACGGGGCGACCCCTCAGGCCCCCGCGAAACTCCGATCCACTTGCCAGCTCGTCCATAACTGTTCTGCAAAAGCACAACCTCGAACGTTCTCAAGTTTGGGTTGACTGCCCTGAGAAAGGTCACACGAGGACAACTACCTCAGTTCTACCCCTTCTCGATGAGCCGAACCGTTGATAATTAATGATCTATTGCTACGATGAACCAGGGTAGGTATGGTAGGATTGTATTGTCGTGCATACTGGGCTTGCGCCCCATCCCAGTTGCTGCACAGCCAACATCTTCAGCCTCAAACCACCACTCTCACTTTCTTCAGCCTAACTGTGAATTTACCTCTTATTCTTTTCTCCTTCACCTTCTGCTTCCCCCCATAGTTAACCTAAATGAACGAGAATCACGACACCTCCTATCACCCGGCTCAATTCCGAGAGTGATGAGGTTAAGAGAGCCTTCCGTTATTGTCACCATCTTCCGGCTTTCTGTCCAGCAACTCGTCGACTGAGGACCACCATGGCGACAAGTACGCATGAGCCTTCCAAGCCTCGAAAACGACGTCGCCTCTCCCCTTCAGACTACACAGTTGCCTGCATATCCCCCCTGGCTCTCGAGCTTGCACCTCTTCGTGCTATGCTCGATGGAATTCACGAGGATCTCCCTCGACATCGCAACCACAATGCCTACGTGCTGGGGGAACTCGGACAACATAATGTGGTCATGGTTGTCTTGTCTGAGATTGGCAATAACCACTCCGGCATTGCAGTCACCCAAATTCTCAATGATTTCCCTTCCATACGCTTCGTCCTATTAGTAGGCATTGGGCGGTGGCGTCCCTAGTGCTGGTCTTCAAAAGGCGGATAGCGTACGACTAGGTGATATCGTCGTTAGCCAGCCCACAGATATAGCAGGAGGTGTCATTCAGTTTGACAGAGGCAAGCGCCTTGATGGAGATTTATTCTTGCGCACTGGATGTTTGGCCAAACCACCGGCTTTTTTGACTGCTGCGGTGGAGGTTTTAAAGGCAAAACATTTGCAAGAAGGGAATCAAATAAGGGAGCTCATTTCGGACATGACAAAGCGCTATCAGAATATGAAAACGGACTACATCTTCCCGGGCATAGAACAAGATCAGCTTTTCGAGTCCGAATACTCTCATGTGGGAACTGAAACTTGCCGAGACTGCGATACCTCAAGATTACGACCTCGGGAAGCACGCTCGGACCCGTCTGTGAGAATCCACTATGGAACCATTGGTAGCTCCAACTGTGTTATCAAGAGTTCTGTGGAAAGAGACAATTTGAGAGACACATATAAAATCAAATGTGTTGAAATGGAGGCTGCGGGCCTCATCGATGCCTTTCCTTCTTGCCTCGTTATCCGAGACATATGCGATTATTCCGATTCTCATAAGAACAAACAATGGCAGCCCTTCGCTGCAGCAGCCGCAGCAGCATATGCCAAGGAGTTGCTTCTAACAATCCCTTCCTTACAGCAGCAGAATTCTACCCATATGTCCTTACGCATGTCGCCTGAGAGTTATTGTGAGCCTGCGCGTGAGACAAGCGGGAACAACACCTTCAATCCACAGTCACTCCAGCCCCCTGCTGGGGACGCTGCCGTGCATCAAAAGCTTTTGGGATCTCTGTTGTTTGAACGAATGGACTCACGCCTCGCAAACATAGCTCGCCCCCTCTCAAAAACATGTCAGTGGATCTTTAAACAGCAAATGTTTGAGACATGGCTCGCTGGTGATGACGTCGAAGAACATCATGGGTTTCTTTGGATCAAAGGCAAGCCCGGTAGTGGGAAGTCAACAGTCATGGTGAAGGTCTTACGTACTCTCGAAAAGGAGAAACCCAGTGATGTTACAATTTCATATTTCTTCAATGCACGGGCCTCAGACTCTCTGGAAAAGTCTGTTCTTGGCATGTACCGCTCCCTTGTCTATCAACTACTTCAGAAATGTCCCCGTTTGAATGGACTTTTCACCAAAGCATTCGCCTCGAAATTGTATAACGATGTCGTGGAAGAATGGACGACCGTTGAACTACAAGGCTTTCTGCTTGATGTGGTCGAGAGCTTAGGTGGCCAAGCCTTAAACATTCTGATTGATGCTCTGGATGAAGGAGATGAAGAGGATATACGCCAGATGATCGCCTTCTTGGAAGAGTGCACATCGGAGTCCGTCGAATCTAGCAGTCCATTGAGGATCTGTCTCTCCAGTCGGCATTATCCCCATATCAGTATCCGCCAAGGACTCCATCTAATTATGGAACGACAAGACGGTCAAGAAGAGGACATTGAACTCTATGTGCGGACCAAGTTAATCAGCAAAAGGTCAAAGTACATCGAGATGCTTAGACAGAAGGTGTGTCAGAAGTCGTGTCGAGTATTCCTGTGGGTCGTCCTTGTCATCCCGATCCTGAACAAAATCTATGATCGTGGTGGTCAGCTGACAGAGATGGAGAAATGTCTGGACGATATCCCAGAAACGCTAGATGGAGTATTTGCCACGATCCTGGCAAAGACCTCGGATGGTATCGACCAGTCTATCTTGCTTTTACAGTGGGTCCTTTTCGCTTCACGGTCTCTCAGTCCTGATGAACTCTATCTCGCATCTCGGCTGGGCTCGAGATCAACATGTGCAAATGAAGAGAACTTGCCATCCGAAGACACAGATTTATTATCAGACGACGCAAACTTGCCACCCGACGATACGGTGAGCCGCTACCTTCTAGATTGCTCCAGGGGACTTACCGAAATTACCAAATCAAAGCCACCTATAGTGCAGTTCATCCATGAATCGGTCCGAGACTTTCTAGTCAAACACAAGGGCCTCGCAACAATCGATGAGTCCCTTGCGGACAATATCGAAGGCCACAGCAATGAAGAACTGTGTAAAGCCTGCTTGAGATACTTTGACCAGCATTTGCCAGCGTACGAAAACTATCTGCTAGATTCCAATCCAGTGTGCAAAAGTGTGGCGGATTCAGTTCGACAACGATACTTATTCTCAAAATATGCCGTTACCTATTTGTTTCTCCATGCTAACAAAGCCGAAAGCAATGGCGTGGCCAGCGACAACTGTTAAGACGATTTCAAGATGGCAAAACTCTGGATCTTCTCAAATGGGTTCAATACAGGAACACTTTCCTGCCGCAACGTTTCCAGATCCGGAGATACACCGACAGCATCCACCTGCTCTACATTCTAGCGGATAACAACATGCATGACTTGCTCAAAACCCTACTAGAAGAGCCGGTCGATGTAAATATCACTGGGCAACGCTACGAAAGTGCGCTCCAAGCAGCCTGCGTCGCTGGTAACTTTGATAGTGCAACACTTCTCCTTCAGAACGGAGCAGAGCCGATAATCCGAACGGCAAATTATCAGCTTGCGCTCAAGTCAGCAATCAAGAAAGAGCGTAAGGCAATGCTGAATCTACTTCTGAGCTTTGACCTATCAAAAAAATCCGATGTCCTTGGCAACATGATTTTCACGGCACTTGAAGTTCGCAATAATGATGCATTTCAAACTCTGCTGAAGACTGGAGCTGATCCCAATTTCCAAAAGAAAAATGGAAACACGCCTCTCTACGAGGCAGCCGGCAGAGGCGATCTTCATGCTGTCAGTCTCCTCATCAAGACTACAGCACATGTCAATGCCACAGGTGGCCATTACGGTAATGCCCTACAGGCAGCGGCGGCATGTGGTCATGAATCGGTAGTGCAACTACTGATCGAGAATAAGGCTCAAGTCAATGCTGAAGGTGGCGCTTACGGTAATGCCCTACAGGCAGCGGCGGCATGTGATCATGAATCGGTAGTGCAACTACTGATCGAGAATAAGGCTCAAGTCAATGCTGAAGGTGGCGCTTACGGTAATGCCCTACAGGCAGCGGCGGCATGTGATCGTGAATCGGTAGTGCGACTACTGATCAAGAATGGGGCTCGTGTCAATGCTGAAGGTGGCGCTTACGGTAATGCCCTACAGGCAGCGGCGGCATATGGTCGTGAATCGACAGTGCGACTATTGATCGAGAGCGGAGCGAGCGTCGATGACGCACTTCGAGGCGCGATCGTCAGCACCCAAGCTGGCGCCACAGAACTATTGTTGGAGAGCGAACAGGCAGTCAAAGCTGAACGTATTCCAACAACCTGGAGCTCTGCAACTTGCAGTGAAGCGAGGTCTCCAAGATATTGTACAATCATTGATTGACCATGGCACGGACGTGAATGTTCGACATAGCGAGATTGATGATGCAAAAATGTGTTCGAACAAATGGAAACTGACGCAAGCATTGTTTTCCGCAGAATTAAGCAGAGCCGGAGTCTCCGTCGATGACATTTGTGCAGCAAATGTCTTAGAGGCGGCGATTATGAGAGATAAGTCCTCTCAGATGGTGGAGATACTTCTCAAAAACGGCGCAAATGCCAATAGCCGGGGTCCCAATAGACTGTTTCCCACAGTTCTACACATAGCGGTTCTGACCAACGACTATGAGGCTTCAAAGCTGCTCATTTCATTTGGAGCAGATGTCAATGCGCAGGGGGGACCTTTTGGTAATGTCTTGGGAGCGGCTGAAGCTCTCAACCATTGGCGCATCACTGACTTGCTTGTCAACAATGGGGCGCGACGCGAGCCTCCATCCTGATGCGTTTCTTGTAGCAATCTGTCTAAGAGTACATAAATGGTGAAGCAAAGATGCAATAACTTTGAGAGAGATGTTATTTTGGTATCGTGGAGATTGTCATTGCGTATGCAAAAATGAGTACCCAGCCTATGGCAGGAGGTACGAAACATGTATCTAAAATCGAGGGTCAGTCACCGGGACTAACTTTAATCGAGTCTCGAACTCTAACCATATCGGGTACCTTCTGCGTCACTCAAGATGACACACATGAAGTTCCAATCATCCGAGAACGAATCTTGACGTGCATGCGGCCATGATGAATGGGCATGGTGATGAACGAAACGAGAAATTCACTCATGCAGTTGTCCTATGCCTCCTACACAGTGATCTTCGCATCACGGGATTGCAGTAAGCCGTAACTGTGGAGTTTCGTCCCTGGGTCGGTGACTCGCTGAGACTGGACTGCTTGCTGTAGTTGACCAGGTAGAAAGGAACATTAACAGATGCTGTCCACTAATTGCGGGACGGAGACGGCCTGTATGGTGTTTTCCAGGTCCGCTAGGACGAGGTGCTCGCCCTGTGGAAGCAAGTTTCTTGGCAAGGCTGAGATGCATTGTGTTGCTGCAAGGCGTACCATTAAGAGCAGGAGGTGGTGGAACCGGCACAAGTTCCACAGAGTGGCAATTTGACAAGATGAAGAAATGTCGCAAGAATTTCGACAAGCTTCGATTGATGGACTAAAGTCTTGTCCACCCGTAAATTCGGGCGTTTGCCGGTGAATGGGCACCTCAGCCCTCCAAGCTGGAAGATTCGAACACTGCGGAATGGCAGGGGAGTATCCGGTTCAATACACGGTATTTCCCCGTGATTGGAGAACGGCCGGTGGCAAAAGTGCCCCTAACCCTATGGCTTAGCGGCATGATGGAAGCTCAACAAGTACTCAGCCTCGTCGATCACCTAGAGAACTTTCAAGACCTCAGGGGTCTTAGCCGACAACGTTCATTCGAGATGCAAGATGGAGCTTGAAAGAAGGGTTTAGTAGAATTGCAACACTCCTTTTGTAGCAAACTACCTAACATTCTCCAATCACGACTGGCACGTTGAAACATTGATTACCCCTTACTGGTGTCCGGGCCCTCTTGCTGGACGAAGCCAACGTAATTGCGACCCACGAAGTCTGGACCTGGATATGTCCCCAGTCTGAGTCGAAGCTGGCTCGAGTCACTGTCTCCTACACTACCGCTTTGTGTGGCATCGACTGATCTTCTTAGCAAGGGAGCAAGCTTTAAGGTATAGTTAGTAAGGCAGATTCCAAGTGCAGTAGCTTATGCGGAACCAACCTCTGGATTTTGCATCATGGCTCCAATTGTAGAGACCTTGACATCATGACCTTCCCCGTTCTGCTGATAAGCAATGATTCCCACCAGCAGGCTGATCAAACTGCAGAAGATCGCTGTTCCGTAAGAGATAAATAAATTCTCTGGACGATATTCATAGACGGTCTGAATTGTGCTGATGTTACCGGTAACGCTGGTGGTTCGACTGTGAGAATGTCAGCAATGTCCAGCAGGCATAACATCAAGTGTAGGATCATTGATACCTCAAGGACGCAGTGCTCATTAGGCTGAGCGACACGTTTATGCTAAGCTCATTGAACATGTCGGCAAACGTCACGTTTGTCGCAGGTGGTGGCGGCGATGGTGTATAAGTTGCATTGCTGACCCAGTCGTTGCGGTAATGCAGCATTTGAGAGAAGTCGCTTGCGGTGGCGAGAATGGTCGAATCAGGTCCAAACCGCGAATAGACCACTCGAAAAGGCATGGGGTCCGCCCAGTTCTCGATAGTATCTTGAGCTACAGTGCCACCTGTAAGAAACTTGCTCATCTCCAGGAAGTAATGCAGGTAAGAAGCCGGCATCCCAGAGTCCTGGGTGAAATTTTGTATCCTGCCAAAATCTTTGACTGATAAGACGCGTGTTTCACCGATGCCATTGTCAAAAAAAATTTCCGTTGTGAATGAAGAGTTGTAAAAATCGCATTGAACAAACTTGATCCGCCCCGGGTTTGTGAGGACTGCGATTTCAACGGAGCCCGAAAAAGCGCCTCGATACGGCCGACTTATTAGCTCCTCGGAGGTCATATCGAATATAACTTGAGTCTTGTTGAATCCAATTGTTTCAAGGTCCCTACCGTCCAAGTCGTTGCCTTCGAGGATTGCCACTCCAAAGTAAAAGATGAGCCCGGTACCAGCGTTCTCAACTCCGTTTTCTGCGAACTGACCATTGACATATTCGAATGTATCTTTGTTGAATGAAGTCAGGGGCTCGGCTAAAGGCTCCACGAAAATCTGTGCGCTATCAAGCTGTCGTGCTGACCCATTGGGTTTTTCGGCGCATTTGAACCGAGGGATGTGAGTTTCGAGTGTGTACGAATAATTTGTCGCCGCGACCAAGGCCTGAGGCGCCGCGATTTTGCCTGAAAATGCAGTTGACTTCACCAACGTTGCGAAGATATTGGGTGCGTCCATGTATGCCGAGGCTACAGTCTCGGAAGGATCCTTACCATACTGGTTAAGAGGATTTGGAGCGGCTATTGAAGGTTGTAAGACATCAAAAGAGCTGGTATTTAGTAGTGATCTGACTGCCACAGAAAGCGTGGCCGGAGGAAATATACTGGCAACTGGAATAGTCCTGAGGCTTGTCAGCCGAGAAGGCAAAAGTTAGAGGAGGACATTACCAGATCAATATTGCTATAACTACACCGATATGCATGTTCTTGTAAAGTTCAGAGTGGAAGAACGGGGAGATATCGACCGTCATCGTGAATGCGGCATCGATTGTTTCCATTTTATGGTAGCGTTGCCGTAACCTCAGCCAAATGTACTGCATGCATGCATTGGCCATAGCCACCTTGAGGCTAGCTGCTGTGGCGAGAGCGAAAAAACTGCCAATGCTGCGCCGAGTTGTTAGACAGTAGACGACCACTGTATGCTTCTGATGAGCTCACCGAAGCGACCATTGTTGCCTGGTGGTGTTTCCAACCACCTGTCCGTCGAGCCAACGATAGTAGAAATGGTGACCAACGGCAAAGAGGAGACCAAGGGCGAAACAAGACAGCATGACGGCTGGGGAAGTCCATTTCTGAGATTTCCATTTGGACTTTTGAGTCTGACCCAAATCACGGTACTTTGGCTGACGGCCCTTCACGTCTTCAACCGGAGCATAGCCACTGTTACCATGGTGCTCAAAGGTCCTTTCTTTCGTGCGACTCATGCTCACAGTCATTTTTGGAAATGTTTTGCTCGCAGTAGTGACCGGATTGTAGACTGCTTGAAGTCTTGAGATTCTTCAATATCTTCGCCGGAGAACAGCATTGCCAGAAAATTTGCGGGAACGTGCCACAATACCCAGTGTCCGCGCCTGGTTGATCCAAGACTGCGAAGGATATTAAGTACTGGTGACACGGGATACAACCATGCTGAAGCAGATGGCGCCCTGCACCAATATCTGCATAGTGTTCTCCTTGAAACATCTTGGCTGTGCCACAATTCGGGGCCAAAATGGTACTGAAAGTAGGCTGCGAACGTGTGGGCGAATCAACAACTCTGTACCTGAGGCCGTTTTGTGGCTGGTATTATTTGTCGCTTGAACGACTAGCTGGGTAGGTATAGTCAGTGCAGTAAAAGGTAGACCTTACACCGAGGAGTAGTAAGTGTATGACAGAATTCGTGGATCACTGATCCCCTTTTCTGCCCTGGGACCCGCCGTACTCGACGATTACATAACGCAGGATACCGACTTCGTCAACCTTCGTTGTATACAATGCTAGCAATCCATCTTTGCAGCTATTGTACGAGCCCAGATTTCAATCAAAGGCAATTGCGAATCATCTTTGGCTGAGAAAATTGGTAAAGTTCGCACTAAAATAAATATCAGTACGCATGATAAAACACTAGCAAGGAAGGCACGCAGAAGATCCGCGACTGGATTGGAGAATATTTCGACTTGGGGTAATTCCTCCTCTATGCCTATGTGTGTCAAACATTTGTTATTACTAGCTATTCTAAATCTGAGGCATACGCCGGAAGTATAACCCATTGACCAGGTAGTCGTGTGGGACTTCACGCCGATGTGTCTGCTTGATCGCTGGTAATTTACAGTCATTTGCAACACACAGAGGACGATTTGACGTCAGTTGGCCATCCACACTTGCTTAATAACTCATCATCCAGGCGCACTCCCAGCAAAATCCCCACTGACAAAGACCACAAGCACGGCGGCATAAGCGGCACAAGAGCCGAAAATCTCAGCCTTCCTCGCATTAGTGATTAATGCCACCGTGATGGCGAAAAGCGTCGTGAACATTGCGATCAATCCCAGCGTCAAGCCTGGCCGAGATGCAGATACATTGTACAGGACGTAGATGGGCAAGAACAGTAGTACCGCTGACAGTATCGTAGTCAGTAGGAAGGTGGTGATGTTGACATAGTGGAGCGAGTAGTGGGTCAACTGCGGGGCGTTTAAGTGGGATAGGGACGTCGATGTTGGTAATGCAGGTGGTGGCTTCGTGCGGAATAGTCGTGAACAATGTGTCTTCAGAAAGTAGGTGAGAAGGTCTGGCTGCGGGTTCGCGACGAGCGACACATGGTCGGCCGATGTACTTTGAGATATCAGCTGTGGCAAGGGATATAGCCTTGCGCCCACACCCATAATGGCTGAGTCTGTGGTGGCCTGGCCGTCTGAGCTGTGGGATGCGGAGACCTCTTGATGGAAGTTCTTTGATAGTGCCGTCATGGTCTGCTTGGAAGGTGGCCGTAGAGCCAGCAGCGTGGACTCTTGGATTAATGCCTCTCCTGTCCAATAGTGTCAATCAAACGGACGTGGTACATGATTTGAAAACTCACGATATTCTCTCAACAGCCCTCTGGCTCGCATAGCCAGATCCATTCGCTTCTTCCAACGTTCGTCTTCATATCCCTTTTCAGCCCCCTTCGTAAACGATTGCCAGTTGCGAGCATTCTTCCGAACATGATAGGACAAGTCTGAAGTTATGTCGTCGCCAGCATCAACGGCGTCCTCAAGATCATATTGTTCTTGCAAGGCTTGGCACTCTGCAAGTTCCGCCTCATAGTACAACAGATCGCGTGCTGACAGGCTTCCAAAACGCCTGTAAACTTCAGTGCTGTGGTCCACATCGCTGGCGATAAGATGGGCAAGAGAGCCGAAGCCTCTCAGGATGGTGACAGTGTTGCCGAATTTTGGCTGATCGGGCGCCATAGCGATGTGTGAAGCGTACTTAGGTAGGCTAAGTAACTAGAGGTCAAAAGACAAACCCGCCTTATGCAAGACATCCGGGAATGTGACGGTGCTGTGTCTGGGCGAGTCAAATTCAAGAACTGGGATTCTTCGTTGCAGCCTGCTCAATCGTGGAGAGTCTCTGCCAAGTCTGTTTTGGTCTGTTTCGATTAAAGAGACCGCTCTCCTGGTGATAGCGAGGTCGGCGTCCCAAGGCTGACAGGGCTCAGCCACACTGGCTGGCTGGCTTCGTATTCTGCCCCTCATGTGCAACGAGTCGCCATGGAAGCGGTCAACGACTCAACGTGCTTTTTCTAACATTTGAACGGAAGGTTTCAAGTGATATTCTTCTTCCGCAGCCCCCTGCGTTCTGCACCAACCCGTCTATTCCTCAACTTATGAATTCTTGTCTGCAAGTCAGAGGAACTCTGATCCGTCGTCCTGCTGTGTAGTAAAGAACCTACCAAGGCCAGCAGCCACTCCTTATTCAGCCTTGCGCTGATCCTCAGACGCTCATCCACATTTACACCCACTGTACTCGGCGAAGACATTTTATCGTCACCTGATATCATCACACCTCTGAGACTGAACCTCTAGTACGCTACGGTTATTCTGTGCCTTTCTCGCTTCTACATCTCGTTCGAGGATCCTCTCCGCTACTCTTCGGCTTCCTCTCGAGTTCGCTTAGTCGAATATTGCGCTTCGGCACCTACGCCGGCCATGGAAGTAGAGGAATTAAGGCATTGGTGGCTTGAGGAAGTAGAGGGAATAATGCATGGGTGGCATGAGGAACTTGATGATGATCATCGACTGCTGAACACTGTCACTTTCTCCTCTGCCTTGATGGTTTCTGACTTGATCGACGTCATTGTTTTCAAAATCAAGAATTGTAGACCAGAAGATGAAGAAAGCCGAACTCCATGGGCCCCGTTCAAGAATTGCCTTGCTGATCTTAACAAATGTTCCTCCCTCGCACGGGAAGTATTACTTGGTTGGGAATACGGCTACCAACCCCCAGGTTACAACGACTGTTTTCGCATCCTGGGGGAGATGAAGACGAAGAAAGAAGTTGGAGAAGTCAGTGCTTTCCAAAGGAGTACTCAAAAACTCCTTGATGGCCTCGAGGCAGTGAAGCTGTCAATATCTGATCACAAGGCTCAATGTGAACGTGAGTTCGCTCAACGTGAATGTGAGTTAGCTCAACTTGAACGTGAGTTCGCTCAACTTGAACGTGAGTTCGCTCAACTTGAACGTGAGTCCGCTCAACGTCAACGTGAGTCCGCTCAACGTCAACGTGAGTCCGCTCAAAGTCAACGTGAGCTCGCTCAATTCAAACGTGAGATGGCTCACTGGGAGCATACTGGCTTGTTCGCCTTACTCGACGACCCTATGCTAGCGCTTGAGTTGAAAGCTCTCTCCCCGCATGGTCGATCGAATGGTCACCGACAGCCTAGCAGCAGTTTCTCCCATACGAAACGATGCACGCATGAACGCTCTTTCTTACCACTTGAGATCAACGGAAGCTCCTTCGATGCCCTCCCAGACACAATGTCATCAGTGAACATCATGACGGAGGCTGTGGCGAAGCGACTTGATGTGAAGGTAAAACGAGATGATTCCAGACGGATCACCTTGACTAATGCTTGCGGAGAGCTATTCCGATCGGAGGGCGAGGGAAGGGCATGGGTGTCATTCCCTGGAGAGAGTCCTCAAAAACGCAAGTTCATCATCGTGCGTACCTGTGCTGTCTCGGTCATCATGGGCGATCCATTCCTGAGAGTGACCGAGACATTGACCAAGTTTCGGAATCGTCTGAAGAAAGCGGTTTCTTCATCTCTGAAGAAGGCGTGGCGGCTTTGTTACCTGGGCGCCCCTCGTCAACCACTAGCGTGTTCTTTAGATGGAGAACACGTACTGGCCAAGGCTGATACAGGATCAGACATGGACTTGATCTCTCTCGCGTACGCCAACAAGCGGCGCTGGACAATTCATCCGCTAGCCCCTGACAGAGACTCGGTTGAGCTGGCTGACGGAAGCAAGAAGAAACTCACCGGCTATGTAGAAGTTCAACTCAGCATCGGCGGGCACTTGTCATCCACAACGTTCTATGTACTGAAAGATCTTGTGTGCGACGCTCTTCTCGGAGACGAAACTCTCCATGAATTGAACGCTTTCAACGAATATGCTTCTCATTTCGTGGACGATATCAATGGGCTGGTGGAGTACGACCACTGCCACAACATCAACTGGGCTGAAGAGAAGCAGAAACGTACCAACCAGATCCTCGACGGCATCTACCCTTCTGCACCTCCCTCTGTGAACTCTTCCGGAGGACAGCCACCACAACCACCGGACAGCAAACCCAGCTTCTGGAAACGACGCGGCCGCACATCAAGCACCAGCAAACCCTCGACCAAGGACACGGAAGCCTGGCACGCGGCATTCCGCAACGCGTTGGAGACGCTGAACAGCGTTGAGCTGAAAGCCAGAGACACGGCCGAGCAACAGATGCGGCTCCTGAGCGGCGACGACCTCGTCCGAGCCACGACCGCCAATAAAGTCCGTCAGCAGGGATATGCGGAACGGATCAAAGCGATCAAAGTCGCGCGCGACAGTTATTTCGGCACTGCTGCTTCTCCGTAAGGAATGCAAGGGCGACCTGAACCGGCGGTGGCTACCAGGAACGTGGAGGAGGTGAGTGACGCGTGGTTTGGCACGGCTGCTTCTCCATGGGAATCGCAAGAGCGCTCCTGAATATCGCCGTGCAGGGATATATATGAAACTTTACGAACTTACTATTTTTTACATCCGTGGGGGCCAAGAGACAGCAGAAGGCGCATATGGTTGCACATTTCTTTCCATAGTACCAAGGTAACTCGAGTCAATTCCAATGAATAAAGATTATTTGCCTACAGTGAGATCTGGCCATGCGGTGTTTCCCAACACGCTGAGATTGAAGGCTAATTTTCTCGTACGTCGTGAGGGGGAGAGAGTGTCGTCTCAATGTGTTGGGATTCCCTCGGTGGAGGACAACCTGGATCGAAGTCTTGGCAGATCCCCAGAACAAGTCAAGCAAAGAATTGGTCCTGCAGTATAAATCTACCTTCAATTGAATTTTGCTGTCATAACTTATGGCACTTTTATGCGCCAGCGTCAACTACTATGTGTTCATGCCATGCCGCTGTAGCATGTCTATTCATATGATTCCATTCCTGATACCTGACCCATCAACCTGTCATTCAAACGCTCATGTCTATGACCTTGCCACTGTACACCTGCTTAAGAGCAATAAATACCTGGGACTTGCATAGCTGTGAAGAGAGCGTGGGACGTCAAGTCGTAGTTATACCCTTTACATTCTGCCACATAGTGATTTCGACCAAAGATTGGTATCAAAGTCACCAATGACCTTCTCATACGTCATATTTCAGCCATATTTGGCACTGTGAGCTCAGTCCAATGTGCTTCGATCGAAGCCAAAACGAATTTTTTAGTCCTGCTTGATCATCATACTATCCGAAGCACCAAAGTGCGGGAGTGCTTCGGCAAATGGGTTTCGAGTAGCCATAAATGGATCATCACTTGAAGTTGGGTGAGGGAATATCCCAAGAAAATTCTCGAACGGTAGCTCTGATGCAAAAGCCAAATTTTGTGCACCATGTGGAGGAGAACGCCACGACAAAGGGTTTGCAGTGTGAATACCAAGTCTGACTGTTGGATTGCTCGATGGGATTATGTTCTCTTTCTGCTGGGCGTCATGGTAGAAATCAGAATATTCACGTGGCAGGTGACGCTGAGAAGCATATGGGTTCTGGTACTGTGATGGACCTGAGTGCAACGGCTGAAGCCAGAGGGCCGTATTGGTGGATATCTGAGTGCGAGAAGTACCCGAGAGGAATCGCGGTGCAGCTGCTGTCATAGTGTGGTCGCCACTAGCCCTCACTCGGGTTCGATCTTGCATTGGGCTTCCATCATCAAAGATTCTGAAACTTGCAGGGCGTTTCCGGTTGGCCAGTGGGAGAACGCTTGGTTTGATGTCAATGTCCTCATCCTCGCTGAGGAGAGTTTGAGGTCCAAAACTGTAAGATTCAATGGTAGATTCGCTCTGAAGGTGTGGCAGAGGCGGCAGTCCATCGCCGCCTTGATCCATTGGTGTCATCGAGTCTTCAGTCTTTATTTTGCGTTTGACTAGGCGAGGGGCATTCGAGTCCTTCACCCCGAGTGGCAATCGCTTGCGAGTTCGAGTTTGCTTTGACTTTGGAATAGGGGTTTCACCTTCGATGAGGCTGCTGGTATCCTCAAGGTCGTCAATGTGTCTCTCTTTTCTCAGCTGACCGGTGGGGGAGTAGACAGCCTCAAAAGGTTGAACTAATGTTGCCAAACGTTCCATTTTGCGGAGGACGGAACCATCCTTCTTCTGATTTCTCTTTTTCTTCATCTCAGAAGTAGCAGCATCAAAACAAAGCCATCCCTGGCCAGATTGTACCTTTCAATTTGGCATGCTCCGGAGTGGCGAGGTGATCAGGGTCCAGTTCAGTAGGGAAATCTGCTTCAGATGAGAGTGGAGGATCAGAGGCGAGAATACGCTTGACCGGCGAGGCGGGTCTGGTCCGGGGTTGCTTGCGTCTGAGAGATTGGTCAGTAAAGCCAAATAGAGAAGGGAGAAGAGAACAAACTTTGGACGTCGGGCTGGGGTGAAGTCCTGATCACTGTCACTATCGTTGTCTCCTCGAGCTCGTCTTGATTTGTTGGACTTGCGTTGGACTTTCCGCTGTCTTCGAGTAGGTTTCTTGTTTGGGGATTCTTGAACCTGGACAACGAGGCCTTTCGCTTCTCGTTGTTGAATGATGCCACCTCTAGCAGCTGCATTGGCTCTCCTACTAGCTTGCTTTGTTTCTTTGAATAGCATTCGCTCGGAAAGAAGTTGACCCAGGCCATGGTCCTGATACCATTGATTGTAGGCAGCTAGCTGAAGACCAGCAGAGACTTCCTGGTGGCTTCTGATCTGTAACTTGTGCAGGTGGGATAAATGGCCTTTGGAACCGACGTGGGTCAGGAGGTGAGAAGTGTCGCTGAAGACAGGGAGTTTGGGACAGATGGTGCAACTGAGCAATTGCAAAGTCATGATAGCAGACGAGAACAAGATCAAAATGAAAGGCAGGGACGAAGAGTCCTTTTCAAAAAGAACAACAACAATTGGGAAAGCTCAGAGGGACTTGGACAGCTAGGACTTCTCTCCTGTACACCATCAGAGATGTCAAGTTGCAACTTGCAGGAGGAGATTGAAATCAAGTTGAGAGACAGAGGAAGCAGCTGCAAAGGATGGAAGAGAGAGTCGAGAAGCTTTGATGTCAACACGATGCAAGTGAGCAGAGGAAGTGAAGGGGCAGAAGAGATGTAGACAAGCCCAGGTGCATCTTCACTTTCGAATTGAAAGTCGCCACTGCCCTCGTTGCCATCGTCGGTCACAAAAGGCAAGAACGGGCACGCGACTCACTAGTGACGTTGTCAGTGGGCAAGAGCGGCCCACCCGCCACCTACCTCGGAATTCCAGCATTTGACTTCTATCACTCACCATTTGCATTTAATGTCATATTGGTCTCGCCATGTCTGTAGCTCACCTCACAACAAAGAAATCCGGTCATCAAGTACCTAGAAATCACCGTGTTTTGTTCTCGTAGTACTCGTGCACCCCCTAGCCTTGTTGCCCCACCCTGAGACCAAAGATAAGATGGCTTATCTAATTGCCTGAGGAAAGACTACTCAACCCTCATAGAGCTACCGTTGATTATAGGGCAAGGCCATGGTTATCGATTTGGGCATACAACTGTGACCGTCAGTGTGGTGATCTCGGACCTTGGGGAGAGTTCAACCTACTACACTGGATCCACTTCCACCAAGCCTGGATGACCCAGCATGCTCAAACCAGCAATACCAAACACAGTGTGCATCACATCGACCATGTCGCCAGGTCTGTCTGCAATTCCTCCGTGTTCGGCATCTTGGCATCGTAGAATGAACTTGGTGAGTGCCATGCCGTCAATCCAGTGCACCTTACCCAGCATGGCTATGCTACTGATCACCCACCAACTGTAGCACACATCTTCGAGTTTTTCCGGCCGACCGTTGAGACCACCATTTGGAAGTTGTCTTTCACTCAACCACGCCCCTAGTCGCTCCGAGTCCACAAGATCGAGTCGACGTGCGATGGTTAATGCCCCAACTGCCGTAAACGTACCGCCAGCATGAGACTCTGCGCCAGGAGTGAACCCAAATGCACCATCGAAATTACCACAAGCTTGTACATGTGATACAGCCTTTTCAACATCAACAAGATGCATCAAGTCAAGAATAGATAAGGCGTTTAGTGCCCCATAGAGAAACCGAGTGTCCATCTCACCCCACTCATCACCTGAAAATGCACCGCTATCAGGTTGTTGGCATTTGGCAATGACTGGCAATTATCAGTTGAGCAGAACTTGGAGGTGCAGAGTAAGTCCACGAAACTCACACTTCGCAACTCCCTCCTTCCCACCCCTCTCACCCTGCTCTAGTTCTGGTAAAGCGTTGAGAGTTGCCAGAATCTGAACGGCGCTTACCGTATATAACATATGAGAGTCATGCCCAGGAGCAGCCCCAAACCCACCATCATTATTCTGGCATGCAAAGACAAATTCTAGAGTTTTGTCCCTGGGAAGAGCATCTGGATGGCCAAGAAGATGGAGTGCTGTTAGGCCCCAGTACAAACCAGTAAGCCTCAAGTGCTCAGTCAACCAATAGTCCAGTTCGTCCTTTCTCTGTTGCAAACATCAATACCTTGGAACTCGAAGTCAGTCGCTTGATAGACGCACGGTATCCAAGCTTTGAATGTACTTGACATGGCGGTCAACCACGAGGGCAAGCTCAGTGGGCAAGTTGCCAGCTAAAGCCAACGTGCCACCTACGCCGGGCCCCGCTACAAGTGACATTTCACCAGCGAGCGGCGGGGGTGGAAGCGGTGCCGCAAGGCGTCAGGCTGGACTTGGGACACAGTAGCTTGTCAGTGATCGAGATGTGATTGCGGAGAGCGAAATCGCCAATCGTCGAGCTTTCAAAGGCGAAGAATTGCCACAACGCTGTTTGGCGGCAGTTTTGGATATTACCAACATGAACAGTAAGCACGTCTGTGTTTCAGTGATAACGTGGATGAGCAACGGGTCAAGTTCCAGATCTGTGGAGGCGAGATTCGATGAAGAATGCCAAGAAGTTGGAGAGGGACTCGGCCTTGGCAGCGTGTCAGGTTGAACCGAAAATCAAGGCTGCGATATTTTATTGTCCGAGGAAATGAGTGAATCAAGGAGCAAGCAGATAGAACCGGTCGACCCTGCGACAGTATGATAATAGCATGCTATCGAATGTCCGAATCCGAATGTTGATCCCTGATGCAGATTTTCATGTTCATGTTGAATCGTATCAAACTAGCCCCCATACTATTGATACTAGTACTGGTGGTACCAAGTAGCACGGAGTCTTCGGCTCTTAGTCGAAACTTGGTGCGTTGTCTGGATCTTAAACCAATTTATCAGCGGCTCAGGAGGATGATCGCAGAGACAAGCGACAATCGTAGTGGCAACTGCAATCAGCGTGTTTACTCAAAGTCATCTGGCAATTGTCGCGAGATTTATGAGACTCAGAATATGTGCTGGGTGAAGTACCTAACTACTGCCGGCAAGTATTCGTCGTTACTTACGGAGGTAGGTAGCTGTCTACAGACACTTGGGGAGCAGTACCTCGTAGTTCTTTCAGAGATACGACTGTCCAGGATATCATGCGTGCTACAGTTGATTTGGATTAGCTGGGATTGCGTAAGATGATGTTATCCAAAAGAGGTCACTAGCTCGATGAATATCCATACGAGTAGTCTGCGTAAGGAATGGGAATGTTCGTTTATATTTCGACTCGCCCGCGCAAAGTCAATCAGGACAAGATGGGTTGATGATGGTGCCCAAAATGGTACCTAGATACCCACCTAACCTAGGCTTCGTTGGCGTGGGTTACAGCCACCAGCAGCTAGATTGAATTCGCCTACCGAGTATAAAGTATCTTTATACGAGACCAACTTGAACTGATGTATTATTTCATCAACTCTCAACGTGAGTTTGAGGACTTTGACTTTGTGATTTTCTGGTTACCAGAGTAATACTGGTCTTTGTCACCAGTCAAAGTCTAAGCCAGACTTCATCCACATCAGCAAGGATGGTTATTGCTCAGGTGAATCGGGCCATGCCGCTGGTGTCAGTTCGAGTCCCCTGTGGCCTGTAGGCTGTGGGTGCCTGTGCCCTGTTCCTGGCATACTCGGGCCCCGGCGCCCGAGGCCCCTGTCTAAGCCTGAACCAAACCCGAGTCGGTGAGCGCCAAACATGCTAAACGTTGCTCGAAGCGGGTGTTGCTTCATGACATCGACCAGGGCGTCTCAAGGTTGATCTGATGACTTTCCAGGGGTAAAATGTCGTTCGTATTGCCAGAGCCAGTGCCTTGCATCCATCTCAACCCCACCTTCCTGTACTATTGCGCACTCTTTCATGCAGCCGTGCTGGACGGAGAACGGATAGACGATAGCACTGGACAACCACTCCTGGCGTAAGTTATGCTGCATGTTGATCCATTACTCGGTATCTTTGGGGAAAAAGAAATCTCTCTGATTCTCAGAGGTCTTGAATACTATTGTACGAGTACTCGGTAGTGGTCCACTGCATGTCCAAGCAGGTCCTCAGAAAAGAAGTAGCGCTCAGTTTCCCTGTCTCAGGCTCTCGCAGTGCAGTCGCAGGGCTCCTCTAAATTCCAGCTTGCCCTCACCGCTCTAGTTAACCTCCACCATCCACCTCTCACTGGCACTTGACTTGATACTGGACCGGCTGCACCTATCGCCGCCTACCACCACCACCTTAAGGGCTGCGTACGAGTACCACTTTACTACACCACCACCCTCACCACCTGCAGTCCACTAGTAAACTGCATATCTCGAAAATCTCCCCGATCTTCTGCGCCAACCCACCACTCTATCCACGAGCATCCTTCCCTCCCTCCTCTGCCAACACATCACTCCGATTACGACCATCCTCTCTATACACCTCCCATCGAACCTCTTCTTTTCGGGCTGGATTTTGTCTCGTTTTGTCCTTTCAGTCCCTGCGCTGAGACGCTTTGCCGCTTGCCGCCCTCCCTGCGTTGTTGCAATCCTTCACTTCTGTCACTCCTTGACTCTACAGACATTCATCCTGGTTCGCCCTTCGGCTTTCTCTTTCACCACTTTGATTGATTCATTGGTCACCTTGTCGCACAATTCCGCCTCACTCTGAAGATTGCCTGATTGTAGACTTTGGATGCCACCCCACAAACAAATCCTTCACATGCAGTATTTTGGACGAGGCATCACTTCGACCACACCACCCCCATTTCAATCACCTTGAGACGTACTGTCACCAACAGCGTTGATTAGACCCTGACGGACACCCGGCCGTCTCCATCGAAACAAATACCCATTTGAATTGCCGGTCAGTCAAATCAACACCACCTTTCGGTTTGTTACCTTTGCCGAACCAAAATAGAGGGACCGCCTTTCACTCCCCCGCCAGCTGCGATCACTGGTGTCAGCTTGTACCACCGCCTCGCGTCCGCTGACGTTGATCGTGTGTATTATACTCAAAACAAGTCGACTGTTTGTCACAAGAGGTGGTACTGACAACCCACACTCCAAACTCAAGTCTCACAAGGCTCCGTCGGCCTGGTGCAAGCAAACCTTTGTCAAACCCTGAGCCTGGCCGGCTCCTTTGCAGTCGGCCCTGTGGATGACATTGTTCAACAACTGCGGACATGCCTAAGGCCTCGGCTTTACCGTATCTCAATGTGAACGCCGCGAAAAACAATGAAGAGTTCAATCGTTTGACTCCTGCCACATTAAGCCCTCGTTCTACTGGATCACCTCGCAGTCCTGGTTCAGCTCCTGCCTCCCCATATTTACAAGGAGGTGCCGTCCCGTCCATGATGCACCATATTTCTGCAGTTGAAGATAATCGAAACGATTCACATCAGATGGCTCCTACTTCCCCTCGGATAACGGCCATGCCGGAATTCCCACCTTCACCAGGGCCACCATTGTCGCCAAAGCACGGTCGAGACACGTCAAAAGGCTTCTTCTCCAACTTGATCGCGTCCAAGTCTTCGCATAAATTGCATTCTTCAGAAGGTGCAATTCCAGAAGCTGTCGAACGACCAAGTGCAAGGAGCCGGGCTAACTCCAAAGATCGGGCTTTGCACACGGTGAAAAAGCAGGGATCAACTCCCGAACTGACACGATATGCCCAAGGGAATGGCACAGCCAACGGTCATCCTCAAACAAGCCACTCAGAAGTGACCGGCTTACAGGTCTCCAGCGAGTCCATGCAGGCAAAGAAGGCAAAGTCAAAGTTGGGTGGGATTCTCTCGAGAACCAAAACCCTCAAAGTCGAGGATAGTCCACCCAGACAGAGAGGTCCCAATAATCTCCAGATTGACCCTGCATCTCAAACTCGAGACCCTATCGAACCGTCACCCAAAACTGCACCTATTCGAGCAGATTTCCGGGAAAGAGCTCTTGTCAGCGAGAATGGAGCGACTCTTCGAAACCAATCAGTGGATCGCCAACCCCGGGAAGATTCTCATTCGAGAAGGGAACGGCAGGCGGCAGCCCTTCCGATGTCACAGTCATTCCGCGACGGATCACTCTTTTCCAACATCGGGCAAACCGGAAAAGGCATGGGAGATCGGCTCGGCAAGGCTGGCAAAGGATTTTTCGGGAAGATTACTCGGAGTGGGAGTAGCAATGAACGTGATCATCTCACCGATGACAATTATACGTGTACCACGATCAACCTCCCGCTTGTCAAGCAAACCCGGAAAACAAGAATTGCAAGACGGTTGGAGCTATCCAAAGACAAGACTGAGTTCTGGATGCCGGCACTACCTTGGAGGTGTATCGAGTAAGTACCGAATCCTTCCGGAGTTGCCATTTTACTGACAAAGTCGATAGTTATCTGAACATGAACGGTTGTGAGGAAGAAGGACTTTATCGTATTCCCGGAAGTGGAAAGGAAGTCAAACATTGGCAGCGACGTTTTGATTCCGAGTGTGACATCAATTTGTTCGATGAACCTGACCTTTATGACATCAACACCATTGGTTCGATGTTCAAGTCATGGCTACGAGAATTGCCTGACGAGATTTTGCCCAAGAGTATTCAGAACAAGGTTGCCACACAATGTGCTGGAGCAACATCTGCGCCTCAACTGCTTCGAGATGAATTATCCCGACTTCCACCATTCAACTATTACCTCTTGTTCGCCATCACATGCCATCTTAGTCTCTTGAACAGCTATGCCGACAAGAATAAGATGGATTATCGCAATCTATGCATCTGCTTTCAACCCTGCTTGAAGATCGATGCTTTTTGCTTCCAATTCTTGGTCATGGATTGGAAGAATTGCTGGCAAGGTTGCTGGACTGAAAAGGAGTATCTGGAAGAAGAGTATCGTTATCAACAAGAAGGATCGATTCATGAAAGTGAAGATCTTGCTGTGGATGATCGCGCGATCTCTTCCAGTGGTAGCAGTCATCAGCCAGCTCCATCGCTTCCACCGAGAAGTGCTGATGCTTCAGCTCAGAGGAAGTCAATGGCACCGAAAAGCAAACAACGAAGTCTGTCATCAGGTGGAGGAGCTCGGGAACGATCCAATAGTGGACACACGACCTCTCAGAGTGTAACTGCCGTGCCTCGAATGGTGACACCCGAGCCACAGACGTTAACACTCGATTCCAAGCTCCCTGAACTGACTGGTCTTTCGCCGATCAGAATGTGAGCTCGATAAGATTTGCGGCTCGATTCAAGATGTTACGATGATACCCCAGAAGACGACAAGACAGAACGACGAGATGGAAAGCATGCATTTGTCGAAGACAAGTGAATGACTCGGCTCAGAGGACGGCCTGATGGATGAGGGAAATTGTCAAGAAGAGCAAGCATTCCAGCACATATCTGTATTATCTATTTGAATTTTCCATGTTGAAGCATCGATGTTTGCAGCGGCTTCTTACCCCTTTTGTGTGGCATATGTTCCTTCTTCTTCTTGCTTGCTCAGAATCATGAAAGTCATGAAAATTGGAGAGGACTGAGAAGCGGAAAGTGGGAGGAAGAGAGAACTCTGTGAGATTCGATGATGTGTTTTCTTACTTTTTGTGTACGATTAGAAATGATGATTTGTTGGGTGAAGAAGACGAATGCAAGACGGGACTTGAAGACTTCTGGCATTCTACGTCCAGAGGAGAAAAAGATCTGACGAAAGCCGGCATTGGATTTGATAGAATGTCAATCCATTTCCTCTGTTGACTCGAAGTTCATTTCATTACAGACACCAAACTAGCCCTGATTGCATTGAACAGACATTTTGATCTCTCGATCCTTTTTGAGTCTATTTATTTGCACTTCTTAATTGAAGCTGAAAGATGGTCGTCATCCGCTCGTAAAAGCCTTCTTCCCAAACACCGAGAAAACCTTGACGTCGAATGCCCACCCAAACCAAGCAGACTCGAGCCACAAATTGTTTTTCGCCTAGAACTCCCATCCATGCATTTCGTTCAGTATCAGACGAAGGAAGAACATGATATAAGCCTCGATATCCGGACTCCCTCCACTCACCCCTTCCCACCCTTCCTCCCCTTCCGCTCATTATTCCGCTGCCTGCGATCCTGGCGCCTGATGCGCTCGACCCTCTCCCTGCGTCCCTCGCCTCTGACCGTCCTCCCCTCACCACCCAAACCCTCGCCCTCCCGCTTCACCGTATCGTCATCCAACTCGACCAACCAGTCCGACTCCCCGGACTTGTTCTTGCCCTTGTACCCCCACTTCTTGACCCACTCGCCCTTCTCCTCGTCGTAGACGAGGTTCTTGCGCCGGTCCTCCAGCACCGCGCCGCCTTTCGCGCTACCCGCGAACTTGCCGATGCCCTTTTTGCGTGCGAACTTCTCCCATGTCGTGGGTTGTTTGGGCTTGGGGAGCGGTTTCCACCGTGGGAGCGGCGTGCTCGAGTGTGGGAGTGTCATTGTGACGCCGTCGGGCGTTGATGTGATGGCGCAGGTCGTTAGAAGGGCCGTGAGCAGTGATTGGGCTCCATCTCGAGCGATCGTCTGCAGGGTTTGGTTGCGGTCTGAGAGAGATTCGGCGAGTAGGCTGGTGGTGCTGGGGAGGGGGTTTGGGTCCGTGGCGGTCAGGTAGCTGAGGTCGAAGGTGTAAGGTGTGGGCTTGTCGACTGTGATGGGCCTAGAGACAGGGTGTTTGTTAGGTCTGGGAATTCTTCCTTGTATGCCAACGGCATTGGGAATGGAATAGATTGTACCAGTGACGGTGAGTGGGTGAGTTGTAGAAGGGTTGAATCTGGGTGCACTTACAGTCTTTCTGGTTTTGATCTCGAGGAATCAGACATTGTTATGTCTGTCACTGTTGTGGTCGCCATGATTTGCAGTCTGCAAAAAGTACTGCGATTTACTTGAGAATAAGTAAATGTATCCCACCACGACAAAAGTTCAAGATTGATGTTCAATTATTCTGGAAACTTTTTGTTGTCGCTGCTTTATAGTGCGGAGTGGTCTCGTTACTCCGATTGGGCAATGGTGGCTCCCATTTTTAAAGCAGCCTTGATCTCCAAGCTTGACAATTCGCGTTTTCTGAACCAAATTGTCAAACTGCAGTCCAATTGAACTGACCATCAATCTATCAATCCCACCCCAACCGTCAACCATCACCCGGGGTGGACGCAATCGCCATGTCTGTCTCCATCTGTACAGACTGCCTGGCAAGGCTCCGAATCACCAAAAACCCATTCACCCTTGCCTCCACCACGATCCCATATATCTCCTCGTTCCACAGCTCCGCAGTTCAGTACAAGTCGCCCCTGCTAAAGAAAAAGGTAGTCAACGCGAATACGTCCAAAGGCCCTCGAAGATCCACCGGAGTTCGATTGAAGAAGAAAGAACGCCAGAAGATCAACATTCCCGCTGTGGGCGAGCGGAGAGCTGCCCGCAAGCGCATCGTCCTCAGTAACACCAATGCCCTCGAGGTCCATGGTCTGGAGACTTTGAGTCTGGAGCATCTGGCGCAGCCGGAGTTCGAGGGGAAGATTTTGGCTTTACCTGGTGATCTGCTCGACCAGTTGAGGGATAGTCGGGCGTTCAAGACGACGCAGAATTGGAATATGTTTCGACGGCCTGCTACGATGATTAGAGCTGAGACGCTGGAGATCGCCAAGGCTGTTGAGACGGTGAGTGCAAAGAAGGGAGAGAACGTCAAGTATTTGGTCACGGGTGAAAAGGGGTCTGGGAAGAGTATACTCATGCTTCAGGCTATGTCCGTGGCCTTCATAAAGGAGTGGGTGGTTATCAATGTTCCTGAAGGTATGTGGAACTTGTGCCCGACATCACATCTGTTTCTTCTGGTCAGCATTAACACCTGTTACAGGCTCGGAATTTGTCAACAATACCTCGTTCTACGCGCCTGTCCATAAAAGTGACGAAGCCCCTATCGATCAACAGCTCTACAACCAGTCCCATCTGGCAAAGGCGCTCCTTACCCGCATGACCAATTCGAGCGAGGACGTCCTTTCGAAATTGAAGCTGAACTATCTCGACGATTTCCTCAAAGAACACCCCAAGCTCCGTCTCAAGCCAAACGCTACTATGAATGACTTGGCTCTCCTCGGTGCAAACGACGCCACCAATGCAGTCACAGTCTGGCAGGCAATTTGGAAGGAACTCAACACACCAGGAGAACATTCCCGACCTCCCGTGCTCCTTGCCGTCGATGGTGTAGACCACTGGTTCGGCCTGACCAAATATCGCAATGCCGAATATGGATTTATCCACGCCCAGCAATTCTCCTTGATCAAGCAACTCACCGACCTGTTCTTTTCCGCACCCGAAACCCCATCTCCGCTCCTCAACGGCGGTCTTATGTTCTTCACAACCTCGGGATCCAACAGTCCCAAATTCCCATCCTTCGAGACCCTGACCAAACAACTCCATGCAGCCAAACAAGGTGTCGATCCCAAGTCACCAGACTTCCCAATGCAGTCCCCGTACACCAAGCCCGACACGCGCATTACGAGTCTTCTCTCTCGCGCACAAGGTGTGCGGTTGATGGAAGTCAACGGCACCACCAAGAACGAGAGTCAGGGTATCTTGGAGTACTTTGCTCGCAGTGGTGTCCTGCAGAAGCAGTTGTCTGAGAAGCTGGTTTCAGACTATCGACAGCTCAGTGCGGGTGGTATCATTGGGGAGTTGGCGAAACTTGGTGTCAGAGTCAGGGCTTAGAATTAATCCTTTTTGATACTACATCGAGAAGTGATGATGCGACTTGGCGATAGATGTCGCTCCAGGTTCTACTGTCGACACATTATGATCATTGGGGCGACTCCCGATACTGTGTTTCCATATCCCTTGTCGAAGGAGCCTTTTCAAAGGAGAAGATCACAGGCATGCCTTCAATGCCCGACGAATCTCTTTCTCCCTCCACTAGGTGCAGCTGTAGGGCACTGAGCAGTTCAGTTACGACCAGGGGTTTTACCAGAAGGCTGAGCTCCGAAAGTTCGGCAAGGAGACTACTTTTGGGGAAAGACGGCGGATCTGGCTTGTGAGTAAATGTATTTGTACACACTACCTGACATAGATATTTCTTTTCAACGCCGGGAAAGAAATCAGAACATTCAAGAATAAAAAGATGGGATATACTATATCATAACGACATGCCTGCACTCCAAAACTCCCATTGCCACCGTAACCAAAAATACAGCAGAGATGCTCATAACTTGATGCTCCCGCCAGAAGACCCGTCCTTTCAAGCCGAATAAGGAGGCGGCGCCTGATGACTCTGATCCTTGCGCAGGACGCTCCTCTCGACAGTCTTCGATTTCTTCTCGCTGGAACTCCTCACCACAGGCTTCCTCTGCACGGCGTTGTCGTTGTCGTGCACCTCATCTTCAGAATCCGAAATCTCCTCCTCCTCATCGACCTCACGACTCCGCGCTTGCTGTTGCCGTTGCTGTTGCTGCTCCTCGTCTTCAGCGGCGGCGGCGCGTTTCGCCTTCTTCTCATCGTGCTTCTCGATCGCCAGGTTGATCAGCCCGCCCACGATCGCCGTGATGGGGCCTTGTCGTCGCGCGCGCCGGCCGCGCCGGCCGTACCCGTAGTCGTAGCCGTAGCCGTAGGGTTGGCTCATGCCTACCAGGCTGTTGGTGTTGGTGTTGGCGTCAATGACACGTACGCCGCTTGCGCCGCAACGGCAGCGGCGTCGGTAGCATGTGCATTGGTAGCTGACTATCGTGTTGGTGGGCATTGTCGTGGTTGAGTTGGTGAGGACCATGGGTTGGGCTTGGTTCATCAGAGCTCTTCTTCCGCTTTTGCACATTTTTGGCTTGATTTATTGGTGGTGTTGTGTTTGTTTGATGAAGTGGTATGTATGTATACAGTGGTTACTGGTTGATTTGATGTTTGTTGACTTGGTATAGATCTTTGCTTTGTCTGTATATGTTTGTATGTTGAGAAGATATGTATATAGCAGATGCATCGATTTATATTGAGAATTCCATCATGTTATATATTCATTCCATTTTGAACAGCCTGCCTTCATCTTGAATGCACAGCCCAGGCATCAAGCAATACAACCACTCACAGCACTGCCCTCGAAGAAACACCTGTATCAGGCTAGCTCCGCGAGTAGAAGATGGGAGCAGCGTCATTCCACCTCGCGATTGCTGTGACGCCGGTGCTTGGCAGCGCACCGTCAAAGCTTATCCCTCTGGCTATTCTAATCCCTGGAGCTTTGGGTGCGGGTTGCATGTCTCCAGGGACCAGGCCGCATGAGTCGGGGTGATCCAACCCCGGCGTTGCAGTATGCACGGCCGGAAGGCCTGTCGCCGGGAGAGTTGCTTCGTGGCTATCCCTGCCTAATTCAGTTACTACCGCGAGGTCACACACAGGTCCAAAAGTACTCAGGTCTCACTCGTGCGAAGCATCCTTGACATTTCATCCCTGTTTCGCTCGAGATGGCTGTCTGGATGATCGGTACTGCGGAGACTGAAGGGATGCGGCTGATCGTCATCATGGGTGTCATTGATTGCAGTCTTCAACCATAATTCTTCAAGTTCCTGGGGAAGCACTCACGTCATCGCGTTCAACTCCTACTCGTACCCAAGCTATCTCTCGAAGCATATCGGACATGTGAGTGATTGTAGGCCCGGACGTACATATTACTATCTCCACCATAGAGTCAGTTTCACTAACATTCTAGGGATGGGAATGCTATTCACAAAATAGCATGTCTATTGTGTATATCTTTGTCATAGAGAGCGTGGTTTGCACAAGGCGTGCAGACAAATAAGGAAATCTCCAGCAACACGAAGGCTTCAACGCTATCACACCTTCATTCGCACCTTCTCAACAAGCCTTTTGTCCAAATCTTGGTCCGAATGTTCCTCATGGCTCGCTGACCAACTGTTTTAAAGAGTGTAAATGGTCCCGACCATACATGGAGCCAAACGTCCCGGAAGCACATTCTCGATTTCTACCTTTGCTTTCCAGCCCGTGCAGTGGCCAGGCATGAGAATATGCGGATCCAAGGCTTTGAGATCTTGAACGGTCCTCTTGATGAAAGCTTCATTCGGCCCAACCAGGTGATAGCCTCCAATGACAGCATGCAGCGGTGTGCCGTCGCCGGCGAGCTCTAGCGCATGCTTCGAAGCGTTGACAACACCTGCGTGACTGCAACCAGTGAAAACAACGACACCCTTGCCTGATGCGGGATTAGCTGGGGAACTGGGAAACTTCCAGCTATGCTGATACTGACCTTTGACCTTGCACATCAGGAGGCGTTCATCCAGGATCAACTCGTCCTTTTCCCAGACTCCTGTGGCTTCGGTATATCTCATGCCCCTCAAGAACCCGACTTCATATGGTGTCACTCGAGGAATTTCACCAGAGACCACAAATGCGCCATTAAGGATAGCATGAGCTTTGTCATTCTTCACCACAGTTGCGCCTGTAGCCTCAATTTCCGCCCATGTTGGATCTCGCTCCAAGGATATTACAGATGCTTGTCCCTGGAACCCTCGATAATCCGGTCGGTTTGGGTGAAGATCAATGGTTAGGCCGTCCTTAGAAGACTTGGCTTCTTGAATCATGGGTATAGCCTTCAGGATCCCGCCAGAATGATCGCGATGCCAGTGTGAAAGCTGAATCCATTCGATCTTACCAATGTCTGCCCGCAGCCTCTTGGCATTGATTTCCCAGATGCGCTCTTCTGGAGCCGTATCAAATAGCACAGTTCGCCGCTCACCGTCCTTGACAGCAGTCTGTACAAAACCCCTTGTAGTTAGCTCTGTATCATACAAGCCCTCCTTCCGAGAATACAGAAGGAGTTTAGAGCCCTCACAATCATGAGCGAGAGTCCATGGCCTCCGCAGCAGACGTTGTCAAGACGGATTTCGTGACTAGCTCCTCCTCGCTCAGTGCTGGTGAGAGGTTCCTTGAGCGCAATATCAGCCATTTGGCCATTGACCTTCAGGTCTGGAATCTGGTAGCTTGTGTTTGGATCGATTTCATTGTCGACGATCACCACCACTTCCAAGGAATCAATCTCAACGAGTTCGGAAGCCATATTGTCAATCTGGACGATGCAAGTAAGGTGACTTTCGAATTCGTGTTCCAGACATTCACAACGGAGCCTTCACCTCTGAATCTTTATAACGCTGTCGTTGGCAATACTGGACACCTGTTGTCGCTCGAAAGCCTTCCTAGCATGTCCCGCCTGACACTGGGTATTGCCGCACTCTCCAACACCAGTTATCCAATGAGATGTAAACCATAACTAAAGGATTCTTCAGGATCCGACTCGCCCGCGCTGCAAACGGTACATCTGAACTACCAGCATAGTGTTGTTATGTTCTCGCCGCGCACCACTATTATCGTCTAGCGAGAACAACCTATCACTCATTCAAGCATCATAGCCTCTTCAGGAAGTATTTCGTAGCTTCGGCTCGCTCCTTTGAGCCTTTGGTCTGTTCCGAGTCTGACTAACAAGGTCGGCTCGCTTGATACTTAGCGAGATTCTCGGTGTTAACATGTACCGGCGACATGATTCACTCCGCACCCGGACGCTTGAATTGGCCTGAAGGGGTACCTGAGGTTTTAAGTACATAGGCGCCTCGGGCCCGACTTTGGTAAATGGTTAGGTACGTAAGATTCGTTCCCCTAAGTAGCTGAACCACCCTTCTTTCCTAGCAGAATAGCGACTTATCTGGGTGGATACCGCCGATGTTCTTCGCCGCCCATACAGTATGATATATAACGAGACCTTCCACGCTCGACCCACAACTGTTCATTTGAGACGGCTTTGAGTTCTGAGCACAGAAAGCCCTAGTACATAGGCAGCCGTTCAGACCTCGTCAGACAATGGAAGGCCTGACGGTTACCAAGTCCACCGTCGTCCGCCGCGATCGAAACCTACTGCTGATGCACAGTAGTTACCTCTTCGTCAGTCATCTAGAAAGACGGATGCGTATTCGCCAGTGACCGACTTAGCACAAGAGCTCACTAGAGAATATTTGAGTACCCCATCGGATGCGCCTGCTTTCCGGGATTTTGTGTTGAGACATGAAGGGAACTGGTAAGTCACGGACGGTCCCTGCCTGGGGTTTAGGTTTGGCTTTTTAAGGCATACCGTGACCAGCTATGTACAAATATTCCATCTTACGCCTCCGCCCAAGGTTGAGGCTCTTTGGACTTCTCCGCCCACGGGTTACTGGACTACCGTTTGTTGAACCGCTGGTCACCCATTAGGTTGAACAACCATGGCCAACAAAGAGGCCCAAATCGAGAGAGTGAAAGCCTTACTGACGCCTCAAGAAATCATCCTACCCTCATCAGCAGACTACAAACTCGCCTCTAGAACATGGGCAGCCCAAGCAAATCTCCAGCCCAGCGTGGTGGTCCAGCCTCGGGATCTCCAAACACTCGGCAAAACCATCGCATATCTCGCCAATTCCACAACCCTCGATTTCCGAATCCGCTGTTCCGGCGTCGGCAACGCATCCGCACAAGACGTTCTAGTGAGCCTCGCGGCATTCAAGTCGTTTTCATTTGACGCAGCCAACGAGACCATCACGTTCGGCGCTGGCCATACCTGGGGCGAAATCGATCGGAAAGTCGAGACTGAAGCGCCAGGCTATGCATCTGTCTCCGCTCGTTGTACCTACGTCGGTGTCGGTGGGTCTATCATCCATGGTGGCCAGTCGTGGCTCAGTAGCGAATATGGCCTGGCGTCTGACCCGCAGAATTTGCTGGATGTGCAAGTTGTCAAGTTGGACGGAAGCGTCGTGTGGGCGAGCGAGGAGCCTGATCTTCTGTGGGCGTTGCGTGGTGGAGGTGGTGGATTTGCGATCGTGGCGGCATACAAGATGCGCGTGTACAAGTATCCGTCATCGATCTTCTGCGGGCAGATCATCTATCCGCCGGAAAGTGTGGAGGTGGTTGCGCGAGAGACGGCAGCGTTTGCGAAACGTTGCAGTGATCCAAAGCTTGCGCTCCACTTATATTGCCTGGACATGACGCAGGGAAGCATGACGAGTCAGGAGCCGAATCCTGGCATGGCCATCTTTGCGTATGATGCTCGTGGCGAGGGGCACGGGCGAAGTGAGGATGGATTTAAATGGGCGCTCGATATTCCTGGGGCGGTTGATATGACGCACGCGGTGAACCTACGGCAAGTTCATGAGTCTTTTGGTAAGTTTTACTCGTTGTGCGACAATTCTGTGGAGGTGAATTCTGATCTAATCTCGCAAAATTGATAGACTCCCTGTTGGCACATTTTGGCGCGTCAAACACGTGGCAAGCAGGCGTCACTGTGCCCGAAGTATCTGAGGAGCTGATAACGAAAGCATGGGACTGGTACGTGGGCCTGAAGAACCAAGATCCGGGGCTGGTCAAGGGGACCTATGTGTTGCTGGAAATGATGCAAAAGGTATGTCGAAGCGTTGAGACGCGTAAAAACTCTGGCTTATCGAGATTCTTAGCCTGCGTATCAATCCCTCAGCTACCCAAGTACCCAGACCGCCTGGCCGCACACAACACACCAGCATAATCTTCAGCTCGGCACTGGCATTCCTCCGGGAAACCCAAAGAGCGATGCTCTTGCTTACAAGGCCATGGCGGAGGGGCCCTATCAAATCCGGTCGGAACACACTGCTGGAGACTATTTCCCCAATTTCATCGAGGACTTTGTTGATGCAAAGAAGGTAAGTTTTCGATTTCTTTGCTAAATTTCTCTATGTTAGACCTAGGATTGCTAACTTGTCTGTGAAGGTGTTTGGCGTCAATTGGTCCAAACTGGTCGATCTCAAGAAGAAGTACGATCCTAAGAATAGACTTGGGGGGCCTTTTGGACAATAAACCTAAGGCGCTTTGCGCATACAGGCTAGACATATATAACAGAGGTCATCTCGGGACGTCTATCTTTGCTTACTCCGCTTGACGAGGACGAGAAGCGCACAGGCAATGATGCGATAAATCGTTCCAATGGCCAAAAGTACGCTACAAAAGTGTCAGTGTATTTCCGCCAGCCAGTTGTGGGAAACCATACCCCATGTCCAATGCAACATGGTTGAAACTGAACCCAGTCGCTTCGGCCGCAAGATCCGTGATATAAAGGTAGTCCAGCGGCGCCACGTTTTGCGTGAACCATATCTCTGTGAACCATGTCTGTGAGAAGTAAGTTAGATATCAGCTTTGAGAAAGGTTCGGCTCCATTTCAATTGCAGAGACACAAACAAAAAGCACACTTACACCAGGTGACATTCTCCATAACCAAGCCATATGCCACGATTTGACTTTGCTCAGTGGCGGCGCCGCCCCTCCAAGGATACCCAGAATCAAACTCCCCATGACTGCCAACAAGGGCCCGTCTTCTCGCTTTGTAGCCATGCTGATGCAGCTGGAGAAGCCATAGATGCAGTAGAAATACAGTATGTTGGAGGCGAAAATGCTCGAAAATGACATGAGTGGTGTGGCCAGCACGCCGAGGAAGACGCTGAAGTGGAGGCATGACAGCGTCATCCTGATAAACGTCGACAGCACTTTGCCAATGTAGTATGCATATCGATTGTGTCCTGCTGCGGCCTCCCGCCAGTAAATTTGTTCTATGGGATGTCAGCTTGCGGAAACTTTTCCTGGTGCGATTGCAATTATCAGGGTTCATGCTCACTTTCATCACCGAAAACTTTGACTCCTGCCGCACTCGCTGCTAGACCTGGATACGCGTCAGCATATTTTAAGTTCAGATTGGATTTGTATTTCTTGCTCATACCAATAGCAAGGCCTCCTAGAAGCCCGATCTGGATGGCAGATTGATAGTCTACAGCGCTAGAGAGCGCTGTGAAGGGGAAATGGTATATGCCTTTGAACAGCTGACCATTCGCAGAGAATGCAGATAGCCCGATCACAGCACCGGCCAGCGCACCAACCCCCACTTCGAAGAAGAAAGACCCAGTGTTTCGAAGCTGCTGGAGCATGGCTCGATTGAAGCAGAACCAGACCTGTGAGAAGAAAGGTGATCCGCGTTTGTCGATGGAGTGCTTCAGGGAGTCTTGCTGTGCTAAGGTCGATGCCGTAACCCGGACTTCAGTAACCGGTTTGACAGCATTGTTGATCACATCACCTTTCTCATCCTCAGAGTTGATCTCCGATGAATGTCTTCGCCAGCTATCAAGTAGACGTTGAACGCTATCCTCTCTCCACGACAAATCTTCACTGTACTGCTGACCACTACCGGTTGCAATATCCATCAGTACATCCGCAGGATTTCTATTCTGGGGAAAGGCGAAATGGAGCTTGTGGAAATATCCTGTCACATCTTTGGTTTCTCCCGCATATATTTGTTGTCCATTGCCTAGCAGAAGGAGGTTATCGATAGATTCAAATACCTCTTGTCGCGGTTGATGAATGATAGCGATTGTAGTTACGCCAAGGCGAGAAATTGACCTCAGCAGTCCCATCACAGATGCTGCAGAGGTTGCATCGAGCCCTGAAGTTGGCTCGTCCAAGAATAGAGCCATCGGGGCTGCAGCAAGCTCCAGACCTATGCTGACACGTTTTCTTTGACCACCTGAGATGACAGGTTTCCGAGTGTCTCCTACTAAGGAGTCGGAAACATGAGATAGACCTAGACAGGCGATGAGAGTATCGACGTGCTCTTGGATCTGGTCATCCTTCCAATTGCTCGGGAGCCGAATTCGTGCAGAATGAAGAATATTTTCCCGTACTGTCAATTCCGGCAACACGATGTCGTCTTGAGGAACATAGCCTATTAATTTCTTATACTTGTTCATCTTCTCTTGATGCCCGTTTACCAGGACTGAGCCGCCGGTGTGTCGCGTTTTTCCCATAAGCACGTTCAAGAAGGTACTTTTACCTGCCCCTGAGCCACCCATAACGGCCCAGAATGAACCGCTATGCATGACTCCGGATATATCTTTGAGGATGCTTTTTCCAGGGCTCGGTTCGAAAGATAGATCTTGAAACTCGAAGGCCAACCCGACGTTATCCGCTCCAATGCATTGTCGGAATGATCGCATCAAGGCTTGAATTTCCGGAGACTCTGGCACCTCTCTTGCTTCATTGGGCTCAGTAGCTATCATCAGATGTGCTCCAATTTCTTCGTTTGCAGGGATAATTTTCTTGGCTTTTGCTTTCTTCATGAACTTTCCAGAGCCTTTTCGCTTGGAGAACATGAAAATTCCAACAGCGATAACTATAAGAAGGACATCCAATGCCACAGTAAGATATACAGGCAGCATCACCACCTGCCTCCTACTGCCCCTGGGACAAATGGAACCTTTCGAGCATTCGATGGGTTGCAAACTGCCCATGGGACAGAACGATCCGCTCGGACAAGTGTTGAGTTGTTTACCGGGGCGGGGACAAAAGTAACCTGGCGGGCACACTCTTGGTTCATATACACCTTGAGGTTGGCAAGTTCCTTTCGTAGAGCGGACGAGCAAGCACTCCTCTGTAGGCGGACAATATTGAGGTGGGTTTGTTGCATTTGAGTTCCTGCACAGGAAGCCTGGAAGGCAAACGTCGGTATTGTTTGGTATACAGTTGTTTTGATCAAATGCGACAGTACTCCTCATTTGTTGTAGTGTACCTATTGATATTAGTATGACTTCTAACAGCCGTTATAGCCCATGGAACGATTCCCAGGAATCAACTGTTACAAGACAGAGTCGCAAAAACCCACAATTAAAATTGTACATCGGAATTGGCATCGCTCCAGGGCGCAGACAACCAGTGGTATTTGTTGGAACCAGTAAAGTAGCATTGTTCCAAGCAAGACTGGACATATTAAACTCATTCAGGTTCTCGACAATGCCTTCGATGGCATTGTCGCCAATCTCATCTGGATCCATGCTTGCGACAGCTTCTCACGGCGCCGCACAAGAAACAGTACAGAAGGGGAGTAGACCCAACAAGTCGGAGATGGGAGAAATGTCTACATCTTAGGATATGGGAAACACTCTGACCATGAGGCCTCGGGCCTTCGTCAGCCTCCATGAGAGGAGTCCCTTGGTAGAGGTGAGCTTGGCGTCATGGCCATTGTGGTTCGAGATCTGTTTAGGCTTTGATCCGGGTTCTTATTTGGATGAAGACAAAACGAACCCATCCATAGACATGTCAGGAATAAGACTATCCTAACACTATTTTGTCAATGTTCGTGCACTGACCGTTTGCTGGTCCGGGCATCGATAAACATGATGTTGAGATGGCTCGATATGGCGATCATTGTTTGGGAGTCAAGATAGCGGCTCAATATGGCATTAATTGCACGGAGGTCATAATAGCAGAAATCGCAACCATGATGGTCTTCCCATTTCCATGGAGCCGGAATGTCACTTCGATGCTTCAATGATGTGGCTGCAGTTACCGCAACGGGCTGCCCAAAATAGTTAATAGCAGAAATCTATGGTCATGAGAGATATCGGTACCGTGTATGGGGAGAGCTGAGAGCCACAGTTGGCAACTTCTGGAAGTTGGCCAGGGAGTGTTGGCGTCCAGGGACCTGGAAAGAGCAAGAATAAGCGTGCTTGCCGAATGAATATCCCAGAGCAGAACAGAGTTTTCTGGGAAGGCACGACGCGTCAGAGGGAAAGAGCATTCCAGTATTCTCGGTTTCACCTGCATGCGCGAATGAGGTTACGAACAATGGGAGAAAAGAAGGGTAGTAGGAGAAAAGAAACCGCCTGGACAGGCTAAATGACTCGTGCTCAAGAACCAAAAATAATAGACCAGAGCGTCGCATTGGGGCACAGCCGGCCTCCCGATCACCGCCCCCAAAATGCAAAAATTTTTGTTTCTCGTGGGAGATGCCCAACTGAGACTTTGAGCTTCAGCTCGCTTGTGGCCCGTGGGTTGCTGAATAAGGTGAGATCAAAAACCATGGTCCACAGCCACCCATGCATCACAAGGATACTTCACACCCCCGCCTTCACGTGGCGGTTTATGACGTTTAGCGAGTCTTCAGGGACCGTCGTTGCTGTATTGGACGGCATCTCTCGTCTAACTCGTCTCCCCCCGCGAAACTAGGCTTCAGCTGGCTAGCCATGCGATGTGCAGTGCTTGGGTCTCTACTCTCACGAGAATGAGAGACAAGGCTCGCCAATGTGATGCTCAGATTGAACCGCAACACCACAGTTACTAAATCCCAAACTCCGCGTCATGGGTACTGTGCAAATGTACTTGTTGTGTCTCAAAGATGCATGCTGTTGCGTTCTTTCTCAGAGCTGAGCTCGGTGAGAAACTGCAACGTTAACCTTAAAACGATTCATGTTCAAGGACAGACTCAGGATCATGTCTTGATAAGGTCACCGAGTCGTTATCATTGAGGGGCCAGTCCACTATTCGTCTCGAGCATTTATATCTTGCGATGCGAAGCAGGAGTATACCACAAATCGACTACTGATATTGAAGGACGAGCAGATACTAAGTACCAAACAAGGCCCAAGCGTTTTATTCTTCTACGTGAATATTGGTCGCCTGGGCTCGTATCGCAAAAACATATCTTGAACAAGGCTGCAAGTCACCTTTCTAAGGCCCACTCGCATCAAACCATACGAAACACATCGGCCGGAGCATCCTGAATGGGAAACATAGGCCGGCCGAGCACTGGTTGTGGCCTGTGTCGCAAGCGGAGAGTTAAGGTCAGTCTCTGTCTAGTCATGCCATCTCGCATTGTTTTCAAAGCAAGTGCAGCAGAAATGCTAATTTTTATTTAGTGTGACGAAGATCGACCTGGCTGCCGCAATTGTAAGAGACTCAATAAACCTTGCCCTGGATACCGAGAGCCAGGCTATGGCTTTATTCGAACGACAGTCTTTGGCCCACCACAGGACTCTCAGCCTGAAGGCCGTTCATCATCTTTGCCCGCCAATCCCGGAACATTATCAGATATCTCTCTACCAGCAAGGCCAGAATCACGCCGGACAATCAGCTTCGGTTCTGTACCTAGCTATGAGAACGAAGGCCATGCACGAGGCCGGAGTCTCGATTATGAGTATGGCGGAATACCAACACCGCGATCGATGACAACAAGCCCAGACGGTTTGAGCGATCAATCAGTGTGTTATTCACTCCAGCAACTTGACGTGAACTCTCGAGTCTTGTACGGAAACTCGACTTACACATTTCTCCCAAACATCCTGTCCGAAGCAGGCTTGGATTCCTGCGTATATGCAGCGATGCGCTCAGTTGGAGTAATAAATTTTGCCAACCGCTCTCCAACCACCGACTTACGTTCTGTTGTCGACTTGGAGTACTCGAGAGCTGTTACAGCCGTGACAAGTGCGTTGGCAGACCCGCGACAGTATCTGAAGGATGAGACATTGGTGGCGGTATGGTTGCTGGCCATGAGAGAAGTGCGTTTGCGCGCCCCGAAAGTAATTCATCCCAGAAGCTAATGGATTTGTCTAGATGTTGGTTGGCATATCATCTCGACCAGGAGCCAATTCCACTGGATACCAAACTCATGTCGATGGCACATTAATGCTCCTCCGTTTGCGTGGTGAGGAGCAGTTCTCCCGACCTGAAGGCCGACACTTATATGCCACGCTTCTCTCAGCAATGGTATGCTCATGTCGTACTCTTTCCTCCCCTATGGGCCCTAGCTAACGCTTCCAGCACTGGCGACCTCTCTTCGCGAGCGAAGAACCAACCCCAGAATACCTTACCCTTGAATCCCAAATTTCGAAAGCCACCCAGGTACCGTTAGCATCAGAGAAGCTACACAACTTCTTCCATGGCACGTGCAAGTTGAGGGCACGCATCCGAAACTTTGTCTACATACAGCAAGACCCTGCCCTCGATCGGCAGAAGATCATAAGCACCTACTTGAAAGCTGCCACACGGCTCGAGGACAAAATGGTCGGCTGGTGCGACATCCCCGAATGGCGCCCACGAAAAGTCCACATAGGAGGCAACAATCAAGCGAGCTACGAAGCACTGTTCCGCAACCCGTGGACCGTCGGCACACTGTTCAGGCTACACTGCTTTGTATCCTGGCCAGGCTTCTTCCATTGGAATCGGTTCTTCGTGGCCAAGATCCTGCTGCACGGCGCCATCCTCGACGCGCTATTTACCCTGACGACCTCCAACACCACCACCCCGTCCTCTCCAGACGACCTCGACATCCCCACCCTCCTTCAGATCCACACAGCAATAATCCATGAGACGGTCGCCGATTTTCTCGGCCTCCTGGCCTACGCATTCGGCGACATCGACGGCGAAGGTCAAATCCGTCCTGTCCCAACACCTGTCATCAGCGACGGCGCCACAGAGGAACACCGCGGCATCAACATTCCAACGACGCTGCAGATTCAGCCGCCGTTGACATTCCTCATCACTTTCAAATACCTCGCTCCCGGTCAAAGGGAAGCCATGTTTCTTGCGTTGCAGCGTATTCGCGCGGAATTTTGTTTGAAATAGTAATAGTTGCAATTACTTTCTTTCTAGCGTCGGCCACTTGGGTTTTTGCTGGACAAAAAAGGAAACGAATGATATTAGCGTGTACGAGACTTTGTGAACATGGGATCAACAGCACCGTGTCGCCATTCTCCCTTTAAGTGGCTTGATGTGAAGTCGAGAAATATTAGAGAGATAATGTTATTGCGCCAGTTGAGCTGGCTTTATCCTATCAACCTCCCGAACGCTCTGATCCAACGTCGCGGACGTGATATTGCAGCCTCATTTCCCTAAACACACGCTCCATGACACCACACTGCACCAAGCTATGCCTCATACTGTTAAAATTGTCACCAGGGACATGGGAGCTAACTAGTCCGCAACCTGAGTAGTTGGCGCATCTGAACCTGGTCCGAAAAAGGACGACAAGTCCCACTAGAACATATCAAGGTCCAAATCATTGAGATCCTCCAGATTCATATCTCCATTCTGCGAACCATACAGGGCGTCGAAGCTCAAATCCACATCGTTGGAGCCCATGCCGTCGTCCAGATTCCCCATTGCGGCGACTTCTCCCAGGACCTGGTCGATGCTGTCTGCTTCCTGGCCGGGGTCTTGAGAGAGGTCCATGCCGTCGCCGGGTCCCGGCACGACGGCATCGAGGTTTGCGTTCGCGGTGTCGATGTTTGTCATTTGATGTGTGAATGCGAATTGGTCGATGTTCATGTCCTGCACCGCGAGGACGATGGTGTATGCTTCGACTTGGCGGTTGAGGCGCACGACGGCCTCGGCGGTGAGGGCGTCGCCTTTGCGTATGAGGCTGCTGAGCATGCTGTGGCGGATACGTAGTGCGTCACGGAGCTTGGGCTCGGCAATGCAGATCACGGTCGAGATCAAATCGAGGGCGAACAGGAAATTGTGGCTGCTGCTTAGCTGCAGTAAGACTTCTATCAGTGCGCGTAATGTCTTGTCTGGACCGTGGCATCGGAGTGCTAGGCGCATCAGTGCTGGAGAGTATCGTGGAGATGACTCATCCGCGATCTCCATCGAGGGAAGGGAAGCCAGGCTATTCGTGATACTGGTTTGAAGTGCGGCGAGGATGTTGACAACTCCATTTAATGGGTCTCCTTCTGGGACGAAAGAGAAATCAGGACACGAGTTGAATATCGTGAGAGCTGATTGGATGTTTTGGTCCTGGGCTTGTGTAGCCTCCAGTCGCTTTCTCAGTCTGGGTGCAGCTGTGGCTAATATCGTTTGATGTATGGGCAGTGAATCTGCGCTGCTGGGTGATTTAGTCAGGACTTGTAAGATAATTCCAGCGAGAGATACGTTGTTGTCCAAGAGGCGCCCAGTCCAGTTCAGTGCCGGGACTAATGAAGGTAACAAAAAAGACTCGAGGAGGTCTGTAAGCCGTTAGTATGGTACGACAATCGTCGGTTGGACCAACTTACAATCAAGTCCGGCTGTCAATGACTCTTGTGATAATTTTCCAAGTTGATGCGCCATGACTGATTGCCTGAGTAGTGTAGGTATCAACAAGTAGTAGTCGTGTGGGCTGCAATTGGAGAACAGTTCGTCGCTTAACCCATCGGCGAGATATAAAGCGTTAATCCATTCGCCGAGTTTTGCATCTCTGTCCTCGGAAAGCTCGGAAATGGCATATTCGCTATTTTCTCGCTCGAAATAATCTGCAAGGAAGCCATCCTTTCTGCGAATGCCCAGCTCTGATCTACGCAGTCCCAGTCGTGTTCTGCTGACAAGAATCAGCAGGAAGATGGCTCCAAACTCATCATAGACAGGCTGAGCTTCCCCTAAATCACGTTAACACAGGTGGCTGTCTGGGGTCAAAGTGTCCTACCATGAATTTCGTCCCAACTCCAATCGTCAATCAATGCGCAAAGAGGACCAATCCAGTAGGCCGGACGTATGAACAAAGAAATACAATTTATTGCTGACGGCTTTCGCAGAATTGCGTTCGCGAGGTCTTTGAGATATTGAGTTTCCTTAGACTGACAATAGTGCTGCATGACCTAGTAATGGTCAGCATGTAGTAAAGGAAGGGAGATGGAGCACTGCGCTCACCTCGACGATGGCTTGACTCAATGGTCCCCCACTACCATCACTTCTAGTGAGTTCTTCAATCAACTTAGGACCCCTGGAATGGTTTGACATGACTTGAGATACGAGGTCGTCTTTTGAATACAAGCCTTTGCTGAAGCTTGCTGTTATTTCCTCACCACCAACGAGTTGAGCTGCGATTTGGGGAGATATCAGATGGTGAAGGGAACATGTGTGCAGGCATTTGTGACCTGCTGTCAGAAGATCCTGAGTAGTCAGCAACGGTGATACCTGGTGCCAGGCATCGGTGATGGCTTCTTCAGTGTTTACACTGTTGAACGATGAAGCCGATATCATTGACAGTAGTGACGGCAACTTGCTTTGAATAAAGACTTGACATTGTTCCATGCGAAGGTTGGAATCAGGAGAGAGGCCATGTATCCGCAACGTATGAAATGCTGCTGTGAAGATGTCAACGAACATGGATTGGTATTCACTCTGAGGCTGGTCAGTCTGGTGTTACTCATACATAGAAAAATTACTGACCTGGTGGCGCGTAGACAAAAAGTTGAGCATGACACCATCGTCAATGGTTGCGCCTGTAGATAGCTGAACTGTAAGCAAGGAGTCGGCCAGAAAGGAGAGGTATGCGTACCAAAGTGTCGAGGTGTACGACTGTAGCAGCCTTTGAAGCCACAATCTGAGTCTGGGGAATAGAGACCTGGAACTGCAGTGCCTGCATCTCTGACTCATGCATCGAAGTTTGATCTGGTTGACTAGACCCATCGCTGATCATGGTGATGTGCTTGACAACAGCGTTAAGTCGCTCAACGAGCTGAGGGGTCATATTCGGATAGAGTGACAAGCACTGTTCAATTGCCTGTTGGACGGACGTCTGTGCATTGCGACTTGCGCCTTTGGACGATTGTTGTTGGGACAAAGCCATGAGACCAGCTTCGGTGGCAGCGAGTGATGCGAGTAGGAATGCAAGAGCTTCGAGCAAGTAATTATGTTCTTGCGTTGCGGACTCTGCTGCAGAAGTTGAGAAGTGATGGGTAATGGCAATCAACCATTTTGAAGAGAGCGTCAAGCACAATTGTGCCTCCGATGCATCTGTTTTGTACTTAGGAGACACAATGAGCATGGTGATATCCTGCAGCGTCCTAGTGGCACAGTCCAGCGCATCGCTCGTTTTGAGCTTATCCGATTGATTCCACCGATGGATAAGAGCTATCAATGTCTCCGATACCTTGACCAGACCGGAAACGCCGACATATTCGAGATAAAGCGATATCAACGGATCTCCTTTCGCGCAGAAGGACTCTCGGCAATCAACTAAGGCCGCAGCCAGTTGGATACCATCAACACCTCCTTGGGAGTCTTGTAAGAGGCGACCAAGTTCGTTCACAGACAACCGATTGAGAAGACATTGCCGGGTCAGTGTCATCCACTTAGTGACCGCCATGATGATGTAGCATCCACAGCGGGCATTCAAAGCCTCCTCATGCAGCTACGGGCGGGCTGCTCATGGACTCGGAGTCTTGTCCGATAGCAATTTGTTAGCTTTGGGAGGAATCCGAAATTGAGTATCAATAGGCCGGCTGCAAATCCCGATAGATTTATGCGGTACGAATGATGCTATTGCATTTCATTATTGGTTCGAGTTGTTGATGCAGCGGAGGTTAACTCCTTTCAGGTCCCCAGGTGGTTGACTTGCATTTTTAGATGCAAACGCCGCTCTTGGCGTGTTTTCAGCCTCCCCAATTTGGGTGGATCATTTTGGCCAACGAACGCACCGGATGTGCTGAGTCATTTCGGAGTCATTATTTCTCCAATGGAGGCCTTGACGTTGAACACCAAACGTTCTTTCTTGTTCATCCAACTTGAAATTCAACATGCAACAACAGTCAGATAGCACTAAGTAATCAAAGAAGCGGCGAGCAACTCATGTACAGTCTCGATTTCCTTTCTGAAATGTCTCTTGAAGGCATTTTCTCTTCACAGACACTGCTGAGGCAACCCCCATGATTTGGACAGCCATTCTGCCTTGAGGGGGTTGGTGCAACGATATCATCAAATATGGCAGACTTGCCTCGGCGCATCGCCCTGTTACCTGAGGAAGTTCGCGCTCGGCTGTCTTCGTCCATCGACATTACCTCCCACGAGCAGGTTGTGGTTGGACTCCTGGAAAATGCTCTAGATGCAAGTGCCAGATCTATCAAAATTCATTTGGACCTCGCAAGGGGCTACTTCTCAGTCCAGGATGATGGGATAGGTATCCCGCAGACTGAGTTCATGGAGACTGGATACTTGGGACAACCACATTGTGAGTATCAGAGCTCGGAGATTCCATGAAATTTGTGTTCACTGATGCATTCCTCAGGTACATCAAAACTGGAATCATCAGGTAATCCCTTTGGTCGATATGGACGCTTTCTGCATTGCCTCTCTGTTGTTTCTCTCCTGTCTATCACCTCCCGCCACAATCTCGACACATCCGCCAGTAGACTAATCCTCCGCCGAGGGAGTGTCATTCACCGGAAGTTGCAACTGGATGAGCCAGGATTTGACAGCCACCAATCAGGTACCAGAATTGAGGTCCATAATCTTTTCGGAGACATCCCGGTCAGATCAAGATACATGTACGAAAAATTTGCCTCGTCAATGGAGATTGAAAGGGCTTTTGAGGTGTTGCGGGGGACTCTTACAGGCTATCTCCTCGCGTGTTCGGGTCTCATGGACCTCTCCTGCACCATGAACGGCACCTCCCGGCGAATAGTTCATCGTCGACCCTTTGACATGGATTCTGCGAGACAACTTACTCCGGGCATGGTGATCTCGATTTTGTCCCAGACCATACCCGGAGTGGCCTTGAATACCACTAATTGGAGAACTGCTTCGGTCAACACAAGCAAGCATTCCATCAGTGCTGTAATTTCTGCGGAGCCAGCCCCATCGCCATTGAATCAACACATATCAATTGGTAGGACTCCGGTACATGCTCGAGAAGACTACGGCATGTTGTTCAGGACCATCAACAACCGGTTTCGCAGGTCAAGGTTTGGGCAGATCCCCAGCTTATGCGCTTCTACTGCCGTCACGGTCATGCCAGGGGAGCCGTCACAAGACTCGGTGCACAGCCAGTCGCAAAAGCGAGTAGATCGCTGGCCGATGTTCTACATTCGTGTCAACGATCCTGCCGATGGTGAAGCAAGTCAAGGTTCACATCAGAAGGCTCCGCTTACCATCAGGGATACCAACACTTCCATTACTAGAGCTCTAGAATCTATGATCTCTCACTTCCTTGTCGCAGAGGGCCTCGAGTCGGGCCCAAAGAAGGCACATCTTGCACATCGTGATAAGAGCCGCCAAAGACAGGAGGTGCGAAAAGCTACATCTACATCGGCATACGGGAGTCTGAAGACCACTTCTCAATTGAACCAGTGGCATCGGATCAAGAGTGGTCGTTCTAATCTGAAGGATACTGATTATGGACTACCATTTGCCAAGTCAGCGGCTGCTCAAGACACTCAGGTAGAAAGAAATCAAGAAATCCAGCTTCTCTTGGAGGAATCAAGCTCTGATCAGCCCGACAGAGACGCCCGGCTATGTGAAGACACTTGTATTGCGCCGAACAAGGAAAGCAACGACCTGGCGCACTCCTCGCTCGATGACACGCAGATAGGTGGTATGAACGAGAGTGTCATTTGGATCAATCCTTGCAACGAACGGCCCATTCATATCAATTCTCGAACAGGCTCAACCGTTGAAAATGACGAGACTGTCTCGACCACTCGACTTCGGACACGTATAGCTTCTCTGCATGGCCCTGGTGGGTCCAACATTACCGGCCCAACCCTGGATTACAGTCCCAATCTTGAATCCTATGGGAAAATACGTCTCAATCAGCATGAAACTTCAATTATCTCAATCCCATCGAGTGAACTGATCGATCGGGAGGAAACGGCGCCTGTGTATCCAGTCAAATGGAGTAACCACGTAACCAAGGAAGGCTTATCTCGAGCAAATATTCTTGGGCAGGTCGATCAAAAGTTTATTCTTGTTACCATCAAGGATTTGATCATTCTGATCGACCAGCACGCGGCTGATGAAAGAGTCAAACTGGAGCAACTGTGTCGAGACTTATGCATTGGCGATGCCACAATACTGGCCAAACCTCTCATCTTCGAGATCGAAGAAAATGAAGCGTCTCTATTCCAGTCGTGGCAAGCATATTTCAAGAAGTGGCAGATCATATACACGGTCGAACAGAGCACGATGAATGGTCTGGGACACAGAGAAGACACGAGACGACAAGGCCTGTGTATCAGTGTTACGGCTCTTCCCAACCTCGTAGCAGAGCGATGCCGGGCGGAACCTGCACTGCTAATCGAACTTATCCGGAAAGAGTTGTGGTCTGATCGTTCTCAGAGCAAGCTGGAAACTTGTTCACGGCCATCCTTGCCGCAATCATGGCATGCCATTGCCTCATCTTGCCCCCACGGAATCCTGGAGCTGCTCAAATCACGATCTTGTCGAACTGCAATTATGTTTAATGATATCTTGGATATTGAAGAGTGTCAGGGGCTTGTCCGACAATTATCGAAGTGCGATCTGCCATTTCAGTGTGCTCATGGGCGACCCACTCTAACCGTGTTGACGAAAATGGGTCTATTGGATAAAGACCCTGGAAGCGGTGCTCTCGGAACGGAAGCGCCCATGTATGATAGCAGAGATGGATTTGGTGCTGCATGGGTCCAATGGAGCTCGAGTTTCTAGTATCCTTATCCAGCTTGGATATGACGACATTGATTCAGCAGGCTAACTGAGCAATACGTCAGGAAAAGCGGTCACTACCTGTGATGTTGGAAATACAGAAATAAGCAGCATCAAGGCGTCGAGTGAAACACATTATCAACGAAATGACATGATTCGGAATTCTTCGACTGCTTACTTCGTATGCAGGCCCTGGAGGGTATTTTCATCGTCGAGGTGGGTCTGAAGACAGGGGATGGACCCAACATGGGTGATAGTCAGTATTCTAGTCAGGACCGGGTGTCTCTGGCAAACCGGTCGATGAAGATAGCTTCACCCTCATTTGTCCCCTCTCTAGGACATCAAACAACTAGTTCGAACCTTCACATCTCAATTGAACTCCTGCGTAAGGCCCCTGGGGCTGAATATATATTCGTGCTGACGGCGGCAGCAAATCTTGCACAGAATAGAGCGATTGGCCGTTGCGCGCTTGGGCGCCAAATGCTTGCGCTTCCATCCAGAAACGTCGTTAGACCTGTTTCATCTAGCGACTGTTCACGTGATCGAATTACGCGGCATCCCTGTCGTCTTTTGTGATGCGCGCGCAGGAGCAGCTGTCACGTCGATGAGAACCAATGACAACCGAGAACGGCCCCAATAGACGGTGATGGTGCAAGGATCAAGTGAGTCAAGGCGTCCATCCTTGAGCGCAGCGGCTGCCTGCCAAATGTGAGTCGACCTCAAATTTGAAACCTGCGTCCAATCGAGGTCACGAATTTGTACGAACCATGGACCGGCCATGGGATAGTATGTTAGTCCCTGTAAAGCGGACTGCACTCTACCCTCTGGAGTCTGGTAGGGCTGCACATGCAGCGAGTTCCCCCCAAAGTGGAGGATGTGGTGATTACCGTTGGTGCCCGCTGTGCAACGATGTTGTTTGACACCCAGGTCAGATTGTCTTAGGTGCTAATCCCCGTTGACATTGCAAAAGCTGATCGACTGATGCCATGCACGGGAAAAGAAGCTAGTTGGTCTCTCACTGAGGTCGGTGAACGAGGGAATTACGGGAGTCGTCTCCAGCTGCCGAGTACATTATTACGGAGTACTCTGTGAGGGAGGTGTTCGTCACCTTTTCTTCGTACTAACGCTAGCACTGTTGCTCCCCCCAGTCACCAAAGGCTAAAGCCGCGGTGAGCATGAACGGTCAAGCTCAAAGTGAGAGTTGGCAATGGGCAGTTAGTCAGTGACTGCTGCTGGTCGTGGTCAAGCTCAGCCGATGCGAACTGGGAAATTCCCCTTCGTATCCACTTGTCGAGGTCTGACACCTTTCTTGGGGGGCAAGTGTAACACCAGAATTGCCGCCTGGGGGCGACTGCGTCGTCTGCACGCCCATGGCCCCCCGGGCGTCCCCCGTGCTAGTTGATCAACCAGAATGGGCCAGTCACAGCACAACGCGCGATTGCGGCAGTGCTCGGGCCAGGGGCAGGAACTCCAAGCGCCATTTTTGCAAGCGCCAGGCGGTGGGGATGCCCGGCTTTGAGTGGTTGCTCATGCGTCCCTTTAGCCTTCGGGGCCCTTGGAACCCTTGGACGTCTTGAAGCTCAAGGAAAGCCCCCCTTCCGAACCAGCGACAAGCGTCCCCAAGCGTCTCCCATGGTCCATCCATTTGCAGTGCCAGTGCGGTAGCTCTTCCTCGGACGGCTACACCCACTGGCACTCCCACCTCCCACCTCCGACCGCAGTTGAACTTGTCCAGGCTCCATTCCAATCCATTCCATTATCCCCCCGAGGCTCTTCGCCAGTACCGTGTCCCTCCCAGAACTCACTCGACCTGCCCTTCGTCCTCAGGCCAGACTTTCAACTATCCTTTCGTTTCTCCAACCACTTCCAGCTTCAGCTTCAACTTCACATCTCTTCTCGGATCCTGCACTACCTTTTGTTGTCAAACCCAATCCAGTCTGTTGGCGCTTCAAGTTCTGCTTGCGAGTTCTTCCAAGAAACTTAGCCGTGTCCAACTGCGGCTGATTCCGCGGGTGCTCGAGCAAACACTGGCACCCACCTCCACCTCGCACCCTCGCCCGCCTGCGCTTCCCGCGCCTTGTGCGCTTATCCTCCATGCATACCAACGCCTGTAACATGAGTTGACTTGATCTTCTACTTCCTTCCAGTGTCGTTCAAGTGTCCTATTATTTCTTCCCACTGCTCGGAGCTACATATCTACCTCGGTTTACCTCATCCCCTCTGTGGCTGTCTTCTGTGGTGTTACGGGATCCTCGTTCATCCGCCGGCGCTTATTCCCTTTGGCACCTGGTGATAATCCTTAACCGCCAACTACCTTTTCTCTTTCCCCCGCGCCTTTGCGCTTTGCGCCATCTGAAAGGAGAGCCAGGGTCGGCAGGTTCATCCTCGCTCGCGCTTACGACGTCATCGGTTCCTGGTCCTGAGAAGGGGCTTCTGTCCGAAGCGCCCATTGCCGTCTCAGCGCCTGTAAGCCGACTGAATCCCTTTTATTCAGGAGACGAAACACGGGAAAGGAGTCATTGGATCACATAAACTTGGGAAATTCCAGTCGAATCTGCTACTTGGAGCAGACCCCCCTCCGAATTTGCAGGCAAAATGGCTGTTGTCGACACGATTGACCATGTTCGTTCCGATGTCAACTCTCCATTGAGTGTTGATACAGAACCCCGTGGTTTCGTGGCTGTCAACCACGCCTCTAGCAACGGTAACATGCCAATGCGTCCTGATGAAAGCTGTTCGGCGTACTGACTCGCTTGATAGGGACCGAACCATCCAGTCATAATTCATCTCCTCAAGATGATCCTCGCAACAAACACGATCGGAATTCACTCAGTCCTGGCAGTCGGATCTATCACTTAATACACAATCAAGAAGAGCAAACCAATCACCACAAGCGGAAGCGGTCCGATTTGAGCGATGATTCGCATTCCGAGAGCCCACGTACTTACGAGAACAGTCCGTCCAAACGGGTTGAGCCTCAGCATGTGGCAGACCGAGCGCTTCGCGCAATGAGCAACACAGAACAGAATGGGACTGGTCATTATGGAAATGGCCACTCAGTGGTCCCCAACGGTCACTCCTGGTCGCCGCACACCAGAACGATACAGCCTCATGGCCCTGCGAACGGGTCGCGTCCAACGACGTCAGATGCTCATTTGGCAGAAGCTCTTCAACGCGAAACACAGTCCCAAGACGACCTTGCCCGACATTGGGAAACCCAGTCAAGTACGAATGGCGATAGTGGTCATAACCTATACGATCAAGACTCCCCCAATACCATTACTGTGGCCGGGCCGAAGCGCAAGCGTAACTTTAGTAACCGAACAAAGACCGGCTGCATGACCTGCAGGAAGCGAAAGAAGAAGTGCGATGAAGCACGTCCTAAATGTGAGCACCTTCTGAAGGCGGTCGTCGAATTTTGTTTATGTGATAAACTAACGAATTATACTCGTAGGCCAAAATTGTGAGCGAGGAGGGTTTGAATGCCAGGGCTACAATCCGCCTAGCATCGGATCGCGTTGGCCAGCCAAGCCACCGCCCGTTAAGACCCCTGTATTATTGCAGTCAAAAGACGGCCACGGTGACGTGTCTGAACCCTCTTCGGCATATAAAGGCCCTAATGAAGGCTCACCACACCCAAAACGCAATCTTCCTCAATATGAAGGCGGTCAGATGAGACCTCTTCCTATTGATGACCATGATAGCCACCGCCAACAACAACAACAGTATGCCACTAGTCCGCCTCAAAATGAAGCCCGGGGTAGGCCACCTTATCCTAGCCCACAACAATGGTCTTCGCACCAAACTTCGTCGACATATAGTTCAGAACATCTTCCTCCTCTTTCGGAAATCACTCGATCAGAGGGAACTTCGAATCCTCCTCCAAGAGAAATGACAAGACCTTCGACCCAAGGTGCACATCACCCACCTCCATCAACTTCTGCTCCTCCACCTCATCCGCCTGGCCCACCTGGTTCAAATCAACAATTGCATCCTCCCCACCAAGGCACTGGGAACCCCTCGCCACTACAAGCACCATCTCGCCCACCGTTGGGTTCTCACGAAGTCAACCTCTATCACCCGCGCGATCAGCACCATCATCCAGGCTCTTCAGGCCCACCGGGTCCTCCGGGTCCTTCAGGTCCTCCAGGACACCAAGGTCCACCCCAAGGCCCTCCTCCTTCTCAGTATCAATATGCTCCAAGTCCATCACAATCTGAATATCGGCCTCCGTATTTACCCCAACCTGAGCACCATACTCCGACAACTCATGTGAGAATGACTTCAATGGGATATGACCCGCATAAGGTTTCTGGAGCCAAGACATTCAACAAAGAAGACGTGGAACGATCCAAAATGTTGCGAGGGAGCACTTACAATCATTTCGATTCTACCTTACAGAACGAACGGAAAAGGTGTGAGCTGGCTCTTGATAAGTTCAATAAGGCGTCCAAGCTTCACAGTGGAGTTAGTGAGGCGGAGACTCGCAACATCCTGCTCAAAGTCTTTGACCCTACCGAAGACGATACCCATAAGTTTCTCGCCGTTCCCCAGGAAAAAGGATCTTTGGGCAAAGGAGTCAGAATCGAAGCTCCCTTTACTTGTACTTACGGATACAACATCAAGACCATGGATAGTGTGTTTATTGGTAAGAACTGTGTAATTGACGATGCTGGTAAAGTCGACATCGGGCCTCGTACCTGGATTGGACCCAATGTGCATATCATGACGACCGATGTGATGAAGGACATTCAGGATCGCAAAGGTGCTGGAGGAGGGTGGATAGCAAATGGAGTGACGATCGCATCAGAAGTGGTCATTGGAGCCAACGCAGTCATCTACCCAGGTGTTACTCTGGAGCGAGGCTCAACAGTCGAGCCGTTTGCTGTGGTGAAAGAAAATCTCCCAGCATTCACCACGCAGTACGCGCCTGTGGGCAAGCGTAGTGCATGACAACAAGCGTGGAGCCAGGGTGGTCATGTTGGTATTGCACCTTGGCATCCACCTTCTGAGGATACGGAACGGATATAAAAAGTGGCCGGATATGGAAGGCTCCGGTGCCAACGGATCCTTTCGTTTTCCTTTCTTATTTTTTCCTACGGTCGATTAGGTATGAATCCAGTATTCAAATGTTATGTTAGATGATGAGAAACAATGACTGCACGATGTGAACTGAGGCTCATATAATCAGACATGGGGCGTATGGGAAACTTGACCATGCCGGCTGGCTCTGCATAAATAACACTTTACATCCCTCAGTATTTTCTTCGGGGTTTCTGATCGAGTTGCACGTCTCGTGAAGTGAAGTGAAGTGAAGTGACTTTGGTGCAATCGCCATCAGACTTATGTCCCATTTCTCGGTCCGGTTATGTTCCACACACGCACTGCCCTTACTTTGTGTCATGGATGGGATTTCTTCTATGACAGAGAGGTAGATGGATACTAGAGTAAGTAGTGAGTTTACTGAGTGAGTGGGTGAGTGAGGTGTGGACTGTCCTGCCGACTCAACTAGGTGGGCATATAGATGCTCGATCTGTTCCATATCTACAGTATTACAGAGATTAGGAGGATGGACTGTATTTACTATGTACTGTATGCAGCTAATGTCTGGTCTCGGAACACTGGCTGTTGGAAGGTAAGGTAAGGGAGGGGAGGTAGATACCTGCATACCTACATACTTCCATGGGATATATCGTGGACTGTGAGTTTTGAATTTCATGTTTAAGTCGAACACTACCTTGTAGGTATGTCAATGGGTGTCATCTAATACTTCTCGGTGTGGAGAAATATATCTATGGACATGGACCTGGATTCTACGAGTCTTTTCGGACCACAGCCACAAGGAGAGTTGACGTTGTCATGTCAAGCACCCAACCGTTTGTGAGTCCTCGAGGTACGTACGTGTATGCTTCAATGTTGCACACTGTGAGAGGACACTGGCTATCAAATGTCATGTAAGGTTGACTTAGGGATTCAAGGAGCGTGGATGGTTGCGATGGATGGGTATTTATCTCTACTTTTCTTTGGCCATTTCGCTACGGGCACGCAAGTGGGTTGGTGTTTTGCTCACAGCAGAAACTCGGAGAGCGATTATATTATAGTATCCGCCATATAGAGGGAGATAGGGTTTTCAGTGGCTCAATCATCTCTATGAAAAAAAATCTCGGATTGATGTTGAACGTGATTTCGATCAGCAACTGACACACGAATAGTTCGCATTCCCATGCTGCCGAGCTGTGCCTTGGCTTGATTCGATAAAATCGCATGCTATCATCATTAGTGGATTGTTTGTATTTTCTCGCGTGCACTGGTCTACAGGACTGAGACGCAATCACAGCTTCGTGAGAAGGGAGGATGGGCGCACGATGAAGGTAGAAGCCCTCCAGTGATCAACGAGTCACGAGCGTCAAGGAACACGCTGCCCGTTGAAACAATCATGATCGGAGAGGGTCGCTTCAGCCTACCCGGTGGAAACAGCGACGCAGCCAAGAGTATTGTGGGCGTGAACATCGAGATCTGATATCAGACCTTGAAGGTTGACGTGAAATCAAATCTGCAGTTTCGTCAAATTTGGCGGATTTGATGTGTGCCAAGCGGGAAGGGGATTTCACAAGGCTAGCGATGCCATCCCGTACCAACAATAAGGATGGATGCGTCTGCATCTGTGTGGGCTTTTTTGGCATCTTCGGTTGCTCGTGCTGCCACATAAGATGCAGCAGTGCTGCAGCAGTTAGTAGTAAAATAGTAGTGAATTCCACTATCGGGTTGTTTCACCTCTATTTGGTTACCTGCTTGGCACGTGTTGAAACAGTTTCTGAAGAAAAAGGTACCTACGTACGGGTGGCACCCCCGACCGAAAACGAAATACGGAGTTTGTCGAGGGGTATCCTGGCATGTGTTATTGTTCTCTCGAATAGACCGGGATCTTGTAGATCCTTGAGGACCGCGTCTGTGTAGGTTTTTTTTCGTAGTGGTGGCTTGCACTATTGGGGAGGTTGAAAAGAGGGAAGAAAAAAGGACCAAGGCTCAAAATAGACTCGATCCGGTGGGATCACCTCATTATTGAGATGGTCAGAGTCCTTGAAAGGAAACTGACGACTGGTGGTCTGTTATGCAGAGAAAGTCCAAGATATCATGTGCTGATGACACGGAGAATGGAAAGGATTTTCATTAAAGACGGACAGCGACTGGCTGCAGGCTCCAGGGGAATACTCCTCAGAGAAAGACGGGACCAAAAAAAGTCAGCATCAGCCATGATGGCACAACGTGGAAATTGAAAAGAGAGATGATTGGATTGAATTGTTGATGGTTGGCAGATTGGGAAAGTGAGCTTCAAGTTTTGGGAAACGCCCGATCCAAGCGAGCCGCCCTCCGAGGGCTTTTTTTTGACGCGTCAGGACTCAGGAGGGATTATTGTTGTTGTTTTCGGACCACGGGCGACTGGGAGGTTAATTACTACTCGTAGGTAGTATGGATCAGGAGACCTATGCCACGGGATCTCTTGGTCAAGACTCAGGAGAGGTGCATGCACCCAACAGATAGTTGCATAATAAGTGAGAGGTCTGTAACATGGGGAGTGAAAAAAGGGCTGTGACTGTTTCGGGGTGAGCCTGAAGGCCGAGGGCGTATCCGTACTACCAAGTGTCTGAAGCTGTGGCCGTGGCCGTGGCATCTTTAGGCGTTGGACTCTGGGTAAAATGGGCATGACCGTCCCCCGGTCGGCACCGACCAAAGCAGGACGATAGTGTAACGTTCAACAGTCCAGATTCTAGACCCGGCAAACCTCTGGGACTTATCAGAGTTCATGACTACGAAGTTTCTAACCGTGAGCTTGAATGCAGTGCTATTGAAAGGTTGGATGTTAAGCAGTCAGTAGTGCATCAACCAGAGTGTTCAAGTCCCGACTTCCGACTCCCCGGCGGCGCTGGCTATTCCATCAGTAGGTGACTGTCCCGGAAGCGACTGCCTCGGACCCAAAATGCCCAGGCACCAAATTTGTCTTTGATCGGCAAGAGCGTTATGTAAGTCGGAGACGGGGGTCTGTATGCCTGGGGAATTTCCTCTAAGCGCACGGAACAGATTACCTGGGGCCATATGGTATGAGGTCCTCAGGAGGCTGTCAGCAGCGGTTATTCTTGATTAGCATGCCACCCACGAGTCTACAACTGATGTTTATCATACTGGGCAAATGGGAAATGAAGTACGAGTGCCTGATTCATTGTCCTCGTAGTTAACAGGACCCATTTCAGCAAAAGTCTTCCAGGCGATCGGCACCTCGGACTGGGGGGTACTTGTAGTGGATCTGGCAACCCACAGATACACTTTTGGGGGTGGGTGGCTTGCCCAAGGGTGCCCACAGCAGCCCACCTGTCTACCTATCCACCCGCACTCCCACCAGGACGACCCATTGTAGCGGCGCAAAGTGAGGCACAAAGCAGTGGTGAGTCGTGACTGAATTGAGCCGTGAGATAATCCCTGAACAAGCGGCTGTTCCTGACTGGACAACTCGAAAAAGAATATCTCCGAGTTCAAGCCTCGAGCTTCAAGCAGCTCCCCGTCCCAGTCAAAGTCCACCGCCAGTGTGGTAACCATTACATCCTTTGCCGGTTCAAGTTCTCGCAACAAGCGGGCAAAGCATCCAATTCCTCACAGTCACACCTTCCCCATCTCATATTCATTCACTCACACTCACACTCACTTCTTTTGACCTATTTGTACACCACTGCATCCATATAATCCCTTACTGCTTCATCACTGACTGTTTGTTGTGACACGAGCTGCAACCTCTGCATGGTCCTTGCGTCGCTCGTCACGCCCCCCTCGCTTCAAACTCCATACCGAGCCCCCCCTTGCCCTTGAGAACTTGAGGCCTCGACTACTGCGACACGACACTTATCCTGAAGCAACCCCTAAACCACGACTCCGCCTTGTGTCACTCTCTGTCCGTATCTACCGGACTTTGCTGCGTCGTGCTAAATCCTCACACGCCCGTTGAGATCTTACCTTGAATCCAACAAACCCAATCTCCATCGTTGCCCACTGCCGCTTCTCTCCAATCACCATCACCTTGAACAGTATCGTCACTTCCGATTTGTGCTCAATCGCGCTCAACTGTGCTCAGGAATGGCTACCGTCTTTTCCATTCGCACGTCTTACCACTCGTGAACGACATGAGTCGAGTCCTTTCCCACAATCATGCGCGAATCCCAACCACCACCCATTTTCGTTGCGCCCTTACGGATTCGCAAAGGTAATGGCTATGACGAGGATGATATGTCCGAGAACAACTCTCGACCACCCGCATTTGGTGCCGATCCTCACGACGAGCAACCCTCCAGTCCGACAAGATTCCACAACTATCTGAGAGCCTTGTATCCATTCCAGCCCACCTCCCCTCACTCCTCCACAACCGTCACCTTACCTTTAAATGCGGGAGACATTATTCTAATACATTCAATACATGTCAACGGGTGGGCCGATGGAACTCTCCTCGATACCGGAGCTCGAGGTTGGCTTCCCACCAACTATTGCGAAGGTTACGATTATGCTGCTGTGCGTCCCCTGCTCAGGGCTCTCACCGAATTCTGGGATATGGTTCGATGTGGAGGCGATTCGAACATCAATCTGTTCCGCAATCAAGATTACATGCGAGGCTTGGTTGCTGGAGTTCGTGCCTTGTTGGAAAAGTCCGAATGTTTAACTCGCGATTCAGCCTTGGTCAAGCAACATGAAGACATCCGGCGGACTCGGAAGAGTCTCCTATCAGATCTCGCCCTGCTTGTACGCACAGCAAAACAGCTCCAGCAGGTCATCTTGGCAACACAGACCCATACAGACCTTGACATCAGGCTCGATGACATGCTGCTCAAGGCCTTCCGAATAGTCACAAGAGCGGTTCTATTCTTTGATGTATGGAGCGAACAAGTTGCTGGTGAAGCTTCCAGCCCAACCAGACAACTCGAGTCTTCACCTGAGCGATTACAGCGAACCTCATCTACCTTTTCCAAACCGTCCAAACCGAACACGAACAGAATCTCTGGCTCCGGTCCAGACTTATCAAAAAGAAGTAGCATGAGCTCCCCTGGAAAATCGACCCCGGTCAAACGTCGGTCTTCAGTCACCCACCGCATGTCCTATTCCAACAAGAACAACCAGAAGAACCCTAATCTGATATCCGAGCTACTTCACAGATCATATGATGACTTCCTCACTGTTCTGGCCTCTTTCCTGGGTTCGCATATGCAGTCGCGTTCTTCCTCGGAACTCCTTCTCACAACTCAAAATGCTGTCAGATCCTGTCGACAACTCTTTACTGTTGTCGAGGCAGTCATTGATAGAGATCATAGTACGTCTAGGCCTTTGGTTCAAGCCAAAGACTCAATGTATTATGCAATCACCGAACTGGTACATGCCGCCCGACAAGTTTTCAAACCTCTGCATTCCATCGAGGATGACTTGGTCTATTTGCCTGAAGAGGCGCATAACCTAGTCCAAGCTGCCACAGCCTGCGTTAGTGCCGCAGGTCGATGCGTGGCAAGGACGAAGGCCACACTTGAAGAGATTGGTGATTTCGAGATCGAAAACCTTGGCCAACTTCTTGGGAGAAACTCAGAGGGCTCTAGTACTCCCGAAGCGAGCTCCCAAGGTCGTCATTCGAATCCAAATCAGACTCTCTCGGCCCAGACACAGGCTTCTGGACAAACTGGAAGGTACTCCAAAATCACCCCACGTATATCTATCACACATGGGATGCAAACACCTCCACTTTCTGCCAATACCGCAGACTCTCCATCTACCGCTTTCGGTAGTGTGCCTCCCACTCCAAGGGACGATGTTATGGTCGATATTATTCGATCTTCACCACTTGCTCCATCTGTATCTCCAGAGCCCAAGTCAACCGTGCTCAGGCCCAGCTTTGAAAGATCATTGACAGAGGTCAAACAGCAGAAGCCATCCCACCGCATCGTGGCAGGAAGCACCAGCAGTGAAAGCAGTTTCGACCATCAAAGTCAAAGGTTATCGGATCCCAGCAACCTTTCGAGTGCCTCAACTCGGGTCACCTCGGTTGGCGATACTAATCATAGCTTCCAAGACTTTACATCGTCCCCGTCCGTTCCTGATGATTACACCCATCTGCCAGATGATGAAGTGGTGGAGGCTGAAATCCTTACAAATACATTTGTTCAAGAGCTTGTCTTCAACAGAGAGGGCACTATTGTTGGAGGCAGCTTGAATGCATTGGTCGAGCGGCTTACGGCACATGACTCGGCACCTGATGTGACATTTATCACAACCATCTACTTAACCTTTCGTCTTTTTGCCAAACCCGAGGAATTTGCTCAAGCTCTTGCTTATCGATTCGATTACATTGGGCAGACTGTGACTATTGCGAATCCAGTTCGCTTGAGAGTGTACAATGTCCTTAAGGGATGGATGGAATCGCATTGGAGGCATGATGCGGACGATACTGCTCTTCCCGTTATTGTCGGGTTCGCAAGAGAGTCTCTTGCTCCGGTTCTTCCACAGGCGTGTAAGAGAATACTGGAATTGGCTGAGAAAGTCTCGTCAGCCAGTGTTCAAGAGGTTCCGCGAGTTCTCTCAATTATGGGAAAGACCAGCACTTCGTCAGCTACATACATCGATCCAAGCTCTCCCTTGCCTATGCCGATCATCTCCAAAAGCCAACTGGCAGCTCTCAAATCATGGAAACACGGAGGCCCATCTGTCAGCATTCTTGATTTCGATCCTCTCGAGCTCGCCCGACAGATCACTTTGAAGGCGTCGAAAATATTCTGCTCAATTCTTCCCGAAGAGCTTCTGGCTACTGAATGGACTAAGCGCACAAGCTCTCTTGCGGTCAATGTTCGCGCAATGTCAACGCTTTCTACCGATATCTCGAATCTCGTTTCTGATTCGGTGCTGCAATTGGAGGAGCCCAAGAAACGTGCAGCCATTATCAGACAGTGGGTCAAGATCGCAAACAAGTGTCTTGAATTACATAATTTTGACACTCTCATGGCTATTGTGTGCTCCCTAGATTCCACCAATCTTAAAAGAATGAGGAAGACTTGGGAGGCAGTACCCCAGAAGACAAAGACTGTTTTTGACGACCTTCGCAAAGTTGTTGACATTTCGCGCAATTATGCAGTCTTACGGCAGCGTGTTTCTGCACAGTTGCCTCCTTGCTTGCCATTTATCGGTGTGTACTTGACAGATTTGACCATGGTGGACTCGGCAAATCCATCCACGAGGCCGTTGGCCAATGATGATAGTAAAATGACGGTCATTAATCTTGATAAGCATATCAAGACTGCCAAAATCATCTCTGCACTGCAGAAGTATCAGATCCAGTATCGATTCACCGAAGTTTCTGAACTGCAAACTTGGATGCAGGATCAATTGATTCGAGTGAGATCTGCCGGAGACAAAAGTTTTCATCTCCACTATCGACGATCTTTGATATTGGAACCAAAAGAGCAAGGGAAAAGTCCTAATCCCGAAAATGCCGGTGGGAAGGACAAGGAGAAGTTTGATTTTCTGAACTGGACACACCTACTTCAGAAGGAAAAGTCTGTTCCAGTCACAGGATAATGGGTATAGCGCTTGTGCTTCTTCTTTGTTCAACTACAGGTGTATGGATGGATGGACGGACGGTATGGTTGACATTTTTGTTCATTGGGCCGGCATGCAGCCTTTTTATGGGAAAGGGAGCAAGGGATACAGGAACTGGGTGTGGGCTTTCTCATGATTTGATGCATTTCATTTGTTGTACAGTATCCAGTCCCCACGAGCTTATGATACCCTATCATCGTCCGCTGCTTTTTTTATATTGTTGTCATTGTCGGCTCGAAATACCATATATACCTTTCTATGGATCTCTACAAACTTCTCCGTCTGCGTTGTGTGCTTCGTCTTGTCTCGCCTTGTCTTTGCTTTTCGTCTTGCTCTTGAAGTTTTTGTTCTCAGGCTCGTCACCTCACAGGTAGGGCTTGCTATCGGGATTATGTCCCGGTGTAGTGTAGTCAGTTCATTAGGAGACTCAATGTATTTGACTGCCACCAGGTGTGTTACATCCAAACGGGCCAATGGAAACATGGCTTCCATATAAGTCCCTTGTACCTACGCTATTGAATCTGTATCACATGGTTTTCATTGTTGGTGCCCCTCCCCCCCCCCCATAGGCACTTGTGGATGGGATGGAAACATTCTAGCTCATAGTCAGTAGTCCGGATTAAAACATTAGTAAGTAGCGTGGAGAAGATACTGAAGCTGAGTTTGCTTAAATTTAAGTAATTGAGCTGCAGACCATCCTGATCTTGTGGTCTTATTCGTACATTATTCTTCCGCATATCTTTCGTCTCGACTAGTGTTCGAGGCCGTGTCGTGGTCCAAGATGGATAGAAGACAGGTCCTACCACGATCCGCTGGGGCAGCTCTCTTGTGGTCGTCACAGTTATGATGTGCTAGTCATGCACTCTTGGGTATCATACAACACCTGCTAATACGTGTGTGACATCAACAAAAGACCCCAATACCATGTATGATTTGAAAAGGCAAAAGGGCCGTATGAAATAGATCCAGAACTTCAACCAAACAGTTCAAGACCTGTCCTCAAGCTTTACCAGCCCGCGCCAAAGTGTCTCCTGGCCCAAGGCTGATGATAGCCCGAGTAGTCCCTCGCCCGGGATATTCCAAATTGCTCTGCCACATTGATATAACCGTCCTCGCCCACTTGGCCTGAGTTCTTCGCAGCCTCGACATCACCGCTCTCTACCTGCCAGGGTGTTCGACAATAAACGCACCGTACTTCCTTGCCGCGCTGGCTAGCTGCCCATTGGTCGAAACAGGATTTGTGAAGATTGTGGCCGCACTGAGCTTTGCACCAGACAAGTTTGTTGTGGTCGGGATCCAAGTCCATGTAGCAGATGGGACATTCGCCGTCCATTGGTTTGCGATTGCCATTCTTGGTATCATCATCCTCACCTTCCACTATGTCGGTTGGGATTGGAGGAGCATTGGCAAAGATTTGTTCAAGCTCAGGACGGAGAAGCGCCAGTTGGTAGACGAGCACTTCAGGCGCTTTCAGAACATTGTGCAATGCATAAACCTTGTGTTTACATTCGTTGCCGTTCATAGAGTCTGGACACGTGCATGATGGCTCTTGGTCAATAGATACTGTGTAGATGTTACCGGTGGAGCCAACAATGTCGATTTCTTCGGCCGGCGCGCCTGATTTGGTGGTCGTACGTCGTCGACTTAATACAACCATACGCTGGGTCCTCGCACGATGCAGTTTGACCAAGAAACTCTGTGGTGGTTTTGTTCGGAAGCGGCGTAGTCGGTGCTCTGAGGGGCCTTTATCAATTGGATGCTTTTCCGGCGATGTCTTCGAGGCTTTTTTCGTTCGAGGCGATTTCTGAATGGGTTTGACTTTCTTCGCTTCGGGCTTCGGTACTGAATCAATGTTTGAACCAAGTCTAGCACCGCCTTTGGCATTGGTGGCTTTCATGTTCTGCAATAGCCGCTCTTGCTGCTCCGCTGTTGCCCGAGAGATAGAGAAGCTTTCAACAGTGGCATTTGGCTTTGAGGCACCGGGCTTCGAAATCGCGCCTTTGGCGTTAGTACGGGAACCCATGTTGGGTGGCAGACGTCTTAAATCTGATATCAATGATATGCCTCTTCAAGGGGGCGTGACGGGAATCGAGTAGACTTCTCAGCAGCAAGAAGGCGCTGTGATACGGTCTGCTTCGTATCTCAGCACAATTGATGTTATTGTCGGCTGAGGTCAACGAGTCAAAGAAGGATGAGAACAGAGACAGGAAGTGGCAGAAGTGGCGAACCGTGTCTCCGCAAATCTTGGTGACGCGGGGAAGGAACGAAGAAACGTGACTTTACTGCACGTGAGAGCGTGTTTGGGCTAAGCCATGGAAAGCCATGCCTATTTTCTTCACAGCTGGAACTATATTGTTTTCACAACATTCTCTCACTGCAATCCTTCATCGCCTTCTCGAAGTTACACAGAGAACCAAATGCACCGTAACTGCAAGCTTCTCCGAAGACATCGATGCTTGTTAGGATGTCTTGATATTATGTTAAGTACCGCGCTTGACCCAATGCGAAACAAATAACACGCCATGCAATAATCTCTAGTGACGTACACGATGACTTTATCCTCGACATGAATCCACTAATCGCCGCAAGCGCCGATATACTTATTTATTGTACAAGGTCATAGTACCATTCGATCCCGATCCTGCTCATACTTGACTAGAGATCCCTGGTATGACCACCAGGATTTTGTGCAGAATCTGTGTGATCAGGATCAGCAATCACGCGACGAAGACAAACGAGCTCGAAAAACTTACAGTCCGTCGTAACAAAGGCTCGATCCACCTCCGTCAGAGCCTCTGCACAATACTGCAGTGTTTCCGCAATATCGTGTGTCCTCCGCAGAGGTGTCGTCTCATCAAGCAGGATATCATACTCAGCCCAAACTCCATCGCCAGCATGGTAGGCGGTAATTGATTTGAATCCGGTGACCAGATTGCTAAATCGATAACCCAAGTAGACGAGCTTCCTTTGCACATCATTGTCCACAGCCAGTCCACAGAGACGGGTGATATTCTCGAAACAGGTATCTGCCCAGTCGTAGATGATATAGACTGAGAGCAGTGCAGCGCCCAATGGGTCTAACCACCAGATACCAGCATGTTTTCCGATCAATGGGAAGAGCAAGGACAATGTGTTAAAGTACACATCCGTTTTGCAATCTTGCGCGAGAGCTTGCACTTGTGTAGTCTTGATACGCATGCATCCCAATCCGATCAGTCCTTTGAGTCCAACAGTTCCTGCCATGGAAGCGATTGCCACGGTCGTGAGGCTGGCGATCTTGTGATCACCACTGGGAAGGAGTTTCTGCACCGATTCTTGCAGAATTTGCACGAAAGATATGACCATGATGATCGAAAAAACCAAAATTCCCAGTGGTTCGAGTCTCCGACGTCCGACGGGGAATTTGCGAGCCAATGCTGATAGTCGCCATGATACAAGACGATTTGTCGTCCAGACGATTGCCGTGCACAACAAATCGAGCGCTGAATCGAGTAGGGAAGCCATCAGTGATAGTGATGAGGATTTGAGCGCGGCGATGCCCTTGGCCACCAGCAGAATAATATTGGCGATCACGTTGATATTGATCGCCAATCTCGCGTTCCGAGCGGCCTTGCGACGTTGCTCTTGCACCTCATCGGGTAACAAATCTTCGATGTGCTCCTCCACACCTTGCAAGATGCCATCCCTTTCCCTAATACCATCATGGTCGGCATCCGTGTTCATGGATTCCATCACATCATCCGCCATAGCCAACACAATGGTATCGACTTCCGCCCAGTCATTCAAAATGGCATTCTGAGCCTCGTAGAACTTTCGCACCTTCTTATTTTTGATTCTTTTCAACTATGATTTCATGCATTCAGCTTCATGTTTGCATTCAGGACTTCGGTGATTTTTTCTCACCTCTTCATCGCTCTTCCGATGGCCCTCGAACTCTTCAAGACGGACACCTTCTCGTAGTCGCTTTTTAAACGCTGCTGTCGTTTCACGATCCATCACATAATCGACAGCATCTTTAAAGCCACCAAATCGTCTGCCGCCTTTTCCCGCCTCGAGGTCGCCATCAGCTTGGTAATGAGGCCGCGATCTTTCGTAACGGGAATCGAAAGCCCTCTTGCCCACCATTGTGTCAAGATGCAAACGAGTGTCCGAACAGTGGCTGGGAAGCCTCACTTAGTCGATTAAAGTACAGTGACAGTAGCGAAAACTCAATGCTAATGGTGTGTATGGGAAGACATTCAATCATACAAAAGATCCTAAATACTAAAGTATTTCATTGAACAACTTGCAAGACAATTACCACCCTGGTCATCGATGACGGCATTGCTGCAAGTGGACCCCAGAATTTCCAGCATTCCATGGTTGAAGTTGGCCAAAACCGGTGCTTAACCGTCTCGCTTGTCCGACTTAGCCGCCTAAGCCGTAGTGCTAAATTCTCCCGTATTCTTAACTCTTGAGCCTTGACCTTTGCAACTTCCGTCAATCCCCAGGGCTTACGCGTCATCCTAACCATCTTGAACCTCTTTAAATGAGTCAGATCAGCTTCCAATAATGTCGATGCGATGGCCTTGCTTTTGTTGTTATGCGCGAATAAGGCGTTTCTCGTATAAGACAGGCTTCAATTCCGGTCGCCCTTATCCTGCATTGTTCTGGCAGCTCTTTGAACACGAATCTTGGCAATGAGTTGGTCCGTTCGAGCTCGCAATCGTTGTACACGTGCTTTGAGATCATGTAATGACGGCGCTGTACTGGTCGACGTGTCACTCGATGCAACGCTTCGCGCGTTTGAATATGGTGATTGTGCCGTTGATGTGGTTGCCGTTCCGTTGGAAGGTATGCTTGAAGTGGCTACGCACTCGAGCGTCTCAAGATTTTCACAGTCGTCCTCAATCGCATTGTCCGAAATACTCCCATCCCCTTGTTGAGCCTCTTCCGGTTTGGTTTGAGTCGTTTCTCGATGCTTCGACCTCCAGGAACGAAATACTTGAAGCTTCAGTCCAGGTTCCTTCTCCATCCAATCTCCCACCACTCCAGATTTCTTGCATTCGTCACATAGGTCGGGAAAGATGTGTGAAGTATCAACAACATCTGTGCAGAGCTGATTCGTACATTTTGAGGTGTCTCTAGCATCCGAGCATTCGCTATCTACTCCATTGACTCCGGCTTTCTTTTTCAATATCGAAGACTCCAGTAGCAGTTCGGTCATTTGAGCACATTGAACAACGGTTCTGATCATGATATGACCACAGAGGTTGTTGATTGTGTGTGACTCACACATTGCATGAATCGACTAGAGACTACTCTTGAATGATGAGTTGGGGAATTGAGTGATTGAATGACTTTTTTTGAACACTTACCAGTCGTGCTACATTGACGAGTTATATAGGAAAGCCATTATTAGTGGTTCTGTCACCTGGAACGGCGTTGGCGAACCACAAAGGCATTGAAATTCCTGGCAGTTCGACTTTCACAAAGAGGTTCTTTGTTGGAGGTCTCGCAAATTTAGGAACATGTATCTCGAAATCTCATCTAGAAGTGAGACATCTTTCTTTGTCAATGGCGCAATGCTGTGGAGGCTTACACAGGATGGCTGATACTGGTGTGCGATCCTTCGCATCCAGAAAACTGAGTGAAATAACTCCAATTGTCCATCTAACAATGCGGTCGTGAGACAGTGCTGGGGTAATTGCAGACTCGATATCTCAAATACCTACAGTGTTTCATTCCACATTGTTGCGTTGAGACTCAATCTGTTGGTCTTAAAGGCCTTGAGTAAACACGCAAGACAGCAATTTCATATGTGAGGATAGCTATGTGGAAGTGAGCGGTGGGTGACGACATGCAGGGGGAGCCGCGAGGCTGCTGAGGCCAAGGGGCTTTGTCAATATGGATAATGTGTCCTTCAATGTCCCAATTCCACCCCTCAGTTTTTCATGGTTAATCACTCAAACGATGCGGTTCACATATAACAATTCAATAATGGCCTATACCATATCAGTGTTTTGTTCCCACTATTCGGCAATGGCCAATTGACGGAGGCTTCTTTAATATCATGTGCAAGTAACTTGAATGCATCTAAGACGGCGTGGATACTAAGTGACACTTTATTGATGTCTAACAATGTTCCACACGGATTGTGCGTTGGAATATCAGAATAGTTATATTGATTGGTCTGATGAGATGGTATCTTCTCTCAGTGCAGGGCGTATAATTTTCTCGTATGAGAGGATCCCGGGTCCCTGCGACTCTCTAATCTAGCAGAACCGAAATTCGAACCTCTCTCTTCGTCGAGAGAATTATATCACGGAGCTAGCGTACGATACTTATATCATCACTAATTGTTGCTGTTGCTGTTGCTGTTGAGGTATATAGTAGTTAGTTTGTCTTCTATGTAGAGTATCGAGTTTAATTTACGAACGCCTCATTCAGATTAGTGAAACGGCTAGACAGTCGGCCTTCAATTGCCGCTAAGTAGCCGGAGATTTATGCAGGGTTGTGGGCATAGCATTTCCCGTCGTGCTTAGTGTCTACCATCAACACCTCATTGTTGAATCATTGGCGTGGGTCAGACAATCACGTTTCTTATAGAAGTTATGGTTCCCTAATGCGCCTCATGAGGGCTCAATGCCACTTCTTATCGTACGCCGATGTGTTGGGACATATCTAGGTAGTATTGAACGCAGAATGGTAGTCGAACGCCACATACTTGGCTTCTCCGACAAGCTTCGTAGGGCTCGGTAGCGTGCTCTTCTCTTTGGCTTGCCCTTTAGTTAAACTAGGGTGTCAAAAGCTTGCCACTGGCAGGACCCGAGCTCCGGGGACCATTCAAAATTTGATTGCTTATTCTTGCCCGAATGAGAAGCTCTTCCTCTCATGCTCGATGGCATCATTGCACCGTAGATTACGTTACACTTGGCATAAACTCTCTGCCCCGAACGTCACCTTGGTCAGCAGATGCATCAGGCGAGTGTCCAGCTCCAGTTAAGGAGTGTAGATGCCATCCTGCCATCCCGGCGAAACGGGACCGGCTTGCACTTGGACCAGGGTGAGTGAGCTCGACTCTCGGTACGAGGATGGAGGACAGCTACCACCAAATGGTGGCTCGTGATTGAGGAATATTGGAGCACCCCACAACCAACTGTAATAATACTCTCCCAGTACGAGGGTAATCAATTCCTGGTCTCTCTTAGCCTTGAACTCTGTTGTCGAGTGGGCTCCCACGTTTTCTTGAGCTTCTGAGCTTCTGCACTTCTTCCTTCTCTGACCTTCCTACCTCGAGATTCGCATGAGGTTTCCGTCCTACATTCGCCATGCCTACTTTCCGAAGACCAAGCTCTAAGGCGGAAGCCGCAACACAACGTCGCAGAACAAGTGTTCAGCAAGATGATGCTGCATTGGCAGGAATGGGCATCAAGCAGGAGCTCCAGCGCAATTTCTCTTTCCTCTCTATGCTTGGGCTCGCTTTCGCCATTTTGAATACATGGACGGCTGCTGGTGCTAGTATGTCGCTGGCTTTGCCATCGGGTGGTCCTTCTTCCGTCACCTGGGGCCTCAGTGAGTCTTGAAATAGTGGAATGTCTTGACTATGCTAATGCAATACCAGTTGTGGCTGGAATCTGTAATCTCGCTTTGGCTGCATCATTGGCGGAGTTCCTCTCCGCGTATCCTACTGCGTAAGTCGTTCTCCCATTCGATTGGCATGTCTTTTTGACTTCCTGTCAAACGTTACACTCAATTGGATACCATTTCCACCATCAACTAACTATGTTTCTTCTTCACCAGTGGAGGCCAGTATCACTGGGTCGCAATAATAAGTTGGAAGCGTTGGGTCCCTTTACTTTCCTGGATCACAGGCTGGATCAATACAGCCGGCTGGGTCGCACTGTCCGCGACTGCAGGCCTCTTAGGAAGCACACTGATCCTTGGTATCATCTCGTTGGCCGACCCTTCTTACGAGGCTCAACGTTGGCATCAATTCCTCATCTATATTGCATTCAACGCAATTGCATTTCTCATCAACGCATATCTCACTCGCCTTCTTCCTTTGGTCACTCAATCTGCTCTCTACTGGTCGATCGGTGGGTGGCTGATAATTATGATCACCATCCTGGGCTGCTCTTCCCCCACTTTTCAGACGGGCCACTTTGTTTACGGAGAATTCATCAATGAAACAGGTTGGCCAGATGGCTTCTCATGGCTCCTAGGCTTGTTACAGGTACGTCATTCACTCGAATCCCCCATAATTTACTGTTTTGACTCCACCATCGTTTTCTTCCGACCTCTCCACAATTTCTCGTTTTGACTCCTCTACATTTACTTTTCTCCTAATTCCTTTTGGTCCTACGAACTCATACGCCGAAAGGGATCTTTTAGTCTGACTGCCTTCGACGCCTGCGCGCATATGGTCGAGGAACTTGGCGACGCGACGAGACAAGGTCCGCGGATCATGATTGCCTGTGTTTTGATCGGTGTTGTTACCGGCTTTCTATACCTTTCTATTCTCCTTTTTTGCGCCAAGGACATTGACACCGTCATCAGCTCTGCTTCTGGTCCAGTAAGTCTTCTCCTTTGGCACTTGCTTGGTGGAAAAAGGGGAGGGGAAGTGGTAGGAACGGAATACAAGAACCGAGAAAGGGGTTGCAGGCCACATCACGTGACGTCCTCAACTAACGTCACTTTTCTAGATGCTCGAAATATTCTATCAAGCCACTGGTAACAAGGCAGGAGCTATATGCTTGCTAATGTTCCCACTCGTTTGCTTGACGGTAAGTTCTTCGGACAAGAAAGCTGTACAGATTGCAACTGACCACTGCCATAGTTTGCCGGAATTAGCATAATGACCACGAGTAGTCGTATGGTATACGCTTTCGCACGAGATGGAGGATTACCAGCATCCAAATGGCTTGCGAAGGTTAACACCCGGCTGGTTGTTCCACTGAATGCTCTGGTATTCACTGGAGTCCTTGTCATTATCTTCGGCTGCATTTTCCTCGGTTCTACAAGCGCTTACAATGCTATTGTCTCAGCGTCGGTCGTGGCCTTGGGTATTACTTACGCCATTCCACCAGCCATCAACTGCCTAAGAGGCCGAAAGATGCTACCAGCAAGCCGACCTTTCATACTACCCAGCTGGCTCGGCTGGACATGCAATTTGGTAGGTGACAAGTCCGAACTTGCACTGCAGTGCTGATCTCAAGCAGGTTGGCATCGCGTATACTCTTTTGACTACGGTGCTTTTCATGTTCCCGCCGCTTAAGGAAGTGACAGGCAGTAACATGAACTATTGTGTGGCAGCATTTGCCATTGTTTTTATTGTTTCCATCATTCAATGGTTTGTTGATGGTCGCAAGAACTATACCGGGCCACAACTCGATATTGATGCGCTCAAGAAAGGCGAAATTGTGGGAATGGCTCCAACTGAAAGCAACGCTGGTCCACAACCAGGGAACGATTTGGACAATTCAAAGGACAAGGGAGTCTTGTAATCTAGTTAGATATCTAGGGTACATTCCCTGTTCATGGTATGACTCCCGCCCTCAACTTGGCCCATTTCACCACCATGTAGCAATGTCAAAAATACTCCACAAGATTTACTTTAGAAGTGATATGTGGTGGAGCTATCCACGATTTGAGACGGCTTGTTCTGTTGGACTTTACCTATCATCAGCAATACCATGATCTCATGTCAACGCCACCAGTTCAACTTATCAAGTGTAGAGACTAAATATGCCAGCCTTCAGGCAGCACGGACGATAATCGCAGCATTCGCGAAATTTATCATTCAGGCCAATCAGGATTCGACTTCCGTCTAAACACAGCAATGTGCTTGTTACCACCATTCCTTGTAACCTTCTTCGACTCCTCGGTTTCCTCACTCATGATCTTGACACACGGATCAGCATCCAATTCCTCCTGCGACACCCGCTCCCACAACTCTTTTGCATCCCCCGCCTCCTCACCCACAAAATGCTTCGTCATCCACTGCGACAGCTCCTCCACATCCGTGATCGTGTAGACCATCCCTCCAGGCCTTGTCACATACGCATACTCGGCGTTCAACTGTGCCGAAGCGATTCGGGCTTTATGTTTCCGTTGCTTGAAATGCGGATCGGGGAAACACAGAAAGATCTTCGAGAGCTGGCCTTTGTGGAAGTAATTCGGTAAGAATTTCATGGTATTGGACCGTAAGGCTGAGATGTTCTGGTATGGCGTGGGTGTGCCGGGTATTGAAGTCTCCTTGTCGTGATGCTGTGATCGTAGTGCGACGATTTTGTTTATCACATACTGCGTCACTTGCATGCGGAGTTCCATGCCCAGGATGAGTGTCTGCGGTATGAGCGGGGAGAGCGCCATTAGAAGTCCGCCGAAACCACAGCCGATGTCTGCAACTTCCACCTCTGGATGTCTGGCAGCGATTCCCGAGCTGGCAGTCTCAGTGCTGGTCACCGCAGCATCTCCAATGAAAGCAGGATAGTGAGTCGACCAGTCCATCTCGGCCGGACTCCGCGGACTATGCGTTTCGCAGAAAGAGTAAGTCTCCGATCAGATTCCAAAAACAAGTGGACAGATTTTTGTCCCTGAAAACCAGAATCGAGACTTACTATTCAAGCATATGATCCGAAAACGGGTTTGCATGTGCACGCTGTCGGTAAAACTTCTTCTGCGGCAGCACGACGTTTCCTTTCTCACCTTGATTTCCGCCTTGGGCAGTTCTCTTCAGTTTGAGATTTTCTTGCGCTTTCTGATAGTCATCGCGCTTTTGGCGCTTGTTCGGTGGTCCGGGCATCGTGACTGTTAACCTGGCACCAGGCGAGTTTGTACCACGACTGGCCTTACAAGGGTTTCGTTGGTTAGGCCGTTGTCGAAATTATCAGTAGAGAGTGTGGACGATGTCGATGTCGGTAGTCTATCGGGATGCCAAGAACTTGTGAAGGAAGGAGGTCCATTACGGCGGATCATTGTCCCCTCGCAGGTGCAACTATAAGAAATTGCGTGAACTACTACGTACCTCTAGTTAGCTGGTGCATCGTCCGAAGCTGGCGCCTTAGGGCGCTTGCTAGCTAGTGCTATTGATGACTTAAAAAAGCATCCCGCAATCGAAACCCAACTACCCCGGTAGTTATACTGCATTAACAAGAGCTTTTGACCATGACGAAACCTTAACTTTGAAAATTGTCGCTTGCTCCATTCCAACCTGGCTCTTTCATTGCCCAAGATCAATACGACGGGCCTCGAATTGATCAAAATTTGCCCTTCTTTTCGAGGTCGAGGAGCACGACGTGCTCTTCATTGTCACTCACTGGAAAGACGAACTTCAGGGGTTGATCACTGTCATCCGAGCCAAGCGTTTTCTTCTGGTTCGACTTCTTCGCCGTGGGATCAGGCTTGCGTGCGAGAAAGGTGGGCCGCCAGTACCATCCACACATAAACACTGGAATTTCCTCGGTTTCCTCAGTCTGCCGAAATATCAGTACGTTTTTGATGGCTATTATGTCGCACAGTGGAGAGGAGTAGATGTGGCATGGCATTCACGTACAGCTTGTGCAGTCCTCCACACTTGCTCCTGACTGCTGTTCCACCAGCTCAGCTCAGGAGTAATTTTACCCAACTCACTGAACACGTTCAAATTTACACCAAAAACCACCGCATGCTGATTGGCTTGCAATATCGCAACCCGTCGACATTTTGTTGTGTATGTCTTGGTTATCACGTAGAATTTCCCCTCTCTCGTGATCGGCTTTCTTTGCAATATTGCCTCCGCGTTAGCGACGAATCAGCCTCTGGCTTCTTCACATGTGTCCGGTGTAAGCTGATTGTGCGTGACGATCCCGTCAGTTACCAGAAGAGCCCCTGACTACTTGTTGATCATGTACCCGACCTTGATACCAGCGCCGAGTGGGATTCCTGGGATACTGGAGGAGCCTTGTTAGCAGAGCGATCAGTCTGGAGCACTTGGTCCTCCTCATAAGGAAAGTCTTCCTCCCAGTGCTCACGCATGTGCCGAACTTTCTCATGGTGGTCGTGCAGCATATCAAGGAGGCTACGTGGGTAGGACTTACCCAGGACTGACCTCGACGCTCGGTTCGAATTTGGATACTTCCGTCGACAACATGACGCCCCAGACCTCCTGGATAGAGTTTTTCACCGTTTCCACATTACTGAGTGGACTCCAGCCACCGTTATTGAGGCCAGCGGGTTCCGAGAGGTGCACAATCGTTTTCCAATTGCCGTCGTGATCAAAATAGCCACATGCGCCAGGCTTGAGGTTTTTGCTAGAGACAGGTAGGTACAAAGCATGACCTTCGTTATTGTTCTTGAATCGCTGCTCAAAAATAATATCGGCTCTCTTGTCATAGGACATATCGATCGTTAGACGTTTGGACTGCTTGTGACTCCAAGGCGATGATGAGGCTGGCCACAAAATGTATGTTCCAGACCCGTGGAGGCTTGTGGAATAAAAACCTAGCCATAGCTAAAGGAGTGAACCAGAAGCTCTGGCTGGGTCAGGCATTTCATTGGTGACGGTAGCCCAAGCCTCAAGGTGGCCACCAATTCAATGTCTTCTTGGTCTTGTCTCCCCCTCCCTCGCATTGTGGCTTAGAAGCCGAATTTTGAAAGACACACGTAGGGCGTACTTTACATGTCCAACCAATCAAGTCCTCTCACGGCTGCTGAAGCATTACATACATGAGTACCTGGTAGGCAGTTCTTGTTATTCCAGTAGTCTGTTTGAATGCGAACGATCATCGACGGGCATGGGATATCCGTCGATTAGTACTCCGTGATACGAGGTCTCTTACTGCTCAAGCGACAATCTCCTGCTCGTGGTGGTCGCAGGGTTAGAGTTAAACCAGGCTTCCGTGAGTCGATGTAAGATTAGCCTTGGCGGCTGCTTAGATTTGGCGGCGGGCCGGGGCCAAGGGGCTCCCCACATCCTCTCGTTCAATAACTAGTTAACCGCCTGTGGTCTTATGAAGCTTCAGAAGGTCCTCGTACTGTGGTCATCTGTTGTGCGACGGTAGAACGATATTCCGTCTCCTGATACTAGCAAAGGCTCGTGAAACTAGCCAGTGGCAATTGCCTACTACACTGGTAACCACCAGGTAGCAATGCTACTGGGGATTCTGTATTTCAGGTCGTCACGAGGATGAATAGGAGTTCTCCTTTCCATGAGAAAGTATATGGGAAAGAGATTTAGTCAACATACTATAGGAAACCAGAGACCTTGAACCATTCCTTCATAACCCCTGTGATTGTATTGTTCTATCTAATCGCGACTCCTGTTCCTCAACTGCACCTAAATCCTGTCCGCATACGACGGTGGTGCGCGAATATGCCGCGGTGGCGTCAGAATACGCCATCACTCCAGAGTATACTGTGGGACGGTCAGTATATGCAATTGATCTACTGTCGGTATCCTCGGTGGCATATCCTTAGGAACACCTGATATTGTACGGCACGGCCATCTCTTGCCGATGGCCGAATGGGACGAACCAGAGCCATCACGTTAGATATATCTGACGGCGTTGTTTGACAGACTGTCCCAGGGTACCTCTGTCTCACCGACATAGTTACTATCTTGTGGGATGTTCATAGGCACTACAAAAGTTCAATCGAAATCGCTCGGCCAGGCTTGTGGGATAAAGATCCTGCGATGCTCATACTCAGTCCTTAAATTTCTTTCAGTGTCCCAATCGCATTCCACCATGTCAGAATCAAAGCCTTGCATATTTACCACCCTCATGGCAAGCTGACCATCACCCGCTAGCACAATCCCGAGTCGATGTGTCCAAAGAGACTCTCGGCCACAGTTCAGCAGCAGAAGCCAACGCTGACCTCCGTGGCGGCTTTTGTCATACCTTCTTAGTAACCCTTCCACCAGGATTCCCCTGCTCGTCATTGAGAACAGCCGTGCATCTTCGAACTTCTCAAGATGAAGAAAATGGCTTGCACAATCTTGAAAACACTGAATCGAAGGAGCGAGGAGGCCACCCCACCAATACGCTTCTGGGATGTCGAGAGCTCGGTTGAGGGCACGAATGGACCCAAAAAAGCGATTGTTGAGCGGTATTCTCCACGCAAATAAGCTGTTATCATCGTATCTACTCATAATCTCCAGCTGTAAGCGGATAAATGCATTCAGCCCTTCTCCATAGAGCAAAGGCATATGAATACGAAAAAGCCCCATCAGGCAATATGCCGTATCTTCAACACGTGTAGTGCGGCGTTCTGACGCCCATGACATAATCTGGGCAACGGTAAATTGAGAGCCTCCGAATTCGTCCTTCAACGTCCATCCATGGATGAGAGGCTTCTCGGGAATTTTGGTGACTTCTGCCACTTCGTGGCTTAACGACTTCCTCGTACCGATCTCTTCTTTCCAATCCAAACACACGAAGGTCAGTTTGTGGGGAGCGAGCAGCTCTTGGAGAGTCCACCCGCGAGTGAACCACTTGCTACTTTTGAAGATTCCCACCCATTCGGTAAAATCGAGGCCATCTCTAGCCGGCACATCGCATAAATATGCGTAGCAGCGTTCTGCCCGTCGGTACCATCTGAACATGGAGTTGATAGCTTCTGAAAGCTCAGCGCTGCTAGTCTTGTCGATACAGCAGGTGTCCAACCAGATAAATTGGTGACCTCTTTGTTCCGCATATTGGCAAAATTTTTGAAGCTTCAGCCAGCCTTGCTTGTGATGATTGACATTACCCTGCAATTCCTGCAAAGAAATTTCCCCATCCTCCCAGCGATGGGAGAGAATGACATAGTCGGGGACAGATCGGCCCTCAAACATATGTTGGGTTAGATCGGAGGTCTTGATTAGTCGGATCATTCTTTTCTCCCGATAACAAGTAGATTTTGAATGCACGTATGTACCTGTTCAATTAGTCTTAGGCACCAAGATTTCTTCGTTGAAGGGGTCGGCGCGCTGATGCTCCGGATCAAACCACTAAGGCTGTAGAAGTTTCGTCATCAACGCGCTAAGGACGAGTCATACTAGATTGTTAGACGACGAATAGGTATTGTTATGCGTGTAATGTATGTGTAATCTTGATAAGGCGGCGCTTGATTGATTAGGCGATACTAGATTTACTATATTGATCCAGATAGTGGGTCTAAGCCGCACGGTAAGCTTGAGAAAACAAAAGAGAGTATAGAAGAGGACGCGAGTATTGTAATTCCCTATACTGTGCGCGAGGTTACTGTAAGATTTTAGGCTGTACCATCGTGATCGTTACTAAGCGCCTTTTATTACACTATTATTTTAGTGTCTCTAGGCTCTTTAATTCCGGTTAGATAGACTCAGCAACTATACTAGTGGCAAATTCAGTACGGCGGAGTGCTACGGTAGAGTATAGGGGTCTTAGTAGCAACAACACCTCTGGCGGTTCTCGTGTCATAAGACATAACGCTAACATGCTCTCTTCACCTCCAGTCTTGCGCTGCCGTTGCCACATTAACCATTTATCCAAAAGATAGACGAAGAATGATAAAGCTTGACAGACGAAAAAGTCCTCACACAATCTTTTCTTGGTAGCGAGTAAGGTCCGCCGAAGTAAAGCCCAGGACCCCCAGCATTGAAAGCAGCCTTATGTGTCCCGCGGAGGCCTTAGAAAGTTGGTGGTAAAGGACAAACCCGAGTCCCTTCACTAGTCTCAAGATCATACGGATCTTATGGCCTCAATCTCAAAAGAGAGCGATGACAAACCTGATGTAGTTGGGCAGGATACGGACATTGATCCTGGGCGACTCTATGCTTCCTCGCCGACCTCACTACAGGACTCAGAGGAAGCAGATTACAACGGCGTCCCTTCGACAAGTGCTACCGATTATGATGAAGACCTTTGGCTGGCGAGCATACGTGACGTTGCAAGGCGATGCACAGCCGCCACCCCACGAGTACTGGAGAACAGGAAGCCAATGTATCATCACGTACGCGTCCTTCTCATATACTGAGAGAATGGGGAATATGCACAAATGAGAAAGAATGCGGAAGCCATCGGTGCTGTTTTTAGGGACGTCTACAACTTCGAAGTCCTAGACCCGCTCGAGTTGCCCGATAGGAATGCCAACAGCAAGCTCGGTACAAAACTCAATCAGCTGGTGGGTAACTCTAGCCAAGTGGACGAGGAAAATCTTTTGATCATCTACTATTGTGGTCACGCTGAATGGCTGGCTGGTGCGATTGATGATCTGGTGTGGAAGCCACGGCAAAATGCAAAGGTCCAAATCTCATGGAATCGAAAACAGCAAGATCTGCTTGACGCTGAATGCGACCTTCTATTCATCCTTGACTGTTGTTACTCAGGTCGGATGGTGAAAGGACGGCAGCCCTGGAAAAGGCGATGCGAGGTGCTTAGTGCAACAGACTCACTGCAGAAAGCGCGTGCAGAGAAACACTTGTCATTTACTACTGCGCTATGTGCCAACCTGAACGAAGGGACTTACGTGGAGGATCTTGGGCTTGCCCTGGCAATTTCCTCAATCATAGACGAATTTAAGCTGGAGACCGTCCCGCACTACCACAAGCATACTGACCGAGACAAGTACCCGTTTGGGATATATCTTCGGCCAAGGGACGTTGCAATGCAGAAGTCTAAGGTAACACTTGGGAACTTTGCCCTCGCTTCAACCGACTCCCAGGTAAGAAGGTTACGGGACGTGACTTGGAAGTCAGACGCCATAGTTGTCATCGCCTGCCATGTCAAGAAGGCTCCCAAGCATGGGGAAGCGCTGTCATGGGAGAACATGGTCAGAGTCTGTTCCGAATTTGTGACTGCTATGCGATTCGAAGCCTTTTCCAAGGCTGAGTCTGACGCTTTGCTCAATGAGGCCCAGTCTGCTGTATCGTACGCCAGACTAGCGAGCCTGTTTCGAGGTTCCGCACTTCTGATCCTCTCTATGCCAATGTGGCTATGGTATAAAGTGGAGCCGAGCTCTTCTTTCCAAAAGCTCGCCGTGGTCAGAACCCACAATCTCCTACAACTATCGTCCGAAGACGAGCTCGGTGTCATTTCGGGAGAAGAAAGTGCGTCTTTAGTAGGGACTGGAAATCGCCGCGAGTCGGAAACACAGAGAGCCCCCGTAACTTTCTTCCAGTCTGATTCCTCAATGGGTGTTGGTGATCAAAGTTCCGAGCGTTCTGAAGAGATGCAATTTCCACTGCAGAATTCTCCATCAAACACCGTCATTAAATCGAATTTAAGCAAGAAACAAGTGGAGAGATTGGTGAATGTATTGGGGAATGACCATCCCCTTACATTGAAGGCCAGGGTCGACCTAGCCTTCGTACTCTGGGAGCCAGGTCGTGATAAGGAAGCGGAGCAATTAGGATTCGAAGTCATGAATGCAAGAATGAAGGTACTAGGTGAAAAGCATAGTGATACGCTGACCAGTATGAGTAGTCTGGCGCTAGTTTACCAAAGCCAAGGTCGTTACAGGGAAGCGCAACACTTGTTACGAAGAGTCGCGTTAGGGTCGAGAAAGCTACGAGGAAAGAGGGATCCTATAACATTGATCAGCATGGCTAATTTGGCATCGATGCTTGCACTACAGGGTCAGCACGATGAGGCTTTGGTGCGACGTCAGTACGTGATGGACGAACTTTTGCAGGTGTTGGGGGCAAATCACTCGGACACACTGATCAGCATGCATAATCTAGCCTTCACGTGGCACAGTCTCAAGCAGGAAACACAAGCTGTCGGTCTCATGCAAGATTGTTTAGATAGACGGAGTCGTGTTCTAGGGAGCTCGCATCCGGACACTCTCCTTTCGAAGACGACGTTGGAGATGTGGAAAGGCGAGCCCGAAAGTATAAGACGGCGCAAATAAGCTCGGTAACAATGTTGAATTCAGTGAATCCAATTCAGAGGGGAGGTCCGAGGCGATATTGGGGGCCGAGGCGCAAGCGAGCTCAGCAACAGTTGAAATCAGCGAACGACATCCAGACTTCCATATTAAGACTTTGAGGCAACATGATGAGTCGCAGAAATTGACGTGCCCTCAGAAATCGTCCTCAATCATAGGCAAATTCTCGAAGCTTGTTCTTCTGACTCAAACATCCTCATCACCAACTTCTGGCTCAGTCTCAACTCCTGTGACTTGGCCAGCTTCAGGTGAGGCCGTACTCGGACCTGCCTCATTGTCCTCTTCTACCCCTTCCCGCTCTGCTTCGACTCCAGCTTGAGCGTCGGCCTCTGGTTCGGCTTCCGGGTCAGCTTCGCCTGTGGACTTAGCGATTGCGTCTGGGCCAAGTCCCGATTTCGTTGGCTGAGCAGCCGAGTCTGGGCTACTCTCCACGATAGTTAGGCCATCTTTACGACGTCGTTCCCGAGTGCGTTTCTCAACACCACGGCCCCTGTCTTTCGCCTTCCCACTTTGGATCCGCCTGCTCTCAGACTCCGAAGAGCGATTCCCTTCGGAATCAGCATCGTCGCTATAATAAGAATAGTAGGAAGTGCTTGACGGCGAGCTTGAATGTCTGTGGCGTCGTCTTGCAGCCTTTCCTTTCCCTCTTCCTTTCCGTTGCCTCCGCCCTAAGTGATATCTCCTTTCTACCCACTGCTCCTTAGAGTCCTTGGCTTCCTTCTTCAGCGTGAACGTACCCTTATTCTTGCGGAACATTGTCAGCGTAACTTCGTCTTCATTTCTGACCCAATTGACGTCCACAGTCTTCTCGTCGGTTTCGGCATCTCGAATCTCCATGACGATGCGTTTTCCTCTGATATTCCTTCCACTCAAATCAATCGCTAACGAGGTAGGTATATGAGGAAAGAACGCAAGAAAATTCTCAGCTCCATCGTCAGACTCGGAGGAGGAATCACTACTATCGCTATCGGTTGGTGAGAGTGGAGGGTTCTCAGTGGGATTTGCTTCGCGTCTCCGACTTCTGCTTCGCCGCTGTCTGTCCCTGTCCCGGGAGGCAGCCCTTCGAAGCTTCAGGCCATCATCGTGCTCTTCAATGACCTCCATCACTTCCACGTCTTCAGTTTGTCGTCGTTCTTTTCGTCGCTCTCCGCCCAAAAATTGTGCGAGATTAGCCTTTTTAGCAGAATCTGCGGGTGTCGCGTGTTGACCCTTGCCATGATCTTCCACGGCAACAGCGGGAGGCAGGTTCCCAAGACGAGTATTACCTCTAGCACGACGAGGCGGTTGCGAATATGAGATATAAGGGGAAGAGTTGTTCCTGATAGATGACCTGGTCCTGTCGCTAAGCCACGGATAATAGTTCATGTGGAACCTTTCAGGTGGCGCTACATAGTCGCGACCTTTGATGATATAAGTTAGAGCATCTTGAATTTCAGTTTTGGCCAGATATGTGAATGGGCGTCGTAAGTCGTACTCCGAGACCCAGTCATCCAACTGTTTTAGTTCGAACAGAAGTCGTTTCTGAGACTGCTTGTCCCTATCAATGACATACCTTGAGAGGCAAGTCGAAAGGTAGCCCTCATTATCCTCTTGTGTAGTTTCCTGTAGCTGGCAGAGCTGCTCGAAAAGTTTTCGAGGCTGTTGGGACCTTAGGATAAGTACCTTGAGACATAGAACTTCTAAGGCATGGTCATGTAGCTGCGTTGCCATCTTCAAAGCTACTCGTATCGGCTCATTTGCCGGCTCCAAAATCTCAGGTCTATCCCAAGGTGGGATTTCATTCCTCATCGGTACATAAATAGGAAGCGATAACCAATCTGGGGACGCCATGGATATGCCTGGCCAGTCATCGAACATATATCGTGGATTGAGAACCTTTTCGTCGACATCAGGCTGCTGGAAAAGTGGAGCGGTTGCTGCTTTGATGACAAGCCATTTCAAGAATGGTCGAGAGTTCATTGAATTAGGATAGTTGTTCATAATGAGTTCCGCAAGAGTTTGCGAATCTCTCTGGAGCCACTCCATTTGTCCAAAACCTTGTGTCGGAAGATTGAGATTGAGTGGCATGTTAGTCAGAATGTCTAGTTGGGCTAAAGTTGTGCTTTGATCTCGTTCATAGAGGACCCAATTGTCAAGTATGGCTTCACGCCATGGGGAACCCGAGAAGAAAGCCAAGCATGTCCATTCCACCCCAAACACACCGATTGTACTGAGAAAGATGTCCCTGAAGTCCCAAACACGACCTTGAGCAAGAAGCATTCGATAAAGCTCAGGCCATTTGGCCCAGACCTTTAAAGTGTCGCGTATCTCAATATTGAAGATATCTGGAAGCCAGAGCTCAACTAGACCAAAAATTTGGAACGCGAGGGAAATAACTTGTATCTGAGGAGGCAAGACAGTCAGTAAGGTTGACGACTTCTGGGGGTACATCTTACTTCAGTTGAGCCAACTTCAGAACCAATCACGAGATTGTCAAGTACAAATTGTGCCCGTCCCAAGGCTTCATTGATTTTCCCCGTCAGGTGGACCTGAGACAAAGCTCTGAGCAGCGTCCAATTCCAACGAAGTAGGTGATGGCCGTCATGACGGGATTGGCCTTGACCACTTCTGTCTTCAGGAGGATCCACAAGAGGAGCACTCCAAATCTCCTCGTGCGTAGAAGGGTAGTGAGAGTCGGTACGTCGCCCCTCCTGTTGAGATGTATGTAGATTGGATTTCCGAATTCTTCCCCCGGGGCGAGGATAGAAGTGCCGAACTGTTCCTGATTGCCTTGGTAGGACAAGGTCGGGGGAACTGTTCAGCTTTTCCCCGAACGGGTTTGAGAGGTCGAGCTGCTTAAAAGATTTATAATCTCCCATATCGAGAAGTAATTCGGCGTACTGGAGAAAGACATATGGGTGCGACAGATGGTCTCCAAATACGGTATTAATATATTCTTTCGCAGCTCGAAATTGACCCGATCTTCGAAGGTAGCTCAAAGCTTCGAGCTGCTTGTCATAGTCTTTGTATACAGTAAGATCAAGATGGATGGTGAAGTCTGTGCCGGTGGCCATATTGAAGGTGGTCTGGAAGTTACCACGACGAGACTTACAGGCATCCTCCTCAGCGTAAAATGCTTTCTCCGCCTCATAGCGTTTATCGTGCTTCAAAGGATGAAACACATCAGTTATTCGGGAACTACTCCTCTCAACTACCCTCATCCAATCGTGACGTTCGTCTCTAGGTCGGCTGCCACCCGCTGGCGGAGCCCCCAGGTCATCGAGACGGTCCATCTCATGAGGTCTCGATTTCTCGGGTATACTTTCTGCCTTCCGCTGGTCACGGATGGGAATAGAGTGCTGATCAGTAGAAGGCACGGGCTTCGGCCTCTGTTTGACAACGTATATCATAGGCTGAAGCGGTGGGTTGTGACGTCTGAATTCTCGATCAGAAGAAGCAGCTGGCCAATAATGTGCCATCTCGAATGATGGCCTCACAGGCGCTGAGAACTATTTTTCTGATGACCAGCCTTGTCAAAGAAGATGATATCGCAACGCTACTTTTCCGTACGCTGTCTTGTACATGCTAATAGTTGTAGCTAGGCAGATGGCATATAAGATCTTGGAGAAGGCAGAAAAGCTAGGGAGGGGGTCCCAGGCTGCATGTGGTCGAGGATGCAAGTAAGTGGGGTTGAACAACAGCTGGAAGTTGAGGCAGGTCACTGCATTAGACCTGCAGGCCGGGGACAACGCATACTTGGCGCAGGATGTAAAGGCAGCTCGAGAAGCTTCAAGCTCCTCGCATTCTTGCGAAAAGAATCATCTGCCCAGGCCAGGTTTAGAAATATCTGGCAGGAGACTCCATGGGGGACACGACATCGCTTGTCGACCATCTATCCCATGCAAAGTGGAATCGTCAGTTTGGGCGATATGACTTCAATCGTTTTTCTGATTTGGAGGAAACTGGAGCTTACATAGGCCACAAGGTAATTAACAAAGCCAGGGTTGACTGTAGCTTTTTGGTTTCGGAATCCAAGTTTGGGGTGCTCAGCATCAATGGCCGTACATGGCCAGCTGGTATAATCCGCATGGAGATCAATTTTAAACAGCCAAGAGGCTCTAAGATCACTTGGGCGACCGTTCAAGTTTCCTTGGACGGCGAACATCAAGCTCTCCAGCCATATCGCGACAACACGATCCTTGACCTTCAACACTTGGTTGCCATTACTCATCTTGGCCCATCACAGTTGTTTGGAGAACCCTTGACCATAGCTGAGACTAGAGCACTTCGTGGAACACCAACTATCAGTTTTCCGGGCGGTGAATTGAGTGGTTTGGGGGCTGACGGCCAGAGGTCCTACGAGCACAGCACTAGATGGAAGTTTACAGGCGATCGCAAACCACGTGACGACGGTGAGAGTGTGCAGCTGGTTTACAACACTTTAGAATGGGAGCTGACGGAGAATGACTTTGAGAAGCAATCGTCCCATGGGAACAAGTTCCAGACAGCATTTGCTTTCGCCAACAACGGACAACCATTCCTGTTGCGAGTTGAGATTCAAGGCCGAACGCATGGGGTTGGCGGTCGGGTCAAGAACAAAGTCAAGGAAGCTTTCAAGTTTGGTTCACGCGCACACCAAGAGGAGACCATATCTACCACGCTGGTACGTGGTTTTGGGGGACAGCTGCGGGGATTGAATGAGGAGGCTCAGCGTCTTGATGATGAGATGATGAAAAAGAATGAAGGAGTGAGATATCCCGGGACGCGGAACTCCAGTACCACCGACCTTGCTTCACAGTCCCCGGATCCAAGTCTGAAGATTAATCCACCGGCCACATCAGGAGCTGGGGGTGGTAACGTCAACATCACTCTTTCAGATGATGACAAGATGCAATTGAAAAGCGCCGCGATGTCATTGATTTCTCCTCAACCACAGGTTGAACCTCAAGCAACTGATGGGGCAAGAACAGCCAACGCATCGTCAAATCCAACAGTCAAGAAAGATCCTGAAGTGAAGGCTGAGCCTCAGGATGATGAACAGCATCAGAGCAAACAGCAGGGTCAGCAAAAGAACGTGATCCTGAACCAGGAGAAGCGGCAAAAGCAACCAATGAACAGAAACGTGCTAGAGGCACTCATACAGATATTTGGAAGCTGGATCTGGGCCATCGTGCGAATATTCAGCGGCACATCTGAGAGTAATATATCATGAGTTCCAGTATCTAAAATTCCTAAGTACAGAGGCATTCTTCAGAGCCAACGATCCAAGTTAACTGTGATTCCCGGATAAACTCCGGCATAAATCTTGGCAAGTTTATCACTGTTTGCCAACAAATTTCATAGGGACGCCTCTGCAGCACTTAGCGATCAGAGGCAGACACAAGAACGACGCCAACAAGGCTTCACAATTCATATCCCTGCCTTACCCCTACATCACTGTCACAGCACTCCTCAAGATGCCACCCGCAACCAAACGACGCAAAATAGAGCCCACAGCAGTGGAGGAAATCACATTTGATCTGACAGCGCGACACGAATACCTGACAGGCTTTCACAAGAGAAAAGTGCAGCGGGCGAAGCAGGCGCAGGAGGCAGCGGAGAAAAGGGCGAAGGCGGAGAAAGTCGAGCATCGGAAACAGGTGCGGGACTACTACTATCTACGAAGACAGACCACGACTACACAGGCTAACACAGGGCGTATCTAGATTCGTGAGGAACGAAAAGCCGACCTGGAGAGGCATGTTAGAGAAGTCAATGCCCTGCTTGCACCTGCGACAGCTGCACTGGACAATGGAGACGATGAGGGGTCGGAGAGTGCGTGGTCTGGAATCGAGGATCTCGAGCCGCCTCCGATAGACCATGAAGCAGAATACATTGATGAGGATAAATATACCACAGTGACAGTGGAAGCAATGGATGTGTCTCGCGATGGACTGTTCAAGGCGGAGCAAGAAGATGCAAAAGGCGATGAGGAGGGAAGCGCAGATCGTCCGGCAGAGCTGACAACAGAACAGAAGCGAAAGTGGACGAAAGACAAGCCTAAAGATGGTGCTCATAAGGTTAAGAAGAAGAAGAGGAACTTCAGATATGAGAGTAAGGCCGAAAGAAAGGCAACGCGGTCCAAGGAAAGGTCCAAGAACCACAAACAGGCTCGAGAACGAAAGTCTGGATGATATTGTACTCATTCCTCAAAACTGATCAACACGCTTCCCCTTGTATTGTATGCCCATGGTATCGTTTGATATGAAGAGGGGATGGCGGTGCCATGGTCACAGTTCTCTATCGTGCATGACGGGGCCCAACCACTCGAGACGTCCGAGTTGGCCGCTAAACCTCCAACTGACTGGCACAAACCACAAATGCTTTGAGAAATCAGATGCTGCCCATGCTCTGCTCCAACTCGTTGAGTTCTGTCTGCAGCTTGGCGTGTTTCTTGGACATCTCTTCGTACTTGCTTTCCCATTCATCCCGCTCCTGTTCAAGGGCTTGGACTTTGCGTTCGTAGTGGCCTGCTTTGACGTCGGTCTGTCGGAGCCTAGACAGTGTTAGTTGTTAACCTAGCCGCCGTGGGCATGGAGGGAAAGGCTCACTTGTCGTTTGTCTCTCTCAAAGTCTTGTCAGCAGTTTCAGCCTCCTCCTCGAGCAGTTGAAGTCGTCGGGTGAGAGATTCATTCTGTTGACTGTGTTGAGAAGAATCACCAGCAGCAGTCTTTGCCTCCTTGAGCGCAGTTTCGAGTTTCTCAACCTCACTCTCCAGGAGTTGATTGCGGTGGGTTAGGGACTTGATTTCTTGTTCCTTTGAGAGATTCTCTTCTTCCAATTTCTTGAGTTGTGCTTTTAGCTCGGTAGATCTTGCGGCCTCCTCATCCGCCTCGACGCGGAGTTGTTGCATTTTCTGGTGAAAATTAGTGAGAGCGGAGGAAGCCATATTGAGGCCTAGCAGTGATGGTACTGGGTCAAGAAGTGGGATTAAGAAGGACAAGTGGGGAAGGAAAGGAGATGGTTCAGAAGGATGACTCGGAGAGATCAGATTTCGACGATACGAGGCAGTGAGTGTCCCTGCCAGTGAGTGCAGAAACTGTCACACTGAGGTGAATAGTGGAAGGTGCATATCAGGTGCCCTCCGTGGCTACTAACCTGCCTTCACATGGAGGGCAGGCGTGGTGGTGTGTGGTACGCAAGTGAATTTGATGGGCGGGGATGGCAGAAACATGAACATTGAAAGACATACCTCCCTGATGCGATCCATGGTGATTGTAGGCCTCGTGTAACGGACTAATTCAGGACTGTTGATAATATGTGGTCACAAACGTTGGATTAATCGTAGAGAATGATACTTGGGGAATCAAAGGAGGTCAAGGTCAGCGCAGTCTGTAGTAGTGGTTTAGTTGTAGCCTGCAGGGTAGGCATGTAGCGGTGGGATGGACGAGACCAAAGGAGGGGCTTGGTTTCTGGCTTTTTCGCTAAAGAGTCCAATGGCAATTCATCTTTCCAGGTGAGGCTGCTGGCTTTGACAGGCCTCTGCTTTTCAGGTTTAGGCGCCACGTTAGCCCCAACTCTGGTTCTCACGGGCTTAAAATGCCCGCCGAGGCGGGTTTGGGCTTGGAGGATCCTGGGAAAGGGGAGCGGACCCTGCCGGTTGCGAAGGACAACCAGAATAAACAAGCCGCCTCGTCAGCCTCGACTCCGACTTCGACTTCGACTTAGTTTAGAACAGTTCTTCCCGCGCGTCACCCACTCACAACACCGATAGGAAGCACCGATCGAACAATATATTACCTCGCATTCAAGATGCTAGCTTCGCGAGACCAGGAGAATTTGGTCCATACCCACCAGACCACCGCTGCTGGAAAACCGCTCAATCAAAACATCAGGGCTCTACATCCCAAAACCCCTGGAAACCTCAAAACCCCTTTCAGACCTGCAAAGAATGATGAAAACAAGCCTTTTGACTTCAATGGCCAGAAGACTACTCTCAAGGGCGGCCCAAGCAAATTGGACAAGAATGCCTTTATCACACCCCTAGGTAAAATACTCGTGAGCTGATGCTACTGCTATTTACTGATTGCTTCTAGGCCCCCGAAATCGTGCTCCACTGGGCCAAAAGACCACCAACGTCAAAGGCAATGCCTTCAAAACTCCTGGCCCTGCGCCTCTCACCATCAAACCCGGAAAGACCGCTCAGAAACCTGCTTCAGCACGTCGATCTGGAAGGTCAAAGATCCACGTTGCACAATCCGAGCCTGTTGTTACAGATATCCTTGAAAAAACGCAACAAGATGAGGAAGAGCCAGAATATGGATACGCACCTCCACCAGCTGTCGACCTTCCTGATCCGCCATTGGAGATCGACCCTCATTTGATTTTGGACCTTTCAGCCGACTATGAAAATTCACTTCGACTCATACAAGAGGAGGAAGATCATCAACGTTATCTCGAAGAGCAAAACCGAAAGATGTCTGCCAACCAAGGGGACCTGCTATTCCCGACAACTGCCGAATTGAACAAAAAAGTGGATGAAATGATCGCTGCAGGTCCAAAGAGACAAAGACCGGCTCTGTCGCGCGTTGATACTTTTCAAGCCAAGTCCGCTGCTGCTGCTCTGTCTGATGCTCAACCTCGTCTCCCTTCCGTTGTTTCCAAGCAAACCCAGGCATCGGAACAGAAGCAGAAAGGACTTCTTGGTCTGGGTCGAACCAAGGCGACTGTTTCTCGACAGCCTCTTACCACCAACCCTGCTGGACATGCTGCTCTGTCCAAAAATACCATCGGTTTTCCAAAGGCAAAGAAGGCACCATCAATCATCCCTAGAGGACTTCAACCACAGAAGGGTGCCATGCCGCCCACACCAAAGCCAGTAAAAATCGACCAGACGAATATCCACCCCAGAGACTTCCGAGATCTATATGGTTCTCCACCAGCTGAGAGCGACATGTGGTTCAGATTGAAGAACCACGAGTTGCTGGAGAGGGAGATCTCTAATGATAACGATGATGAGATTGCCAACGACCTTTTCGAAACCGATTTCTTTCCATTCGACAATTCCAAGCTGGACGATGAAGATTTTCAGTTGCCGATGCCCGAATAAGATTCTACCGTCTATACACGACTAATATTCCTGAGCAATCCTTAATCCCTTTCACCCGGCGTACTTTGGCTACGAGTATATGATTCATGAACGAGATACCCAATCAGGATACAATAAGACTATCCTTGGACGAGTTGTATAAATTAGTGGATTGGTATTACTGGTGTATCATAGAAATGAATGAGCCTATCCAGGTAGTTTTAATGATTAGATGTCCCAGGTTACGCGACAGGGGCAGTCTTCCGCAAGTCAGAATTTGTAACAGCGCCACAAGAAGTCTCTTTTCGATAGAAAAGAGCTCGAAATTCAGCTACAAGACTGATTGCCGATTTTTATGCGTGAGCAAGTTAGGTCTCTCATGATATTCTGTCTCTTCTCTCAACTGGCTAGACCAGCACTGCGAGTCATCATATGTAGAAACTCAAAATACTAATATAGACTGAAATTATACCATATCCCTCAACTAGATCTCGCCAGCCCTCACAATACCAATTCCAATGAATCGATTTCATGGCAAGGAGTCCACTGCACCATTGACTCCACCATTCACCTGCTGGCTCGTGAAGCCCTGGGGCACCTCGGTGACGGTAAAGTTCCAGCCAAATTGGTCTTCAACCTTGCCCTGCTGAATGCCCTTCAACGTGCTCAACAACTGGGCGCACACTGGGCCGGGATCCAACTTCTCGTTCACTGGGTACTCAAAGACCTCGTTCTTGGATTTGAGCGTGATACTCTTGATGGGCACCAGACTGGCCGCCGTGCCCGCAGCCATGACCTCGCTGAACTCGGCCAGCTCCTTGTATTCGATCCGGCGGCGCTCGACATCATATCCATAGACCTTCTTCGCAATCTCGCACGCCGACTCGGACGTGACGGACTTGATGACGTTCTTCGAGTCCGGAACCACGACGGTCGTCTTGCCCGTTTCGTTGTTCTTCCGCACGCCCAGGAATCCTGACGTCGAGAACTCGTCGATCTCGCTGCGCGTCTTGCTGTCGAGGTGCAAAGTGATGCCGTAGCCGGCATTGCGCGCCTTGTCGGAATGGCGCAGCACGGGGGCGTAGTTCCCACCGACCTTGGCGCTACCTGTGCCTTCCGGTGCGGCGCGGTCAAAGTCCTCGAGGATTAGAGCGTCGACGGCGTGCACACCGTGGTACACACCCGTCGGCATCACGAACACTACGAACGTGTACTCGTCCGGTGGGTTCAGGCCCAGCTGCGCGGAGGATCCGAACAACAATGGCCGGATGTACATCGCCGCACCGGTCTCGTGAGGCGGGACGAATTCGGCGTTGGCCGACACGGCCAGGTTGACGCATTCGACGAAGTGCTCTTCAGGAACCGGTGGGACCGAGATGTAGCTGGCGGAGTGTTGCATGCGGAGGGCGTTCTCCTTGGGGCGGAAGATGGTGATCTTACCGTCGGGTTGCCGAAAGGCTTTCATGCCTTCGTAGCATTGCACGCCGTAATTGAGCCCCGGTGCCATACCGTGGATGGACAGGTGCGGGGACTCGACGAAGCGTGGTTTCGACCATGCTGGCTCCGCGGACGAGTATCGGAATGTCGACTCGATGTGGCCGTTGACTTCGCGGACCTTGAAGCCCACGTTGGACCAGTCTTTTGGTGGGCAATGAGACTTGTGTTAGAAAAGAAGGAATCGATTTTAAATCAACACGGTGTTGGTGGGTCCGTCGACTTACCAATTGAACTGACTGGTGGGGGTGGAAAGGGAGCCATGATAAATGTGAGTGGTGAAGTAAGGAATACTGTATGAACCTGAAGTCTGGAAGGGTGATCTCGATAGTGCTCTGCTGTATCTTACCGTTCCCCTAAGTCACACGAGCAGGTCTGCAGTCAGGGTTTGTGAGCAAGAGAAGTCGGAAATCGGATGCCAGCTCTTTTTAAAGTTTCCCTCCCCAAAATGCTTGACTCGCACCCGGCTCTGGCTTACACAATGTGATCACCTAGACTAGCTGTCTTCGTGGCGACGGGATGTAAGCGGTGACTAGTAGTATCCAAAATCCTTTGAAGCATCCACTCTGATGACAAGTGGAAGGGCGTTTGCAATACGAGTAAGATATTTCTTGCTATTTTATATCTGAGAGTTATGATTCGGTGCCTGAACTTTTTGTTCTTCAGTGGGAACCAAAATGGCTAAAAATTGGGAGATCCCTGCTCGAGTCTCGAATCATGCAGCGAAGTCGGAGTGGAGAATGAGAATCCTGGGGGGTTTTTCTTCGGCAGTGGGATGAACAATACTCCGATGAAGCTGCCGCTATAGAGCCTGTCCTGCTCGGTGTCAGTGCTGCTTTAATACTCTGTCCTCCTCGGCGTGTCTCGCGTTTCAAGCCACTACTCCAGATGGACTCTCAAGATTAATTTCAACATCTTGGGCGTGGTCTGAGTTAGGATCACTCATCACCTGAGACATTCCTGATGTTTATTTGTACTTCTAAAAAACAAATGTATTTTCCTCAGACCCAGAGTGTCTTGTTTTGAATTATTCCCTTGCGACCCCGTCGAATTCATCCGTAATTGTCTTCATCCAATCTCTCGCAGCCACTTCGTCATTATGCCTCGAGCACCTCCTCCCGTCATGGTCGTGCTATCCGCCATTGCACTTTTCGTCTGGTATGTTGTGTACACGAGTGACCACAACCGTGATGTTTCCGCTCTGTCCCACGCGAACAGATTCAGATTCGGCCAAGGTCACACCGAGGAACCAATCTCGCCGTCGCCTTCATCCTCAGAACTCAGCCATGGGGATCATATCATGGGAAAGCTCGGGAATGAAACATTAAAGGCGGAATTGGGAAGAGCTGCGTGGAAAGTTCTTCATACTACAATGGCGAGGTTTCCGGACAAGCCAACTGCCGACGAGAGCGAAGCGTTAGGCCAGTATCTTCACCTCTTCGCCAGACTCTATCCTTGCGGCGAATGCGCCGAGCACTTCCAAAAAGTCCTCAAGAAATACCCTCCTCAGACATCTTCCCGGTCAAGCGCTGCCGCATGGGCTTGTTTCGTTCATAATATAGTGAATGAGAGGAAGGGAAAACCCATCTTCGATTGTGCCAATATTGGAGACTTCTACGATTGCGGATGTGCAGACGAGGAGAAGGAAGCGATCTCTGTCGCTGGAGCCAAGAGTACCAGCATAGTCCAAGGTACACCACCTCACCATGAACCTGTGGAAATAGAGAAAGAAGGACCGACACGAGGTGGTTGAGATGTTGTGAGATTGTTTGTCAACCAATGAATATGCTAAAATACATGAACACGAACCTATTTGGTCCGCCAATCATCGAATCATCCAAACTCCATATGATGGCCTTCAATGGACAAATACCGCACGATCGCTCTCGAATCCTCCGATCCTTTGTTTTCCAAATACATCCAGTCCATTTTGTTACACGCCATATAGACAGCATCCTTCCTCCAGATCATTCTCGTTCCACAATCAAAATCCTGACGTGCAGGTATTCCCGGCTAGTCTCCCCTCGCGCCGTTCCTCCACGTCCTCCGGTCTCGTCGCGTAATCTGGTCCTTGTTGTTTTTGACGAACACAACAAGGGGCGACCTTTCCAAGCCAGCTGCAATTGAGCTTGATCGATATGCGAGGTGGCATTTTCTCGCTCGACTGTCCTTGCTGCTCTTTAGTCGGGCTTCGCTTGCAGTTGAGCTTGATCGAGGTCCGAGGCCGCTTCTTTACTCTCTTTGGCCGATTGCAGTGAAGCTTTATCGATACTGGGCGCTTCTGCTTGATGGTCGACGGGCCCGATTGCTCTCCAGTCGATAGTTTGTTGCGACGGAGTCTGCTTGATCTGCGAGGCTGCTGCTGCTCCTCAGTCGAAGTCTGTTGCTCCATGTTCGACGGCGGGATGCAAAGGAGTCTAATGGAGAGTGGCCGCCGTTCCTCTGCCACTGGTTGCTCATCAATCTCCATCATGTCACCTGAGTGACCTTCCATGGAATCATCCTCCAACTCGTCTGGTGCGAGTTGACGCTCTTCCTCCCGTGTCTCAGTCATGCCAGTGGCTGCCAAACGAAGCTGCTTCTTCTTGTCGTCTCCAAAAGGGTCGAGACTCCGGAAGCCAACATCTATAAAGCACCTTGATGGCACATGCCATTCGAAATCAAGAGCAGAGTCGCCGTTGTAAAAAACTCTGCGGTTGGTCTCCTCCCACCCTCTTGCCGTCAGGTTCTCAATTTCCTGAAAATTCTGTGTAGTACGGCGAGCTTCCCAGCGTATGCACCGATGACATGGAGAGTTCAGGTCGTATCGATCGTCTATGACCATACATGTTTCCGTACCAGGTGCTTGACAAAGTCGATACCGGAATGACTCTGTTGCGGGATGACCGCACGAGAAGGCGAATTGCTTGACACGGCACATTTTGAACTGGTGTCGGTCTGCTGCGGTTGGTGCTGTGTTGCGTTGGTCGAGTTGTTGAAGTTCAAGAAATTTCGACCGTTGTGGTTGAGTGAGTCGATCTGACGTTCGATTGTGGCGGCTGGGTGGAAAGAGTGAAGACTTGTGAATGAAACGGGTCTAGAGATTGTTCGTTGCTGTATTCACTCAAGAATGGTGGCCAGTGTCGCGGCTTTCAAGTTTGTGTGCTGTGTGAATTGCGGGGTGCTGAGTATGATGGGTTTGCTACCGTACTATGTCAAGTGTACCGTTTGCTGTATGCTGTGCTGAGTCGAATTGCGCTGAATTTCCTGTGCGTTGAGAATTGTTTTTGTCGGAAGTATGTTGTGTGCTATGTGCAGAAGGCGTTGTCGGTTGAACGTGTGTAGAGGATGTGACAATGGCTGCAGAGAACGAGACACCCGGACTTTAAGGGATATTGGGATGCCACTTCTCCATGCTGAAAAGGTCCAGGGTAGCAATCCTTCCTGCTGGCTTTTCAGTGCTCCTTTGATGACCTTCCAGACAAAAAGCTTCTTCGGGTGTGAGTGGGCAAACGAGGCATCCAAAACATACCTATGAACTATGGGCATATAGGGAGCCGAAAAGGGTATGGCCAGCAAGATAGGACTACCGCACAGGTATGACCTCTTCTTAATGCAGGTCCGAGCCTTGCAGGTATTGGACTGAAAGAGTGGAGCCATCGAACTATTCCCTCCTGTCAACTATACTTCGCACGCTTTTACACTTTCGTCTGCCAGGCAGCGCGTGTTGTCTACGCGAACCACTCGACCTTTTGTCCGGCTCGTTGCCCAAGTCCACTCATTGGGGCTACAGGGTCAATACTTGGTCGAGTATGTCTATGGGAGGTCTGCAAATTCACCGCCAGGACTACGGCGTTCATCGAGAGGCGTTTGCTATACATTGCTTGGACGCTTCTCGCGTGTTACCTGGCGTTTTTGGACTGGAACAGACCGCCACCTATTGACGGTATTGCCTGACCGACAGGAGCGGGGGAAATCTTCTGTCCTCCATTTAGACCGGCAGAAAAGTGGTCGGACAACAACCGCTCTGAGTATCGCCACCCATCATCGCGCCTCTGCCTGCGGTACTCGCTGCAGGAGCTATCAATAAACTTTTCAAACCACCCACACACAAACATGAGTCATTTACTCTCTGAGCAGTTCTCATTGTCCTTCAGGAAGCAATTGACATGATACCTACGAGAAAGTCCCAGGCGTTCAGACCATTAAGTGGTCAATTGCAGTGAGACAATGCTCGTTGGAAAGATCAGCAATTTTCACTGAGGCTCAACAGGTCGGGACTACGAACTTGAGAAACCGAAGTCGCAGACTGGGTTTGTTTGCAGGACCAGGTCCGAAAATTCTTCGAAATTATGGAGCCTCACAACTCTGGCTGCCTTTTTCACGATGTGTCTGGTCCCGCGATTTTGCTTGTTTCGCCACCGAACTCGCTCCCCTCCGCATATTATTCGTGCAGGCAAGGAGGTTCAAACCTCCAGAAAACCAGAAAATCAAGATAATGCTTCCTTCATTCCTCTTCTACCTGGGCCGTCAGATTTACGCGCAAAATTGCAAGCCGTTGTATTCGAGAACAGTTCTGAATCTGCAAATCGTATGGCATGAGGTGTGAGACCACTTGTTCGTGTCCCTCATTCGAGCTTGCCCGCCTAGCTTCTATATCCTAGTAGTAAAGTACTTCACGAGCTCATTTTGATACGAGGATGTTCCCAAGAGCCTAATCGTGCTTGGCATTCCCAGGCTCTCTCAGGAGGAGTACAACCACTGAAACTTGAACTTTGAATCCCTCACCCACAAAAGTTCACAGATCTAATGAGCGACATTGACAAGCTCTCAGCAACAAATGAGCGGTTTGCATATTTCCAAATAATGGCGACGGTTTGCTGGTAGTCATGATGTTCAGCTGGTGCTGTTGATATACTTCTAGCCCCTCAAAAACATCTTACTCGTTGGTTGAAATGACTGCATACGACTAGGATTAGGGACGAACCAGGCAGACAATGATCCTTCGATTCTTCCAGAACAACCTTTGCTTCTCATATCACAGCCTTCAAGTTCCGACATCTTTTCCATCTACCATTATTTATCTGCTGAACACAATATATATCGTGCCATCATCATGCTTGACCCTATCAACCAAGAGCCGGACGCGTTCTCATCGCCAACAGATCAGCCGCATTCCTTGCTAGATTTACCACCAGAGATCACGGTCAAGATCTGGAGATATGCTCTTGTCATCCCAGATGCCATCAAGATACACTGCCATCCCGATACGGAATCGGTTCTCTTTGAAGGTGGAAAGCACGACCCAGATGCGCAAATACGCCTTCGTGACCAGCAATTGAACATACCAGTGTCTCTTCTACCGACTTGTCGGCGGGTATACGATGAAGCCATATCATTGCTGTACGAGGAGAATCTCTTCGAATTCGATGCTTTGTGAGTTATTCCCGAACTCCCATCATAAAGGTTTCTAGGTAGATAGGTTCATATCTTTCAAACTGCCATCCAGATATCAACGACTGGTTGCGAAGGGCTTTGAAATGAGTGTCACTCCGAGTAAAATCTAATCCATACCCTCCCATGACACAGATATTCACGATTCCCGCCGCTCACGCAGTCATCCTTCGTCATTCTCCCACGGAGTAGGATGTTCGCATTGGAGAGGATCAGTATCGGCACACCATGGTTCGACGCCATGACATTAAACGGGTACACCAACCTACACACCATCATTTTCAGGCTCTCAGGCCAAATCTTCCTCGCACGCGCGGATCTCCCTGGTCGTGATCACCCACGCACTATCCGCCGTCCACCAACTACTAGGCCTAAAGCAGATCGTCCGGTATACACAATGCCAGACGAGCCCAACGGTGAGCTCGATGACGATGGGCCAGACCAGTATTACGAGACACTCCGCGAAGTCGACGATGATGCTGTGATCGCATACGCACAGCGGGATTATGAGTATAGCAGTGCGTACTACAATAACATGGCACTCATGTGCCGTGGCATTTCACCGTCAGTCGAAGTCTTTTTCAGCTTTCTGTTGCAGCACTTGGATCCTGCTTCGGTATCGAGATTGGATGAAGCAGTTGGTAGGCAGGTTTTGGTAAGTCTCATTTCATATTCGAACGGGTGAATCACCAACGAGTCAGCGGTTCTAATGTCTCAATCATAATGACGATCTGGCCGTCTAACGGATGACTTTTCCAGATCCCAGCCAGGAAGATCCTGAAATTCACCGACCTTGATGCTGAAGACCGCGCTGCCATCAGGGAGGAGATGGCTGAGCATAGAAATCTTTGGGGTGGGTTGTCAACTCTGGTTGTTCCATGAGCCTTAGCTACTCAACAAAAGCTCATGGGAGATAAAAACCGTTTTCGGAAGGTACCAGAGTACTCACGAGGCCGTGAGATATGTCCTTGCGTCCTCAGCTATGCAGCCTTAATTCGGGACGATTATGTTAAGAATCGAGCTCTTCTTGAAATGGGGCGCGCTTCTGTTCTTTTTCATCCGCTGTTGCTTCTCGAGACAAAAAAAGATGCTTGATATATGACATACAGCTCCACATGGATGGCTTAACAACATTCCGGGCATAAACGCTTCAGACTTGAGCCCCTGCATTTCTATGCACTGCCCCAAAATTCATACCGTCCAATTTTACGTTGAATACTTTCAACCGGGGAAGTGCTTCCATCCTGCAGTTTCTCTACACGGATGATGACGACAAAGATCTAGACAAGACACACCTATAATATCACAGATTGGCACTTCAGAATTGATTTCAATTTTCTTTTGGTCACCTAGACAATGACAGCCCCCCCCCCCCTATTGCTTCTCATGCACATAAGACTTATTCGGCGAAGGAAAGCTCATATGAGCCGCCATGGTCAACATGTTACTCGGCTGGCCGGTCCACTTGGGATCGGCGCCGAAGAAATTGCCGGGGAAGCCGATGTCAAATTCGGTCTGACTCTCGAGAAACTGGACCTGCTCGTCACTCAACTTCAGACTCAACGCCTGGATGTTGTCCTTGAGGTGCTCGACCTTGCGCCCGCCGATGATGGGGAAGACGTTGGGCGTCTTCTGCATGACGTACGCGAGCGCCACGGCTGTCAGGGACTCGATGCCATGTTCGCCAGCGACCTTCTCGAGCGCTGCCGAGACCTTCTCCTGCTGCGGCGACTGTGTATTGCCCATGAAGTCGCGCAGGCCCTCGCCGGCCTTCTTGCGCTCCTCGATCTGTTTCTTTGACTGGAACTTACCGCCGCCGATCACGTCCCACGGTGCGAGCGCCATGCCGAAGTGGCGCGCCATCGGGATGATGTCGCGCTCGAAGTCGCGGGTCATGATGTTCCACCGGCCCTGGTACACGCTGAATTGCGTTTTTCCTTGCTCGCGTGCATACGTGTTGGCGGCGGAGACGATCCATGCTGGTGTGTCGCTGATTCCAAGGTAGAGGACTTTGCCCTGCACCACGAGGATGTGCAGTGCGTCCATGATTTCTTCGATGGAGGTCGTGTGATCCTACACGGGCAGCGGGCAAATCGTGTTAGAAGCTTGTTTCAAGGTTTTTTTTCCCAGTTTCCAGGTGGGGACACGGCCCCTTCTGCTCTGATACGAATAATAGGAGAAAATACGACTTACCCACCAATGCAGATACAACAGGTCGATGTAATCGGTCTGCAGCTTCTTCAACGAGTCTCGAACCGACAGGTGTAGACTGCGTTTATGGTTGCCTGAATAGTTGACTGTCTTGCCCTTGCCGAGCTCCCAGCTGCGATAGGGAGTTGTGTACCTGAAGAATAGTTAGCTGATTAGCGAGACTCCCCAAGCAAGATATGCATTTATTCAGGACACCGTAAGCAATGCCGCAGGGGAGGATCACGCACTTGGTGGCAAGGACGATCATGTCGCGGTTATTGCGTTCCGTCATCCATTCGCCGATCCATTTCTCAGACTGTTCGTTTTGATAGTTGTTCTAGAATTTGGAGGGTGACAGTCAGCCCTACGCTCATAATCGTTTAAAACCGACTGCCTCAAGGATTGAAGATAATGCTCGCTATTCTCTCATTTCGCGAGGATTGTTGAGCAGGTCTCTAGGGGGCGAAAAGGATGGGACCTACAGCTGTGTCGATGAAGTTTCCACCACCCTCGTAATATGCGTCGAGGAGTTTGAATGAGCTCTCCTTGTCCATGCTGCCCATGGCCTGTCATGCTCACCCAGTCAGCCATCGTGGTCAAGCTATGGAGTTGACACTCTCGATTCAGGGAAGACGAAGGGAGGATTGTAGAGGTAAGCATACATCGGACCACGCATCGCCAATGGACATGGCGCCCAAGCATAACGGCGAGACTCTGACACCGGCGGTGCTGGACAACACACGATACCGTCCGAGCTCTGTCGCTGGCTCAGGTGCCGGGCCGAACATTAGATTGAGCGACATCTCGTGAGATGAGGTTGATTGTGGTGATGTGATGAAGATTAAGGAAGTGCTTGAGGACTACTAGTTACTGTGCAGAGCGAAGACGTTTGATTTGTACGACTTATGTAGGTAGACACGTAGCTGTGGACAAGAGAAGAGGGACCCTGTTCAAAAAGTGGCGGAGGTCAATTATATAGGCGTTTGGGAATGTTTACATCCGCTGAGCGGAAACTGTATCGGCGTAGTAGCTTCCTACGAACTTGGGAGTGCATGCATGAATGTGGGTTGGATATACGAAATGTGCTACAAGTATCTCGAGAACCCTAACTAGCTACTTACGAGTAGGTCATGGTCATGGAGGCCCTGACCATCAACATCCACAGTATCGCACTTACTACCCCATAGATCCAGGCAGGGGGCCTGGTTACCCATCGGTAACACGATCAGGATGGACAGCCGTACTGTCATGAGAGTGCCACTGCACCCTGCAACTTGCGTTCGCAGATAGGATTTAAGCTGGTTCGGCAGGGAAGAACTTACCGGGATAATAAAATCCGCTTATTACCATCTCGGCTCGTGTCATCAATGTTTTAAGAGTACTAGTGCCTAGTAGTAGAAGAGACTTGTCTGAAACCTTCTGCAGTTGAGGTCAAGAGAGAAATCTCCGTATCGGATTCTCAGCTGGAGGCTGTGATGCGTATGTGGGTTCCCGAATGTGCTCCTGGGCCAGCTCCACATGCGTCATGATGTTTATCCGTCGCCAGGTCCGAGTCCGGTCGAATTCGGTAAATGAATTTCTTTGGAGGTTGTGCAGGGGCCATGGGGCAGCACCACTACGATGTAGGGTAAACAAAAACCATTGAAAAGGGTCCTGAAGGTGGTGGGGTAGGCTTCCGGATCATGCACCGTCGAGATCTTCTTAATTACTTTATGTCAACAAGAGGATGCAGGGATACCACCCAGATACCATTCTCCCATTTCCTTGCAAATGATAAGAGTACAAGAGATTCAAGATTGGCCACTCGGTTCGTAATGAAGCCCCCCAGATCAATTGGGCGAAGGCCGTGGACCAATGTTGTATGTGTGACGATTGCTTGTTGGCTACTCCTTGATGTCATCCTATCGAGCAGCTCGAGGCATATATCAATTTGATCTACGACTCGAAGAAATGGTTCACGATTACAGCAGACATTAAAAATATGTGTCTCAACAAAACATTCTGATTTGTGTGAATTTGTTTGTGGCCTGGCAAGCCTGATCTATGCAGCCAGCGAAAACCTTTTCCCATATGGAGTCATTCCATCAATTGGAAGGTTACAAGCTCAAGTAGAGGCCGTCCTCGACAAGGCAAACTAAAGAGATGCAAGATCTTGAGATCGCAACCGATCACATCTATGCCTCCTCTTTCCTTGTCCCTGTCGGCCTCTTGTAAGCTCGTGTGATTGATTCATGTCGAAAAATCTATTTGGTCATCATGTCCCCTAGTTCGAAAGAGAGCGAACCGCAATGAAGAAAACTTTTGTGTCGGTAAAAACTGGAAGTCCGCTTGAAAGGAAAAGAGAACCTTCACCACCATAACTGTGATGGTCTGCCTCTTGCTTTTGGTACCTCATCCATTCATTTCGGTGCGTTCTTTCTGCGCCTTAAAAAGACTCTCTTTCGTTGCAAACCGACGCCGTGTTTGTCTGGTCATTCATGGCATAACATCATCCTCGGTTTGCATGGAGGAAGTTCGACATGCTGGGGTATCTGGAAATCGATCGGAAAAGCCAACGCTATCTATCATATGTGTTCATGCTGTGCCCGTAATAATTTCGAAAATGCGCCGTGGGTCGTAATGTTGCGAGCAGGTCAGGTCAATCCGTCATTGACCACTGCCCATTATCCCACCTCGCCCAGGCACTCTTTCGAGGTGCAAATGTCGAAGAACTGGAAAAACATAAAATGAAAAAAATCCATGCGAAACAGAAGCTGAGAAACTCCGTCGTCGATGCCGGCAAGGTGACTGGATTACCACCATGATGATGGACCGCTGGCACCACCGGGGTTGCCGTAGCTGCCACCACCCCCACCGCCATAACCGCCACCATATCCACCGGCACCACCTCCGTAAGCGCCGCCATGGCTACCGCCGCCGCCACTGTAGCCTGCTTGCACGTTAGTGAATGAATATAAAGATGACAGTTGTCCAAAAACATACCACCAGCACTTCCACCATAGCCGCCGCCGGATCCGCCTCCAAATCCACCACCATAGGAAGGAGCGCCTCCCATTCCACCAGGAGTACGACGCACATCACGGTTACCACCACCTCGACCACGGCCACCGCCGCCGCGGCCGCCTCGGCCGCCGCCAAAGCCGGAGCTTTCACGAGCAATATTCTCCAAGAAGCCAGGAACCTCCTGATGTGCTTCCTTCAACAACTCAAGGAGATCACGAACAATACCACGGTTGCCCCGGTTGAAGAAAGCGGTAGAGAGACCAGTGTTTCCAGCACGGCCAGTACGACCAATTCGGTGAACATAATCGTCGATGTCGGTTGGAAGATCGTAGTTGACAACGTGTGTGACGTTTGGAATATCGAGACCACGGGCGGCGACAGCAGTTGCCACCATGATGGGACATCTGCCATTACGGAAGAACTCCAAGGCTCGTTCACGCTCACGTTGAGTACGATCTCCGTGAATAGCTGTGGCAGGGAATCCTTGGTTGATGAGGAAATCAGACAAGGTATCGGCCATACGCTTGGTTTCGACAAAGATCAAGGTCAAGCCACCAGCATGAGTATGAAGAATGTCGAGAAGAACTGAGCGCTTGTCACCATCTTCGACGTACTCAACCTTTTGGGTGATGTTCTCAGAAGTCGAACCGACACGTCCAACAGACAAGAAGACGTAGTCCTTGAGGAAATCACGAGCCAACATCTGAATGTCACGTGGGAAGGTGGCAGAAAACATGAGAGTTTGACGGTTCTGCACATTGGGCATATCCTCACCCTCGACGATGCGGCGAATCTGAGGCTCGAAACCCATGTCAAGCATACGATCAGCCTCATCGAGAACAAGGTATTTGATGTTGGCCAAGGAAATGCGACCTCGCTCTATGAGATCGACAAGACGACCAGGGGTGGCAACGAGGAGATCGCAACCTCGCTCGATGGATCGAAGTTGAGTACCAATGTCGGCACCTCCGTAGACGACACAAGGTCGGACCCAGGAGCGGTATGCGAATTTGCGTGCTTCATCGTAGATCTGAGAAACCAACTCACGGGTAGGTGCAAGGATCAAAGAGGTTGGGAATGCTTTTCGTTGGCGGAAACCAGAACCAGATGCTGGAGATGTAGATGGACCATTTTGGAATGCCTGTGAGAGGATTGGAAACAAGAAACCGCCGGTCTTGCCCGAACCAGTCTGGGCACAAGCCATAAGATCTCGTCCCCCCATGACAATCGGGATGGAGTACTTCTGTACAGGTGTCGGAGTGGTGTAACGTGACAATTTGATATTGGCAAGTAGATGGTCATCGAGGGGAGGATTGGTGAAGGTCGTAACAGGTTCGGGAACATCTTGACCAGATGCCTCGACGGGGATATCGTCGTAGTTGGCAAAGTTGATACCTGTCTGTTGCTTGTTGGGGTCGTTGGCAATGCCGAAGAGTTCTCGCTCGAGTTTTGCGTTGGCAGGACCAGGAACGTGTTGGCCATCTTGCCATCTTCCATCTCCTGATCCACGGTTTGCACCACCGCCGTAGTTACCGCCGCCGCCGCCACCGCCGCCATAAGAGCCGCCGCCAGGAGCACCGTAGGCATTAGGGTTGAATTGACGGGGGCCGTTTTGGCTTGCCCATCCGTTGCTTTGGGGTGCAGGACCGGGGCCACCTGGTCCACCTGGTCCACCTGGACCAGGCTTGAAATCAGGAGCACTTGCCCAATTGCCGTTGCCGTTGGTATTGCTGCAAAACGTCAGTGATTCAAGTCTATGATTGTCACACCGTGTGTACTTACGTGTTGTTCGCCCATGCGCTGCCATTCAAGCCTTGAGCGGCCGCAGCTGCAGCGCCAGCTGGGGTAGGACCAGCACCTGCACCATCGAAATTATTCACTGGGGCGGGTCCACGCATGGAACTGCGGAGGTGTGGTGGAATGTAGGTAGAACGTCCACCGCCCATACCGGCTGGAGGACCATGCTTGGAGTCATTCAGAGAGAGACCGTTCATGTTCAAGGAGTCAGCCATGTTGGACAGTTTTTGATCTGGGTGAGAGACGACTGTTAGCAACAATCTCTTGGACACGTGAGGAAGAGAGAAGAGTGACAGAAAGGGTAATTGGTGTATGCAGGATCGAAATGAGGAGCCTTGATTGAAATCGAGGCGAAGAGATTGAATGAAGGTGATAGCAGGAGGCTTGCAGACTTACAAGACTGATTGAAAACGCTTGTGGGATTGAGTGAGGAATGAAGTCCTTTGATGAAGAAAAGAGGGAGATGGATGGATAAAGTGAGGCTTGCTAGAGCGTCTAAAGCAAGATGTGATTGGAATAGGGTGGCGTGGGATGGGTTTTCACCGCTTGGAGACCTTTCAAGATCTGAGATAGAAGAAGAGACACAGAACGCCTCTCCAAGTCTATCTGAACTTTTGTAAAACGAAAGGCAGAACGAGAAGGACAGTGGGAAATTGAATGTCGAGGATTGATTGTGTGAGGATGAGGGTGTGAAGTAGTGACAAGAGAGACAAGAGGAGTGTTGAGGGTTGAAAGAGGTTTGGAAGATTTGAAGGTGAAAAAAGAGCGCAGGCAGGGACTTTTTTTCTTTAGGACTAGAATGACCACAACCGTACGGTCACTGCAGGCTCAGGCTCTGACTGCCCTTGGACTAGAGTACCTCGTATCGCACCAGTAATGACCACCGAGATAGTTCTGGTGGCAGAGGCCGTTGGGGGCAAATTTTAGGGGGGCAATTTGGGATCAAGTAGGCTGAAGATACCGTCATCGCCCGTCATGTAACGAAACAACGATCGGTGTGATTACGGCATAGGATTGGTCGGCTATTGCACAACCTCGTCACAATTGCCCTTCAAGCGTGGAAATTTTGATACCGAAGGGAACTGTGCCAAGACTGTACGAAGATTTTGTTCTTTCACTGTCCATTGTGGAAGACATACTACTTACCTAGGGTAGTAGGTGAATCAGTGACTCTGGCTTGGAAGTCGGGTTGGTCCTGATGAGTTCTAGTACCAGAGTAAGGAGAAGTGGAACGCGTCGTGATCGCTGTGGTTATACTCAGCCTACCCCTTCCAAAATTGCTATGTCGAGGAGGCCATAGGTTATTCACATAGACGATTCATCTGCCTTGATTGCTTTGCTTTGCTTTATCTGTCTATGCCATACTTTTCTCATTCAGCTTGCTATGAGCTGATCTCCGGCGCCTCACCACGAACAAAATCACCGCCACGATCAAAAAGAAGAAGACTGCCTTCTGAACATATGCCTGAGTGATCATAGCCTCAGCTGGAATCGTGCTATCCGCCGCACCTGGCACATCCTTGGCTGGCGATTCCAGTTCTGGCTTGCCTGCTGCCAGATCTAAACCATCATCCCCACTATATTCAGGATGAGCATCCGAATGAAGCACTTCTAAAACACAGAATTAGAACAGACTTGTCAATAGGATAATCCGAGAGCAGTACAAATATCCGCCCTCAAACCTAGAGCTCGGCGTGTATACCTTCAGCTGGAACCTCCAGCTCTCCGCTCTTCACGATCTTGACTGGCTTCACAGGGCGATCACCCGATGCTGTGGCAACTTTCTCCATCTTATCGACGATGTCGTAGCCCTCGAGGACCTCGCCAAAGACAACATGACGTCCGTCAAGCCAGCTATTCACCATGTGTTAGCCGGTGCGTTTCGAGTTTGGCATTCCCGGACGAACCTTGTGATAACTGTGGTGATGAAGAACTGAGACCCGTTGGTATTCTTGCCAGCATTGGCCATGCTCAACAGGCCTTTCTTGGTATGCTTCAACTTGAAGTTCTCATCCTCAAACTTGTCTCCGTAGATGGATTTACCACCAGTGCCATCGCCTCTTGTAAAGTCTCCTCCTTGAATCATGAACTGCTTGATAATACGGTGGAAGCTGGACCCTTCATAGCCGAATCCCTTCTCGCCAGTAGCAAGGGCACGGAAGTTCTCCGTAGTCTGCATGGTATTGCATTAGATCAGAAGCTGATACTGAGCCGGCTAGAGGGCCTACCTTGGGAACTGTTTTGCCATAGAGACCAAAGACAATCCGGCCAAGAGACTCATCACCGTGCTGGATGTCGAAGTAGACTTTATGGGTAATCTTGGGGCCTTTGGCAGCTTCCGCAGTCTGACCGAAGAAGAGGAATGTGGCGGTCAAAATGACCATCAACGAGATGAGAACCCGCTGAATATTCGCCATTTCGAAAATCATGAGAGTGATAAGCTAAATGGAAAGATGGATAGCAACCGCCCGAGTATGAAGGACAGCTGTCGGTTGCAGGAGGAGTGAAACATATCGGTCCCTCGCTCGGGCATGCGCTTTGGTGTCTATCCCCCGCTGTACCTTGGCACAAACACGGGGCGAGGGTCCCTCCCTAGCCGTGGGGGTCGACCAGATATGTAACTGGCTGACTTAATGTCTCAGAGCCTACAGGCTACAGAAGGTGATTGCGAAGCCTTAAGCCCTACTTGCTAAGTAGCTAAACGACCCAACTAGCTACTTGGAACTTGAAGGCTAAGAGACAACTACGCCGGTAAAGATGGTGCCACTGGCGGTCACATCTTGATGATGTGGCAGCCTCGGACCCAGGCTGGATGGCGGGTTCAAATGAGTTTCCCTTCCAGCCTGTTACGCTGATGATCGAGGGCTGATGAAATTATTGAACTCTGCCTGGCCTTTTGTCCTCTCCTGGAATTGGCCATGACAAGGTCTACAATTGCGTAGGCCCACCATACACCTTTCCCACATTTGGCGGAATCTTACAGGTCTGCAAGGGTTGTGGCAGCCGAACCTGGTCGCCTCGCTCAGCGCGAAAGGGTTTACACAATTCTATAGACATTCATATCCTTCTTGACAATGGTACGGTGCAAGGACCACTCATCCTCTCATTGTTTATGTTTACAATATCTACAAGATCACCGCATGGAACCCATCTAAAAGCTGAAATGATCTTAGGATACGATTGAGCAAAACTTCCTTCGGACCCTGAAAGATCCAGACCATGCAAATATTGAGTAAGTCTAGCTGGACGACGGGAATACTACCCTCCACAGTTTCTATGTGCCTTGGGCAACCTGATTGACATTGTTCAGCATCGTGGCCATCCATGGCCTGAACCCAATCAACAAAAAATTCCATGCTGAGGCTACATGGACAGCAGAGAACAAGAAGCTGTGGTTGCGCGACTTCCTTCCCAATCGCCTACCAAACGCAAGAATTCTTCTCTTTGGTTACAACTCCAATGTGGCGATTGAGACTTCGGCGGCAGGTGTCAACGAACAAGCTGTGAATTTACTCAATCGATTCGATGCGCAACGAAAGCATGTCCCTCCGCAGAGGCCAATTATATTCATTGCACATAGCTTGGGCGGTATTGTAGTCAAACGCGTAAGTCAGATTATGTCCTACCTGCCTCTGAGGGAAATCACTCCACACACGTAGCTTGTTTTGCCTTCATAAGTTGTGGTTTTCTCCGGTGAGAATAATGCCACTGACGATTACAGGCGCTCGTTGAAGCCAAGCTCAACGATAAATATGCGAGTATTCGAAAAGCCACTCGTGGACTCGTCTTCTTCGCAACTCCTCATCGTGGAGGCAACCATGCAAAATTAGGCGATGTAGCTGCAAATATTGCCAGATCTGTCTTGTGGAACGAAAAGAATACCTTCATGGACAATCTCAAGCACAACTCTATATTTTCCGAACATCTTCAGGATGAGTTCAGACATCAGTATGAAGATTACCAGATACTATCATTCTATGAGACACTTCCCATCGGACCGATGGGCCTGGTATGCTAAGCCTTGTCGTCTTGAGACTAAACTGATACCCTACAGATCGTTGACCGTCAATCTGCTACTCTTGGACTTTCGGGACAAAGAGAGACTGCCATCGCGCTTGATGGGACACACAGGAGTATTTGCAAATTCTCCGAGCCCAATTCGACATACCAGCAAGTAGAAGATTGTCTGGTAGCATTAGTCGAGGATGTACTTCACCATCCTGTTGAGAAGAACGATCGAAGTCAGACTCTGCGCCTGCCCACATGTGAGTGATACTGACCCTTACAATTCCCCACCTAACATTCTCCAGTCTTTGTCCCCTATCAGAAGAATCATAATTTCGTCGGAAGGGAGAAAGTAATTGAACAACTGGTTGAAATACTCTCGCCCTATCCTGGCAAGCAAAGGCGAGCAGCACTCTACGGTCTTGGTGGAATAGGGTATGTCCAACGGAATACACACCTAGGATCTTGCTAACTGAAACAGCAAAACCCAGATTGCTCTCAGCTATGCCCATTGGTGTAAAGAGAAACATCCAAGCACATCGGTGATATGGATACATGCCAGCAACTTGGAACGGTTCCATCAATCATTTATGGATCTGGCCGAGGAATTCAAGATTCCAGGCGCCGATTCGCCCAAAGGAGACATTTTGAGCCTCGTGCGAGACTGGTTGCGGGTCAAGAAGGATAGCGGCAACTGGCTGATGGTTGTTGATAACGCTGACGATTTTGAGATGTTCTTCAGGCGCTCTGACGCTCATGGGAAAAGAAGTATTACGGGGAAGCTGGCAGATTACATTCCAGATTGTGCACACGGTGCAGTTTTGGTGACCACCAGAGACAAGAAAGTGGGCATTGGAATGGTTAAAAGGATGAGCTCATTGCTGCAAGTCAGGCGGATGGCTGATGTCGAAGCAATACAACTCGTTCGAAAGATCCTGGAGGATGAAGAAGAATACGATGAGCACCACATCATTCAACTCGCAGACAAGTTAGAGCATATACCACTTGCTCTGACTCAGGCTGCAGCATTCATCTGGGAGAACACTTCCAGTATTCAGACATATCTTCGATTGTACGAGCAGAGTCGGATCAACGCAATGGAGCTCCTCGGTCACACTGCAGCAAGCACAGTGGCAGAGGATGAAGCTCGAAATGCTGTCACAACCACGTGGATGATGTCTTTCACACAGATTAAACAACAAAACCTCCTGGCCGCCAACATCCTCTCCTTGCTCGCATTCTTGGATCGGCACTGTATTCCCGATGAGCTCATAAGGAGGCGAGACAAGAGTCTGTCCGATATAGATTTCGAAACAGCCTGTGGGCTCTTGAAGCGATTCTCCCTGATCGAGGAGAGCCCGCTAAACATAAGAGGTCAGATTCATACGGCTTTCAGTTTGCATCGAATGGTGCAGCTAGTGACACAGCAGTGGCTTCAATTCTGTAAAGAAGCCGCCGTTTGGGCGGAAAACGCGTTGGTAGCTGTCTCAATTGTCTTCCCTCCTGGAGAAATGGAAGAATGGAAAAGCTGCGAGATCTATCTACCGCATGTCGAGGTAGTATTGGAGACCCAAATTCATTCTGACAGTGGTAGCGTTTTGGCGTCCAAGGCCGCACTCTTGCATAACGCAGGCACATATTTTCGGGTGAAAGGCTATCATGGTCGTGCAGAAGAGACAGCAGCTGAAGCTGTCGCTGTCAGAAAGGCTTCACTTGGAGCAGGTCATCCTGACACTTTAGCCAGCCACACCAGCCTTTCACGCATCTTTCTCGAGCAGGGTAGGGTTGAGGAAGCATTGAAACTCCAGCTTGAAGCCGTTGATGCTGCAAGGCCATCTTTACCGGAGGACAATCCAGGGCTACTTCGGGCGGTCGCCCATCTAGCAGCTCTTCAGGGCATTCAGCATCGATACGATGAAGCTGAACGACTCCAATCTCAAGTTCTGGAGCTCAGTAAGCGCACTCAGGGTTTGGATCATCCTGACACGCTGTTGACCATGCGCGACCTGGCAATTACGTATGGTCATTTGAGTCGATATGACGAGGCGGAAGAACTCAACAGCTTGGTTTTGGAACACCGAAAGCGGGTCCTGGGTGAGGATCATCCGGAGACTCTCATCAGTATGCTTGACCTTGCCACGACTTACGGCCGTCAAATATCAGATGAAAAGGCACGGATGGCCGAAGGAATGGAACTCAAAGTGATTGAAGCCCGCAAGAGGGTACTTGGTGAAGAACATCCTGCCACAGTCCAAGCAATGGAGCATCTCTGTGGAACGTACTACTGGCAAGGCCGGGAGAAGGATGCGGCAGACCTTCAAGAGCAAATCGAAGCAATCGATCGGAGAGGAGGTCTAAACTCGGATAGACCTTCGTCCGCTACATTATTGACCATGAGCCATGAAATCATGACATACCAGCTCCCGTCTCTGGGCCGACGACCACGGCGTTTATCTCGCGAGGAACCAAGACTGGTAATCGCTGCCGAGACAATAGAAGCAGAGCAACCCAGGTTGCGAGCGATGAAGAGCTGGTCTGATGGCAATTATGCAGTAGTAGAAGAAGCCTCTTTTCTTGAGAACCCCGCCGAACCATCCGCCCTCAGGCCGACAATTGCTCACCACCACGCAAAATCCATGTCATCGTCCTCCACGCTGCTAGCCCCTGCTAGCATCCCTAATCACAAGATACCTAGGAGATCGAAGAGCCCAGTCCCTGGTTTTCGCTCCCGGTGGAAAAGCTGGCAGGGAGATTCAACTGAGGAGCCAGAGAGTTCGGAAGAGAAGACTGGCAGGAAAGTCTGGACTCTCAGGCATTAGACCTATGGCTCAGAATTATCTACCCATTTGCCAACCATGACGAAATAATTCGTTGTCGCAGTTGAGTATCTTAGACCGTATGAACGACAGTAGCAGCTTTCGACTGTTCATTATGATCCGTCCCAGTCGACAACCCAGAGTCCACACCAGTTTCCAAGTCTCCAGCGGTGGTGCTGACTGCAACAACATCCACTTTGAGATCGTTAAGCCATCCTCTAATCGGTGATAGTTCCTTCTCCTTCCCTTGATCCGCCCAGTAAAACCGACCAATCCCCAGCGCTGCAACCGTGACAAAACAGATCAGGATTGCTCTGGAAGCGGTCGGCCCCGCCACAGGATCAAGATTCTGCGCCCACACACACCCCAAGTATATGCCCAGCCCCACTAAGAACGAACCCATCGAGGCATTAAGTAGCTCGGGCGGCGTTGAGAGGGAAGCACACGCATAAAAACTGGCGTGCTTCCACCGATGCTTCTCGAGAAACTGCACGATCTCCGTCCTGAGAACCTCCCGTTCTGCCGCCGTGGCTGGGGAAGCTTGAGCGTGTATGATCCTCGGTCTCAACTCCCTTTCGAAGGCTTTGTAATCCTTCTTTGAGACAGGCTTGCACAGCCAATCCTTGACGTCCTCGGCACTCGCCAGCGCGGTCAGCGACCGCTGAATGCGAGTCGAGAAGAACACGGACAGACAGCCTAGCACCAGACTCGTGATGAACGCGCCCTGAGCGGTCCAATGCGCTTCTCTAACGAAGGGGAGCGCGATCGCCGTGATGGCCACCTGCGAGATGATGGCGCCCGTGACGGCGAGACTGCTGAAATCACTGATGAACGCGTTGCGGAAGGCGATCGGATCCGCCACGGCTGGGAGAACAGATCTCTCCACTCGGTCCATGGTCCGGAGTGTGGATGAGAAACAGACCGCCGTCACGATCCATGTTGCGAGGTTGTGCTCCTGGCGGAGTCGTTCGAGAGAAGAATTTCCGCTTACGCGGTTGTACACCGGGACGCCCACGAGCTGGTTTCGCAGAAGCCAAGTGCGAGATCGCAGGAAGGGAGTTATGAGAAGGAGAGATAGAATCCCGGACCGTATCCTTTGAGCCATACTAATGGTCTGCAAAAGGATGCACGTAGATGGTTAAGTAGCACGAGAAAGGCGAAATCTGAGTGGTGCTGTGGAAGCCAAGGCTGTGGCTGAACAGGCAGCTTTACGAGCCAGCTTTAAGCTGTGGCTAGAAGGATGAAACCTGAGATGTGAAGACGGGATCACATGTGGCGTTTAGCTTATTCGTTTTCTTTTCTCAGCACTGTTGCGCGTACAATCCGATCAGATCGCTCTTTGTTACAGCCATATCTGCGATCTTCTTCGCCAAAGATACACCCTAGAGCGCGAGGCTGAAGGCTAGCCTTGTCTGAAATGGTGCCTTCGCTATCACCAATCAGAGCTTCTCCCAATACCTAGAGCCGCTACGATTTTAGCTGCACTTATGGGTGCGAGCACGATTCCTTCACGAGATCAGTCAACGGTTTTGGTGAATGGTTGTCATTAGAATTCCGGGAATTCATCCTAAACACCGCGGTCAATTCCGCCGCCCAGAGCACGGTAGGCAAATGCGACTTGGGCGTAGTTTTAGCTTTGGACATGAAAATGGCGTAACCCAAGTTCTGCAGCTCGATTGGTGGCTTCATCTGCTGTCAATTCCAATAGTCTCTTCTTCTGGATCGATCCCAACCAAGGCGACAGGGAAACGCCTATCCTTGACCTCCACGACCGCGTTGTTAAATTTGTTGATAGAATCGAAAGAGTGTCTCGAATTCATACCAAAGGTGATCACAAATGCTTCACCTTGCCAGCAATACAGCCGCAATAGCTCGGGATCGTCAATACCTCCTCTCTGGAATACCTCGAGCGTGATCTCCTCTAGGTTATCACCTTCGCGTTAACTTGAATAGTGCGGAGATTCGTATCTCGTGGAGTGAAGATGAGACTTGTTAACTATCGGGGTGTGAGTAGTTGCCCCAACGAAGCTCATGACAATTTACCCGGTAACTCAATGCCTAAGAAATCTGATCTTCTCCCAATAATGTCAACTTTCAGTATCTCGGGGTGGTTCATTTTGGGTGATGTAAGGCAACGACTAACCACGCTAGAATTGTGGTGTACGGAATAGAGGTAGATGTAAGGCAGCCCGACTAGAAAGTTGCCTCTTTTGTACGGGATTTAGCCCTTACGGTCACACCGGAGTATACTCCTCGATCCCTCGATTGGTGGAAGCAGCCACGGGTATAGGGTCAGCCCAAATACCGATAGATTTTGAGAGCACACGTTGACCGAGTCGACTAAGAGACACGAATAAGAAGGCGCGTCCGAAACACCATTCCTGCCAACGGGGGTCAAGCCGCGCAACCCGATGCGGTTCATATCTTTTCGTTTGATTGAAGAGCTGAGCCAAGGGCTAGGAGCGGCAATCCTTTTGCAAGTTGAAGCCTGCCCGTGACAGGCTAGGGTTGTCGCTGTCGCAACAACCCAGCCAAAGATCTCAATCTGGTGTAGTCGCCTCATCATTCTATTCGTTACTCTGGGACGTGAGTCAGTTGCGCTTTCCATTTATGAAAGCTCCAGCATTGTCGATGCATCAAGATCTGGCTCGAACCATTGAGGTAGCCTTACTAAGCGCAGTGATACTTAAGTTAGAATTGAGACCTATCTATTCGGGCACTTAGGTATGGCACTCCAAAGCCTCGAGATTAATGCTATGTCAGGCGGAAGTTGAGTATGTCACGTCAGCTAATCCTGTCTTTCTGAACACCTACCTACCTAGGTAGGTAGGTAGGTAGGTGACCTTGGCAGCAGGAACCTTGGCAACAGGAATAAAGTGCACGCCCTCGTATAGAGGATGCCAAGTTTTGCTGAGTACTAACCTAGGTAGGTATAAGGGGCTCTTCGCTTATGTTCTGCTCTAGGCATGGTGACAGAAAACCTATTGGTAGTGGCTACACATGTCCTGTTGCGACTGGGGATTTCTTGAACCTCAGTGTGGCCAAACTACTGCTACCCTTCTAGCTCATTGTGTGGCACTCTAAGTATATCTCTCAGTCTTTCGATCTGAAGGGTGTATGGCGCTTAGCGATAAATATTCCATCCTGACTACAAAACCGTAACCCAGTAACAACGGGAATGTTTAAGGACTAGGTCTTTTGCAAACTCCTCGACGTGGTGCTAGGAGGAATATACGGCGATGATCTCATTTACACGCCAAACGCATTCAAAGTTCCGGCTATCCCTGTACAGAGCTGGACTTTGTCCGTTGTTGTAGAGCTGGAATACGAGGAAGAATATTGGAATTTGATGGCTAGAAAGATAAACCTTTGAATTTCCAAGGAAATTACGTTTCAGAGTAATGTATTGTTACCTAGGAATCTTTTGTCTATGGCTTTATCTGCTACTGCTGGCCAAGACAGACGTTCTGCCAGTTATTTTCTACAAGCCCCGTCACCGACTCGCTGCATGAGTCGCAGGAACCAGTTGCACAACTCCAGGAGAGTTTCCTAGTCAGCCAATTCAAAGCGAGCTTATGCAAGTGATCTTCCCACTTGGGTAGGATATAGCGTCTCACTGATTGGGCAGTCAAGTACCGAATCTTTCTCCCAGCCGTAATGGTTATACTGCTTCCCTGAGAACACTTAGCTAGCCTCCAGCAGTGTTTCACTTAAAAGATGGATCGTTAGACGCCACTGAAGTCTATTTGGCTTCGCTGGGTGCTGATAATATCTCGGTCTTACAACTTCTTCAGGCAGGGGAGCCAACCAATAGGAATCTTTCTCGAAAGACAATCTGAACAATCATTTGATATAAACGGCACTGCTCACTGCTTAGTTTTAATCACATCATCAGCGGGTTCACGCGTGTTATGCAAAGTATCCCAGCAAAGGTGCCTTCACCTTGCTACCAAGATGTCGGGACGCCCATTGATTTTCATTTTCGAGCAAAAGAGATTTGCTTCCCAGAAAGACTATGAGCTTCAGCAGGCACAAGCACGGTCTCATGCTGCAAAAGAACATCATCGACGCCGGCGACTATGTGTGGATCTGGGACATACGTACGCTGTAACAATTTGTCTCAGGTTCACCGTGTATCTGACTTGATCCTAGTAAGCATCTCAGCTACAATCGTGTCCAACCCTTTGACACGAGCCTTACCATTACCTCCGCATGCTCACCCATCTATTACCTGAATCCCCTATTCCATGTGCCCCATCCGAGGGTGGCATCATTCTATCGGGCAATCGATATCTGTTAGCAATGCCCTCATCTACCACGCAAATCCACTCCTGACCGTGAGCTTGTACAGGGTTTCAATGGATTATCCCAAATGCAGCTCCAGCACTAATCATTTTCAACGTTGCAAACATCTTTGCTTCGGTAGGTAGGCGTAAGGCTTTGACAAATATAGCGTGCCTGACTGGCCAAACTAGTATTTCTCGAGTCCCGGCTGCCAGAGCGAGGCCTCGCTTCACGGTATTGCTGCTCTTGCCTATGGTTGTCTTCAAACACACCGTCAAGAAACAATGCGTTGGGAGTTCGACTATTCCGAAGATCAACTAAAACACAATGGCTCAGCCATAACACTGCTTAATAGAGACATTACTTCTAGCGAGAGTGTTGCCGGTAGCCCCTCCGCGATCAATACTATTTTCCTTCTCAGCTTCCTCGCAGTGAATACTCCCCATCTAGATCTTGTGACTCACCTCTAACAGATCTTTCAGAAATTTCGTGGTGATGAACGCGAAAGTAAGTTCCATCACAAGGCGTTACGGACTGTCTTCAGCTCCTTTGGTAAGCCGATAAGCCGGGCCGATTTTGATGAGAGGTTCGGAGGGATGATGTTACAGTAAGGGTCGTAAGATTGTCTTTATGCGGTGCTAACTTATTGTTTAGGTTCTCTGGCTGGATGGATGTTCTAGAGGGCAAACCAAACGCTCTTGAAATTATCCCCGACAATCAAGACCATATTATTTTGAGCGCGGCATTTAATCGTTCTCCAGCAAGCAAGAACTATGATGTAAGGGCTACTTTGCCAGAAGGATTTCAACTGTTAGTGGAGAACGGGATCCTTTCCCGCGACACACAGCGTCTGCTAGCCAGATTTTCATACGCATGCCAATACAGCTTAGATGCTCTACCCAAACCCGAGGAGCAGTTTCCGGATTTTGCTGTTGCCAGCCCATACCTCACTACGGTGGAGCCAAGCTTAGAAAAGTGTCTGCTCCTCGCATTGCTCTGCTACGCGCACATGAGATGGAGTATCGCGCCAAATTACATTGCCGGAATTCTTTGCCATACAATATCACGAACCAAGCTCGCTCAGACACTCGAGTTAGTTTCGATGCCCGATGATGATGCGAGTACTCAATGTCTCATATGGTGCTGGATAATATTGGTTGATTCGTATCGCCTCGAAGGGCTGATACTTCCGCGAGACAGCTTGTCCGCTCTGACCAGCTTCAAGCATCGATTTCCGAGCTGGCACAATTGGGCTAGCATAGAGAATGAGGTTCTGCCGAACTTTTTCTGGCGGAAGGGAGATTCTCTTGCTCTCAAAAATGCTTGGGCACTATGAGCTTTAGCGGATCGAACCTGATACGAGAAGCTATTTGGGATGCTTTATGTATTGGAACGAATGACTGGAACAGGGAGCACCGTTCTATACGTTGACAAAGGTAATCTTACTTCCACAAAACGCCATGCTTTCCAGAGGGATTACCATCTCGAAGGAAGAAGTGGGGAAAACTATGGCGCAACAAGCGCGTAGTGGAGATGAAGTCACAGACTATCGCCGAAGCCTAGCGTTCTTGCCGTGTTGCTATCTTTTTCGGCATCGCATTCTCTCTTCCAACCAAGTTGAAATATAATTATTGACTGTGGAAGAACCTCCGGTGGGTTGATATGACTTATTCGTAGGTACTCACACATTTACATCTAGAACAATACCGATTTAGCATTATTGTGATAACGTAGTCAGGAATCAATTATGCTCAACTAGGTATTCTGTGTAAGAAGAGCGAGCAGCAAGCCGCGACTCCACGTTCGGTTTCTTTCACATAAGAATCCAGACTCAGAAAAACACCCTCCGCAAACATTAAAATAACACAACTTGACCTCAGCACGGTCGTAGGCTATCCTTGTTACGATGATTGAAGGCTGGGATCGTGGGAGAGCGAATGATTACGTTGTCGAATGAGGGACGACCTTCCAAAAAATGGAGAGTGATTTCAAGCCCTCAAGACTGCAGAGCCAAGGGCGGAGCTACCCTATAAAATGTGGCGAAACACTGTTCAAATTAAGAAGGTGTTCAGAGGGGTGACCTTATGTTACTACCTACACGTAGTCAACTGTGCTAGAGATTTAAATACTGCCCTGGTAGCCACGTGGAGTCTCGAATTTGTCAGATCTATTCCAGAGTCAGCTGCTATCTGAGACCACTGCTGCATTCTACAGATTATTTATCTAGATTTTGCATGATATATTCGAATACCAGGAGTCACCAAATATTTACGTGCCCACTCTACCGCAACTTGACCACAGGCACCTGTGAAAATGTTACCATCAGAGAATGCGGTCAAGAACCTATCAGCAAGGGACAGTCAGGCTTCCAAGTCTGCCACGAGGTTCGTCAGAGAGCGGCATAGTGTCCGTGCTTTTCGTTCGGATCCTGTGCCCAGAGACGTCTTGGAGGAATGTTTCGGCCTGGCGCAATCTGCACCTTCCAGTTACAATGTCCAACCGTGGCAGATAACAGTCCTTGAGGGCGCTGCTCTAGGGCGAGTATCCAATGCACTCCAAGACGCGATCGACCGAGGACTTGAGTCGACTGTGCTGCCTTTACCGTCCGCGTACGAATCGTATCGCTCTGAAATGGGAAACGCCATGTATGGAAAGAATGGCTACGACATTCCTCGGCACGACAAGGAGAGAATAGAAGCTGCCGATAGAAGGAACTTCAACTTTTTCGAAGCGCCCTTGGCATTGATCGTTGCTGTGGATTCCGCGTTAGCACCTGTCGACATCTTAGCGACCGGAATGTATCTACATACCTTATGCCTCTTGCTTGCCGAACAAAGGTTGGGACATTGTTATCAAGTTAGTGTAGCAGGGTATCCTGACATACTTCGGCAAGAGCTTGGACTCAACCCGGATGTCCAGATTTTGTGTGGCGTTGCGATCGGTTATGAGGATGAGACAGAGCAGATTAATCGGCTAAGAACCGCAAGGGATGATTGGAAAATGCACGTAGACTTCTGCAACGGGTGAATAGAATTCTGCACTATGATTATGCAACCACGATCTCCTATATTTACCGTCTATTATTCTTGCCTATCTCTTGTCACATGTACTTTCACTACTTTCGGTACGGAAGCGACGAGGCTCGGAGTACAGCCAACGCACGAATAGGTAAAGGAGGTTGAACTCCTCAAGGATAAGCGGAGGGCTCGCCGTCGACCATCTGGTTTTATGTTGCGGCTGAAATTATAGACTCGCTGCCAATCGGTAGCTATGTCGCCGTAGGCTAAGGCAGTCCCCCCTCCCGCAAATGTAGTTGTGACCAACATTAGCTTTATACAGTCCTGCAAAATTGAGAAACCGAAAAGGCTTGGATCAGAGAAATTCACTACTTCTTCTGATGTGAATCCAGGAGAGCCCGAGAGGTCATTGACCGGGCTCTGTAAGGAGAACTAACGTCGTGTGACTGCATAAAACCAGCCCAAAATACAAAGAAGGGACTTTGACAGACAAGGGAATCCGGCGAGGGGAGGTTTCCATCCTACTCTCGACTCAAAACCAAATCAGGTCCTCCCAAGTGGTAAATATCCAGTGGTTACTAGCCTCTCGGCGAAGCCATTCAAAACGAGTCTGCCAAGGTCTGGCCAAGCCAACTTGCCGGCGTTAAGCAATCCTAAATCCAAGATCGCCCGTCCATTGCCCAACGAAATCTCGCGCCAGGATGCTGGTTGAATCCCTCCCCAGATTCCCCTGGAGTGATAAACCTTCCCCACCTCGAGTATGTTCGCCAAATACTATTCAGGGTGCTCCAGAGCAGAGCAACCAAACACTGTGCCCCGGCAAGCATGTTACGACTCTCGGAGGAGATGCAACCGATCTTGCCCCGTCGGTATCAGGAGCCTCCCCCCGGCCCTCTGGCCTGACAATTTCGCTGAGAGCGAAAGCTTCGGTTGTCTGAGGCTATAAAATGGAATTGGCCACCCGCGTAATCGTCATGCAAGTCATCAGTTGCAGAGATACTCGCAACAACCAGACATACTCATCATCCACTCATGTCTGACGCAACGTCAATCACCTCAACACACAAAGTCGATACCATGTTCACCAGTGCGGCTGAGGAAGCCCAGAGCCGGCTTCATGTCGAGATCATCCCCGGTACCGAGATTCTGACTGATCTCGAAGACACCCATTTCATCCGTGGAGGCCGACAAGGCGTGGTTCTTGTCCCACAACCAACAGCAGATCCACATGACCCATTGAACTGGAGCCCTTTTTGGAAGTATGTCACCTTGTTGAATTGCAGTTTATACATGTTCCTGGGTAACTTCACCGCGCTTTCCATCGCCCCGTTGACACCTATCTATCTCGAGTATTTCAACACGACTATCACAAAAGTCGGACTTCTTACGGGTGTCTGTGTCTTGACGTTAGGATACGCCAACTTCATCCTGATCCCATGTACGCGCCTCTTCGGGCGCCGACCAGTGGCACTGGTCTGTTCCGTGATCTTCCTCGGTTCAAATGTATGGCAAGCTCTGGCGACATCATACTCGTCACTGATGGGTGGTCGAGCCCTCATTGGTATCGCTGCCGCCACCAGTGAGAGCTTGATGCCTGTTGTCATTGCAGATCTCTTATTCCTCCACGAGAGAGGAACTTGGATGGGAATTTATTTCTGGGCCTTCTTCATGGGCGCCTGGGCAGGTCCCATTGTCTCTGGCAACATCGCAGCGAATCCAAATCTGGGTTGGAGGTGGTTCTTCTGGGTTTCGGCAATCATGCAGGGAGTGCTCTTGGTCTCCATGTTCTTCTTCTTCCCGGAGACGAAATACCAAAGAGAACCCTCGGTTGCCACTTACCGGCACCATCATCGTGAAGACACAGCCAAAACCGACGGCACAACAACCGATAATAAAGAAGACCCGACGAGGAGCAGAGAAAATATTGAATCCCTCGAAGCTCCAGTTCCAATGACACACGTCCTAGGCAAAGGATGCCCAACCAAGACTCAAAGACTAGGCATGAACCTCCGGCCCGACCGAGCCGAGCTGAAATTCCTCCCTCGCGATCTCATCACACCCTTCCAACTCGTCGCATTCCCAATCGTCGTCTTCGCATCCTGCTGTCTGGGATTTGGCGCCAACTGTCTCCTGGTGCTCAACCTCCTCGAATCGCCTGGATTTTCCGCCCCACCATACAACTTCAGCCCTTCGGCCGTCGGCTTTGTCAATTTCGCACTCATGGGCGGCGGCATCTTCGGGCTGCTGACTGCCGGTCCCTTCTCAGACTGGGTCTCGATGAAACTCACCGTCCGCAACAACGGCATTCGCGAACCGGAGATGCGCCTCCCGGCTCTGATCCCCTTCTGCATCATCGGCTTCGTTGGGCTCCTGGTCGCAGGTCTCGGCTGGGAACACAAGTGGCCGTGGCCCGTGATCGTCGTGGTGGGATTCGGCTTCAGCGGCGTCCTAGTCATGGCGATCCCCACGATCGGACTCACCTACGCCATCGACAGCTACAAGCCGGTGGCGGGACAGATCACGGTGGTCGGCACCGTCGTGAAGAATACCTTTGGGTTTGGAATGACGTACTTCATCAATGACATGGCTAACCAACGTGGATATCTTGTGCCCGTCATGCTGTTGGCTTCTCTGGGCGTCGGCATCCCTGTTGTCGGTGGTCTGATGCTGTGGTTCTGGGGCAAGTCTTGCAGGCGTATCTCCAGGAATTCAAAGGTCCATCGGTTCTAGTGGTAGTGTGTGAGTCGAAGATGAGTAGTGACGATGATCAGATAATTCCTCAGAAGAGGGCAAGTGTACTAGAGCCCATCTCCAACTTTACCTAGATATACTGTTATCAACGAGTTGCCCTCCAGACCTATCACAACGAGTCACAAACCTAGCGCATATATTTCTCTTTTCGGGAATTTGTATTTAAAAACTTCACCAATATTCTGGTGAGGATCAATTTTTGCCGCCTTACGGTGCAATGGCAATAACTCTGTTGTTTTCGAACTTCTCTTTAAACTACCTAGGTATGCAGTCCCTGTTTATCTTATACACTAAAGTCCTCCGTTCTATCATCTTTCTACCAGAAATCTCAGCCGAATCCCCAAGTTTTAACACCCTATATAGACTACTGTAGTGTTTTGAGAACTGAAAAATGTGGCGAATAGATTGAATGGGCTTGGGCTCATGGCCTTCCCGAATTTTTTTGGTTTGGATTCAACATGAGATGATTACAGCCCAGAAGTAACGGTAGCGGACTGACGCTTGAAGACTTGGTAAGACACATATATAAAAGAAAACCTAATCTTTAAATTCGGCAACAGTCACTGAAATCTCTCCTCTGCGAAAAACAAAATACTGACTGAATCAAGTTGGTTGTAGCTCGTACGTCCTCAAAATTCTCCAACACCCCTTGACATCCCTTGCCCGCCACAGCCTCGCCCGGATCGCTTCCCGAGTACCGGTATTTCCACACTTTAACTCCGCGACGGCCTGTGGACTTTCCACATCTGGATTTGCCCAGCAACGAATACCTAGCTAGCTGGGATGGTATCCCCGAGAGTTTGGGAATAGATACCATGTTCAGACTAATCAAGTTGTGGTACTGAAGTTTGATGTGGGCTGTGGATATTTTTTCGGCTTCGGTCCCTCATAAGAAGGGTCTGGGGACATTTTGTTGGAAGACTATATCAATATCTCTAGGAGGAAACAGGGCCATATTGGTGATACATTGGCATTGTCATTCTACGCCATCGATCGAGCCCATTCTTATACCGACCGATACATCCCAAAGCCGCTCAAGCATGTCCGCATCTTCGTCTTCGGTCAAAACCATCATCATCACAGGAGCATCGACCGGGTTTGGGGCGTTGGCAGCGCGACTACTGGCACAACGCGGACATATTGTCTACGCGGGTGTAAGACATCACGAGGAGGCCGAGATCGCAGCGGCTCGGGACTTTGCATTTCAGAACAAAGTCGCGCTACGCACGGTGCTCCTCGACGTGACAGATGAAGCGGCTGTCAACGCCGCAGTCGAGCAGGTCCTCGGCGAGCTCGAGGCCGAAAACAAACCCCAGACGATCGACGTTGTGATGCACAATGCCGGGCTAGGCTCGATTGGCCCTGCCGAAGCATGGACACCGCAAGAGATGATGAAGTACTTCGACATCAATGTCCTGGGTGCACAACGAGTCAATCGTGCTGTGCTTCCACACATGCGCCGAGCTGGAAAGGGACTGTTGATCTGGACGTCGAGCTCGAGCACCAGAGGTGGCACTCCGCCTTTTCTAGGGCCGTATTTCGCATCCAAAGCGGCGATGGACTCGCTGGCGATCACGTATGCGGGCGAGTTGACGAAATGGGGCATTGAGACTTCGATTGTGATTCCTGGCGCGTTCACGACCGGGACGAAACATTTCGAGAACATGGGGAAGCCGAGGGATGAGGCTGAGGTGGGGAAGCAGTATGTGGAGGGTCCTTACAAAGGGGTGTCGGAGAGGATCATAGACGGTCTGATGGCGATTACTCCTAAAGACGCAGATCCGGCGGACGTGGCGAGAGCAATGGTGAGGCTGGTGGATACACCGCATGGGGAGCGACCTTTGAGGGTGCATGTTGACCCTGTTGGCGATGGGGCGGAAATTGTCAATGCAGTCGCTGACAGAGTCAGAGCTGAGCTCTTGAGACGTATAGGGCTTGAAGATGTTCTGAGACCTAAGATCTAGAATGCATGCCTTGGTGGCAATCAGTTTCCCATAGTTTTGAGTAGCGAGCCTTTCGATGGCCCCAGGAAGCAAATGAACCGTTTGGCAATGGAAAAAGTTTCATCCCTTCCCTTTGAGCCTTGTATCTGGCAAGTAGAGAACGTGTACGGCTTGGATGTCTCGTAGTGAAATCAACTCATCATGCACATAGAAAGCTTGCAAGTGGCTTCAGGTCGTAAGCTTTTGAACATTACTCAAAGGGCAGGAGAATCCTGAGACAGAGCGTCTTAGCAGTCCAGTTCCGTTGATGCTGCGAATCAGGTAGCCGCTTGACTTATAAAGCTAAACAAGCTGACTAAAAGGGAAAATTGTCAACAAGAGGGCAGCTTCAACCATTTGGCCTTTAGCCTGGTACTCGGATATTTTTCAAGACTAACACCCAGACAAAGTGATATGCTCCAGAACTGAAATATTCATCATCGTCGTCCTACCTGGAGCTCCAGACCGAGGCATGCAATATGTAAAGGCCCGATTGTCTAGAGTACAGCTATTCACCTACCCAGTATATACCTAACCTGAACACATGTTGATTGGACTGAGGACTCTGCCATTTTGTACAGACAGATATGACTGGTAGCACAAGCAACGTCGTGCGACTAAATTGATCTCGTGATTCTCGGATCAGTTCTGGAACACAATGTCATTATCACTCCACGTAAGAGGTAGAGCGTGTACAATTATGTACCGATGAGCAAGAAACAGTCCAAGTGGATTTAGGAATGTGAGGGAAGCCTTCTAGTGCCAAATAGTCGGCTGGTACGGAGTACTGAAACCGGCATCTTCCTTTAAAGTTCAAGTTTGAACAAGTTTGATGTTGATCACACTTTCACAAGCCACACGAGCGGTGATCTGGGTGGGTAGGTGCCACAGAAAAATCAGGAACGAAGGTGCGAATTTACTAGGATATTGCTGGTTGTGAGCTGAAGCATGGATGAGCGAAGCTGCAGGGGAGTTCCCTGGACAAAAATTGTCTTTGGCGGACTTTGCACGCCAGAAGTCCCAGTTCATCGGTCTCCGCGATTCTGGCCTGGTACTCAGCTCCCCACGCGTTCTGATACGTGCATTGTTGGAATAGAATCAAGACCGCTCGACGACTGAGGTCAAAGCAGTTGCAGCTGGACATATTCGTGTTCTTCCACGGCAGTTCCACTTAAGCGGCCAGAAAAGTCGCGTCCTCATCACCACTGACAGTCTTGGACAATGGGTGGCTGTCGTCATGCTGTCTCAAGTGTGGCTGCAACCTCGGCACTAAAGAACAACCTTGCTCCAATAATGCATGACGTTAGGTACATTGGTCACAATAGCGAGGTCGGTAATGTCTCAATGTTGTCGCAAAATAGTGCGAACAAGCTCCAAGATTGAACAAATCATCGACCAGGACCCTGGGCGAATCGTGTGCCAAATTCAAATGGAAGCAAATCCTCGTACTCATGATTGTGCAGTAAGCTAAAGAATGTGACACGGATCACGAGAATGGGAGTGGGATCGGAATTTTGGGAAAGTACATGGAGCCGGTCTAGCTTCATGGGGCTCCCAAGTTATTGGCAAAACGTGTCAGCCACAGAAAGAGAAATCGTGATCGTGGTGGAAACCGGGATGCCTGGACATGGTGGACGTGCTGGACGTGCTGGACGTGGCTTTCACGTCGTATCTCTTCGAGTCTTCACACAGTACCGAGTACCCTCAATACTGGACGGGCGAGAATGAATACTGGAAAAGAGTGGTCTGGAAGACTGGGGAGCACTTACAGGACAAGAGCAAGCTGAACGCCACAAAACCAAAGGTCAAAATCTCCACGCTCAGCTACCTAGGTAGTTCCCAAAACAGAAACGACCATGAACAATTTAGGTCAAAGTGGAGGTACGAGTGGACAAAAGAAACCAGAAAGAAAAAGGTTTGACAGATTGTGACCGGCGAGGAGAAGCTAACTATTGGCTCGAGTGGGATAAGCAGAAAGGTGACGTCGCGTCAAAGTGATTGGGAGGAGGAGAGCAACCGGACAAGTCAAGTGGAAGTCAACAGTTCGGGGCCTGGGAGTCTGAAGGGAAAGCTAATTACCAGCCACCGGTGGCAGCTTTCGGAGTATTTTAGAAGGGGAGTGGCGGGCCAAATTCACTAATACCTAGGTAGAGAGAATGGCGTACCTGGTATCGATACAGATATGGGTAGGTCAAAATAGGTGTACAGGACTTGTGTGGTTGATCTGTCACAAATGATAAATTCGACCCAGCAAGCCGCCTGTTAAGCATACGATATTAGTGAGTCTAGGGGACCGGTTTACTTACGAGTCTGTACCAGGTCACTCCAGTAGGTGAACGGAGTCAAACGGGTAGCGGTTCCTGGACCGCGGCGAGGCGTTGGCTGGCAAATATTGGGCTATCAGCAAGCCACCTGTGGGGGGGGGGGGGAAGTGACGGCTTCGTGTCTTTAGGAAGGCTTGCATCTTTAGTGAAGGCACTAGTGATCAGCCTTACTACTCCGGCATGCCAGTGCCAGTCGGTTTAGGTACTCGGCCAAGAGACACTGCCACAGTCATTCAAGCGATGAAGACGGTAATGTTTGACTTTCAACGTCACGTCATGACTCGCACAAAGAAAAGGAGCTGTTGAGTGATGCAAGGGCTCTTGTTGTTGGGCCTGAACCTGAGGTGCAGTGTGTGCAGTGTTTGCCGTGCCACTCGGAAGGCGAAGAGCAAACCTGCAGAAGCCTCCCTCGTACAGAAGCCAGTGCCTGGGAGAGGTGGCTCCCTGGTGGCTAACCTGGTGGCTCGTCGGTTTCCCAAAATGGGCTAGAAGGGACGAGGATCTCTCGGGCGCCACTTTTTGTTGGAGAGGATGCCAATAGATGTGCACAAGGTGACGAAGTGGCCTGCGCCTCTTTTTCAAGCTATCCCGTCCTGTGGCCGCACCATTTCACAGGCGTCATGGGCATGGGCGTCATGCCCTCCCTGGCCTCAGTGGCCACTGGCACCTCCACTAACCGACTCCACCGACCTTGTGCACCCACTCCATGGAACCATGATCAAGCCCTTCTCTTTCCAGCCAAACAGACTCGACATTGTCGAAAATCGTTGACTGACAATAGCCACATCTGCGGGCGCTAACAGACGTGCTTGCATTTCAAGTTCTGACGGGCAACTCACTGCAGGGCCGGCGGTGGCACTCAAACCCTCACTTCCTCCCACCATCAACTGGGCTTGCTACTGCCCTCAACCATCCGTGGGACTTCCCCAGCAACGCTCCCTCGTCTCCAGCCTGAGCCTGAGAGCGTCTCTTCGGAATCATTGCTGTCATTACAACTCGGTCTTCTGCTCTCCATGGGCAATTGCAAGGAAACACCCACTGATTCGTCTCCGTTTCTCTCTCTCAATACCACCCAGATATTCAATTATTGAACCGCCCTTTGACCCTCTCTACCTTTCTATTGCTCTCCTCAACCAAAAGAAAAACCTTGTCAGCATTGTCGTCACGGTTGTTTGATCCGACCTCTCGGGCTCCAACTCTTCAGTCAAACCCCGTTTCTGTGTATCGTATTATATCCCTTTTCCAGACGGCTCGGCCCCCTCATACATCGTCATTCCAAAAATTGCTCCACGCCCACGCCGACGCCCAAGCCACAGAAAACAGAACACAGCCAAACTCACCATTCACCTTCCATCTCTCGACTCTACTCGTGCCTTCACACCTGTATCTTCAATCTTTGAACTCACGACTCTACAGCAAGCAACTAATACTTTGTTCATTCGACCGGGTTAAAGTCCCCGTCCCTCAAATTCTATCGACTCCCTCGATCGTTCTTTTCTCCTTGTTCGAACCCTTCCGAGTCCTGCGCCTCACACCCAACTGGTCCTTCGTCGACCATTTGAGACCCGCTCAACCACGAACACTTGAACTCCAAACTCTTCTCCGCGCAATCTATTCTACATCGTATAATGTTGCGCATGTTCACCACGCTTCTCTCTTCGACATAGCAAACTTTAGATAGTTGCGCGCGACTGCGCATCTCCATTGTTGGGGTTCATCAGCCTGAGCGCCACCTTTCTCCGCCCTGGTGAGGCTGAGTCCGAATCCTCGTTCAGCCTGATTTTCAGCTTCAGCACTCGCCACGGACCTCGACCTATGCCCTTGTGAAGGTACGCTTGAGCTTTTGATACGTCGTGCTACTATTTTACGCCCCATTTTCTATTTTCCTGGGCACGATGCAAGCCATTCAACTCTGCCCTCGCCGTTGCCAGGACCTGCCCCAGCTTCCTCGTTCACCAGCCCCATCATAACTGCTGGCTGTTAGGCAGTTAACTGGGAGAATTCCACGATGCTAACTGCGTATCCCTGCAGACTACTCTAGAAATTCCTCCCTCATATCCTGTTTATGGCTGAGTCGAACCCAAATCAAGAGACCTCCTCGAATATCACCTTCCCTACCACTCCCACGTTTGCGAAGCCTGCCGCCATCACGCCTCATTCACAGAAACTCAATAACTCGTCGCGCGACTTTGATGAATCGACGAGGCCCGGCAAGCGACCACGACTTGAGCCGCCTCAGCTGACCGCCGCAGTTGCCTTCGCCGAAGCGCGGCAGAGGTCGTCTTCTCCAGCTTCCTCCAATACGAGTCCAAACCCCGGCCTTCAAGCCTTGAACACCCTGATGGGTGCTAATGAAAATCCTGTGAGCAAGGCTCTAGCCGCAACGGCAGACACCTCATCCGACCCGACCAAAACAGTCAGCGAGCCCTTGACCGAGGTCGTCGAGAACATCGAACAACCCACAAGAACGAGTCCTGAGGTGGTCACATCCTCCGGCGATAGTCATGTTATGCAAACGAGTCCGACGAGTCTCTCCAGCGTAGGGACTCTGGATAGTATGGCCGCTGCCACTGGTATAACTACCACTGTTGGAAGTCCATTGCCCATTGAAGAGACAGTTCGTCAGGTCGTGAATGCTTCCGAGGCAGGCTCAACCTCTCCCACAGATGGGAACAAGGCTTTCTCCTATCCAGCACCTTTATTGCAGCCACCAGTAAATGAAAGCGCGAGGCGGGGGATGAGCTTGCCTCATTCAGGCACACGACAAGGTACAAGATCTCCTTCCAGCAAAAAGCACAGATGCCCATATTGCGCCACCGAATTCACTCGTCATCACAATCTGAAGAGCCATCTGTTAACACATAGCCAAGAAAAACCCTACGTTTGTTCAACCTGCCAATCCAGGTTTCGCCGATTACATGATCTCAAGAGACATACCAAGCTTCACACCGGCGAGAGACCACATATTTGCCCCAAATGCGGCCGAAAATTCGCCAGAGGTGATGCTTTGGCTCGTCACAACAAAGGTCCAGGCGGCTGTGCGGGTCGCAGAGCCAGCGTTGGTAGTTTCGGTGGAGATGACGATGATGGTAATGATGATTCTATGGATGGTGTTATGTATCACGAACCCGATGCCATGGAAGACGAAGAAGGTAACGACAAGAGACCTGCCATTCGTCGACAAGCCCCTTCAGGAGATGATACAATGGATGATTCTGATCATGTGTCACGACTTCCAAGCACCTACCCTCCTCTTCAAGGACCACCTCCCGGAGGCATGGCTGGTGGCTTCTTTCCACCAAGGAATGCCTTTAATCAACCCAGCACTGGAGTATCCATTGCTGCTGTCGCGGCGGGGGTACCGCTTCCCTTTCCATCCATGTCGGGGTCGAATTCTAGTTCGCGGCCATCGGGTCAGGGTAATCCTGTCTTTGCACCAAACCCGATAAGTGAGAGCCCAAAACCACTCTCGCCTAATCAGACACAGAGAAGTTCTGTTCCAGGACTCTCTGAAGGTAGCTTGGGGCGCAATCGTTCCCCGAGTATGGCTCATTATCAGCAACCACAATACAATCGGGTCAGTGGCTCAAGCTCTCTTGGACTTCCCGCAGGACCTCAGCTACCCCTTCCACCTCCTTTGAACCCGCCCGATTCTCGCTTCACCTTACCCAGTCAAAGTGCTCCTACACACCCTCCAACCCAACCTAGTGGACCACCTACCCACATGACGGGCAGTGGACCCTTGTCATCTCATAGCAACAGCTTGTCCAGTCATCATGGTAGCGGTGAAAACAGCAATGCCATGTTTGCCAAAGAAGATCGTTTGTGGGCTTACGTCAGTAACCTAGAGCAGAGAATGAATTCGATGCAAGAAGAAATCAATTCATTGAAGCAACAGTTGAGCAATGCACAGGCACAAGCTCATCGAACCAATTGAAAATGAATCGGCAAGACTCCTTGTCGGACAAGGCACTGCGGAGAAGAAAATCGTGCACGTGTTCATAAGTCAAAAGCATTTCAAACGAAGCACTGTTTCGCGTCAACAAAAATCTACAGCAGAAACAGATTTGAGCATTTCCCAGGCGCGGCGGATTGGAAAGGCTCGCATTTCGCTTCTTACACTTCGTTCGGACCACATTAGATACCCCATTGCATATTGCTTTATTTGAGTTTGTTATGGGGATGGGATATGAACCGGTAGGAATGGATCTTCGATATCCTGGAATCATGTTGATGCATTATTTGTCTCTGGGAGACAGGAGAAGTTTGTCATTGTTTTCATTCATCATACTGGTTGGGTGATCCTACCATCAACCCAACAAACCACCGGGATAGGTAGGGACCAAAAGAGAGCACAGCAGAGAAAAAGCTCACATTCGCACATTGAGACGAAGCAATTGAACCGGAATTGATGGATAGGGAAACCCTTGCATAATAGCTGGCCTTTTTATTCCCACCTTTATTGCTGTTCTACAGGCTATGTGTATATGTACATTACGACTTTTACTACTTTATGGGGGTTTAAGGGGATTAAACGATGGGGGCTTTTTAAGACTATTGAGAATGCAATGCTTCTTCTTTCATACGGCGATCTCTAAGATTCTCAGACGTCCCTACCGAGGTTTGGCTACGCTCCATACCTTGACGCAGAATCGCATTGTCACCATGGCAAATCGATTAGACTGAGCTGAGAATTGTACAGGGGTAGTCATCGGCTTTTCAATCCACTAAACAGGAGCAAGGAAGGACTTTGATTTTGATTCCTGTCGCCCATGACGGAACATTGGTCATGTTGAAGTCTATCTTCAAGGACACGCGTCGGGGTGCTCTGCTTTGCGACTGACTTCAGTGCTTGCGACACACATATCATTCCTATCATCCATCGCCATTCTTCTTCTCCCCCAAAGAGACGTCCTTCCCTCCAGACACGACCTGGCGCCCCGCATCAAGGAGCCTGATAACCATCGACATCGGTCTCGTTACTGAGACGTTCAAAGCGCTTGTAGTTCTGCTCGTACTGATCGATTTTGTTCATGACGCCGGCGTAGGCGTCGGAGCCCAGCACCACACGCAGCGGCGGCTGCTTCATCACGGCCAGCTTGTACATGGCCTTGGCGCCCTTGACGGGGTCGCCGGCCTGGTTGCCGTGCCGCTTGCCCATGGCCACCGATGCGTTGAGGTGGTCGTATGCCGGATGCCGCTCCGCGAACTCCATGCTGCGGCCTGCCCAGTCTGTTCTGTGGACCAGGAAAGGCGGGTTTGGTCAGTTCACGGTGGTTGATTCTTTAACGTGCGCGGTCTTGTTGTTTGGGGTTGGGTTTTTATTCCGAGCGGAACGGGAGAAATGATTGAGGGAACTTGGAACATGGAACATGAACATACCTGAACCCGCCGGGCTCTATCAACGTGAATTTGATGCCCCATTCCGGCTTCACCTCATGGGACAACGCCTCGGTAAACCCCTCGACGGCCCATTTACTGGCACAGTACAGGCTGAACAGCGGCACGCCACGCTGGCCACCGATGCTCGTGACGTTCTGCACCAGGCCACCCTGCGGGGTCTGACGGTCGCGCATGACCTCGATGGCGGTGCGGGTGACGTCGAGCAAGCCGAAGAAGTTGATCTCCATCTGCTGGCGGATCTGCGCGTCGGTGTATTCCTCGAAACAGCCGGCGAGGCCGTAGCCGGCGTTGTTGACGACGACGTCGACGCGGGAGAACTTGGCCAGCGTCGCGTCAAAGGCCTCGCTGATGGACTTCTTGTCCGTCACGTCCAGCCGCACCGCCAGGAAGTTGTCCGCCGTCGTGTTCTTGAAGCTCAGGCTTGTCGGGTCCCGTGCCGTCGCCACCACGTAGTCGCCTTGGTCCAGCACTTCTTGCGCGTAGAAGTTGCCGAAGCCCGTCGACGTGCCGGTGATGAGGAAGACCCGGGGCATGATGTTTGGTTTTCTTGTTTCTTCTTGTTCTGGATTTTGGTGTTTGTGAAGAAGATTGATATATAAGTAGTCTGGAATATCATGAGTCAATACTTAGTGGGGCAGGACTATCTGTGTGCTCACCTGAGGCCTTGTGGGACGGGTGATTGATTTGTCGTTAATCTCAATTCTAGCTTTATATCCAACGTCGCCGTGTATCTATGTATGTCGATATGACCTAGGTACTCGGTCGTGGTGTTATTATATGTTCTTAACGGTACAGAATTCGAGGGGGAGGGGTAGGGGCAGGGATAGGGGGACTTTTTGACGTGCAGCGGACTGAAATGCTTAATCCCCCTACCCTCAAAAAATCAATTATAGCTGATTACTACCAAGAGAATAGGAATAGAGAAATCTACCTAGCGTAGGAACTATTTCGGACCCCGAGGCACTCCCAATGCCACTACATCGTTATATATGTTGGTATGTTATGCGTATACGCACATATGTCTGCGTATGTGGCCGCCATGTCTTGTTCCGGGGTGTTCTGCGGGCGCCCTTTGATAACTGGAAATCTCATATGTGAGACTCAAGAGAGAAATAATCCCACATTAAGTATTCAATTGACGAGCCATCTATTTTGCTCGCTTGGCAATCCAATCGGCCATCATTCTATGACGATATTCATGGTATCTAACTTAGGTAGCCAAGTGTAAGCAAGGTACTGGCTGCCTGAGCGGCATCTAGGGATCCCAGGTTTTCTAGACAGGTAGGCAGAAAATAGGAAATCTCAGACAGGCCAGATGCAAGTCGAAAGCCCATGTAGATCCATGAGCACTGGCTGCTTACTCGCAAATTCGCTTTGTTTCGAATGAGGAACTTTGGTTGCGATCGAAACCATGCAGTATCCATACCTCGGCTGAACTAGGGAGAGTACAGAGTAGTACAAGCCCCGCTGGTAGGGCCAGAATAGAGCATGAAACAAGATCCAGGGATTCTCTGCTACCTATCGCCTAGATGGTGGATTGCTAACATTAGTTACACTCGCCAGTGGGATGGACCTCAAAGATACCAAAGTCAGTTAGGTAAATTGATGACCGACTTTGCTTCAAGTTGGAAACAGAAACTCCAGCCAGTCCCGGGATCACGCCGTGTCAGACTGCCCGCAATTTGGCTTCCCGACTTTTTTTCAGCTGGGCGGGAAGGGAAGCTGGAGTGTCTTCAAGTTCTCTATCATCATCATTAATCGAACGCACACTCACTCACTCATCTGGATTCTGGTGGCGATATTGATGAGAGACAGGGGCATTTGTAATTGGTGCCTCTCGTTTTCGTATTGCCGACCGTATCTAAGGATATTTCTGGATCTGGGGATTCTACCCCTCCATTCGGATCCCTCTCAGCCTCGTGTCAGCTTGCGCCGGACTTTACTGAAAGGCCTGAGAGTCATTTCCGAAGTCTTCATACCGCTGTCGCCATTCTGACTAGACAGTCTCATATTCCAGAGGTGGTCGTTCGCTTTCTAGAGGAGCGTTGCGCCAACCGGTGAAACAAGTCTGGTCACTGGAATTGGAGCTTCGTCGTCATTGCCCACAGCCTTGTACAACCTCTGGCCGCCTTGGACGAGTTTCAATCTGATATCAGCACGCAAATCCGGCGGAGGAGACGTTCTCCCCCATCAAACAAAAATGTGGGCCAACTCGCCGTCCTCATACCATCAGCAACCTTATGTGCAGAACAACCGCCAGTCGATGATGAGCGATACCTACTCGGTCTCATCCCATCAATCTTTTAATGCTGGCGCCATGCCTATCAACGCACAATACAATCCTCACTATCAACAACAGCAACAAACTCCTGTCAGTCTTCCATCTCTCACCAACATCCTCCTCAACAATTCACCCGGGCAATTTCAAGCGGCGACACAGCATCCTTTCCTCCGCCTGGCCGGGCTGGGTCAGTTACCAAAGCACGTTCTGTCAAGATGGCTGTCTCAAGACCGCCTGTATGCTCAAGCATACATCGGCTTCATCGGCAGTCTTCTCTCACGCGTTGATCTACCTTACGTTTTCATCAACGACAAATCGACAAGTCTACGCTGGCGCATCGTGAAGATGCTGACCAACTGCCTGAACAACATCAATCGAGAAATCGAATTCTTCACCACCACGGCACAGAAATACGGCCTGGGCCTTCAGATACCGGCACGACCGACCGATACTCAATTCACCGCCGACAGCGCCACGAAGCAGTATATCGACCTGTTTCGCGCGTTCGTGACCGACCCGTCCATGTCGTTGCTCGAAGGCCTCGTCGTCCTGTGGGCCACGGAAACCGTGTACCTGAGGGCCTGGAGCTACGCCGCATCATACATCCGCGCGCCGTACACGACGGAGACCTCATCACCAGCACCAAGACCACCACTTCCGTCATCACGCCCCAGCTCGCACTATTCCTTCACGAGCGGCGGCGGCGGTAATGGCAACAACAACAACATCAACACCAGCACCAGCACCACGAATCCCGTCTTCCCACCGGCCCCAAACTCAAACTACGCGCCTTCACAAGCCGACTCGGAAGGACCCATCCCCGTTCTCTCGGCCGAAGACCTGCCAACACAGCAGAACTTCAACACCAACCACAGCAACAGCCACCGAACCTCGTTCAACAGCGCATCGAACCCACACAGCCCGAATCCGAACGCGACTCCAATGTCCCCGCCAACAACGATCCCGAACCTCAATCTCAGTCTCAACCCGACCAACGACCTTGACGGCGGCGCGTTGCGCAACGAATTCATCCCGAACTGGACGAGTCCCGAGTTCGAGGCGTTTGTGCGCGAGATCGCCGACATCACCGACGAGCTGGCCAGTCGCGAGGACGGCTTCGTCCGGAAACTGGACGTCTATAAGGCTGTTTGGCGCCATATTCTGGATGTCGAGAGTCGCTTTTGGCCAAAGGTTGACGGTTGAGATTTTGAAGAGGGAGGGTTTAATATGAGCGTCAAGGGGCTGCTGGATGGGGAGACCTGGAAATTGAGGGAATGATGATTCTGTCATGCTTGGTTATTTCGCCTTTTGTTACTCGAGTATATATCGCAATTCTTGGGCTTTTGTGAGGAGTAATGTGTTATGTGATATGCGCAGGTTAGGGGATAAGTATTACGCAATCGTGGTATCGTATCACTATCGAGAAGAGTATTCCCTAGGGGAATAAGATTGTAGAGATTATATTGAGATTGATCCTCTATTTCGCGGAGAGTAGGACGAAAATTATATATCTCGCATTTCTCAAATTTAAGTCATGATAAATCATTGATCTCGTACAGTGATTAATCTAATCCATCGCAAGCTGTGCCATCGTCGTAGGAACGTTATGTGCGCGTCTTGCAGCCTTCACGGTTCGGTGGTAGAGTTAGGGCTGAGTATCTCGCTTGGGTTTGGTCCCTGTCGATCTACAGCAGCATCTTGTTGCGCAGGTCGGAGTGGGAGGGAATCGAAGACCGTCCTGCCGGTCTTGGGATACCGGAGTCAAGTCGGTGGACGATGGACTTGAAGCTGTTCGACTCGCCAGGAGAACTCTCACATCATGTTGGTACAACCGTAGAAGACATCTCAATCGAACCCGCGCGTTGGCCGGACGTTCTCACCTCTCCAGAAGCCCATGACTGCACCCGTCTCGCTCATCCAGTCTTTGGCTCCATTGACAGCCGCTTTAGCCATTCCAGTGTTCCTCCTCTTATGACCCTTCTTGAAGCCGACGCCTTCCCGTTCTCCCGTCGCATACTCAGATCCCATACTAGGAAGCACATTCTCCCCTGCACTCAGACTGACAAACAACGCAAAAGGCACCAGCCAGACACACAGGCCGAAATATGACGCAATCTCTGTAAATGTAGGCTGATCATAAACAGGCGAGGAATACCAATCGCGCCTTGAACTGGGCACGCCTCGGTATCCACCCGCGGGCGCACTGAAATGCTTGAACCACAACCAATGGTTGACGATGACAAGTCCGCAACTCGACAGGAAGAACGGGTCTGTCAATTTGACGATTGGGAAATGGCGCAGGTTGGTACCGTAGACGACGTGGCTTACAATGCCCAGGAGGGTCAGGTGCCAGGGGAAGCCATCGACGAGCCACAAGAGAACCTGCGCTGCAATGACGACCCAGACGAGTCTCTTCAGGAGTTTGGCGCTGAAGACCGAGTGCTCTTCGACCAGTTCCGAGAGGTAGTAGAGGCCCGACGCAATGGACAGTGTGAGGAAGCCGAAGCCTAGGACTAGGCCCACATAGCCGAGGAAGGGGAGGATGTACATGGTTCCTTAGTAGTGGGGTGGTAAATGTTGGGCCCGGTCAGGAGATTTGAGGGAAAAGAAGTGGTTTGGGTCTGGAGGAGATGGATTTCTATCCTGAAGATGAGGACATGAGGAGAAGAGAGTAGTTCAATATCAACATTATAGGGGAATTTATCAGGGAGAATGGAGAAAAGTTAACCAGGACCCATCTGTCAGTTTATCTTGCGGGTTTTCTCGCAGGCTGTCGCGACCAAGGGGAGCATGCGGCGAAGATGCCACCTTTGAAAGCGCTGGGGCGACCCCTGCACTAATGACGTCGAGTACGCGAGATCTTGGCATCAAACACGTGATGAGTTGTTCAGCCTTGTGAGGCAATACCCCCTATTCATGGTCAAGACCAGAGTCTGGTCTGCCACCACCTTTACCTATGTCGCCTTTTAAACTCCTTCTCTACGTTTTCAACGGCAAATGATGTATATTTCAGGTGTGATATGATCAATAGTCTGCCACGATTACTTGACCAATATGCCACCACCAACCAATCCGTCTCCTGGGTTGTCTCAGAAGGAGTGAAACCGAGCACAGTGAGCAGTTGTAGTGTCCCTCATGCCATCTCGCTATGGTCTCAGGCTATTCTTGATCTGAACAAGCGTAAAAGCCGAGATCTCCACCGTTACCAAGGCAGTTCAGTGCCATCGTAACTCAAGAACCTGCCTCCGACGGTCTCCCTGCTGCAGGTGTCAACAATCTTCAGGATTGCGGCGGCGCTCTCTTCGGATGTCAGTGGCACGAAATCTCGACTGACACCCCACTCGTCTGCTGCATGCAAGCCCATCCGTGTCCGCACCCAGCCAGGATGAATGGCAGCGGTGATGAAGTTGTGAGCCTCCAATTCCACATGAAGACGAGTGATCATGTAGTTGGCCGCCGCCTTGCTTGATCCGTAGGCCAGACAGCCTGGAACTAGTTCAGTCTGGGTAAGTGATCCGACAGAAGAAGAGATAAAGATGAATTTGGTTCCACTAGTGTTTGGCGTATCGGTCGAAGCATCTAAGCCCAAGAGACCTTTCAGGCCCTGGACGAGTTTCAATGGCCCTCCGAAGTTGACATCCATATGTTTCTGAACTTCCTCCCAGCCAGTGCTCAGAACAGGTTTCATCCCATCCACCATGCCGGCAGATGCCAGGACGATGTGGATACGGTTAATGCCACGTGCCGTGCGGATGGCCTCAGCCAGTTTGGAGATTTCTGCTTCGGTGTTGACAGCATCGTAGCTGTGAGTATAAATGGCAGAAGTAGAGTGAACATCAATATCTGCAACTGCGGAGGTGGCACGATGCAAGGCAACCACAGTAGTGGCAGGCCGAGAGAGGAGAAGAGGCAAGAATGCAGCACCAACACCTGCGATGGTGAGCAAGGAATAATCAGTGTGATAGGCAATGTGGCTTACCATTCGAGGCACCGGTAACGAGCCAAACAGTATTTCCTTCCTGGTGTGCGTTAATCATGTTGAGATGTGGGTTTTCAGTATAAAGGTGGATTGTTTGCTTGACAAGCGAAATCAAATGAGGTATTGGCGATGTGGAAGAGAACTCACACAACCATTCTAAGAAAAGGGAGAAGGAAAGGAGAGGAGAGGAGAGGAAAAGCGAAGAGTATTCGACCATTTAAATAGGTAAGATCAGCCAATGTCACCTAAATGAGTCTACCGGAATGAGAGTGCCAAGTTGGTCAATGAAGTAACCCCACTCTGAATAGTAGTGAATCGAACAGCGTCAGTTTCGATCACTGCATTGTCTGCATTTCCAATGCGGTGGCTTCTGCGTACTCGCCCACAATCAGCGTTTGTGCGTGTGGGAATGCCAGCCAGTATGTTATGGCTTGAAAATATCATCTTTGGCCTCAAGTATCTGGACTTTGAACACCATTTTCCATGCTTCCCTACCTTGTTCTGAACATTGATTCTCATCTGAATACTCCATTCCGAAGGTGCCAGGCCGTGCCCCACTCTCCATCACTCGTCTAGGAAGCTGGCGAATATTTCTCGGCCAATGAAAGTAGACAGCACCACGTGACCTTAGACTATGATCTGCCTCAAATCATGTTGCTGTTGCTGGTCAAACAATGTCTGGAAGAGGCGTAAAATTTGGAAAGAAGACCATATTAGAATATTGTGCTCTCGTTGAGACACGGATACTTTGCTGAGTGTGGTCATCCAAACTAAAGATAGGAAAAAGGTCCCTTAAAAGCATAGCTGAGGATAGGAAGGGATTTGTAAACACTCGCAGTATTCTCACCTTATCTCCGGATGTGTAGACCATGGAGGCTATGATCATCGGGGCTGTGGTTCCTGAAGGGTTGAAGGTTCGATATGTTTCTCATCTGTTGTATATATGGCACTGACGAAGTAATCCTCCCCCGTATCCATCCTCAAGATCCACCGTAGCCTCTAGCGTCACTAAAGGCCGACTTTCCGCCAATTAAACATCCCCAGCTCCCCCGCCGCTTGGATGAAAGTTCAAGGTCGCTGCGGCCTCCACAAAAATTATTTTGCAGAATTCAAGATCAACCTGACCATGTCCGACATGGCCTCAAGGACTGCCACAGCCCATCTTTGAGCATTCCATGCCTGAGGGCGGCACATAGGGCCCAAAAACACATCAACCGCAATCTCCCAAATCAGCCAACATGTCTCGTCCCGAAGATATCCTCCCCCCAGACCTGTACTACAATGACACCGAGTCGGCCAAATACACGACCTCATCCCGCATCCAAGCCATCCAGGCATCGATGACGAACCGGGCCCTTGAACTCCTCGACCTCGAGCAATCATCCTTTATCCTTGACATCGGCTGCGGGTCCGGCCTCTCCGGTGAGATCCTCTCGGAGGACGGCCACATCTGGGTCGGCATGGACATTGCCCCGAGCATGCTGGACATTGCACTACAACGGGAAGACGTGGAGGGGGATTTGTTCCTCGCGGACATGGGCCAAGGGATTCCGTTCCGCGCAGGTGCGTTCGACGCCGCCATCAGTATCAGCGCCATCCAGTGGCTGTGCAATGCCGAGACGAGCGGCGTGAGTCCCGAAGGCCGCCTGAGGAGGTTCTTCGACGGCCTGTATGCTGCGCTGAAGCGGGGTGGGAAAGCCGTGTGTCAGTTCTACCCGAAGAACGAGCAGCAGCGTACGATGATCAGTTCGGCCGCTGTGCGAGCGGGGTTCGGTGCGGGTATTCTTGAAGACGATGGGGGCACGAAGAACGTCAAGACGTACCTGGTCCTCAGTGTTGGTGGAGGCGATATCACCTCCACCGTGTCGAAGATGGACGGCGTGGACATTGAAGACGGGAGGAAGTTTCGCGAGGCGATGCATAAGAAGGGGAAGAGGAGTGAAGACGTCAAGGGCAGTAAAGCCTGGGTTCACAAGAAGAAGGAAAAGATGCGGAACAAGGGCAAAGTCGTCAAGACCGACTCAAAGTACACTGGCAGGCGAAGAGGTCCGACTTTCTGATCGCAGTCAGGCACATAACTACAGAACAATATCTTCGACGTCATCCGTATGGGATGAACCCTGAGCAATCTTGCTAATCGATCCCAGCACCATGGGCAGCCGCCAGACCTGAGTCACCAGTATATGGCCGCTTGCGATCCACAATCACTTGGCACACGACAATTCCTACAAGCTCTCGGGACGGCCACCGTCTAGCAGCACTCTCTCTCAACCTTCGCCCTACTCGCAAGTGTGCTTTTGTAGCATCAACCAGAGCGCGCTTCAGTGGCAAAGACGCAACGAAGATCCAGCACAAGCCACAATTGAAGGCTTCCCCTGGCTAACCAATCACCCCAAAGCCACAAAGTGATGAGTGTCGATGCTCAATATCTTCAAGAAGTAACCACGACGGACGTAAAAGCCGATTTCGTTAATCGGTCGTCCCACTTCAGGAAACACAACCCATCGGCAGAATTGAAAACATCTGTGACGACACGAATTCTCACGAGGAATGAAGGGATGAAAAAGGGCGTCTCGATGGCGGTTGTGGACGCAGACATCAACGGATGTCGACGAGAAAAGCACATGCTCATTCCGGGTATCTATCCTACATAGAAACACCACTGGCTTATTTTATCTCCGGCCAGTTAAAAACCCAACCCATGCATCCTGGTCCGTATATACTTTTCTTTAGTGGCACATTTCCCAAGATTGGGACCTTCAACCGCCCTTCATCGAGCCGCGCTGCGCGACCATCTCCTCCTCATCGGCGGCGGCGGCAGCAGCAGCTTCATCATCCTCCTTCTCCATGTCCTTCCCAGTTCTCGGCTTCGACCGGCCGGCACGACTATTCTGCAAAGGTGCGGAATCCTCCAACCCGGCCGCACCTGCTCCGTCATCTTTCTTCCGATTATCGCCGTGATTGTCATTCGACTCGAGGACCGAGTGCTCGCCAGGGACTTTGCCCTGCCCGCTCTCTTCAATATGGCCGTGCTCGACCGTGTCGTCGTGGTCATGCCCGGAATTCTTGGCCTCGACGGGCTTCCCGTTCTGGTCGAAGCGGACGCCGTTTCCGACGCGGCGGTCGCCGAACTGCACGAAATTGTCCCCATCTTTGGACCCCTCTCCGGTGCCGTGCGAGTCTGCATTTTTGGATGTTGGAGGACCCTTGCTGCGTTGCCAACCGGTCTTGAACACTTTGCTGCCCGTGATGTCGAAGACAGGTAGCGGATGGGCTTCGGTGTTGAAGACGACTTTATCGAGCGGGAAGAAGTCGTCCTCCGAGAAGAGCAGGTAGAAGTATTTGAGCGTCTCGGCGAGCCAGAAGCTCTCCATGTTGTCGCGGCGCTTGCGCTCTTTTACTGGGTTCTCCATCACCGTGTCGAGTGAGCTGTACGCATACACCTTGCCGTGCACTTCGTCGACCACTTTCGTGTGTTCGCGGAAGGCTTCAAACATCTCCCAGCCCCACTGGCGGTATTTCGGATTCTTGGTGATGCGCCACATGTAGAAGAGCGACTCAACGGTCTCGGGCCGCTGAAGGTTGTGCACGTCCATGTCGTGGATGTCGTAGTCGGAGCGCCAGTCGGCTGTGAGATTGTCAGACAGTTCTGCAGATACAGGTTGTGTCCATGTCGCATCGAGGTGGCCCTGCCATTGGCGGGGAGGGTTGTCGACGTGAAAGTAAGAGATTTCGGGCGCGAGACCTGTCGGTGTGACTTTGTACATGCCCCAGCATGTTTTCATGAGTTCTTCTGCGAGCTGCAGGTCCTCGTCGTTTTTCTTGCTCCATTTGCTGCCTAGTCTTTTCTTTGCCTGCTCCACAGTCTGTCCGCCAGTGACTGCGAGGGCGATTGTCCCCGGCATGAAGCATACAAGGTGATCCATTTTAGGAGTCAAGACGCCGTGGAGGCCGCTGGGCCGCTCAGCAAGGATAGTTAGCGACGATTTGGCCGAGTATGTAATCAAATGTTTCTTGACCCCCTCCAATGCTTCCTCCCACATGTCCTGATAGATTGTCTCAACACCACCGGTCTGAAGATATTGTTTGATTAGATATTCGTAGTAGCTGTCCCCTCGAGATCCAAGACGGATGTTATCGCCCCGAAATTCACCAGTAGCTGGGTAGATGAAAATGGGGAGTAAGCCATCTTCCCGCTTTTGCGACTCGATTGCTTTGATCACAAGTTCCGCTCGGTCCCAGTAGACTGGCTCGCCAGTGACTTTGGAGAGATACTTCATCTCCAATTGTAAGGTTGCAGCCTCGGCTGTGGATGAGGCTCCGCTGTCGAGGTGGTTGATCAGGCCTTGAGATGTGTTGAGATTAATGGATGAGTATGGTATTCCTGATGGAGAGTCGTAAGCTCCAAGCAGACGATCAGCCAGATCAGTGGCCTTTTCAATATATAGATCCTCCCCTGGTTGATTGAAATCGTCGTCTCGTTGAGGTGCAAGAGTCGGAAAGCTGGTGGATAGATAGTAGGCAGACAACAATCCTCCAAGCATTCGAATGGTCGTTTCAAAAGTATTAACATCATGGTCTGCGTTATAGTTGAGTGAAGTGGAGATCCACTCCCTCGCGGTTGCAACTTGAGAAGTCAAGTTCATCATAATGGCCGTGTCCAGGGCATCAACAATGATCCATCCCATGCCGCCTTGAACCATGTTTTTGCCCTTCCGTGACAGGGGATGGTATTCATCCAAACCCCATGCATATTTCTCATAACCCTCCCAGGTTGTTAGAAAGACCTCCTTCACCGCCTCCCTCTGCACCGACCAGTCCTCGCCGAAATGTCGGTGCTCCGCGGCATCGAAAAACTGCCCTTTGGGACCACCGAAAGACAAGAAGCCGGTCCACCAAAGAACGAATATTCCCGTCAAGCCCAACAGACCCTGGACCCTCTTCCTCTGCAGCAGCGAGGGCCGCCGACTGGCTGGAAAATGTGGCTTGTCTTTGTACATGGGGAGGTCTCGCTGCTCGCTGAAGATGTCGTTGATTTTCGAGGTGACTGCATCCGCAACGCCTCCTTTCGTCGTATGGCCATTACTCTGTTTCGACCGCCAGTAGGAATCTTCTTGTGATCTTTGTGAACTCGAAAACGACGGCGCATTCTGCGGCACTTGGAAGGACATCGAAGGGAAATGAGATTTGGGAGGGTGTGGGCGGACCAGCCGAGGAGTTCGAAGCCAGAGCGAAACTAACTAGAAAAGCACACGCGTGTAGGTTGGATGGGTGTGAGAGCCCAGGCACGATTGCGCAGTAGCGCTGCCGTCTTTGGTTCGAACAAGCACACAATCGCTGATTACAAAAGATACTGAATGCAAGGAGATATTGTATATTTTATAGAAAGTTGTGGATGATGTTTGGATCCAACGGAATTGCAATGAAGGGACACTTTGGTCGCAGGCCAGGAGGATCAGGCACGTGATCAGACCTCATTTTGGCCCCCAACTTTAAGCCTTGCCGAGCGATTAGTTCTGATCCCCATGAAATCTGAAGGCTTAGGCCTACGCGGGATGTATGTTCCGTAGATATCCTCTGAATGGTTGGTTTTATTCATGGAGAATTCATCAAGCAGTCTCAACAAGGTGAGTGCTGGACAAGTTGCGATCACGTGATCTTGAGAATACCCATTTGTCCCAACATAACATCTATAGGACCTATGTGTGGACAGATTCGTCAAATTAGAATGATGGAGGATAAAGTGATCTGACCGTATGTAGTCTGTTTATCCCGCTACATTTGTGTGGTGGAGCGGTGGACACCCAGCAAATAGTTCTAGAATGTTTCCGATTTTACTATCGATTGGGTCAAGTTCTGGAGATTAACACAGGCATGGTGCAAAGCTTGGAACAAGCGTAACATCGTGTATGCGTTAACGAACAACAATTGGATAAATTTGTGCCGCAATTCTCTTTTAAGTTGCAGAAGAAGCTGGAGCAAGTGGCAACACACATGCTCGTGACTGCAAGTCTTGCCTCGTGGCTTCACTCCGAAGAGGGCGTTGGTCATATAATAGCAATATGATAGTCAAGAGCCACAATGCGTTGACTTCTGATTCATGATACAGGTCAGACAGTGTAAATGAGTGTTGGGTTGTCCCGAGCATGATTATGACAAAAGGTCGCGACGGTCGCAAGGCTGCCATGTCAGGGGGCCATTCTTCCCCCAAGCCAGGACCGCGGTGTGGGGTAACTCCCAGGCTTAAGCTCGGCCGCCACCTTTTCAGGACTTTGAACCCCACAATTCTCAACGGCCTTTGTCGACGAGTGGCATGAGAAGATAAGCTGCAAGTAGCCTGAGAATGACAAAAGCAGGATCGAACAGGACCGACCTGTTCAGAAGGAAGTCTGAACCGGCCAGGTTTAGGGAAGATGTCCTGTGGGTGCGGTCTTGAACAGTTGACTCGGCTCAACGAAAGTCGCCGCTTGCCCAGGCTTGCTTGAGAACAATCGCTCTTTGAAGACCCAATGGACCACCAATATAGTCAAGCATCTGCAACGCCGATTCTATTTGCTCTGGCGTCGCGTATCCGCATCGAAGAAGTACTCCAATGGGCCAGAGCAGCGCAAATCCACTGGTACCAATGCCCGAAACAGGTAGATTCCATTTGGCGTCACCTTTTCCAAGGCAGTATGGGAAACTTGCCACTATGTCTTCAAGCATAGTGGTGATTGTCGATTTTGCTCTTTGGAGAGCGTTGTCTGCTTCCAAATGCATATAACCTGTCTTGAACAGGGACCGGCAGCACTTTATTATTGACAGCGATAAGGAGATTCTGGCACATCTGACCAGGTTCCAGTCGTTAGCAACAGCCAGTGTCTCATAGACGTAGAATGGCCGAGCCCAGCCCGAAAGCGGTGCATTTACTGTCTGATAAAGGTAGAGAGACTCATCCGTGCCTGGCCAGATATGGGCTTGGTCATCAATTCGCTCTCCAAGCATTATCAGGTCGTGTAAGTCTACCGCTTGGGTCTCGACCTCGGTGTGCTCAGTGCGTTCCAGCACGGTATCGCTGTAATTGTTGAACTGGATCACCTTGAGGTTAATCTGCACAACCACAGTGCTCGGGTCGTATTTATTGAGGGTTTCGAAGATCTCAATCGTACGAGGCGAAGGCAGAGTACGAGTTCTCATATGCTTAACCACCTGAAGGAGTCAATCTGGACGCACCAATTCAAGATTAGGTGGAGTGTTCTCACAATTTGTGTCGCTACTGCAAGATCCAATGCGTACTCTTGAGACTCGGAGTCAATATCACGGGATCTGAGATCTAGTAATGCTTCATAGCCTGCGATATGAGATCCGTGGGCAATCATCGTGTCCCCACTGATATACTGACGAACATTAACCAGGTTCATCCCTTTCCAAGAGTGGCTTACTTCAAAAAGGGTCAAAATAAACAGCGAGCACAGCGTGGTATCATTTGTCGCGGTTTTGGGGTTCTCGATAGCTTTTTGTACTGCCACTAGTGCCTGAACATGGCTTCGACGAGCTTGAAATATGGCTTCATGATCCGTCAATTTTCGCACCGCGTTCGCATCTGTGGCTGCACTGACAGCCAACTGAAGGGGTGAGTCCGAGGTCGAACCACGATATAGCCTGGGCAAGAATGTCAGTAGTCCTTGCTTAGAGTCTCGTCCCAATGATGTTGTGAACAAGTTGATGAACAAAGGTAGCGCCAAGTGTGTCCACGGCTGCTGCAATGGCTGGAAGAACGGCATATCGATAGTTTCGCTTGAGCTCTCTCGCGTTCTGTGCGATGGACTCGAGGATGAATCATCGTCCGATAGAGGGCCATAGATTGGCAATATCAAGGCCCCCTCGTTTTCTGCTCAAGTCAGATGGGGAAATTCGGTCTTGGATTATCCGAAGCTCACGGTTGGTATGGTGATTGGCAGCGTCTGAGTGATCTCGTTCACGAATTTTGACGTACTTGAACGATATCTCGCTTTCGGATCTATACCCGGGACAGACTTTTCCAACCCTGGTACATCGATTGCACTGTGGCTTTGTCTCATCACACTATTACAATCAGCACGTTGGGGTTAGAGTTTCCGATCGTAAGTTGCGTACCTTGACCTTTTTCCGACGACATGCAAAACAACCCCGACTTGGATGACCGGGGTAAACCATCTTTCGAGCTTTGCTTTAGCTTGCACACTTCCTCTCGAGCAAAACGGCATAGGTTCTGAGTTTGGACTTCTCTTGAACCTCAACCCAGCATTGCACTGAACCGAGATTAGTAGGCGAACGGTTTGGAGAACCCACTTGAATCCACGGCTCGGATAGCGATAGAGTTTGAACTTTGATTCTCAGATCCAGGCCTTGCTGGGCCTAGCTGCGTGGTTGGAGAGAGGTATAGTATGTGATGATCATGTTCTGTGAACTTCCGGCCACTGCTGAAAGCAACTGGGAAATGAAAGTTATATGAGGTTCTTGGTCCTCCAGGCACGATCAAGCTAGTTATGTTGAACACGAGATCGACCCGATCTGAAAAGTGGCTTCCCTGTACCACATCATTGATTTGGCACCCGGTTGGTCAAAAATCTCTGGGCATGAAGCCAGCCAGCCGTATCTCATATCTCATCTCGTATAACACGAATTCTCGTCTGATAGCGCATAGCCGAAGAAGGCCTATTTCGCGCATTTTGGGAATGCTGTCAGGCTTCCGAGGAGATGGATTTGACCAATGGCTGCTCGAGTCGAGAAGCAAGTCATTCGTTGGTGCATGCAGCCTTGCCACAGCCAGTGATATGAGTCGTCGCCTTTTCAGGCATATATTATCATGTTCAAAGATAGTCGTGTACAGGGTGGGGCGTATTGATGCTCGAAATGAGCACCTGCCTTCCAGACAAAGATTGGCAAAAGTCGGCTGGTGACGATGATGCAGCACTTCAGGGTTACCTTAACATCGAATGTGACCGTTAGGTGCGTTTACTAAAGCAGGCAAAGATAGATCAACGACTGACCTCAGTGATCTAATCTCTTTGTGCATACATTTAGCGGTTTGGTCTAGATTAAGTTCGTAGTGTACATCTGGCATGTGGCAATCTGCTTGTAGCCAAGTGCCTCTTGATCTCTCCTTCTGGCCCTTTCGCGAGATCGTGATGTCCAATATCTCAGTAATGGCAATCCCGTCTAAAGCTGCCAGTATATCCATACGATTTCCATGAGATACATCTTTCCACAAATGATTTCCGAGGTCTTGTTGTTTACCCCGTTCTGCTTTCTATCCCATGATGGTGTTGAGTGTGTGATGATAGCTGCGCTTTTCCTGTCCAAAACATTCTGTTAAAGGTTGTGGGTGACACGAGATAGACTGTGGCGCTCGAGGTTCCAGATCAATAGCAACACCCTGATCATGGCTACGCAGGCCCGGCACAGCTTTCTCAGGAAATGCTTCAAGGTTGGTCAATTCTCCGACAGACATTGGGGCAAACCGTTCCCCACTCTTGGATATCATCCGCTGCCTTTCGTATTTCATCCTTGTAAGCCGTCTCACTAGGGAAGGAGATGTAGCGTCTAACGGCACACCATGGGCAGCGATGCCCAGATGTATTACACCTGTCGAGGAAGTTGAAAATATCGAGCCAGTTCAGATCACGTCTGTCAAATTCTATGGACTGAGCGATCTTGGCCTCCCAGTATTTCTGATCGCACGGGACGTGAACGAAACATGCTCGACAGAGACGTAGAGTGCGCGGTATCCACGCTTTCCGTTCCAGTAATCTGAAAAGTCCGTCTTTGTCCCGGTAGCCCCGCCAGGGTGACATTACACCTGGTTTGCTCGCCACTTGTCCCATGGTCTTACATGTCAGGGCTAGGCATACCTGGAAGTACGGGACCTTCACTTGCTGGAAGATCTTTGTGAGGAGCTCGACAGGAAGAGTGAGGATTGGAGTCTCCTCCCATTGCGATTGCAAGGGTGTCACTTTTGTCTCACTGCCGGTGATCACTTTGACGGTGGCCCGGTTGTTTTGGCTGTTGTCGTTGGGATTGAAGAGGACGGAGTGTGGGATGAAGAATGGGTTGTATGGATCCGTACGAGACGATTTGATGCCGGACTTGTATTTAGATTCACCTAAGCCAGAGACTTTGCGCTTAGTTTCGGTAGAGGAAGTGAATTGTGTGTCGAAGACGTCGTGTGTCCACAATCCTCCAATGCTGACATCAGGGTCGACTGCAACCCTCTGAAACGTTTCACGCATGCTGAAGATGTCATTGTTGAAGCCGGTGGTACCGCCGCCACCGGCTAGCATGCGCGACATTGTGAGGAGGAGGGGAGCGGATCAAGGACTCGCGGAGGCTGAAATTTTGCTGAGTTGAAGATCTTAGCGCTCGCTTCGCGATATGTCTGTGCGACTGAGATTCAATTTGGTTATTCGTTGCGTGACTCGGAGCGAGGAGCTACGAGTACAGGCAGGCAGGCGAACCACTCTCGGGCATGGGGAACTTTTCGTGGGGAAATGCTGAGTGAGGGGCAACAAAAAAACAATGCCAAGACCGAGGTCATCATCATCGAGTCATGTTCGGTGATGCTGGTCTCAGAGGACTGACTCGTCCGTCGCTCATCTCGGACTCATTCCTGCACTACATGTTGCCTACAGTTACATACTAAGGCTATAGACAAAGCAGCGTGTTGGTGGAGATCGACCAATCGACTTACTCTGAATTAAATTTCACCAGAGGAACTGGTGACCTCGTGAGGCCAAGTATTGAGACGCTTTTGACCTGACTCATATATTTTTGTGAGTTTTATTTGACAAACATGCACCCTGGACAAAGAACTTGAGACAATCTTCTGGAGGGGATCGCTCTCATGTCGACGAGGTAGAGCTCTATTATTCTACGAGGCTGCGGTACACTCTCACACCGATTACCAAGTGACATAAACAGTGTCACTAAGAGCAAGTGGCAAGATCTCATCGACCGGTGCTTAGAGCGGAATCACGACCATCAATGTGCTGACAACGGATGATTAAGGTGGACATGATCCTCTTTCTAGCCTAAGGCTGGACACGAAACCCGCATAGATATCGTGCGAGTAAGTTGCATGCTGCTTTTAGTGCCCGCGCAGCTTGTGAGCTCCTTTCAACCTTTTGGGTGGCCTAAATGAAAAGGCTTTCGAGTTTTCGATTACATTGCAACCTACCTATTTCATTCAAGGAGGCGCAAGGCTACGCGCCGATTTGGGTACCACATAGATACCTTTAGCCTATGTGGAGCTGGCCCTCAGCACTCAACCAATCAACGGCCACAGAAACAATGCCCAATTCTGCAATGCATCGCCGTTTGAAAGGATATCTGGAGCTGCCCTCTAGCTTTATTGGTTCTTCGCCAACGCTAGAAGACCCGCTGGTTCGAATGTGCTGATTTCACTTCTGAAAATGGCGTTGACTTTTAGGCCCATTGATTCGTTTTCAAGATGTGAAAGACCATCAATGATCCGCATGTTGGCCCTTCATGCTCACCGGAAGTAAGGATCTTGGTGAGTTGATTTGGAAACCTTACGGCAGTATGGCCCAGTATTAGTCACTCAATCCTGGAGCAAGGATTGAGATTTTTATCGACCAAGCCGCCAGCTACTCCATGACTGGACATCGATAACTGTGAAGTCAGAAAAGTGCAAGGCTAGACCTTAGTGATGGCTAGTCTGAGCTCTAGACTGACTGCTGCTTTGGTCGCTGAGCATGAGGTGCTAGCGGCGAGTGGATAGTATGTTATATAAGGTATCGGAGTGTTCTGTGTCTCTTGCAGGTTTCCATCCTGCACCGCTTCCCTCACATCTTTCGCTCACACTGCCATGGTGTCCCGCTCTATGGCAGATCGTTTTGTCTTCATGTTAGCAGACGAATCTCGAGAAACAATCCCTCCGCCCTACCCAGGTCCTTACACGGGGCATTCAGGTGCAATCGATCCTCTGAATTCACGACAACCTTACCTAAAGAGGGCCATCTCGACCGAAAAGATGCGACTTCCACAGAGACATGGGGAACAACCCGGCTTCTTCCACCAATATGGAGGTGTGTGGCGAGCCTTGCCTGCCGTCCTGGCTGTGATAATATGGTCGACACAGATGATATACTTTTTTTTCTGGTTCACATCACGCCCAGCCAATGATGATGGGTCATGGCATAGAATTGGAGCATCATATGCGGCATGGCCATTCATATCATGTATCGGCGCAGAGCGGGAACTATGCTTCAAGCTTGCCAGCATCATTGTGGCTTGTCTGCTCTGGATAACATTTGGGATCGATTATTTCATCGGACGAAAAGCCCCAGTAGGAAAATGGTTCCGCCTGGCTAAAACGGTGTTTGCCAGCGTATCTTCGGTCTTCCTAATTGCACTGGCATTTTCGAGCGTCAATGGACAGCGAAACAATCATCTCATCTTCACCAGTTTCCAAATTATCCTCATGGCTTTTGCCAAGGTCTCTGACTGGTATCTGAATCGGGCCATGAGGGAGTGGCTCCCCAACAATCGGCATCTGCAAATTTCCAAGGCGTGGAAGAGAGTTGCGGCATCCATTGCACTACGTAAGTAACCCTTTCCCTGTATCAGAGATGTTCAGACCCCGAACTAACATTGGATAATAGCTGCTGGGTTACTCGTCATGTGTGGGATTTATGGCTGCACTGCCAAGTTTGTGAATGATACGGTCATCTTCACCAGTCAATGCTGGTCGTTAGTAAGCTTTGCTGCAACAGCCGAGTGGACACTGAGTTGCCTATGGATGATATTCGTTGGTACAGTTGCGTACGACAACTACCATCTTGAGGATACCGTATACCAACTTCTGACGACGCCTGCCCCACTAAATCCTAAAAGGAGCAAACTCGCCTTCTGGATCCGTCGGCGTAAGGACGACCGAAGAAGGAACGACCTCGAGGACGAGAGCGAAGGATTGGAGGCATTGAGACTCTCAAATGCGGGACAGATTGTCGATCCGGATAGACCGAATGTCTCTGAGCGAAACTCGTTCGCAGAAAGTATCGACGAGAGGAGAGCAGAAGTGTACAGTCCCTTGGAGCACCAAGGGCGGACTTGGTTGCCCTCAACACCAGCCATGACAGAACCAGGATCAGGAAACCGTGGGTATCAACATGTGAGCCATGCACCTGATCTAGAGGATCTGTGAGCTGTGGTTTGCGGTAAGCCTTGGACGGTTTATCGAGTAAGAATAGCATGCGCTGTACGCAAACTGCACTAGACCCTCCACAACTCGACACATATTGAGGAGTCCGGCTAGGAAGGGGACAAGCTTCCGCTATCAGAATGTCGAGCAACTGCCATCGCAGACACTTGCATAAGACTAGATCACCTGCTGGGCCAACCAAATATTCCTCTAACCAGATCGAGGTCGTCCCGGAGGAGAATTTCATACGGCCGCGCAATCGAGGCAACAACCCTTTTTTGTGATTGAACAGATTCTGCCGGGGTTAGCAAAATCTAAGCATTTGAAAGACAACGAGCGTAGCCTGGCGAAGCTCTTATTTTTGGGCGGACAGTCCACCATCGGAAAGATTCGCAAGGCATGATTGTATGCGTTGACCATATTACGACCAATAGCTATGGTGATGTGATGCTGGACACGAAGATAGTGGATGGTGACCAACCGCTTGTCAAGCTGACGCGCCGCGCAAACGTCAACGAGGATTGCCGCCATATCTTTGAGCATTGGAAGACGGCGAAATAAGGAGGGATGTAATCAGGAGAATGGTCTACCACTCCATTGAAGATCCGGTGGCAACGACGAATGCAAATGTCTGACTACCAGGCAAAAGCAAAATGAGAGCTGACTCGCAAGGCTTGATAGTCAGAGTGGCTTCATGTGCTGTGGTCCGGCCTGGCCAGGCTGATGAGCATGCTTGGCTGAAGTTTGACCAGGAAGCACAAGCCCGCAGGGAGAAATACAATGTTAAATGATTAACGAGTCTGAAACATGGTCAAGATCAAACAAGGAGTTTGAAGCCGATCCGATATGCAGGTGCAACACCGAAAAGAGAGAAACCCTGAAAACCTGGAAGCTTGGAGGATGCGGAGGTCGCAATTACGTTTGGGAGGAGCAACGGGTGGCCAAACCGATCAAGTCAGCAGCAAGAGGCGACAAGCCTAGACGCGTATTAGACTATCAGGCCCCCAAGCAGGTTGAGAGCCGCAGTCCGAGTCAGTGGCTGGTCTTGGCGTTTGGAAGAAGCAGCAGGCACTTCAAGTTTGCATGCCCATTTTGCCAAGGCTGTTTCATGCCAAATATGGCTCGCTGGGTACCTGGATAGGAGCGACCATTGCCATTAGGGATAAGAGCTCTTGAGGGCTACGTACACCTCACCATGCCGTGGCGAGCTAGTGGTTACGGGCACTTGATGGTATTATTGCTCGCAAAGAAGGACTTGGGTACCTAGGTAGTGATAATAATAATTGTGGTATTCGTCCTCGCTCGGAAACAGGTTGCGGTCGGGGTACGTACTGTGCTTGGGACAGCCTCAGGCCCTGATCGACACGTGCCACTCTCCCACCTTGCAAAGATATGCTCTTTGTCCCGTGCAAGGTGGCAGATCAAGATTCAAGAACGAGAAATGCCCATGGGCAATGGTAGTTTTTCCTTGGAGAGTGGACCCGGCTTGGAACCTTGAAGTTGACGAATAAAGGCCCTGGGCACGCCTGGATCGTCATTGTGATTGGGCGACACGTCAATTAAAGAGAGTTGCGTACGCGAGGGCTCGTCCGAGGGACGCGCGGCGCCTCTACACAAAGCCTGAACTGGTAGCCGAAAGCAACTCGTCAGCTACAGCCGGGGGGAGGGTCTTTGCCCAGGCCGCCTTTGCCAGGCCTTGACCACCGAAATGCGTAGGCTTTTGCCCTCCCCAGGGGCCGTCGACTCGTGCCTGGCGTGGTCTTCAAGCTGGTCACGGTGCTGGATGAGTCTACGGATGGTCGCAATAATATACTGTCCTGCTAGGCATTCGAGTTCTGGGGTGACCACGAATCTCTGGGTCCGAGTTCAAGTTGTACTCGTAGAGTCGTAGTACGAGTACCTCCCGCCTACCGCCTCCCACTGTCCACCCAGGGCCTTTGCTAACGCAATCCTCGTCCACGTATGCACTCCGGCTCCCCCATTCTCATCCATCCCATCACTCGTCCTCACTGTCGCTCTCTTCTCTCAACTCTTTTCTTCTGCCTGGACACAACCCTTCTCTCTCTTTTAAACATCCTCACACCTGGCTTCGAAACTCCTGCATGACTTGCATCCAACTTGCATTCTGCCAGATTCCCCGCAGCACAGATCCAGATTATTCTTAGGCGATTTTTCCACCTGCATTGGTCTTGATTGTGGCGAGGCAAATCGACTCGGCTGTGCTCCGGTGACTGCGCCCGTCCAATCCACTCCAGCACAAACTCCCCTCCACTGGCATCCCCTCTGTCTAGTCCACCAAACACTCTCGACTCGACACTTACACACCTCGTCTCCTTCATTCTTGCCGTCAACAGTACTTGTGTCTTGAAATTCAAGAGCGAGACATCAACAACACAACCATGGCGAACCCTTCGCGGGAGCGCATCATTGACGACGATTTTGATTTCAGCGCTGCCGACCTGTCTAAACAATTCGAACAATTACTACGAACGAACCGATTGAATGCCCTCGAAGAACAAGCACGGGCTCCTCGATCTTCCTCCCCTCATCTCGCTCCTCAACAAAGGCCACAAACATCGTCCTCTTCCCCTTTACCACCACCAAGTCCGCTCTCTCATACTTCCGCACATGCCAGTTCTCGGCCTTCTCAACACCAACCACCCACATACACCTCATATCGAAGCCATCCCATTGTACCTTCCCCACCTCAAGATGGCGCTGCGATGAAATTCCGAAACCTCCTCCTCACCCTATCCATGACACCAACCAAGTACGAAAACCCCGGTCTTCTAGACAATGCTCTGACGCACGTGCCTATCGATCGCATATATCAAGAGGCAGAAGAAGAGCACAACCTCATGAAAGGTATGGCGGCTTCCAAAGGTGACAATGTCAAGCCCGAATGGGGCTACCAAGACTGCGTTATGAGGTCACTCCTCCGGTAAGGCACTCTCGTTGTTTGACTGCTTTCAATTTCTAACCGGTGTTTCTATAGTTGGTTCAAACGCTCATTCTTCACCTTTGTCAACAATCCTGCTTGTACAAGATGCAATGGTGCCACTATCGCCGCAGGCCAAGTCCCTCCTGTGGATGATGAAATAGTCCGTGGTGCAACGAGAGTCGAAGTCTACAGATGCACCGGTTGTGCTCGATATGAAAGGTTCCCTCGATACTCCGATGTCTGGACGTTATTGGAAACTCGACGAGGCCGTGCTGGAGAATTCGCCAACTGTTTCAGTATGTTATGTCGGGCTGCAGGTGCACGAGTCAGATGGGTTTGGAACAGTGAAGACCATGTGTGGACCGAGATCTACAGTGAACATCAAAGACGCTGGGTTCATGTTGATCCTTGTGAAGAGATGTGGGACAATCCAAGAGCCTACACTGAAGGTATGTTTTTACTCGGCACATCTTGATCTAATACGTTACTAACAGTACATCCCAGGTTGGAATCGCAAGATATCCTACTGCATCGCCTTCTCAAATGATGGCGCGACAGATGTCACTCGACGTTATGTTCGAAACACGCATTATCTCGGCCCACGAACACGATGTACAGAGGAGGTCCTGCTCTGGATCATGCAAGAGATTCGAAAACTACGACGAGAGAATATGGACAAGTCTGTCCAGCATCAACTCCGACGAGAAGACGATAGAGAGGAGCGAGAGCTTCAAGCCTACGTGATGCGGTCACTCGCTCATGATATGATCAACTCGATGCCCGGTGCTGTCACCCCCGTTCGAGGTGACGAAGTCAAAGCACCTGCGGAACGACAAGACACTACCATGCAATGGTCGAATGAACAACAGATGGATCATTCCAACCATCGGTGACGTCTATACCTCGACCATCTCTTCCCTTCACTACATCTATCTTCACCCTCTACGATAACGTCGTTATGTTTTACATCTATGATACCATTTTCTTACACAAAATAAACCCGAGGAATGTCCTTTTTGATTGACACAGCATTGCGTTGGGTTCAGGCTTCAAGCGTGAGTACAGAATTATTTTTGACAAGCTTGCTGGTCGGGGGAGTTTCAGGTCTACCTCAGCTCAGGGAAATTCGGGATTCTAGTAATCGGTCTAGATTTTTGAGGTTATGTGGGAGGCCATCCACTTTTTGCATTTACTCCACGGCTCAAGGCGGGGATCGTCACCGACACTGATATGTCTGGAAAGAACCACTTTTTTATATCACATATTTTTACGGGGAGCATGTCATACTTTGATGTGGTGCAGGACTATATTCTGCTCTATCAAAACCCGGCGTTTGATGATTTGTCACGGCCTGTATGCCTCATGTAAGAAGAGCCCAGGCGGACCCAGATATTGGGAGAGGAATTCTGATCACCTTTCTAATGTCCTGAAAACTCTATACCATCGTACCGTGCGCTTCCCGTTTCGTGTCTCCCACAATGCCCGCCACTCAAAGATATCAAAATCAATATCAATATCAATATCACAGTGACGCGTGCGGCACGGCACGAGCAGAGAAGTCCATTCTAACTACTTGCAGTGTACAGAGGTCCCTGCACACTGACTGACCGACCGTCAGGGTAGGGTAGTGCGATGATTCTGCATCTATCCATACATCTCGAGCGCAAGAGTCGAGCTGATACCTGTCTGTGTATATGTGGATAGATAGTTAGGTACCTACTCGTAGCTCAACGGAGTATTCGCCGGAGGAGACGCGCGGCTCGCTCGCTCACTCACTCACCCACTCGGGACTCTAGTCGTGGACAAATAAAGACACGATAAGATAAGATATGGATGGATGGCACATACTGTACATACATACATAGGTACGCACACATCATATGCACGCACACACATACATACGTACACCCGTGAATTGAGTTTGTGCTTTGGATGACACGTCGAGGACCTGGCATTCGGTATTCTCCTCACGACGAGGCAAGTAGGAGTAATAGTAGGAGAGGGCGATTGGGAAGGTTCTTGCACATAGACTGTTGTGGAATAACGCTACTAGTAAAGTACCAGATGCCATTCGGGAGATATTCTATCTCGAACTCGCTATTTCGCACGTATCTACATGTGGAGGATTCTACCCAGTGCATAACGGCTTATGATTAGACGGTCCCTTCTATTCCCGACCATTAAACCACTGTCCGTCGTTATCATTGTATTCAAGTATCCCAATTCTGCGTGCTATCGAAGCGCGGGACCTGTTCGACGTCGTACATAGGGCGCTCGACGATGACGAGTTCGAGACCGTTGTTGTTGTTTTGTGATGTGGTCAGGCCGTTGGTTGGGTGTTCAGGCGATGGGTCCGTTGTCGTCATTGACTCGCTGTTGTCTGGTCCGATCACAGCGATGCCCAGGATAGAGGTGTATTCTGTCGTCAAATAGTGATGAGGTCTTCTGATGCTAGGCTTAGGGTTGCTGCTTTCATTATCTGCACCATTGGTGTCGTGGCCGGCTTCAATCTCGCCGCGACGCATGATTACAAGAGCATCATTCTCTTCGTAATCTCCCATATCAACGTCATCCGTGTTGTTGTCAGCTTCATCCATGGCAGTGTCAATGTCGAATGTTTCTTCGTCGTCGCTGTTGTTCTGGAATTTTACGACATTACTCCCGAACCCACCAGGTCGTTCAGCTGTGATTATCGGGTCACCTGCTCCTGAAGATTTGTGGAATGGACGAGAACGGCGTCGCTTTTTTACTCCCACTGTGCTCTGAACAGCCTTATCCTCTGACTGACTCTGACTTCTTTTCTCGCTTCTGGTCTTGGAGGGGCTCTGTTGGACTCCATTCGCAATAGGGTCTAGAACTTGGTACTTGCCTAGTGTGGTCTTGTTGCCATCTTTGGAATTCGCGGTCCTTGGGGTCTTATGGGTTTCGTTCCCGTGGTAGATCACCCGTGGCAGATCTCGACTCATATCGAACATAAATAGGTAGTTATGACTGTAGAGCCATAGTCGTTCACCTCGATTCCTTCTGTCGGTGACATCCCAGAAGGATCCCATCACTCGATCTTTCAATCTCGTAAAAGAAGACGGCAGGTACCGAGAAGGATTACGTCGTGTCCAGTCACTAAGCCTGTTGGACATGACCTCAAACTCTGTGAGCTGATGGTTCGCTGTCAAAGCAACAAGTTTCACGTCTGTTGTTGGAAACTCCTGGGAGACAGGATGTGGGTTACGTCTCGTTGCATGCAGGCCGAGGTTGGTACTTGTCGATTGAGATGGCGATCCTGGGAGAGATGGGCGGAAAGTCAACATCAGAATGGCTGAGTCAAGTTGTGGCAAGGACGGGCCTGATGGATTGCGAATCCATTTCTGGCCGTGCACTACTGGCGCAATGTCATCATCATCTTCTTCTTCTTCGTCAGAAGAAGCGTCCGATGAAGCGCCTGAGGACTTATCAGACCGATTGGAAATAGTCTCCACGAAATCCACATCCTCGTGTCCTTCGAGAATCCACGTGTTGATGGCGCCTGAAAGGTCACCCACAGCAAGAATTCGGCTGTCGCTGGAAAATGAAACTTGTGTAATAATTCGGTGATGGTCACCCAATGCCGTACTAGGCTGTGGTTGAGATGGTCGGTAGAGTTTAGTACTCTTTAGGTGCGCAGTTGGAGGTTGTCTTGGATCACTCGACAGTAGAATCTTGAGCAATACTATGGCATTGTCATTGCGAACAATATACAGCCATTTCCCATCGGGAGTAAAACCTCCGAGTCTTCCACCTAGTCTCGTAATGAAAGATGGGAGCTCGATTTGACGTGTCCGGATTGCTGGCTTTCCTGTTACTGTAGTCTTTCGTAGTTGAAACAGTTTGACCTGATCATTGGTGATGACAATTATCAATTGTCCATTGTTAGCTATTTGGGCGTCTTGAATAGCGTGGTTGCCTTTTAGCACCACTTTTGTGAGCGGTTCATATGAAGAATCCTCAGCCTCGAATTGTTCAGAGTCGAAAAAATTCTGTTCGGGGGTTCGTCTTCGGGAAATATGGTACACGGCGATCACATTATCCCACCAAGAAATGAAAAGCCGGGACCTAGTTGAAGCTGAAATTTGGGGTTTTTGTGGTAGATGGGATAGAGTAAGATGTTTCTCAGACTGAGATCGCTTGATAGGGGTCACGATCGGTGTTGCGTCCATACCACCCGACACGAGCACACTCATGTCTGTCCTTTCGAAAGCGGTGGCACATTTGATGTCATGTCTGTGATATCTGCGGTGGGAGATCGCGGCCCAGCTCGTTATTCTTTTTGATGAGTTCGTCTCGACAGGCTTATAGGTGACAGTCCTTCGGTCTACACCGAGTGAAAATATCATGTCTCCGGCGAAATTTGTTGTGACGGCTAGAATGTCGGCATCATGACTTCGGAGGCGCTGAAGCAGTGAATAATTCTGAGGATCCCAAATTTTCAATTCGCCCGAAGAATCTCCAGAAATTATTGTGCCGTTTGGTAAACACTTCACAGTCCACACAATAGTGTCATTGCCATCAACGGGTTTACCCAAGCTCATGTGCCGAGTAATAGTCCTGGTCGGTACATCAATTACTCTGATCATGCTGTCATCATAACCTGCAACAATAGTGTTTCGATCGCGCCATGTTATTGTCAGAACCCTTGGCTTCTTTGTCGGCGGCGGTGGAAGAGCTTGAATATAACGTAAATCGTCGTCTTCAGTGGTGAACAAGACTATTGAGCCATTGTTACATCCAGCTGCAAGTAGTTGTGAAGACGCAGCGTTTTCGTTGGGGCTGTAAGGCTGTTGCTGTGGTTGGGCAGCAAAGCACCAGATATCACCTAAATTTCCCTCGACTTTTCTCTTGGGCACCCCAGTCTCCAAGTTCCATTCGACAACAGATGTAGAACCTCCAGTACTGAACAGACGGAGTGGTCCACTTTCCGTGGGACTGATGACATCCTGTGTCCAAGCTATTTGTTCGATCGCGCTGTTTGGAGCGTCTTTTAGAATGATGTCTTGCGTCCAATTGCCGTGCAAGGGATTCCAGATCTCAATATCGCCATTATTGCGCCCCACCGCCAGACGTAAATCGGAGGGTGACTTTTGTTTCGGATCAGAAGGATGCGAGAAGGCGAGGTAGTTGATCGGCTGGGGAGGGTATGGGACAAAACGGCAGCGGTGAATATCCATGGTTGAGACGACAAGAGTATGAACTTTTGCACTCAAGGTCGGAGGGGTAGTGCTCGACAGCGGATGAAGATATTGTGAGTTGCCATATCAGAGATTTTGGGTGCAGCCTCAATGTGGTATGCCGCAATGATCAAAAAAGTTGCGAACAATTTTCTGGATCATCTCCGCACGATTCGGAGTCGCGAATTGTCCTAAAGTGGTTTAGCTTCTTGTGGCACAGAGGAAGGCGCAGCCCTGTAGCCTTTGAATTTTAGGGAAGGAGGAGCCACCCGCCATTAAGAACTCCATTTCGACGAGACCTTGGATATCGCTACGTGTGCCTGCTACTGCAGATACTACCTAGTAGGTCCTTGATGCCTTCAGATCCTGCGAAAACGATTTCCTCGATAGAAGTGGAATAGTCAATTGGGTAACGTGTAGGTAGGTCCGACACACTGGATTTGTTCCGGATACACATGAACAAGCCTAACCACCCCTAGACAAGTTACCCAAGGATTATATAACAATGCTTCAGACAAGGACCCGGAAGAAGCCGTAACGAACATGCGAAGGGGCATTCATCTCTCCAGTTCAATGCTTACCGCCCATCCGTCCCTTGGTGTCTGGCCAAAGCCCCCGATCTCCATCACGGTCACACCAACTTGATATCAAATGTGAACAAATCTGGACCCCAACTTACTGATTTGCTAAGCATGTCCTCTGATCCTTTTGACTTCGACTTGTCTTGAATTTGTCCAATTCCCCGTTCTCTGATGCCATATTCTTTCTTGCCAAGTCGATGCACACCTCAGCCCTAGAAGATGGTTGACCAGTGACTAATCTCCAAGATCTTAATGAGCCCGATACTGAACCATTCGTGCTTGTACTAATATCCGCGCTCACCCACCTACATTTTGCAACACACCCTCAATTTGTCGCAAATCGTGTTGATTGCCCATCTAGTCTTCTGGAAAGAGCAGACCTCATCCACCCTGCCGCGTGACAGTTCGCTATGCTGAAAGGGCTGTAAGGCGCGGCCCATTCCCTCAATGTGTCGGCGTCAATGGCTGGCTAAACACAAGCATGGCCACTTTTATCGATTATAATGTGTCCACTTTCAGAGATAATTCCAAGCCGAACAAAAGACGACTTCAGGAATTACAACATACCGAAGCCAGGGCCCATGCTGCCCGTGTTGCATATTGGCGGAAACGGAGACCTGGAGCTGGCCACCGCCCAAAGGATAAAGTCCGCCCTATCCAAGACCAGACTGATTCAAGCCTGGATGACATCTCAGTCCCAACTCCGACCGACCAACATGACTCCCCATCAGACTCGAGGAGAATCAGTCTCGAGGTCTCATCTGACTTTAGCTCAGGTCAAAAGTCCTGCCAAGAGCTCAATACTCCCGGGTTGATGGGGATGAAAGCATCTACTGATGCTCTTGCTTCTAAAGGCCTTGCACACTTCCAGTCATCCAAGTATTATGAATTGGCAGATACGCCTGGTCATAAATTTGGAGATCTGAATGCGTTTATTCGGCTTACCAGTCATCCAAAATCTCTTCTCTTCGACCCTTTCGACACCCTTCCTTCCCGCCAAGGTGAAGAGGTTGTTACAGCAATGAATCATTGTAATCGTTTTCTCCCTTTACGGAATGCGTTTGTTAACGGTTTCTAGTCATTCATCACTGGGCGCCTTCGCAGAAGCCTGGGTTAAAGTTCCAAACAAAAGACAATCCATTGATAAGAGATGTTTTCCCTGCAGCATTACAGAATGTGGAGCTTTTCGAAGCCTGTGTTGCTTTATGTTTGAGTTTTAGAGCAGCCGGCTCGAATTTCACCACATATCTATGCAATGCCTCCATTCACCACAAATGTGAAGCGCTAGCAGGCATCAGACGGCGGCTCATCTCAGGACATGTGGACGAGGCTGTCATCTTTGCCACAGTACTTCTCATGATCACCGATGTAGGTATCTGGTCTTTTTCCTTCACTATGCCTATTCACTGATATTGCCAGAATGTCTTTTTGGATGTCGATGCGTACAAGGCGCATCTGGAAGGTCTTCGCAAAATGCTGAGTGCAAGCGGAGATGGCGTTTTTGCAGCATATGGTGGCTCATTAAAGTCTTTCGTCTCATGGTTCGTCGGCGTGATCTGATCGTCATGCCAGTTCTAATATGCATTACAGGGCGGAATCGAATGGTTTAGTATTGTTTGGGAATACCAATCAATCCCCCTCTTCTACCCAGACAAGCCTCAAATTGGAGTATCCTTCTCAACCCTTCTCAGGTTCTTTGGAGAAAACTCTGGCGAATCTCACTCCTGGCTTTCAACACATGGCATCGGAAGGACATCTCTCCACCCATGTTTTGACAATTCTTGAGAATACAATCCGGTGGACACGATGCATAGGACCCGACTCCGCAAAGACAGTCTCGGATGACGATCAAGCATTCCTGATAGACTTCGACCCCAGAGCAAATGCTGCTATGGTAATGGAATTGTGCCGAACTGTGGATCACCAATATCACATGGAAAGGGCGCTTTGCAAAGCACTATTCATATATCATGCCAACATTCTGCACTGGACTTGCCGATGCTCTGGTTACAAACGAGTTGTGAAAGAGCTTGCAGATACTGTTCTGTCTGCCGATCCCAAAAAGCAGTGGGAGATAGATTTCTGGTCATGGATGTCTCTCCTTATCACAAATTCGGCTAGAAGAGGCTCCTTGCCACAGCTCCAAGCAGAGCTCATGGCTAAGTTCTTTAGCTGGTCCGGTCGCGGCCAGGATTGGGATGAAGTGACAGAGACACTTGGAGCATTCCTGTATCACAGCGGCTTGGGCGGTGAATGGAGACTCTGCTGGGCCGCAGGCCTTAGCCATATTGTTCTCTGAACTTCCGTGGCAGAAATAGATATCCTTGGAAGATTTTCCAGCCTCGCCAAAAGGCTAAATTCCTCAATTATAGCCTTTCTGGGTCGGTTTCGAGCCCTCGATCACGCCTTCTTGACCGGGATTCCAATCGACGGGTGAGGGTCGGGCATGGAAGATCGGGCATGGGGAGGACATGTACAACAGATGAACAATGAGGATTGCTTTTCTTCGCCTAGGCAGACTCTATCGTGTTATACTTCGAGCAGATCTTGATGAGTGTTCTTCTATCCCTAAACACCCTCAAGATCAATGTGAACATCGCCAATAACCTATGCTCATCGTTGGCGTACAACCCGTCAAGACATCACGTGAGGGGCGTCGGCATTCTTTCGGCCTACTTGCCTTTTTCAGCCTGGGCTATGTTCCCTCACGTTCGGCAGGCGACGTCGGATACCGCGTCACCGGGGAACGGAAGTCGTGTAGCATCACCTTTGCCAGCATTAATATCTTGTGTTCATGCTCCGTACCATCTCGACGACACAAGACCCTCTTTACGAGTCCTACGATAGACTCCCAACAAGGCTGAAGTTGTCACCATGAACGAAACTTCAACTCCACAGTCCGTTCAGATCTCTCCTATTGGCTAACCCAATTGTTGATACTAAATGCAAACAGGAGCGACTCAAAACAAATCGTTAAGAGGGCATGCACAGAATGTCGTCAGCAGAAGGTGGGCATTTGAACGTGTTCGAGAAGTCTCGGAAAGCCCAAGCTAATTTGACGCGTCCCAAGGCCAAATGCGATGCATATATGCATCCCAATAAACCATGCACAAGATGTCGAAAGATGAACCGGGAATGTACGATCTCTGAGCCTTTCAAACGAGAGCATAAACGCAAGTAAGTTCTCCTCCAAACGATAGCGGTGGTCGATCTTTCGCTGCAAATGCTCATGCCACGGCGATGATAGGAGAATGTCCGAGCTTGAGCAGCAAACAGACGAACTCCAACAGCAATTGAGATCTTCTAGTCAGTCGGAGCCAGCATTTCCCGAGCGGTCCTGGAAGTCTGTAAACACTGTGAACGTGAACGTCAGTCATACTGCCGAAGCAGAAAGTCGCTTGGCATCCGTGGCACCATTCTTTCGGGGTGCGACCATTGCACCAACGTCCTTCCGGTCCCTATCTCATGCTGTGGAGAGTCTACAGACACCTGAGAGTCTTACGCACGACCCGCAACCTTTGCTCACTTTACCGCGGAATCTGGATGGACAAACCATTAGCTCCAGGGATATTGATGAGCTTTTTCAAACGTAAGGCCCGAAGATGATTATACTCACCAGAACTAACCATTTGGCGTCCCAGGTATTTTCGAGATTATGCCAACTTCATGCCTATTCTTGACCCTTCAATGAGCCCGAATGCATACTATGCTCTTTCACCATTCTTGTTCTGGACCATTGTCGGTGTCGCTTGTCGGTCGTATCCTAGAAATCCAACCCTATTGGGCTTCTTGCCAGCGAAGATCCACAATATGGCTCTGCTCACGCTCAATGCTACGGTCACTCTACAGGTGGTGCAAGGCCTACTTCTTGTACTCTGTTGGCCATTTCCAAAGTCAAGCACTGGTCATGACTTAAACTATCCTCTGGCGGGTGCGCTTGTTCACATGGCTACGCAAATGGGTCTTCACCTCCCAGTATCCAGCCAGGAGTTCAGTAGGGTTCGTCTCAAACTAGATGACGATGAGATCAAAAGACGTGCTGAGACTTGGGGCTATTGCCAACTGATATACATGCGGTGAGTGCCGAGGCAGAGAGCCATCCGTATCAGCATCAAAGGCTGACTCAATCCTAACGTTCAACAGGTCATGCTTCTCAAAAGGCAACCCCATCTCGGCCATCTTTGACATCCCTCATGAATCTGAACAGAAACGAATTCTTTACGAGAAAATGCCAGCAGGTCTGAAATTTGAACTTAAGCTTCAAGACGTTGTCACTAGATGCTGTACTGCAGTGTCTCAGAATGGCCTTCGCGTTATGAGCCTTGATCAAGAGAGATCTCTAGACACTCTGTTGGCTTTGTTCCAAGCTCAAATTGCCACAATCAGCCTAGATCATCCATCAAGTAAGCCTCTGCCTTTTGGTAACCTCTCAAACATCAATAGCTGACACAATCCAAGTCAACGACCAATTCTATGTACGAGTAGCTGCACTTAGTGTGCAGTGCTTCGTCCTTTTCAAGTCTCCCCCATCACAGGATCCGCAGTCTCTATACAATTTGTGTGTTGCTGCGTGTCAAGTGGTCGAATCATTCGAGATCTTGGAAAAGAGCGGCACAATGAATCTACCAGCATCGGGCCTTTTTGCATACCTGAACATTATGCTGCCATGTCACATCTTGCTAAGGCTGCTCAAGACCTCCTTCTCCACCTTCATCGATATCGAAAGAGCGAAAGCAGCACTGTTCCTCGGCATCAGCCTTCACAAGCGCATGTCTTTGCAAAACGATGATCTACCAGCCAGAAACGGTGCAATCCTTACCAATCTGTGGAACAGCAACCAAGCTTTCAAGAAGCCAAACGGCTCCGAGGCTGTGGCGTTACGAGTTCGCAGCCGCCTGGTGGGAAGCATTCTCCTTGATGGTTTTCTCTGGTGTAGGGAGGAGCATGGTAATGCAATTGGGGTTTATGCTCCGCCATTGACTGATCGTACCGGTTCGTTTCCTGATACGATATTGCTCGCAAATTTGAAGTACTGACCATTGCAGATGAAACCCAGAGACATGACGAGGCAACTGGACTACCACTAAGCAACGCGTTGACAAGTAACTTGATGAAGCAAGACTTTTCCAGCTTCCTGGATGACCCAATGCTAATCGAGTTTGGCTGGTCTATTGGTGACGACATCTTCTCTCCTGCATGGGCAGATGGAACCATTGCTCCCATCTAAGCATGGATTACGGTGTGACACGCTGTCTGAAATAGCATAGCACAATGCCGGGGTTTCTGGTCTTGCACAAAGAGGATTATACCAACGGAAGGCTATCTGAAGATATTGCTCTCTTGTCGCGACTCTACCATTTATTCTCATACACACCATACCAATACCCCCAACCTACGACCTTGCCTCGAATCTCCTCCAGGAGGTCCGATTTCGTCGCGACTGGAGACATACGACTGTCATCCACTTTATCCTTCAATGCAATCACTGAATAAAAGTATCGATGTGCACCATGTCCAACCGGCGGCTGGGCTCCACCATACACAGTTCCTCGGATATTCTTTCCCAGCCGAAACCCTCCTTTCAGCCACTTCCCACCACCGTCAGCTTTCACCGATCCATCAAGACTGATATCGCCCGGGTGAACGTGCGTCTTCTCGGGCGGAATGGCATAGTAAACGCCGTGGAGACCCACCATGCCCGGGATGGGGACATCCGGATCTTCACTGATGAGGATATACTCCTTTATCGCATGTTCAGCCACTCCGGCACCAGAATTGAGCGACCACTTGAGCTCTGGAAACTTTGAGCCGCCGTTGGCGCTGTACTCGACACTCATCTCGGCACCCTCTGGACCGATCTCGGGGGCAACAACATCGATGTTTTTCGGGACGTTCTTGAACGGATCCTGCGAGGTGAAGAGCAGACTGTCGTGTCCTTTCACGTTGCGCAGGATTTGTGCGAGGTAGTACACCAGGTATCGAAGAATGATGTTGCCCATAATCGTGGCGTTGGTGGATGGCTGGCGCGCGCTTCTTTGTTTTCCTTAGGGGTGACAAAAAGCCTTCCGCAGCAATGATGACTAGGTATTGTAAATTAATTGGGCGACTTTCGTTTTCAAATCTGGCTTTTTGCACGGCGCTTGAACTCGGAAATGCCAGTAAGATTTCTCTACTCTTTCTCATGTCCTTCCGAGGTAGTAAGGGATTGTAACATGGGCTACCAGAAGGTTCTCCGTAAGCTTGTTTCACGCGATAACGACCTAGTTTATGTGGCGAACGCCTGTGGTCCTGCAACGTATACCTAGAGAACTTCCCGGGCAAATCAAGGAGAAAGGGTTTGGAGATGGGACGGCGGCCGGTGAAACGGCAAAAGTAACAATAGACTTAAAAGCACACCAGCCATACGAGTTTAGGCCAAATCTAACACATAAATCTTATATCCGACCTGAAGTAACCTCCGGCGATGGCTCGCTCGTGAGTCAACCAATAGAACGACATATCCGACGGTAGGATTGTCCAACACTGGCACGAGGCTGTCAAATTGCAGGTCCCTCCCTCCTGTCCACCGCGCACTCTTTCTCGATGAGTTCCACCGTAAAGCCAGCCAGCGTCCGGACCCTGCATGTGCACGCCACGTTACCTCCATGGGCTATCTCCGATGCATCACATGTGTGGTCGCTACGAGGGAAGTGGCATGTCTTGTTCCTTTAATGTCTACGGACCGGAGAGGAACTCCGGGGGTTCTGGCATTTCAGCTGAACGTCGGGTAGGTAGTAGTGTGAGTAGACGCCGTGGTAACCGATGGTGGTGGCAGTACTGAAAGTGCCGACCGGTCCGACTGATTCGAAAACCAGCACCGGGGATTGGTCGTCGTGGTGTGTGCTAGGACCTGTAGGTGGGGAATGGACGTCAATCACCGGCCCTGAACCGGCGTGATCTAACCACATTAGTTCCAGTTGGTGTGACTGGATATTGACAGCCGATATTGCCCACCCTTCATGGTGCAGACGAGGGATCTGCATGATTAGTGTCACGACGTAGTTTCGATGACATGGTGATTGGATCGATTGTGGCTTCACAACTGATACTGCTAGCACATGAGATGATTTAGCAGGCAAACTCAAATCTGGCGTACCCCAGGCCGCGAATGAGCCCACTGCTTTTTCTCGACCCATCCATCATAAGCTCTGCCCCTGAGCACTCAAGCATTTCGGCACACTGTCGAGGCACTATATGAAGCTCAATGGCCGGCTTGGCTTGAACATTCTGGAACTACTCGTTCGGATAACATTATCCGGGCTGGGGACAGAGTTCACAGTGATATCAGAAGTCTTCTGTGGCGAGCGCCATGGCTGAAATTGATCATCTCGACAGCAACGCTGCAGAGAAAGAGTTAGCAAGGAATGAGGACATGGCCAGGAAAGAATCGGTAGATGGCCAATCTGACGAATCCGAGCGAGGCCAACAAGATGAACAGGCAAGGTCTCCGACTTTGACGCAGGAACCTCCATCTGAGGCTTCGAGAAATGATGCGCAACGGCTACAACAGTACTCTGTCTTCACCACAAAGGAGAAGAGAATGATGATCCTCGCCGGTTCTTTCGCCGGATTTTTCTCTCCTCTATCATCGACTATTTATTTCCCGGCGCTCAACACCATTGCGAAAGCATTACACGTGTCTGGATCGAAAATCAACTTGACTGTGACCTCATACGTGATCCTCCAAGGGATAGCACCCATGATGATTGCCGGATTCTCCGATAACGTAGGCAGACGGCCAGCCTATGTCCTTTGCTTCACGATTTTCCTATTTGCAAATCTGGGGCTAGGATTACAGAATAGTTATGCGGCATTGCTAGTCCTCCGTTGCTTGCAGAGTGCTGGCAGTAGTGGGACAATTGCTTTATCGAACGGTATTGTTGGCGACATGGTGACATCAGAAGAACGAGGGTCATATATTGCTTTCGCTTCAATAGGAGGTCTCTTGGGCCCGGCAATTGCCCCGGTCATTGGAGGCGCAATAACTCAGAGCCTCGATTACCATTGGTTGTTCTGGTTCCTCCTGATATTCACGGGCGTCTTCTGTGTGCCACTGTTTTTGTTCATGCCAGAGACATGTCGCAAAGTTGTTGGGGATGGTTCAGTCCCTCCACCAAAGTGGTATTGGTGTTTGACGGATACTTTACGATTTCGGCGGCTCCGAAGGAATGGATTCGAAATCGACAAGGCAAAACAGGCTCAGCTTCACCAAAATCTTCGCTTCCAATTTCCAAACCCGATACCTACCATACTCATTATCACTGACCCGGAATCGTTCATAATCCTCGTCGCGACCGGTCTATGTCTTGCATGTTTCTATGCAATATCCACAGGAGCGGCGTCAGCGTTTGGCGAGATCTATGGATTCAACGACATAGAGATTGCGCTTGTTTTCATCCCCGTGGCGGTTGGGGGCATTGTGGCAGCGCTCACAACAGGGAAAATGATGGACTGGAATTATCGCCGACATGCACACAAGAAGGGCATTACTGTTGTTAAGGGCGTACGTCAGGACCTCGGGGAGTTTCCCATCGAAACAGCTCGTATGGAAGTTGCGATACCGGTGAGTATACTATGTTCAACCTTCGTGGTAGGATATGGCTGGGCGCTGGATCAAAAAGTTAGTTTGGCCGGGCCGATAATATTGATCTTCCTAGTAAGTTTGCCGTCAACTTGTGAAAGCGGAAAAACTTTGGCGACTAACATATCCAATTCAGATTGGATATGCAACGATTGCCACATATCAAGCATATAATGTGCTGATGGTGGACATTTGGCCGTCCAGGCCCGCTGCAGCCAGTGCCGCCAATAACTTCATTCGATGCAGTCTCGGGGCAGCGGCATCAGCAGCGATAGAACCTATGGTCAAGGGTACGGGGAGAGGTTGGGCATACACGACCATTGCATTACTTCAAGGGATCTCCGTGCCATTTTTGTTCCTTCTTATGCGGCAAGGGATCCAGATGCGGAAAGTTAAGGCCGAAAAACAGACTCGCAAATTAATCCAAAAGGAGGGGAGAGGTGAATTACCAACCTAAATTAGTGTACCCTCGCGAAAACGGAAAATAGCCAGTCAGCATTTTGGAGCTTGAGGCCAAGAAGTGCTGTCGCGACCCAAGAACGCATGGAAGTCTCTGGAAAAAGCGGGTTGAGCTTGCGAAAGATGAGTGCAGCAGGTGGGCCAGAGTGGGAAAGCCCGAGAGTGGGTGGCGGGGAAAGAGCTGTGTGACAGATACGAGGCAGATAGGCTTGAGATAAAGTCGCTCTGGCAAGTTTCAGGCTGCTGTGATGAGAAAGCCTGAGCCTAAAGACCAACACGTGGCGTGGCCTGGGTGCATCAAGAGCATTGGAAGGCAAACTTGGTCATCATAGCATTCCCGTAAATTGATGACCACACGGATACTTTCTGCCGTGGGAATACTCATGCGGATCGTCAAGATTTAAGATTCAAATTGAGACCGCCACCTGGAGACCCAATGACACTGGCCGTGATTAGGCATCAGCTGCTTAAAGGTGTGTTTGACAGGGTCGTTTCTCGGGCGGCGGTCCATGGCCGTCATGGTGCCTCCGGACCCTGAATCCATTTCAGTTTTTAGGTGACATGCTTGCCCGTGGGCCAAGTTTCTGGCCCCTGTAATCTCAAAGGCCACTCACTGCAGCCCAAGTTCTTTGGTGAGATGACTTTGGCCCCGTCTTCCCCTCCAAGTTCGTGCCCTGCAGTCAACTTCTTCCCTCCCGCCGATCACCGTTCAACCCCTAACAACTGATGGGGCCCTCCCTAACTTAACTTACTGCTAGGCTACAACTGCTCCGAGCGACCAACTTAAAACTCGTCAATAATGTTGACCCAGTTTTGTATCGAAATTCCAACCCTCGTCACGTCACTGGTGCGTCCGCACAGCTCTTCTCGTACTCCTACTTATTAGACTTCATCGGCCATAACCTTTCATGATTCATGGTTCAGCCATGTGCAACGGCAGGAAATAGCCTCATGCTTACAAAACTCCAAAACACTCACGCTCACAACCAACTACAAAAACCCCGCGATTTCCCTACGCCCGTGTGAGTAAGTGAGTAGTTAGTTAGCCTTCAACTTCTACGACCGACTCGAAACTCGTCTCGCATTCCACAAAACACTCCGCTTACCTAAACCGCAAAACTCTGTATTGACGTCTGAGCCGAACCTTCCGTCCTTTTTCAGCTACCTCCGCTCCAGCTTTCTTCCAGCCTCATCAAACCCAGAATCTCAACCTCTTTCTCTCAACAAACAATCCCACCGACCATACTGGACCTTTTTCTTGTGCTGAATTCAGCTCCACGAGGTCTGGAATGGCCTTGGACTTCTCGTTAGATCTCTTCTCTCCCTAGTCTTGCTTAACATTCTAAGTTGGCATCATGCGACCCAGTCTGCTCAAGCGGGCTCGTAGCCATACGAACCGCCAGGCCATAAGTGATTTTATGCACTCTCGTGGGAATTCACCCCATCCCGCAGCCGACACCATCTCCGGACATAAAACCATCGAAGAAGAAACCCTACCCAAGTACAATGCTGACACTTTCTACCCTGTTCGGTTGGGAGAAACCCTCAACGACCGTTACAAAGTTCTGGTCAAATTGGGCTTTGGCATGACAGCAACTGTATGGTTGGCCAAAGATCTGAAAGCGTAAGTATGCCTCTCTCTTTTTATTCTTTCGGCCCATTCTTACCAAGCCAGGGCTGAAAATTCTGGAAACCGCAAATATGTCACCATCAAGATCAATGTCAACACTTTGAGCGATGACTATTTGAAAGGCCGTAGGGCCATCGCCCAAAAGCTTTTTTCTGCAAATCCTGACCATGTAGGTTATACTCACATCAGGTTTATGCTTGACACTTTCAAAGTCAAAAGCAAGCACGGTGAACATCTGTGCATTGTTTACGATGTCTTACGAGAACCCATCGACCTCTGCATGGAGAAATTTCCCGGCCGCCGGTTTAGTTGTGAGAAAATTCGTGTGTTGTTACCCGCTTTACTCACAGGCCTCGACTATCTGCACTCTGAAGCTGGAGTGGTACATACCGATCTCAAAGCGGACAACATCATGATGGGACTTGGCGATCCAACCATCCTGGATCGATTTGTACAACGCGAGCTCGAACATCCTGCACCACGCAAAGCCCCGGATCATCATGGGCGCATCATTTATACCTCATGTAGTGATTTTGGCGAGGCACCCACCATGGCGGTTATTGCTTCTGCCAAGATCACCGATATCGGTCTTGCCGTTTTCGGAGATGAGAAGAATTATAAGCCCATCCAGTCCAACGCATTCATGGCCCCTGAAGTTATCCTCCAATGTGGATGGTCATATCCTGCAGATATTTGGAATCTGGCAGTCATGCTATGGGATCTGTTTGAAAACTTTGGTCTGTTTGATTCCATCGATACAAGACCAGGCCACTATCAACCAGCCAAGCATCTAGGTTTGATGATAGCGCTGATGGGACCTCCACCAAAGGAATTTCTCAAGAGAGGAGCAAAATCCAATCAGTTTTTCGACTCACAGGGCGAGTTCAAGTACCCAGATTATGTTTTGAAGGATCTCGACTGGGAGGCCTCTGTTTCGCGTCTTCGAGGAGAAGAGAAAGATTTATTTATTGATTTCGCAAAGAAGATGATTACTTGGGTTCCTGAGGAAAGGTGGACGGCGAAGCAATTACTTGAGCACCCTTTCCTGACCAAGGAGCGCGATCCCAACTATTTGACACCCACACCCAGTCTCAGTCGTGCATCGACAGCCTCCATGGGTTCAATAATACCTTCCCGGACAGCCACGCCCGGCCCGCCACCGACCTCCCACCCAGTCGGTGGATCCACGCTTACAGTTCCATCTCATCCTGGGCCTTCGTCCTCATCACCAAAGCCTCTCGAAAGAACATCATCACGTCCCTCAACCCCTGGACAAGCAGACCTGGATCTATCTCGACCACCTTCACGCGCATCAACCTTCAGTATGAATTCTACTAATTTAACAACCCGACCGAAGCCGAAAGAACGCGCCACGAGTGATACTACCCACCTGGCTAGTATTAACGTTGATAATAAATGTTCACAAGATCTCATCAACTCGATTCTGAATAGACCCAAGCATCCGAAGGCCAATGGAAAAGTTCACGAAGAGCCCATTATGGAGGAGCCAAGTTGAAAATGGACACTCTGTTCCATTTATCTACAACCTAGAAGCTGAGGATTCATTTACGATATCATTTGATCGATTGAAGATCATTCACTGGCAACGAATATGCGAGGAACATGTCGATTTATGGGCATTGAGCCTGAAAGATGAAAATGATTGATGCTATGGTTCGGCAAGTTTCCACTTCCGTGCTACTCAATTGAATCTGTCATTAAACCAGATCCTTACACCGTTGTACTCAATGTCGAATCATCAGCCTGGATTTGAAACCTGAATCCTACGTTTTGAATTCCGCTGGTTGGCCCCCGTTCAAAAATCCGTGATGCATTACGACGTTGAAAGAGCTATGTACACCAACCGGGCCCCCAGAATGAATCTGGAACTCCCAGTCGTCTAAAACTATGAATGCGGACTTGCCTTGATATCCCGCGAAGCCTGCAGTCCTATCGCTCTCCTATTGTCTTCCAAAGGAGCACGTATTGCGGGTGAAAAGAATGCGGGTGGTTAGCCTTGCGGTATGCCTTGTCCAAATTCTGTTCTGGGCGGTGAAGAAGTGGAAGATACCGTCTTACGACTCATTCAGCAAATTCTGGTCGTGCGTTCTCCTGCATGCATAATATCCGTACACTCGTTGCGTTAGCTGGGCCCGGAGAAAGCTGGACATGTACTCCAACCAGTTTTGTAAATTCAACCCGAGTTACCAGTAGAGTTTTGGAATTCGACATCCCAACAATGAAACTTCTTCTCAGCCAGTTTTGGTCTTCTCCATCGACATGAATCTTCACTGCCATATTTCCAAGTGTCTCTCGGATGATGTCTGCCTAAATCGGACAACGAAAAGTCAAGTTCCGATGTCTGAACGGTTGCCCCACCAGTAAATAACGATCTACATCCATGCGCCGCATATCCGTGAGGCGCAAGACCAATAGGACAGTATACGGATATGGAGAGGATTTTTTCCTTCTGTCAAACTTTAAAAAAAAAAGGCTGCATGACATTATCACATCGGCCTTCGGGGAAAATCCCAGATATTTGTTGCGAAGGAGCGCACACCGCTTTAACGCCCGAATCCCGCGTGCTTGTGAGATACAAGCAGGCAGGGCACCATGTAAAAATCTGTGTCTGATAATGTCCGCCAAAAGTGTGCACGGCCAAGAATGCTACGGCCAGACAGAAATGGTCAATAATAAGCATGCCGAGCGCGCAATGGCGGGTGCTTGACATGCTTATCTTTTTTTCTTAGTTAATGTCGGTGATGCGCTTGACCGCCGAAGGCTGAATCAATGCCCCTCGTGGCCCCTCCATGCTCCGGCGGCTGAATGCCAGTAATCCACTAGTCCCCTAGGTAGCTCCCAACTGATGGGCCAAACTAAGTGGGTGACACGAACCAATCTCACGGCTGGATGGTGTTGATCATCACCGCCTGCCGCTGATAAATTGATGGGAATCACCGTCCATTATCGGGCGCATCGAGTTCCGATATTATTATTAGTTAGCGGGCCGCGCGGTGTCTAAAGGAGCCTGAAGCTGCCAATGATAAGCGATGAATATCAGAGTTTGTAGGGCATCGCAACATCACCTCGCAAGTAACACACCGACCTGACCAGGCGAATTGATTCGTACCGAGTATGCGTATCATTCAAGTTAGCCATCTTTTCAAATATCCTGTTTACGAACAGCTGAAGAGCCGGACACCGAATTTCTCGGGTGCTAAAGCATCTAGCCAAGGTAATTAGGTAGAGACGGGTACAAATACAGAGTCTGCCAGTGTCACAAGACATCAATCCAAGCACGCGTAACCTGGGGGTGCAGCGGCTTAAAAGGGAAATATGGCGGTGGAACTTATGTAGGTAGATTGTGTTCACACCTCTCCTGCCAGTGCCCACGAAATGGCTCAGCCGCCTCCACACGCGTCTCTCTTTATGCTACTCGCAGGTTTACCACATTTGCCAAGCTTGATCTCAAGTCGCCAGCTGAAGACTTCATCCTGCACGCAAGACGACCGACATTCGTGGAGTTTGCGGAGCGATCCTCATATCATTTGGCCCCTCTTTGGCGCTGGCTTCGCGTCGCTTTCCGGGCCTTTCCAATGTCCTTGCAGTGAAAATGTCATGGACATCTTCAGGCCGGACTGGTAAATAATCGACGATGGCCTTGTGTCCCGCAATTCTCGCATGCTGCTCCGTCCGCGGCTTACTGGAGAATTAGGGGCGTAATAAGTAGGTCCGGATCCTACAACATTCCGTCGTAGGAGTCTCCGTCTCTTTGACCGATCGTAGTAAGTCTCCAGGCTTACTCCTCGCACAAACCCCATTGCCCCAGCAGCAACTACTGGGTTTTGAGACGAAGAGTTCCATAGTCTGGTAATTCCATCGCTGTCGCTGGAGGACTGAACGAAGCACCCATAATCTTGTCCAATCGAATCCATGCCACCAATCCAAGCAGAAAGTATAAAATCGAAATCCCCCACTGGGTCTGCGGATTGGCTAAAGCGGGCGCTCCAGGAGCAAGCTTCTGTGCCTTGTCGACAAAGGGCCTCATCTTTCTCTCGTACGCTTCGAACCCAGCGGCATAGTCTGGCCAATGCTGGACTATCTCTCCAGCCAGAACATATGCCCCGACAATGGCGACCGTCGTTCCCATTCCAGAGATTGGACTGGGACAAAATGCGGAATCGCCTAACAGACACACTCGGTTCCTTGACCATGTATCGATCTTGATCTGTGCGATATGCTGGAGGTAGAAGTCATCAGCGTTTTGCATTTCTTTCAGGATCCGATCTGCTTCCCAACCAGCATCTGCGAAGAGGTCTTTCATCAACTGCTTTTGATCTTGTTCGTTTGCTTGCTGTGCTTCCTGGAACTTTTTGCTGTCGTGTATGATCCACATGGATGCGCGAGTCACTCTCTCGTTGTCTGGACGCACCAGCAACATCCGTCCTCGAGGGGCATTGTACCATCTTGCCCATCCACTGTCTGAGGGTTGCCAGGGCAGCGAAAACCACGCTCCCCACTGACCAAGGGATTTCACGCAGCTGTCGTTCTTATCCGGAAATGCAATTTTTCTTGTCCTCGAAGACCAGCCATCCGCGGCAATCAAAATATCAAACTTCCTCGTAGGTTGGCCATTGGCGAACTCAACCTCCACCCCATCGTTCGACTCCTTATACCCTGTGACATAATCCCCAAATACGAATTCCACATCTTTCTTAGTAGCCTCGTATAAGATGATTGCAAGGTCACCACGCATGATCTCAATCTCACCCGTAAACCCCGTGCCATCGCCCACTGGAAACTCTGCTCGACAGTGATCCCGCGCATCGACGAATCTCAATCCCTTCTCGTTGGTCTTCTTCGCTCTGACTTCGTCCTGCAGACTCATGCGCTCGATGACGGTCAGTCCATGCCCGCGAATATCGATGTTCTGCCCCGATGCACGTAGTTTGGGTGATCGTTCGACAATGGTCACGGTGAAGCCTGCTCGATGGAGCCAGAAGGCCAAGGTCGGACCTGCTATGCCGGCTCCGCTGACCAAAATGTGTGGTTTCTCCATGATATTCTTCGGTCGAACAGACAGGAGCTGCTCTTTGCCAGATCTCGTGGGGATGATCTCTTATGATCCCACTTCTGGTTTATTGCTCAAGGCTTACCTGTACGGGGACCTCGGGATGCGCAGGAAATGTGGTAGCACAACATGATGGGACGGATCAACTCGACGTAGTTTCAGAGTAGCCCCTATCAAAATAAGCGAAGTATCCTTACCCAGTATGCATTGGTTCTGCAGCCGCTAATGTCGACTTTCGCGTCATATGGTGACGTAACCACTTGATTGCTACCATCGGTCATTCATTCTCTATCTTCTGCTACGTCGTGGTTCGAGGGACAAACATGTCTGCGATGGGGACTGTGCATCTTGTTATATTTTGTAGATGAAACCCAAAAAGCATTTTGGGTGAGACATTGGGTAAGGGGTTTTGGGAAGTTTGTATTTGTTGAGGCAAGATATGTCGCAATATTATCAGCCCGATGAGCGCCACGTTGATAATGCAACCGTCTTGTGGTGCTTTTCAATCTACACCAAAATGATACATGCCTCAAAGATTAGGGACAAATGCATGAAAAGTTGATTTAGCAGTAACGGGAGTTGTGCTACGGTATGTCCTGTATGTGCATACATTAGGTAGGTATCTATCTAATCTAATCTAATCAAGTAGGACTTCCGAACCTCACCCATATTTTCAGCCTTCTATGACGCGACCTTTACTCCGATGATTCAGCAGGGATTTTTTCTCCAACATCGAGCCCAAATGTCGCGCCTCCTCTGACCGTAACAATCTTGCCAATTCTTTGAAATTTCGGTAACATGGATAATAGACCTCGGTACTGTCCTCATCACAATTGTGATCACATAGAAGAAATAAAACCATAATGGCAGCGGATCATTTCATTCCTCCGTTCTTCCGGTCCAGACCGAGCATGCCACTAGTAATCCCGGAGCTTTCTTTTTTTCCCAAATCATAAGACTCATCCTCATCATCCCTCACTTTCCTAGTCTGTTGGTTTGTCATCTCATAGAATTGTTTCTTTCCCTTGTTGAATCAGCATAGACGTTGGAGCCAGCTATGGCCGAGAAGAAGAAGATTGTCATCGTCGGCGCAGGCCCTGTGGGTTCATTGGCGGCTCTTTATGCAAGCTCCCGGGGTTATGAAGTTGAAGTCTATGAGCTTCGCGGTGGTATGTTGGTTTCCAATCCATTCCCCACTTTGCTATACTCCCATAATTTCCAAGCTTGTTTGTCAAAGTTCTAATCGGTCGATAGATCTTCGCAATGCTGAAACGACCCCACTGAATTTCACCAAATCTATCAACCTGGCTTTATCTGAACGTGGCATCAATGCTCTTCGTTCAGCTGCGGATGAAACTCTTCTCAACCGCCTGCTGGCCCAGACCATCCCTATGCATGGTCGCATGATCCATACACGATCAGCAACTGGGGCACTGTCCCAGCAGAGCCAACTCTACGATGTTCATGGCCGTTTCCAACGGTCAGTCGACCGTGGTGGCCTGAACGATATTTTGCTTGACCACCTAGACTCCTTGCCAAATGTCACTTTCTTTTTCCAGCATAAGTTGACAGGTGCGGATTTTCGACAAAAGAAGGCTTGGTTTGAAGTGATGAATAAATCCACACCTTCTTCTGGACGAGCAAGGGAAATTGAGATAGACTTTGACCTCTTGATCGGAGCTGACGGTGCACACTCGGCTGCACGATTTCACATGATGAAGTTCGCTCGAATGAACTATCAACAGGACTATATCGACTGCTTATGGTGCGAATTCACCATGCCTCCAACAGCATCAAATGAGTTCGCGATCCACCCAAATCGGCTGCATATTTGGCCCGCGGGCAACTTCATGTTTATCGCCTTGCCAAACCTTGACAAGTCTTTTGTCTGCACATTGTTCGGACCCGTCGAACTCTTCAACAAGCTTGAGGCGGGATCAGATAAAGAGCTTGTTTCAATGTTTGACAAGCATTTTCCGGGAGTGTCCACCCATATCAGGCCAGTGGACTTGGTGGCCCAGTTCAAACGTAATCCACATCTCCCACTCGTCAATATCAAATGCTCTCCACATCATTATGGTGACAGCGTCGTTATTATTGGGGATGCTGCCAATGCTATGGTTCCCTTCTACGGGCAGGGAATGAATGCTGGTCTGGAATCAGTCAGGGTCCTGTTTGCCAAACTCGACGAATCACAAAACACGGCTCAAGCACTTGCTGCTTACACTGAAGAACGTATAACAGACGCACATGCCATTGCAGACTTGGCAATAGCAAATTATATTGAGATGAGATCGTCAGTCACCTCACCCTTTTATAAGCTGAGGAAGTACATCGAGGAAAGCCTTGACAAGTACCTACCTGCACTAGGTTGGGCGACGCAGTACTCCCGTGTGAGTTTCAGCAATATGAGATACAGTGAAGTCATTCAAAGATCTCGGCGTCAACAATTCATCCTCACATGGATTCTCCGCTCGTCGGTACTAGTAGGACTCTATGGTGGTGCGACCATACTGCCATATCTTTTGTCGCGACGCTCTCAAAGATTCTTGGGTCGTGTATGAAAGGACATTCACAATTAATCAGTTGAACATTGAGTCAGATCAGATACCAGGCCTGTCAAATCACACCCTCACAGCTAGGTCTATGCTCATCAAGACCTTGCTGCATGTCGCTTCTTGCAGCGCTTACTGGTGGCAAGACCCTACTCGGACAGCACCGTCGCGACGCCTCCAAACACGCTCTTGGGTTATGCATGAGAGAATGTTCTGACCTGTGTAGGAACACTCCCTCAGCCAGAACTTATCTCCTGTGTGCTATACACTCTTGCACGGCCAAAACGTTATCACATGGGTTCTGCATCTGTCGGTTCTACTACCCTCTGTGTTGGCCTAGCTGTGCTTCAATACTATTCTCGCGACGGCCACAAAGACCTTTTGGTTGCTCGTGCAAAGCTGTCCTCCTGATCTTGGAGGTCATTCAAGTCAGATCTATTCCTTCACAGGTCATGAACTCCTTTCATTTCCAGTCTTCTCTCACATGGGCTTCCTACTCGTCGGCAAGTTGTGGTTTTTGGTGGCAGAAGCCTGCTTCTATACCCCCATCGCGACGCTCCCAGACAAATTTAACTGTCCATGCAAGGGTGTTTCCACCTCTTCAGCACTGCTCTCAAGTGAGATCTATTCATTCATCCGTCTTGACAGCCTTTCAAGCCATTCTTCTCCAAAACACCCTCGTCAGCCCCTGGCTCATCGACCCACTTCGGTATCAGCTCCACAATTCAAGAGTACGCAGTGACTTACAGCAGTGTTACCAACTGTGAATGTTGCTGCATACTGTGGTATATAATCCTCCTTTTCAACCTTCCAACTGTATTAATCTTTCCTCGATAACATATCCCCTGTCGTTGGTGTGGATCTGAACACAATCCATCCAGATCCATCGAGCTACAGTGCAAGTTTTCCACTGTTTCAGGTTTCAAGGTCGGCCACTTGTTGCCTTCATCCACTTCCTATACCATTCTCTTCCAATACAACTCTTCATCGTCAAAATGGCTACTCCTACTCAGCAAGTCTTTCCTCAAGGTCAATTGACTCTGCAGGTTGGTGGGCCTCAGCCTCAGCCACCCGCGTCTTCCAGCATTGTCACAGGCCAGCTAGCTGTCCAGCCTGCCGTAGCCCAAGGTCAGCAAAGCTTCCCTGGACCTACGGCACTGGCAAGACAAGGACCCAGTCCATTGGCTTTGGAATTTTTGGCGACTTATATTGCAAATCCGCGTCGTACCCAACCTCCGCCTTCAAGCACAAAGAGATATCTCAAGGTGGACGATGAGGTAAGTCGATGAGCCAAATCCCGATCTCAGCTTCTTGTTGTCTCGGAACCTGAAGACATCTTCAGTGGATCTAACAAATGTACAGATTGTGACCAGCAACAAGCGACGCAAGACGAAGAGCAGACGCAAGAATGCAGCAGTCTATGACCCCACGAAGAAGACTATGCTCTATGAGGTGCCTCCCGAGATTGTCAGAGCCATTTTTGACAAACTCGATGTTCCATCCAGGGTCAGCTTGTCACTGACATCCAAATTCTTCTACGAAATAAGCAAGAAGGTCGACACTGGAGTGACCGACTTGCCTTCTCCGGTTCGTATGCATGCAAAATGCCATGACATGCCCTGTGTGTACACAAATCATTTGAGTGATCGTCGGATTCTCCTTCTCATGCTGAAATCATGGATGCCACACGGCACCACCTTGTGCTGGATCTGTATGAAATATACCAGAACCAGCGCGGAGAAGTGGAGAGAGACCAACGCGGTCAATCTGCTGGGCCTCAATCGCATTGCACTTCCTGCGTTGGATTTGTTGAATCTTCGCAAGGTCCGCTGCCACGACGCTTGCCTGCCCAACAAGGGTCGCGACGCCTTTTACCATTGGCTCCGACGACGACCTGGAAGCTTTGGTGGTTTCGAAGAGATTTCGATGTACTCTGCTCATTTTATTCCTCGCGATGGAGCTGGATTCATTGAATATGACTCCGGTGAGACTGGATGGTAGAAGTTGCCTTCTCTCAGCACAATTATTGAACTGCCCATTGATCCTCCAACCACAATTGTCCGCCACCGAACATGGAATCAAATCACATCAATTTCATCATCGAGCTTGAGATGTTAAACAAGCGAACCCACCAGCAATAGCAAAGTCAGAATTCTGGTCAAAGCGACCATTCATTCCGTTCGGATTTCAGAAAGAGCAAGAAAATCGAGCCGAATTCAGAAACCAGAAACCCAGAGAAAGATTCACAATTTTATTCGAGATTCTGGGGAAACACCGTCGAGCTGACAAATGCACCATTCCACCAAGAACCACCAAATGTTGTTCTTGCATTCAAGAGATACACACAGAAGATACTCGATCTTGGAGACACTGTTTGGGTCTTCTTATTCTTGTGCTCAAGAAATTGAAACGTCGAACAGAAAGCTCTCCATCCGATCTTGGAAAAGAGTGTTGGTCTTCTTCTTGAACGGATCTTGGATCTTGGATCATTGTATCCCCTTCCCCCCAGCCCAGCACAGCCCAGCCCAAATTTTTTCCCAGCACCACAATACCCAGCAATCCCAATCGCTCGTTCAATTCAATCCAGTTTATTTTCCACCACGACGGAACGATCCCTGATCTCAAAAAAATGCAATCCAGCGCCTCAGCAGCAAGCCTCGCACTACACAGCGGATCAACAGTACGCACGACAAGCTCAAAATCAAGCAATCGGTCGCCACCGTCGTCAGCGAGAAAGAACGGAACTGAACAGAACAGAACATTTCCCCAGAATCCCATCAACCCCCAAGATGAAAAGCCACAGCAGAGCAGAGCACAGAGGTGGAAGGAAGGAAGGAAGTGATTCAGAAATTCACAGCGCAAGCCTGGATCTACGACTGCAGTCGATCGGGAAGATAATGGCATGGCATTATGGCATGGTGTGAAATGGGCATGAGATGAGATGGTCTTTAGCGGAAGGATTGAGAACCCATACCATACTCATGGTCATATGAGGCTCCATAGCTATGACCCAGAAGAGCCCGTGGATACTTAGCAATGTGTGTGCCCTGCGTACATATGGCGCACAGTTGATAGCCTGCCCAGCTACTGCAGCTACTTGAATTCATTTCCACCAGAAACGTATGCTCTACATTACATGCCGGTAGTTTTTTCTGCTGTTGATTACGTGCGCCTCGTAATATCGCGTACTCAGGACGTCCGGTGCTCCTGAGTCCTGATGAAATTGGTTTTTGAGGGCCAATTCAATGTTCATATCAATGGAAAACGAGCCTCACCTTATCCTGGAATGGCAGCGCGGACGGCTGGGCTTATGTTACAACCAAGGATCTTTCCCGTTGTTGCCTCGTGAAAACATCAAGGCCAAAAAATATCTGTATCAAAAGCTCAATACTGCCATGTGCTTGCTCTATCCAGGAATGCAACACCTGTCGCTCATGCTGCGCTCTAACGCTGGAGTCCCGTGTATACTTTAATAATCCATGCTGCCCCGCTCGTATGACAATATTCTGACCGTTCACAAACATGGTGAACTGTGTCTGTTCTTCTGGTGGGCATATCTATAAGATCTGCACCTCATTCTCACCCTTATCCCCATCCTTGTCTCCACCCTCGATTTTGAGTACCTTGCGCTCGAGTTTGACTGGTTTGAATTGATGCCAGCAGTTAGGCGCCTCGAGCACATATCGATTCATGGCCTCTCTGAATCTCCGCTTATATTCTTTCGGACTCGTCACTGTAGGCCGGTTCTTGCCTCCACGTGCAAATCCTCGATCTTTGATCCAACTCTCTAGTTTCTTGTCCCAAGTGTACGTCCGGATACAATCGATGATGCCGACGACTAGTTCCTTGCGATTCTCATCGATTGCTACCATCAGACTGTAGTCCATGACGTTCTGACGAGCCAAGAACAGAGTGTCGTTGTGAACGGATGAGCGGAGAAGTTTCTTACTGTGCTCCCGAGCAAACAATGGTGATTCATATATGAATTCCACCATATTTTCGTCGAGGAGGACTTCGTTCTTTTCTCCAGTGGCATTGATCTTGCGATTTCTCATGCTCCCTTTCAGATCGAAGATACGAGTCGGCACCCGATCGTAGAACAGATTTTCCATTAGGAGGAGGAACCAGTTATATTCCACACCTGTCACTGGGTTCTTAATGATAATTTGGTAGAACCCTAGCATTTTCGCAATCACTGATGGCAATTCATGGAAAAAGGCTTCCGACATGATTTGGAAATAGTTGGGTGCAAATTTGAGAAACGACTGTGTCTCGACTGGAGAAAGCGACTTGAGGATAAATCGCTCGTCCAATGTTTTCAGGAAAACAGACTTGGTCTTTCCTCCTTTGGAGTCCCATTTGAGACACCTGGACAAGGATTCAATGATACGATCGGCCACCCCACACTTTCTGCGCACAGCGTCAAACTGCTCCGCGAAGAAGACTTTGCAAAGCATTTTCGCGGGTCCTTCTTGAAACTGATATTTCAGATGAGTGCCCGTCTTCCGGAGGAGGGAATGCATGACGTCCGTTTGCAGCTCATCAGAATGGTCATGCCCACTGATTTCCATAACATCACAATCATTATTTGATCGATTTTGGAGATCCTGTAGCATGGTCTTGTAATCTTGGGAATCTAATGCAAACGCAATGATCGAGCTCGGTTCGTCTTCTCTAACGATGATGTCACAGTCTGCGAAAATGTGTTCGGAAGCTGCAAGGGGGTACTCGAGAGTTGTCCATCCACTGGAAGAGCGTTCGGCCCAGAAATTGGTCAACATCTTCATCAACGATGTGCGTTCGTGCTTTGGGAGCTCTTTTAAATCCATATCTTCTTGTGACGTCCGCATGAAATCCTCAGGGGAACCAGGCAAGTCGATCTCTTCAGATACATCGTCTACATCACTTCGATCCTCGGCCTCGGAAGGTGCATGGCTCGACGGCTGAATTTCCGTTTCATTTTCCGTAACATCTGCGTGGATGTCCTCGATTTGCAGACCCACGACTCTGTCTTCTGCAATAGCAGCATCTGCCATGTCTTGCGTTGTGTGTGCAGGCTGCACAGGATGATCTGACGGGGGCCCATCGTTTCCAAAGACGTCATCTGTATCCCCTTTCTCATCGACCGCCTCATCCACGTCTTTGTAGACTTCAACAATCGGTTTTGAGACGGCCAGAGGATATCGTGATTGCCGGCTTCTAGCGGTGCGCAATCTCCTTTCTCTAACACGCTCTCTTTCGAACTCCCTACTCAATTGTTCGAAGTGCTTGGCGAGGTTGGAGACTCGCGATTCTTTGCGGTTCGAAATGGCTCGTGGGATCAACGAATGCCCTTTTCCGAATGTGTTTTTCTTCAATTGGCTCAGCCCGAGCCGTTCAGATAATTTCTTCTCGGGTGCTACTAGTCCGGAATCACTGACTAAGCCTGCTGTTATGGGACTCTGCATGCCTTGACTAGTGGCGAATCCGTTCATGGCACTGATCGCAGATAACGTGCTCGAGTTGGCATGACCACTTGCTCGGAGTGCCACAGATCCAGCAGGTTGAGAGTGAGCTCGAGCGAGGCTTGGTGACATTGAATGTCCATCGTTGCTCTTTCGGCTTGTTTTAGGGCTGAGGGATTCTCCCTTACTTGAGGAGGGGGACACAAGTAATTGATCATTCGGGGTTGGTTTGGGACTGGCCATTGCCTTTTGTTCCCCGGGATCTAGGCTCAATGAAGGTGGTATAGTCTCATCAACGCTCGGTCTTTGGATTGAAAGGTCACTCGGACTAAGCGCAACAAGACCTGGGACACCGATATCAGGTTCAGTCAAGGATGTTCGGTGTGTTGCCGGAGGCAGGGCGAGGTCGAGATGCTTGACCTCCTCAACGTTCAATGGCCCTTCTACAACGGATGGCAAAGCTTGCACATCAGATTTGCTGACTTCAAAAGGCGTGTCTGACTTGACATCTGAATTGGAGGGCAGGGAGTGCTCTTCCACCACAGACTGTAGGACGTTCTGCGTCTTTTCGGGAGATAGTTTTGTGCCGTTTTGTAGCTCCGAGATTCCCATGTGCATCCCGACAGAGGTGTCTTTCTCATCCATAATCTCCTCCGTTGGAGGGGTAGTGGTACCTTCTTCGTTTGACGTAAGTGAGGTAACCGACACGTCACGATCAAGGAAAATCTTCTTGAGCTGCAAAGTAGCCAGCCGCCGAATATCTTTTTCTGATGGGAAAAAATCTTTCTCGAAGTCTGCAAAGGCAGTATCCCATTCGGCAACTTTTTCTTGAGTGATGCGTACAATGCCATTGAGTGGTATCGTTTCCCAATATCTTGAATTTGTATAGCTGTCTTGAAGTTGTTTGATCAAGCTTGAATGCTCCTCGCTAGCTCTCTTTGTCAATCGCTCAATTTCTGTCCGACATGCGTCGGCAGTTTCGAGTAGAACAGTATCAACGTTAATGCTCTTCAGACGAGCTTTCACAGACAACATGAATCGTGTGATCCGATGCTCCATACGGGTATATACTTCATTGCGGAATTTGAGATCATTGTCCACCTTCCATGTGATCCTCATCCTTGGAACAATGATTTCAAGAAGGTCCACGGGATCATAATGGACTCGAAGAGCGAAATCTTTGTAGCCGAAATACCTAAGATGATCCCGATGTAAATCGTGAGGACATATACCAGCACGAGCGTGAAGGTCGGAACTCCAAAATGACAACTCGAGATATTTTCCAAAAGAGTATTTCCACGAGCTGGAGGACATGGGCGTGACTGTGGTTTCGATTCCACAAATTTTACATTGGCTCCACATGAGTATGACATCTTGGTAGCCACGCATCTTAGCAGGATATGGCTGAACAAAGACTGTGAGTTGCGCCTCCCCATGTACATACTGACGATGGTGCTCGTGCATCTTCTTTTCGCATGCATCTGATTGACATACCTCATCTGCCCGAAGACACAAGTCTTCCACATATTGGCCTAAGGTACAGTCTGCTTCAAACTCAGCCTCGATCTCGTGTTCATTGTAGAAGCTAAAGGCCAGAAGATCTGGGCCAGAACAGGGAACAGAAGTTTCGGTAGACACTTGGCTGAACAAAACCACAATGTTCTGATGAGCGAATGGATCAAACAGATTACGATTCCCAGACAGATAAGTCTCCCACTGCTTTTTCTGAGTTTCATAATTGTATGCGGCTTTGTCATACTCCGCATCATGAACTGCGTGGATGATTTCGCGAACCTTTTTGCTTGCACCAGCGAGTGGACGATGAACCATCTCGGGTTGAATCAGTGTAAATTTATTGACTTTTCCTTTGTCTTCCATGCCTTGTTCGGCGCTCAGGTCCTGGTCTCGGAGTCGCTTGAGATAAGCAACTCGCCGTTCCAATTCCCTTGCGCGCATCAACAGGTAGGGTTGCATGAATTTCACAAAAGGTGAGGCGGACAGTATTCTTGTTTCGTGCTTAAGGACAAGGTCTTCATAAAACATTGGCACCGGGATGTCGTCTGGAATATGGACTAAATCAGTGCTATTCGTTCTGACTGCAGGAGCAGGTATCTCGTCCTTGCCAGTGGAGGCTACATCCGTCTTAGATATGTCTGAAGTTGGTTTGCGTTGACCTTCGACATCTGTCGGTACTTCTGAGAGCAATTCCGTGTTTGACTTCCTCTCGGTGCTCCTTTCGAGTCCTTTGTCTTTGGCATCCGTTTTGTAACGATTATTGTCAGAATCCTTGTCTGTGAGGGTGCTGGGAATCAATGCCCACTCGTCTCTCATCAAGCATGTCTCAAGTTTCAGGTTGTAAACGACATAGACCATAAATTCAGTCACTCGTTTTATCTTCGCCAAAGTTTGTCGATCGGCGCCTCTAAGGACAACAGTGCACCCTAGTTGTGGTGGGCACCCCGAAAGGTAGACATATGTCTTCCTCCGTCCATCAGCAACGAAAGTTTTTATTTCGAAAGAGTCACAGCTACCCAGAGACCCCGGCTGAGTGAGTTTGTCCATGGAGTGTGCCACGCGAGCTTGAGTACATCGAGATACCGCATCTAGCACAGATGATTTGACATTGAAGATTGTAGTGATTCGCGCCTTTTCGAGAAGCTCGAGCGCCAGACCAGAAACATTGCGCTGTGCTAAAAGAACATCCGGTTTAAGAGTTGCGATTCTACCAACCAGATTCTCCAAGTATTCTCGTTCCTGTCTAATGACAGGATCTAAGCTCATGAAGTGTTGCTCATGTCTTGCATATTCGAGCGCAAAAGTAATGATCAGAATCTTCGGATTGGCATGATACCGTGCCATACTTTTGAGAGCAACATTCTTGGTGAAGACCAGACCAGATATATACGCAGTGTCACCGGGTTTTCCACCGGGTATCTTTTTCAGCTTCACATAATTGCGTATATCTATGTCGTCCCCACCCTGAACATCCGGATCAACATCATCAGTTGCCCTCAGAAGGATCGGAATAAGAGCGTCCTCCCAGCTCGAGAGCTTTGGGATGCTGGAATCTTTGAGTAGTTGTTGTAACAGCTTATGGACATGTTGGATGCTGGCACGATTGAGTTCCATGGCTGGTGCAGCAATTCCGCGCATTGATGCGCTTCGAATCATTCTAGAGGCCCCTCGGGGAAATCCAGGAGTATCACCTAAACCATCATTTCTGTCTTCTTGGCTACCGGGTACAATAATTTGCAGTCTTTCTCGTGTATTCCTAGGGGTACTGCGCTGATGAATACTGCTCGACACACTAAGATTTCGTTTGCGAGGTGGCCTCAATAGATCGAGGCCTCGCGAGCTCGCGACACTTGCATCGTCGGTTTCGCGTGCTAGATTCAAGAATCCGGCGATGCTGCGGTCGCCGATCCGAGAGCGTCCTTTCCTGACGGCCGCCAGGAGGCCACCAATGGCTGTCCTGTCGCTGTCGGGGCCACTCCGAGAAAGTAAATCCTGATTCATGCTGCTAAGAGATTGCTCATCATCACTGGATGGGTCGTCGGATAAGTATTGTGCAAGATCAGGATCGATGATGCTGTCCCGATGAAAAGCAGAAGTTTTCATCCCCTTGAGTCCATCTTCAACAGTTCGTCGCTGGAAAGGAACCCTATCTTCATGATATGCTTTGAAGTTTCGAATATGTTGATGTCGTGAAGGGTGGCGCTTATGTCCATGGCCTATCGAGTGGCTCGCCTTCAATGATCGAGACGAACTTGGCCGAGCCAGCGGACGGTCAGTTGTGTCAAATTCAAGGACTGCCGAAGTACGGTCGGCACCTTCGAAAGCTCTTCGCACAGGGAAACTCATGGTTGGAGTCTTCGCCATCTGTTCGAGAGACTGAGAAGTCACTGAAACGTTGTCATCATCAAATCGTGCAAGGGAGCGGTTCACAGGCAAACGCTCCGGGGTCTTTGGTCTCGAAGCCGTATCAGTCAAGGTGAAATCTTCCATTGAATAGTCTGAAGAGTCGTCATCGTGGAAAGTTATGATTGACTCGCATGGCTTACAAACACGTACTGCACTATTTGATCCAAAATGGCTTCCACTTATTAGTACAGTACATTTGTTGTCGAAGATCTGTCCACACGTACGACAGTGGTGTTTGCGGCGGAAAGTGGTGAACGGTTCTCCGCAATGAAAACAATCCTTTGCGTTCTCATCTCGCATCCAGAATTCCTTGCTCAATAGCTTACTCCGCAGTTTGTTGATTGGTCTCGGTTGGAATTCGCTGGAGGCATGGGCGTTCTTCTTGTTATCGGCCGGTCTGTCAGCAATCGTACTGGACAGAGGCGCAGACATAGTTGACGAATCGGGAGAGGACGTTCGTGCTGCACGAAAGCCTGGCAGTCTCGATTGACTAATCTTGGGTGGAAGCCTGTCGACTGGTCTTTGGTCTAGGCTAGACAGGCCAGGAGATCTCAGACCAGAACTATCAGGAGTTTTGGGGTTCGCCCCAGAGGTAGTCCTCGAAGGGTGGCCAGCATTTTCTGCCAGAAGATCCAAAGGGCTGGGATGGTGCTTGAGTGCTTGAGCGATGTCCTGTCGATGGGATATAACCCGTGAAAAATTCTTATCATTGAGTGAGATTGGGTGAGCGGAAGGACTTGTCACAGTGTCTGCCTGGCTCGTGTTGCTCTGGATCGACGCGGCAGACAGTGCACGTTCGTGCGAGCCTGCAATGATGCGAACACTGGGCCTTTGGATGGCTGACAATCTTGGAGAGGTGAGGACTCGACCAGCACGCTCGGAAACAATACTGTCATTGGCTGTCTTGGATAACACCCTCCGCAAGGTCTCGCCATCTCCAGCATGTGACAACGGGTGATCATGGGTTGGTGAGTCTATGTCAAACCCGGAGCCAGTTCTCGAGTGGTTGCCCGATCCTAGAGCATGAATGCTGACTTCAGTAACCGCAGGATCAAGGGCATATGAAGAATGGGTTGGTGGTCCAGTCGGGGACCTCAAAGCTGGGGTTGTTGGCAGTGATACTTTGGTCGTACTCGTGGCTTTGGAGGAGAGCTTGGAATGCATTGAGGATTGCATGGATGGTGGGTCGATAGCGACAGGAGAGTCAAAAGCATTCAAGCGCGGCGAGTGGACCTTGGAGGTCAGTCCTGAACTGGGCTTAGAGCTGAGGCGATCGTCGACCACAATCTGGGTTGAAGGTGCGATAGAAGGTCCATCATTTTCTAGATCTTTCGGACCTGCTACAGAGGCTTTTATTTTGTTGTAGAGTCCCGAGAGGCCACCCTGTATATCACTAGCGAGAGTTCTGTTCTCCGTCACAGACGCGCCGGAGGGTGGGTCGGTGTACTCGTTAAAGACAGTAAGATTGTTTGACTGAGAGGCGGCTGTATGGATTGTATCGAGAGCGTCGTTGAGAGCGCCTTGGTCCAGATCATGAGCAAGGGATGCCTTCGAATCTCGTCGAGCCCTGCGGCCTAGAGGGAGGAAGATAGAAGACGCAGAGGGACTTGGGTTGTCCTGGTTGGTGGACGGCATGATGAGTCGTGAGTAGTTGTTCAACCTGGAGGCCAATGGGCATGGCTCGAACCGTAATGGATGGCGAGTTGACTCATGCTCGCACTCGGAATTAGACCAAAATCATCGAGTCCAGATAGCTTTGCTTCATTGTTTGAATTGGCAGATGTCACAGTGGTCGTGGACTTGGAGTGGGTGGTCGATGCAGCCTAGGTTGATCAACAACGCAGTCCACGGACAAGAAGTATGGAATAACTATGACCCACCACCAACATCATCATCATCATCATCGGCCGCACCTGCAGCTTGAAGTTTAGGGCAGCAACACTAATATCCCCGCCGCTTTTGAGCGGTAGCCAACGGCGGCAAGTTAGACGAAGAGCTAAAATATTAAGTGGCAGGCGCGTCGCACGAGGTCCTAATTGATGCGACGCGACTTCATTTTCACCTACCAGGAAGACTGTCACCCAGACCACGTGTGACGTTATCTCGAATCTTGAAGAACTGCAATGAGTAAGAGCTCTTCTTTGAGCAAACCTCCAGATTACTCAAATCTAATTCCCTCAAATCCCTCAATGATCAGCAGCCCATCATGGAACCACCCCAACCCTGGTTGGCGTCCTTCGCCATTACCCGACTAACAGACCTTCTGATCCACGATGAAGAGGACCACAAGTGTGATTTCAAAATCAAATATCTGGGAGGGTCTTATGACTGTAGTCCATTGGATATCCTTCAAACCCCTCCACTTGCAGCTTATGGCTATATTACAGACGTAAGTCATAAATATCGATATTGAACCCTCCCCACTTACAAACCCACCTACCAGGTAACCCAGACTTCTTCGCAAGGAAACACACGCGTGGGGGGAATCATCTCTGACGGCCAGCATACTACAAAGGTCAAGTTCCGGAAATCTGCCCGTAATGCGCTGCTACTTCCAGACAAAGGAAACGAGCACACCCTGAGTTCAGTTGGACTAGTCAAGCTGTCCGGTCTAGGTCTACGAGTCACCACCGACCCGCCTGAGCTGGTACTCATCGTTGACTCTATCGAGACTGTGCCTTCCGGAGAGTCTGTGGGCAAGGTTGACAAAGTCACGGAATCGCTTAGGAAAAGACTTTGTAAAGACCACCAGATAAAGTCATTACTCACAAGATGTGTCGATCATCTTGAGATCAGGCAACAAGGATACCAACGCCAGAGTCATACTCCAAAATCCATTGTATCCCAGCCACCGCTGAGCCCCGGTCGTCATGATGTTTGGAAGAATGGAACAGACCTACAGACCTCATCCCTGAACGAGCCGTTTGTTACTCAGCTCCCTCAAATAATTGAGAAGAGCCCATCAATCAGCCCAAGGAAAAATTTGGACGACGAACCAGCTCTGCCGACTCCAGGTCTTCAAGACACTGGATTGAAACGGAGAAAGTTGCTCAAAGCCACCCGTGAGCCAGCTATCGAACAACACGAACCCGCAAATACAATTACAACCACAGCCACAACCACCAACACCCTGCCAACATCGAATTGTTCTACTCGGCCAGCCACCAGAGCGATCGATCCACCACTGAAAGTGGAGAGCAAGGATAAGCAAGTGCCATTTGAGAAACAAAGTGCACAAGAGAACGCTGGTTTCCGACAATGGCGACAAGAATCGAGGAAGAACAAACGTCTGCCTCGATATATTGAGAAAATCCCCAAAGCCCAACTGGAGCTACTAGAGTCAGACGATGCTTGGCAACCTCCACTCGTGGGCCGAAGATCAAGACCTGGAGATGTACCCCTTACCTTGCTGGGAATACTGTCCAAAGCTGCAGATGCTCCATCAGAACTCCCAGCTGAACATGTCGACCCATCAAATCCAAGCCAGCCATTGGAACAAAGTGAACCCACATTGCCCACTCAACACGAGCTCGATAATGGCGACCCACTCTCGCCTAACGAATCTGATAGCAGTTCTGTTATTGAATGGGCATCTAGTCCCCCAGCTCATCGACGCAGTCTCTACCTCCCTCCAGATAGTGACCCTCTGGCGATGCCTGATATCGATGCACAGTCTATCCACAAAAGTCAGAACAATGGCGCAGCCCCGACCGTCAAAGTGCACGCAAGTGAAATGCCTGTACTGGAATTGGTTCCGAAACGTGGCTTGGATAACACCAATGAAGCGAGTCACATACAGGACCCTTCAGCATGTCCTCCGTCTTGGGACATATCTCTTTCGTCCGCCGAGTCAGGTCTGAAGTCTTCGCAAGGTCCAGAACCGAGTCCACGGGATCGCGGACAAGAACAAACGTCCATGAAATCTGAACAGACAAAACTGGCGCTGCAAGTGCCTAATAGCTCTGTCGAACTCCTGCTACCCCGAACTCAAGTTGCACGAACTGTGCAGATCGGGCGTACACCTTACGTGGAGAAGTTCACTACTCCACAAGCAGCCAACAAACTGACCGCGAGTCAAGCCCAGACGACAGGCATCATTCTTGCCCACCCCACATCCTCTGATGTTATGCCGGGTACTTTCAGTGAGTCGGCGTTGCAAAAGCACGCACAACCAAGCCGTCCCTCGCCACCTCAAGAGTCCAAAATGGTTTCCTCCCCTTCTTCAAGAAGGGGTCTGCAAGACCCACTCTCTGAGAAGCCCGAAGGGAAACCTCAGGGATCTCAACTGGGACGAAGTCCGGTGCTCGTTCAGGCAACCGCATCGAATGTTGATGCTCATGAGCGGGGGATTTCTCGACCTCCGACCAAAGGCTCGCCAGGTCATCATACACCAGATCCTGCGACACGGTCACGTGGCCAACTCTGGGATATGACCGCCCTTGGAGATTCGTCGTCAAAAGAGGCAACTTCTCCTGCAGACAAAGCCCTTCAAGGGAAGGAACCGCCCGGCATGGAGTCTCATCAGAAGTCGCACGGTTGCATTCCGACAGCGAAGCGATTCATTTCTAATAGCGACGGTAACACCCCGAATAAACGACGCCGATTACAGTCAGGGATGGGGACGAACGATCAACTACGCGATCCTGCCTATGATCCCATAGTTCAAGACATCCAAATGCATCGGCGTGAACACTTCCAAAGATTTCGGAAGTTGAGCACTCATAACCCACCGTCGACATCTTCCTCTTCGTCAGCGAACGGAGATAGCGACGTGGCCATGCCAACACCACCTCGACCTGGGAAGACAAAAGGTGCTGTCGTAGAGGACGGTTTCCGGGCCCATACTTCGACACCTTTGACAGGACTATCAGACTCAGACGAGATCATCAAGGACCCAAAGATCAGCCAGGAACACAGCGTCCCAAATACCAATGCAAAGCCGACACAAATAACACTAGAATCTCTATCTAGGAAATTTGCAGGACTTTACACTGACTATAAGGGACACTTGACTGATTTCAAGGCTGCCACGAAACTCCTCAAGAAAATGGTGGACAATGAAACCGCACCCCATCCTTTCCTGTTCGATGATGCGGTCTTCCATCATTTTCATAGTTATCGCCAATTTCTGCTAGAAGACGTCTTCAACGGAGAGGAGCCGATGACATATGACAAATTTTACAGGACCCGTGTCAATATCCCCACCCATTTACAGTGTGTTATTACTGTCGACATCCTTAAATCTCTATTGTGGGTGGATGACACTTACCCCCACACTGTCCATACACCACACCTGCAGCCAACAGATAGCTTGATGGTGAAACACCAAGGGCTTTATGACCATGAACTAGCACAACAAGGAAAGGGAAAAGAGTGGGCAGCATCACCCAAAATCCGCCCAACTCCCAGTGTCTCAGCAAGGCAAATGCCATTGCATAATACCGGGCCCATAGCACATGCTGGTGCATTAGCAGACTACCAATCGCTTCAGTCAGGGTCGAGAGGCGGGTCTCCAGAGCTGGGTACGCCTGAAATCGATCGCAGTCGATCCCCAAGGCTACCTTCTTTCAGTTCTGATCGAGGTCAGTTGGAAAGACCTCATATGGGCGTGTCAGCAATTCGACATTCCACGACACGGGCGACGATTTCAGACAGACAATCACCCGGCTTGCCCCGTTTCGCGACATCTAACAAGAGCGTCTCAACAACGAAGCAAATGAGAGATGAGCGTAGCGCAGCAATAGCTAAGCAAGGTAGGGTCTCAACTTCACCGGGTGACCAGATACGAACGAGCTTGGTACGTATTGATTGTGCCGACTCTTCCATCAGTCCTTGCATTCAGCCTGCTAGCGACGAACGTTCCCTTGATGACCGGCCACGATTGCCCGGACCGGTTGGCGATGCCAAGTCTTCCCTGGGCTCTTCCATCAAGCCTAGCAGTGACGAACGTGCTTTGAGTGGCAAATCGCGATCGAGCTTCAAAGCCGTTGATGATGGTGACGGGTTTTCCATCAGTCCCTCTGTTAGACCTGCCAGAGATAGCTTTGCCTTGGCAAGCAAACCGCGGTCGAGCATAGAACAGCATTATCCTGCTAAATCGGCTATCAGTCCTTCCATGAAGCGTCCCGGAGATGACCGTCCCTTAGCTGACAAGCCTCGACCGAGCATAGAACGGTATGATCAGGGCAATGCTTTCAGCAGCGCTTCCATCAAGCCGGACAGGGATGTCACTCGAAGAAGGTCATCGGGGTTCAAAAGGTTGTCGGACAAAAGGATTGCGGATTTCCCGCGATATGTGGTCGATGAGGTTGACGAGTGGTGGAAGGATCCAGACACCACAGTCAAAAGATTTGCGAAGCAACACTCAGCCTTACCATCTGAAAAAAGGCTTTTGGCAGCTGGGGTACGTCGAAATATCAACGTTTTTGAGTGGAGACCATGAGGTATGAAAATGTATGGATGACGATGGTAAATTGGTGCTTGCATAGGCTATAACTTGAAAGGATTGGCTGTCAACTAGATGTATGTACAGAAAGACATTATATTTTCTGGGGATACCAAGAATTCAGGGTATTCTTATGAGAAGAGATCATAGTGTCAAACAAGCAGCCTGCAATGTTCCAGCAATCCCAGTAACCGCGCCAGTAGCTTTATCTCCTTGCGAGACATACCATGCACTGCTTCCCCAGTAAATCAGCGTCGTCAGAAACGAGATTGTCCTGTCGATTGATGTCCACTGTGATGGTGGGGTCTGGGAGAGTTGATACGTGTACAGGCCTAGATTGTGAACATGAGTGTTCAGCCATGATTTTCGAGGTTGAGGAATCCAGCAACAGTAGTAGCAAGCTCTCCATCCCAGCTTGAACAGGGAAAGATAGGAAAGCCAAAACTCACCGGCAATAGCGAAGAAAACACTGCCTTGATACCATCCGGCGCGAGCGTAGCAGCGCAGGAGTTGTGGGAGGGATTTCCACGCTGGCAGTGCGAATGTGTTCAGGCCATGCAGCTGGTAGGGAAAGGGACTGTCAGCTTTTCTCTGTGTCGATGGGCTCGGTTTGCGCCATCCAATAGCGCGACATTATGGATGTATGTGTTAAAGAGCGCGACCTACGGTATGGGCGGCAGAAACTAATCCGTGCGTGATGGCTGTTGCTAGAACGAGGTTCGACATGTTTGAATCTGTGGATCTGTTGGGTTGTGTGGTGGTTGTGGTAAGCAAGTAGTGAGATAAATAAGTAATCGACGAACACTTTTTTTTTTCTCTGAAAGTTCAAATCGTCCGTCCAGGTAGGTCTGTGACGACTTCGCTAGAGAGCAAGACTCTTTATATTGCTGGCAACCTTAGATATACCGAGGCTTAGAGGTGAAGTTGAGTCTGAGTTCTGAATACGAGACAGAGCCTGAGAGGCACGGTCGTGTCGGCCGTTGGAAATGGCGGGGGGATATTTCTCCGAGGCTGAGCCTCCGCGTTCAGAGCGGGGAACGTGTTCTTCGTCCGTATCAGGGGCATGTCAACTCCGAGTAGGCGAATTTCGTGCGTCAAAATGGGATAAGATCGCGAGGAAGGTGCTTCGCTAACTAATAGAAGATCGAGTGAGGGCTCCTGATAAGTGAGTTGGCATCATCATCATCGTCGTCGTTGTTGTCACCTCCTTTCCCATGGATTTCGCATGGTCCTGTGCTGGACACATAGGGTGTTCAGGAATTCACCTTTCCTCGGGGCCAAGTACGAGGTACTTGTTTTCGTGATGGCCAAGATGAGAACGTATCAGCATTGACCAGATGTCATGATGGACGAAGCAAAAGTGAAGCAACTCTTCTACTCATAGCCATGAAGGCCGCGCTCGAAATCGTGATGCTAGACGCCCAGACACCGGAAAGGATGTATGTACGTTTTGAATCTGCATGTCTCAGAAACAAGGCCAAGATTGAGCCTTTTGCCAGTTGTTCTTGATGCTCATTTCAAGTCTGAATGCCGCTGTCTTCTCTCACAAATGAAATTATGCTCCAGCCAACACCAACGAAAGTGGTCTAATTCCCAGTGGAGAAACGCCACAGTCTTAGGCTCTGGCCACCCCGAGACATCAAGGCGTTTTTCTTGCTCAACCCGGTATAGCGCGTCAAACTACTTACGCCTCAATTGCCTCGGTTCTGGGAGCAACTCCTATTTACGCAAGCCACAAATCTTTTGGGGATATCCATTTTCACATTTTCCATCTCGTCGTATATCCACAACTCGCCTATCGTGGCCATATGGACCCTTCGAGGCTCTCGCTAACGTCTTTCCCAGTTAGCCATGTTGTTTTATGTGGGCTGGAGAGAGCTGCCATGTGTGCTTTGCGCCGTGCTATTATCAAACTGACTCCATCATCAGTCCGTACGTGTTGCCCAATGACAAGTAAAGCCGGTAGGTGAGCTGAAGATTTTGAGGAGACCATCTGTGAAATTGCTGTAAAAAGGTAGCGACCTTGAATGGCGTGGCCATGGGTGGTATAATCCCTAAAGTCGAAAATTCCCCAGACTACTTCTTCGACGACTATTGTCTCCATGTTAATTGTGCTGTTCCGCTCGACTCTTCATTCATCTGACCCCCGGCCATTTCAATCACGATGGAAAAGACAAAGGGCTTTGGTGACTCGGTCATAGAATTGACAAATAATGCATCCAGTTCGCAACAATCTAACCAGTCTTTCAATCACAATACGGTCCCAAATAACGCCCCTCTCCCAACGACAGCATGGCCGCAAGAGCCGGTGGCACTGGTGCCAGACAAAAATTCGTCACTTCTTCTGAATTTATTCGATGCAGTTCTGTTGTTCGTGCCTTTTGTGCTCTTTGCTAAGGTCGGCCTGGTCATTGGGGCATGGTACATTGATCGAAACCACCGCGGCGTCGACCTCGATCTTGTGAGCAAATTGACTCTGTTCTTGCTAGAGTTCAATGATCAGATGGTTACAGCATTCACCATCATTTTCGTCACCATCATGTCAACTCTGGTACGCAGATATGCCCTCTGGAAGGCACAGGAAGGTGCATACGTCCCTGAACTTGAACAACTCCAAGGAAGCATCAGTCTACCAAGCACTTTCAAGCTCATCATTTCCCTACGTGCTTTCACTCTGACCAGTGTCGCCCTTGTTTCTGTTTGGTCCTTTTACTATCTAGGAAGTCAGGCCAGCAAGAGGGAGTTTGAACAAGTTTCCTCGGCGAAATTTCACAAAATGGTGGGCTATACTGGTGGTCCAGATTACCTCTCAGGACTCAACCCGGCATTCGTCAGCGATCCAGACTCACAGCCCTTTTCCATAAAAAGAGTCGATTCTGATTTCTGGTTCGCGATGGCGTGGAGTGATCAGGTCCAACAGCCAAACCGATGGGGAACTGATTCAGCTGGCTCGGCACTAATTCCCGACCTGAACGCCCTTCTTCGTACAGGATACTACCTTGAACCCGGCAATTGGGACATACATATTCCAACTCCTGGTCGTCATGGCTGGGTGGATGTTTCGAAGCAATCACTCATTCAACAATTCTACTCCTCATACACTGGACGGCAGGTCTGGTTCCAGAAGCCCAAGCTTGTCACAAATGGTCAACACGACTACCAAGTAAACAGTTTTCTTGGGGATTACACGGTAACAACCAGCTATCTTGACGTCGGATGTAGCGCGCCCAATCTTCTACCCTTCGAATCCTTCCCCAATGGAACTTATCTCAGCCAGGGAATCAGTATGAATATGACTAAGCCGCGAGATGATGCCCCTCGAGATTCCCAATCACAGCCTCTCAGAGAATTTGAACTTTGGATCCGGTGGCCTGCAATCAATGACATCCCAACTGCTGGCAGCTCTCAGCAGATATGCAATATTTCTTCTGTAAATGTCGATATGAAAGTCCACTGTCAGGAACTAGGTTGCTACCCTCGACAACTGCGTTATGCAAGCAACCAAAGCCCCGAGAATGCCACATCCTACAAGACTCCATTCGACGATGACGCATTTGCAGCCAAGTTTTTTTCCGAGCTTCTGCTCGCTGATGGTGTGCAGGGCAGTATCTCTGTGGTGACGCAGATGACTGAGGTCCTAAGTGCCTATTCCACCACTCTTGCTTCCATACAGTCCAGTGGTGAATACAACATCGATTCGGCAAGAGCGTTCAATAAAACGTTGACTCAGTACTTCAATACCTATTACATACTCAGCCAACAGAACACCTATGTGAACCCCATCTGGGGCGCTCCGGGTTTCCAACCAGTCACGGTTGATGGTGCCTTGTACGATCCACATTATGGAATTTCCTGGCCCTGGATCGCCGTCGACATTGTGTCGTGTGCCATTTTACTGGCCGCATCGATCATCGCGTGCTGGCTACGGAGGAAGACGCTTGCACCAGATATCTTTGGATATGTCTCCAGTCTTACGAGAGACAACCAATACCTTCAGGTTCCGGATAATGGAACAACACTGGGTGGGATCGAGCGTGCGAGGCTGCTCAAGGGTGTCAAGGTCAAGATCGGCGATGTTTCTGGACCTGACGAGCCAGTTGGGAGAGTCGGTCTGGCACAGGTAGGGTCCGGAGTCCCGGTGCAGGTGACCAATTTACGGCCGACCACGACCTATATATGATCACGGGGGAGGACATGAATGATGAAATAGCACATACATAAGCGAATCCAGAATGCAACATAGACTGAATCATTTCGAAGTCACTACCAAATCACCGTCCATCCTCTATCTCCTTCCACATCTCCAAACAGGTCTGATTGAACTCGTCCGGAAACTCCCAATTGCAAGCATGACCCCCTCTTGTCGTGCGCCACGTCGCTCCAGGAATCAAGCCACACAACTCGCGCGACAGCGACACGGGGATCAAGATATCATCTTCGCCAGCAAGCACGACAATCTTCGGTCCTCCCTGGCTCTTCAATGCCGCCAGCTTCCCGATCTCCACTCTCGAATCAAACACCAGGATGGCATTCAACTGCGCCAGGTACGCATTCAGACCCATCCCGCCCGCGTCGATGTCGTCCACAGTCTTCAAATCATCATCGAGCGCCTTGATCTCGCCCTGCCGCGCCGCATCGCCCCAGTACTCGGGACTGAAACACCACAGCAGGGTATCGCGCAGCACGGTCCCGACAGACATGTTTGTCGCGACATCGCGCCAGAACTCGAACATGCGAGTGCAGAACGGGCCGGGGAAGGCGTACGTGCAGGCGAAGGTGATGCTCAAGACATTGATGGCGGCGGGCAGGCGCTGCGGCAGTACGTGCTCGAGCGTGAAGCTCTGCGCGATCATGCCGCCCATCGACACGCCGAGGATGTGCACGGCGCCCGTGATGTTAAGGTTCTTGTTGGTGAGCAGTGACGCCAGGTCCGACGCCATCAGCATCGTCGTGTACACTTCCGAGGGGCCCGAGGGCCGTGAGGAGCCCCCGAGTCCTCGGTTGTCGTATGTGAGGACGGCGTAGCCCGCGCTTGTGAGGGCGGGGATTTGTGCCGCCCATGATTCCTTGGGGTCTGCTAGGCCGTTGACGAAGATGATGGTCGGTTTAGGTGTGGGTTGGGGTTGCGAGTTCGTTTGAGCGTGGTAGATGGTGTAGGCAATTTGCACTTCGGGTGAGACTTGGTGGATGCCAGATGTCGATGCGGATGGGGCTGAGACTGACGCCATGGCTGCGAGTTCAATAATGGGTGCTGAAGCCTGCTTTGCAATTGATGGTGAGGTGTTTGTTGTCTTATTTGTGCCTGTCCTCCGGAGAGATTGGTCTTGAATGTTCGAGTTTGATAATCTTGAGAAAGATACTCAACTGAACGGTCTCTTATCTGCTATACGCCTCCTGTCACCTGTACATGATATACCTCCTGGTTCACCGAAGCTCTGGGCACGACAGGCAAATGGTTATCTTTCGTAGCTATTGGAGTCATGATATATGAGTTTTTCTTGCTTTGATTTGGATGGCAGACCTTCCGACGCAGATGCCCGCAACCCATTCCCGCCGGAGGATTTTCGACCACTGTCTACTCATGCAGAGATCGTATACCACTAGCACATCAACAATCGCCGAAGCGTGGAGCAGATCTCACGATGCCAACCAAGGATCTCGCTTTCGCCTGAAGTAGAAAACTGGGTCAAGAGCAAGGCATCTATAGGATTCTGTTTCATTTTTGGAATAATCTCTTGATACCTATCCGGATTACAGGTAATGGACGTTTCATGCGTTGAGCACATCACTGGTATTTGTTAACATCGCTCTCCTGCTCTTTGAAATACAAACAAATCAATGAAAAAAAAGTCCACTGAAAATCCGGGGACATTTCCAGTAGTACCCAAGAACCCACTCCAATACCCTGTTGATAGTCGACGGCCCCAGCTCACATCTCCATTCTCCATAATCATCTATTCCTACGAAGTTTGTCCCCGAAGATCGCTCTAAAGTCCCCCCGAACCCCATAAATTGTATGCCTGACAGCGCAGAAAAAAGAAGAAGCACATCACAGAATATTCGTTCTCGAATCGTTATACCTTTAACGATCAAGCTGAGCCAGATTTCCCTCGTCGTGACCATCACCCGTCCAGGTGTGGCTCCAGTAAGTGATGGTGTAACTCGGCCAGTGATCGGTCGCCAACAACAGCTTACACTTGGTAGCATTGAACGTCTTCTGCGTGGCCCAGCAGACGGAACGGAACGCCTCACCGTCTCGCTGCCACGAGTACGGGTAGATGTACTGGAAGGGCAGGACTTCGACGGAATGGCCGAGGCCTTTGCGCGGGGTGAACTGCTTCGCGGCAGGGATCTTGGCGACGTGCTTGTCGAGCGCGTCGCCGAGGTATTTGCCCTCGGGCGAGCTGTATTCACCGTAGGTGTAGTAGAGTTTTGCCGGCCCTGTGACGGCTTCGGCGGACCAGTGTTCGGGCCCGTCCGAGACTTCTTTCATGACCGATTCGACCAGCAGCAGGAAGAACGGATGTCCCGGTGTCGATGCCATCCAGGCGTTGGGGATCGAGTTGTCGAAGTCGTTGTCCGTGCCCATTCGTCCGAAGAAGGCTTTCCGCCCGCTCTTGTGCATGTCGTGTGTCGTCAGCGGACGAGGTTTTGCGTGGGACACTGTTGAAACGTTGTACGACTTGAAGAGTTCGTCCGAAGGGAGGAGGCATTCGACGTCGAGATCGGCGTACACACTAGATAGAAGAGGAGGAGGTCAGTCAACCAAGAAAGACATGACGAGTTTATTTTCTGATGTGTTGCGACATCTTTGCTTACCCTCCGAACATATGCATGTATAAATTCCGCACCAGGTCAGCCCGATAGATCACGCCCGGCAAGGCCTTGTACGTCTTCAACAGCCACGGGAAGTATTGTTTGACCAGCTCTTCGTTATCCTTGTCCGTCCACAGCACCCACTCCCAGTCTGGGTGCGCTCTTCTACACGTTGCACTCCATCGTTCCATTTTCGCCGGCAGTTCCGTCGAGGACCAACTCTGGTGGAAGAGCTTGGGTATCGTCTGGAGGTCTTTGGATATGGGTCTTTCTAGTAGCTGCTTGGGTGAGAGATATCTCGCCTTTGTTTTACTCGTTCTGTGTTGTCCCACGGTCGGTGTATAACTTTGCCCGGTAAAATACAGGGTGGACAGGGCGGCTATCACTAGGAAGACGACCCATCGTAATGATTTCCGATTGCCGTAGAACTGTTGGAGTGCGTTGATGCCTCTTTGTGATGGGCTGTCCATCTTTTCCATGGTCGATAGAACGACAAATGCAGTATCGACTCTTTCAAAACGTATATCCTCCCGATACTCTGGCTGAACGTGGAAGCATGTAAGAATTCAGTCTCCGACCAGGTAGGAATGCACCGCACGTGAAGATAGGACTGCGTCAGTTAATTAATTAATTAATTCGCTTCAGCAAGTTCACCTTTCAGGGATAAGGGTGCAAGCCCCCAGCAAGGGAGGGACAGGAGAGGCTTGACCGCTCTGAGCATGGCTTGTTCAGGGGTCTGCGATAAGTTATGAGACGCCGAAAAGTGCACGGTCAGCCGCAACGAACAAGATATGTGGCTGGACTGGCTGGGACCAATCTCCCCAGTTGAGAGACAGAGTCAGAAGTATCCGCGATCCAATCTGTGGCGGATCTCTCACGGAGTACACTGTCAGGTTGTCAATTGCCCCGTCGATTTATTTTCTGTCTGCTCCGCTTGAAATGGGAAGCAAGCCTTGGTGTTGGAGGAAACCATCAAGCAAAGCGTCATCCCAGGGAAAAAATCCACGCCAGCTGTCGGTCGAGATGTCCGTCATCCCTGATCCTGACAGTCAAAACTGCCATTGGCCTTCTGGAGGATTCAGGGGTATCCTTTTTTGTGGGACCCGATTTGATCGATCGGGATAAGCGCAACGCGTCTGGACGACTGCATTTGCATGAAACGCGTCGTGCTCACATGCCACAAAAATGAGTTGTTGGTACATAGAAACTACCATCCAATATGTCTCTTACTCGTACATTATACAAGATCGAGGTATGGAGATAGTGAGCGACAAACAGAACATGTCCTCTATCCTTTCTAGACCTTCGTTCCTCCATTTACTCATCTCCTCATGATGCAGGAATGCCTCCATCTGGAGGAACCTGGTACTAAAATTCGCCAAAAATCGTCTCTCTGCTTTTGGTACCAGAGTGTGGACCAAAGTGCTCACTGATACTTCCTAGAGTACTACCACATGTGGCTGCTTCTACCACAAAAAGGTGTCATGTAATGCACATCTCTCCGCTGTAATGTGCACCCCGCCAGTTGGGAGTCTCCGTTTGGATCATCTGAAAGCTTCCAGTCCATGGATGTCTTTCATTCGACAGGGGCATATGCAACATAAACATCCAGCGTAGTGTTGTCTCCCAGTATGTGATGATGCTGGCACCGGCGGCGGTGGTTTACTCCTGACCAAAGAAATTTGGATTCGTTGTGAACTTGCGTGTAGCAGGAAAATCAACGGCAATTCAGTATCGCTGTGGCAATGAGGAGTAAACTGCAAGTTCCGTGATACAACGTGGAGTCGGACTGGAGCAAATGGGCTCCTAACGTTCGAGAGGAATCTGGTTTCCATCCAAAGTCGCGATTTGATAGAGGCTGCTCATTCGATTCCCTCTTCTTCCTTCTCCCATTCCACTTCCACATCCGCCTCCTCTCCCTCTTTCGACTTGGGTTTCGGCAAATCCTCGACACGCAAAACTTCAATGTGGCCAACCGCAGCTCCAATCTCCTCGATATGCATCTCTGCGCCGGTGATCTCTGGGAATTGGCTGTCGAAGATTGTCTCTCCGCGGAGAAGTCTATCCATGTTGAGACGTGTCGAATAGACAATGTGCTGAGACCTGGCCTCTTCAACTGTTCTTGCATCATCATCACCATATCCAATATCGCTGTTTTTGCTCGTATGGCCTGTGGGTCGCGAAACTCCTATAATTTGAGGAAATACCGATATGCATGTGTAGTTGACACTTTTATCCATGCACATATTAGCATAGCCCCAATCTACAGGACTGTTGTAAGGCATCATAGACATCTGTCACATATCAGCTACATTCGGCCAGCTGTCAGAAAGATAATAGACTCACGTGGTAGAGAGCCTTCCGTGCACCTTGCTGTGAAATGGCGTACGCGGCTGTACATATCCCTCCTTTGGAATTAAAGACAATCCGAGTCTGATTGTCACCCGATGGACCGCCTTGCCAATGCTCCATATCCGGTTCATCGACATTCTGACGATACGATGGGGGCTCGACAGTCGGGTCATTTGGAATAACGAACATGCGCCGATTGTCCTCCTCGTGATACCAAGTGCCACAGTGACCAATCCAGAGAATATCCCAATGGTCACCATACGGTGAATGTGCCTTCTCAGCGTGAGTTGTGTTTGATATGTACCTGGAGCCTCTTGCAAACTGAACGAGTTGACTCTTCAATGATACGTCCCAGTCAGCGTCATCTTCGAATATCAGGGCCGAGGCAACGTCCTCGTGGACGATTTTTTGGAGCACATTCAGATGGGCTCTCCAACAGCCGATGGCATTAACCGCCTGATTCATGGTCTGGGAGTCATCCATGTCAATCGGGAACTAATATACTTGACAGATCTGGTTCAGTTCAACTTACGTGGGGCAGTGCTTTAGCAGGAACCATTTGCCCCTCCACGCCGTCGATTTGAGTGTATTTGATTGACGACAGTGCTGCTTGCATGGCGAAAGTATCCCGCTTGTCGGTGCGTGTAGGCAGTGAAATCATGTATATTTCTTGGAATCCTAATGTTTCATTCTGGATATGTTGTAGCATCTTATCCTTGACAAAGGTGTCATGGTGAGGCTTGGGAGGCTTCTGTCGCGCAGTCTCGTCCAAGTCATCGTCAACGTCTGGATATGAGAGACTATCCGATTCGGGAGAAGGCGTTCGAAACGAAGTATACAGTAGAACGAAGGTGATCAAGGCAGCTACGATTAAGAAGTTCTGTCGCACGGGCGTCGTTGACAACATTGTGCCTTAGCGAGGGTAACAAAGAATAAGGAAATGGAGAGCCCGCAGAAATGCAGACTGTCACTCCACCGAGCTGACATATGAAAAATTGCACCTAGCTCGATTGACAGGTGGGCAATGGGCATTGATTAATGACGGCCCCTTAACGAGATGTCGAAACTGGAGTAACTCCACGACTCGGGTGCCCGATGCAGTGAGCAAGCCCAGATTAGCATGGGGGAGGAGGGGACTCTGGCTAGACACGTTACGAGAGTTCGTAGCCGTGCTCAGACAAGAAATCAATTAACGTGGCGGTCGATCCAAGGGGCTCATTAGTGTTCTTAACAGCATGCCGACGAACTCGAAAAGGGTGATGCTCGTCATCCAATGGAAAGGCACCCGAAATGGTGGTAGAATCTCACCCCTTACTCCGGAGGTGACCGATACACATCTTCGTCAATCGTGAATCTGTTTGTAGGAAATGGTCCCGTGTTTGGACTGTTCTGGGGATGCTGACTTTGAATTATGCCGGGCGCAGGCTGGATAAGCAGACCACCTACCTAGATTGGGGCGGATCGGGATAGCGTCTGACCCAGAGCTTCAGCGGGCTGGCAGAAGGTTCACGCTATCACTATGCTGTGGATGAAGCAAATTTCGGAAGGGACAGTCAGTTTGCCAACAAAGCCATGATACCGAGTTGTCGATAAGTAAGCAAGAAAAGTACCGAGTGTCGAGTTCGGATAACTTGTTGGTTGCTGCTCTTCAAGCTCTGACTTGTCAGGTCACACTTGAGAGTACAAGTGGAACGAGGTAGAATGTCTCAGCAAAGGTGCAGAGTCTCATACTGACAAACTTACATGTCACCTAACGCTGTACATTGCCGATTTGGAGGCAGATCCTCCAGGATCCAGATGGTGAATCATAAAACATGTAGCAACGATATGTCGATGGAAGTGAGAAGGAGTGAAAGGTTTTATTCTTTCTCGGAGTTACTGCGATCCTTGCCAGCCGGTCGTTCTCTCCAATGCCCTCCACTATGACAGGGGGCCTGAGGTGAATTACATGATTGTTAGAGACAAGCAGGACCACCAAGTACTGGCTTGCGTGTTCCTCATACTCGGTACTATGGTATGAAGAAGGGTGATTACAAGCTAGTCACAAGCAATTGCTTGTAGCATCTGTCAAGACTCGATAATGGGTGGGTTAGATACCTTGGATGTGAATTATTAACGACATACGAAAAGTATGGATATGATTATTGCCAACAAAGCATCGCAAGTGTCACCTGGCATCCTGCATTTTGTATTACCTCAGATGATTTTCTCGTGTGAGGACTGCGGCTATGGAGTGCTTACTCTGCCTCAGTATCCGTACTAGCAGGTGTCCGTATTGTACGTGCTCGTTTAATCAATGGTAAGGCTGTACGAAGGATTTTTAAGCCTTCCGCCCTTGTCAACGCCACCGGAAACTGTGCATATCCTGTCAACATTTCCTGATCCTGGAAGGATGATTAATCTAAATAACAGATATTGCAGATGTGGCGGTGTGAGATTTGCAACTTGGGAGGTTCAAACCTATCCGCATGTCGCTTGGAACGTGGTACTTGATCTATACATGACATTCATTGATGTAGCTACCTAGGTAGGCACCTAGTAAACTATTGAACCTCACGTGCTTGTTGCCTGAAATAAGGAGGTACGAGTACATTCGGGGAAGCAGATGGGAGCGGTTAGGATGGGTCAGATGGATCAAGGGGATCTTTAGAGGCCAAACCCAAGCACCTGCAAGCCGCTTGGGGATGGTCTTAGGTGGGACCTTGGGGGGCCTTTCAGCCCATAAGCAAATTGGCCAAGCTGTAAAAACTCCTGCCAACCCTTCTGCCGTTAGATACTACTGTCTTCACTCCACTCCCAAGGCCAAGCTGAAGGCTTAACTGGGACTGACCAGGCTCCATGTTTCATCTGCATGGTCTGTCCTCACGCCGACTCATTCCTTTCGGCCTTCTATTGTGCCTCATCCAGTGAGAAATTTCGCACTGGCTCCTGTTCATCCTTACTCATACCCAAAACTGCTGTTGGGGCGGTATTTTTCGGCCCATGGCCAACATGGTTGGTTGCTTCGCCTCTCTCCTAGCTTCTGTATTGCTAAGTCAAACATGGCTTGGACTTCATCCCTTGAACACAGTTTTGGAAGGATTCGTTCTCGCCTCCTTCGTTTCCCCATTCTCACCTGTTTTGATGAGACCGAGTCCAACTCACGGCCAATGTCGCCATCTTGTCCCAGAAATAGCCCCCAGGAGGATCTGCTGGCTTACCTACTCCCTGGTCGTCCAGCGGGTCTGCTCCGGGGGAGTCTAGAAGTCGTTTAACCCCCTGCCGTTACCTTTGCTAACAAAACCCATCCCATGCTCTCAAGCTTCAACAGTTTTTTTTTCCATTTCATCTCTTCTGTCCTCTCGCTTGATATTTGGGTCTTTTCTCTCGTCGATCTCTTTATTTCATTAGGTGTTGATCACCTTGTTCAGTCAGCTTTATTGTCTTGGATTGTACTCTCAACTGGCCTCGTCCCGTGATATACGGCAGCCTTCTCATCACTTCCAACGTCACTCGTTGTTCCAATCTCTCATCATGGATGCCAACAAGAACATGAAGTACGAAGTCAATGACTTTGCGTCCTCCACGGGCTCTGCCACCCAGACACCTGGATCACCGACTCATAACCGATCTTTCACGCCCATACCTCTCCGATCAAAGACGCATACCTCGATGGAGCTCGACGACTTTTTCAAAGGCCCTCGGGACATGTACCACCATTCCAAAGTGCCTTATTTCCTTCGATTACACGGCAGTGTTGCTCCCAAATTGATAGTCCCGCTTTTGTTCGTCGCGGCTTATTCCTCCGCCATCACTTGTATCGATCGCTTGGTCCACCCAATTGGTATCAATCCAGTTCTGCTCACCGTCACCGGTTTCGTGGTCGGTTTGGCTCTGTCTTTCCGTTCCACCACGGCGTATGAAAGATATAGCGAGGGTCGGAAGTATTGGTCCCAGCTACAAATGACCAGTCGTAACTTGGCCCGTATCATCTGGATCCACTTCCCGGAGAGACATGCGGAAAGTCGTGAACTAGGAAAAGCCGACGTGCTTGCCAAACTAACCGCCATGAATCTCATCAACGCCTTCGCTGTCTCCCTGAAACATCGACTTCGCTTCGAACCCGCCGCCGACTACCCTGATCTTGCACCGCTTATTGGAAGTCTCCGCATTCTATCCCAAGAGGCTGACGCCGATGCTTTGAAGCCCAAAGACCCATCTCCATGGAAAGCAGCATCAGAATATCTCGATATCCCATTTGGACTGTCGAATCCTCGCAAGGTCATCAAGCAAAGCAAAGATAACTTGGGAAACATTCCACTCGAGGTTCTCAACTATCTCTCTGCCTACATCGAGGAATGCATTTCAAATGGAACACTGAAGGTTGCAGCCCAGCAGACACAAGTCATGAACGCTCTGGCAGTCTACGGTGATATTCTGAGTGGCACAGAACGAATTCTGAATACTCCCGTCCCACTGGCTTATTCCATTTCCATCAGTCAGATCACTTGGGCTTATATCTTGGTTCTTCCTTTCCAGCTGCTCATTGCCCTCAAATGGGTGACAATCTTCGGTACTATGCTGGGTGCTTACATTGTCTTGGGTTTGGCTGCCATTGGATACGAAATCGAGAATCCATTCGGTACCGACGTCAATGATCTTCCACTGGACAGTTACTGCCGAGAGCTCGCCGGTGATATCGACGTGTTGACCTCCATCCCTCCCCCAAGCACCACCAAATTCATCGCTTCGGAAGCCAACAAAGTTTTGTACCCTCTCAGTGAGAGTGGCTATCGCAGCTGGGATCAAAAATCCGTCGATGACATCCGACGTGCACTGAGGTCAAAGGCATCCACTCATGCTGAGAGCGTCGAGCTTGAGAGAGCGGCAGCTCAGATCGAAAGCACCGAGGCCGCACGTGAGGCTGCTCACAAGCAACAACACGAGCAACAATCAAAACAAGACCGCCCCATGGATGCCGCTGATGCAGTCTGAAACACCCAAACCAGTGAGCTCAATGCTGCACCTCGATCCCTCGAGTAAAGAGGGAAAAGAAAAAGCCGTGTCGCCAGTAATCAGGCGTAAGTCATGAATTTTGCTGCAAGTTTAGCGTGCGTCGAGCGATGGAGAACGGGTGGAACAAAATTGAATCAACAACGAAAAGAATGTTGTAACATAACTGATTTCCGGGGCGGACTGGTTGGGAGTTACTGAGTTTAATCAGACTTGGGAACTTTCCTTTATATTTCCTGAACAGGCAGGCCATATGCATCAAACCCTCCATGGTAGTAGTTCATAAAGAAAAATCCAAAGCAAATTATAGTTCTCACTTCTCACTTCTTCTCTCTACCACCATCATCAACCATGTCTCCTTCAAGTCCCCACCCAGGTCCAGCTTCTTTCTACGCATCCTTACTCCTAGCACCCAACTCCCGCTTAACACCATCCTTCTCCTCCATCTCATTCAAGACCCTCTCGGCGACCTTCATGGCATCGACACCGGCGGGCACACCGCAGTAAGTGGTGGCATGGAGAATGGCCTCACGGATCTCCGTCTCGCTGAGGCCGTTGTTGCGCGCGCCGCGGATGTGCACGACCAGCTCGGGGGCGCGGTTCAGCGCCATCAGCATGCCGATGTTGAGCAGCGAGCGGTCGCGCCGCTCCAGCCCCGGCCGCGTCCACGCGTACCCCCAGCACCACTCCGTCACCAGCTCCTGGCCCGCCCGCGAGAACTCGGACGATCCGTTCTCCAGCGCCCGGTCTACGTATGCGTCGCCCACGACCGCGCGGCGGACCGCCAGCCCCGCGTTGAACAGCGCTTCGTGTGCGGGCCGTAGCGCCGGGTCGACCGCGGAGGTCACTTTGGAGAGGTCGGAGGGCGATGACGACATGTTGGGTTGTGTTTCGTCGAGGAGAGGGTTTGTTGATGTTGGTGTTGGTGTTGTTGTCTGGCTGAGTTGAGTTGATCTATATGGCCTGCTCGAATCTAGAGTCTCTCGATTGGGGTAGATAAGTCAACGACTGTAGACTGCGTGATGTGTAGGACAATCCACGAAACCAGATGGACTTTTACAGTATCGATTTCTTGGGCATCTAACAGACTATGAACAACGTCTACCCTCCTCGTTTTATTTACATTATCTCCCCCGCTCCCAACCAAAGGGGTCTGCCCCTCCAAAGTTGCGTTGCAGTTCTCCTTCCGCAAATCGGAGAAAATAAAAACGCCTCGGGTCGAAGCAGAGCTTTTTGGTTTACTCCAACTTTTCTGGGATTGATATGTTTTTTTTGGAGTACGCCTCCAACTTGCTTGTAGTGGTGGTGGGGCTGGCGCGATAATCCAAGTTCGGGTGTCGGGCGTCGAGAGTCATGACGCTTAGCCGTAGTATTGTTGTGATATATTCTTGACGATGCGCGTGTGTATATTTGATAGCCGGACGATGTGTGCATCAATACCGTCGACAGCCCGTCAAAGCAAATTACAGTAAGGCCAAAGGAAATGCCGGGACTTGAAGAAGGTCGAGTTATGATGGGGCTTTGAGCATAGCAGTGGCAATGGCAATGGCATTTCGGCAAACTGGCTATCAAATTGCCATGAGCAGATCCTCTGCCGGATGGCTAGAGTTGAGTTGATGAGTCCATCCACAGTCCAAAAGTAGTGTAGAAACATATGCTCCCATCTTAAATGCATGTCTAATGGCCATTCAGTGTACTGGCCGCCGTAGCATCACCGTCAATCTTGGTCAACCAATCCTCATCGCCACCCAAATATCGATAAACCACTCTCGAGTCCAAATCCACGCATCTCGGGTCCTTACTCGCCCCATCATAAGTCGCCAGGCCAGCCTCGCCCAACACGTTTTGAGCACCCACCCGCTGAGCCATTTCCAAGGCCAAAGAGAAATCCTTCCGCATCAGTTGTACTTTGAACCCGTTGGTATATCCCTTTGACGACGGTGCCTCAGCGTAGACTCCTGGGACCGGACAGAACCGATCACAAATCGTGTTCTGGGCCGTGCCCGCTGCGTAGACTTTGGCCAGGACCCGAGGGTCGAGTCCCGAACGCATGCCCATGTCCATGGCCTCTGAGACCGCGATGGCGATCACCCCAGATAGATAGTTGTTTGACAGTTTCGCCGCCAATCCCTTGGAAGGACCTCCACATGGGATCACGTCTTTGCCCATCAATTGTACGAGTTTTATCAGGTGCGGGAGATTCGGGTCGCTGTCGCCGCAGCCGAGGAAAAATGCTATGGACGCTTTCTGAGCTCCCACCACCCCGCCGCTGACGGGAGCATCGTAGAATGAGGCCGTGGGAAATTTCTCATTGATATAATCCTTGACCGCGAGACTGCTAGCTGTATCGATGGTCGAGCAGTCTAACAGAAGTTTTCCGGACACGTCGCTCGAACAGATTGTCTCTGAGTCTCCTCCCATGTAGACTGATCGGACGTGTTTCCCCTCTGGTAACATGGTCAAGATTATTTCCTACCCATTTTTTAGCATCTTCACGCTGTGGGGTCCAACTGCGCAAAATCCATTCTTACCGATTGATCTGCCACGTTCTTCGCGCTAGATGCTTTGATCACACGATCAGGATAATCACTGTGCAGTTGGTCGACGCTAGCCTGGTTGATGTCATAGACATATAGGCGAATATGACTAGGGAGTTTGTTTGCCAGGTGGCCAGCCATTGGCAAACCCATAGCTCCCAATCCAACGAACCCTATGCCAGAAACCTTTGTTAGATCCATCTTGCGTACTTTTGGTAATCGTGAGAGAGGTCGTGAACGGTAGGTTCAAGAGATGGGAATTTCCAATTTCAGCGAGGCATCTGAACAAGTCGTGTAGGATAAATCGAGCAATCAAAGTGCAAATTGATAGAGAGGATCCACAAGCCAAAGAAAGATTTCATTATTATGACATGGACGTGCATGCCGTGATATCTGCTATTCGGCCATCAAATGCCTTGGTGGCGACGAGAACCAGCCACGGGGGGAATGAGGGAGAAGAGTTGGGGTAAATTCCCTGGAGGAGAATCCGAGATTTGGGGAAGCGCATTGACCAAATCCGGCTTGCCGATGAGAACCTGGAGGCTGAAGCCAGTTGTCCGGCTATCTGATGTCGCAAGGGTCAGCCATAGCCACCAGATCTTACCTAAGACATGACAAAATCTTCAGCACCCCGATATCCAGAGCAAGAAAATGCTCGACATATATACCTCATCGCATGGAGCGAAATCGACCAGGGCTGTGGAAACAAGCAAGCCTACTGAATGGGCTGCTATGGCTCATTCAGTAAAGGCCTATGCCGTGAACATTGACTGTTGAGCAGTGAGATGATTATGTATCATGCAGAACCAAGAGCCCGGGCTAAAGCAACGCGAGTAGTCCCCACCATCATTGCAGTGTTTCATTCCTGTGGGAATCTGTCGAAGGATTTCAGCTCGACCAAGAGGCTCGTATTTAGCTACCCAAAGAGGTCCATACGCAGCCACGAATTGAGTAGAAGGTCAACTTTCCCGGCTAGTTATTGAGGGGCGGAGGTTGTACGAGGCAAGGTGTAACTGTGATTTTTATTGATGCAACATTGTGTTCCTTGGTATTCCTCCTATCTGCTTCCCAAGATCTCGCTTCTTGACGACGAGGTGTTTGCTTCGCCGCTCTTGATTGAAAGCGTCGCGTAAGATTCAAGTTTGCCAATAAATACCTACCTATCTAGGCAAGTCCAGAGTGGAACCGGGATTGAGTCAGAAATTCTGTAAGCATTCCAGCTATTTCCATTTCTGAGACATTGGTCGAATGTTGTCCTTTCGTGGACAGCTCTGGGCAAGGATGAAATCCTGACAGTGACCATTCCTAAAGACGGCAACGATGAAGTGCGATGTAGCATCCATCCATCTCCGTGCAGACGATCTCGCTGGAAGATTCCGATCCTGAAGTTTCTCGGGCAGGTGAGCAATGTTTTTATTGTTCAGCAACCCACTGTACGGAAAGAGTCCACAATTGAAGGATAATTGGAAACCATGACCTTTTGATCACCCAGACAATCAAAGATTTGTGCGCTTATGTGAGAAGGCCCAAACCTTTTCAGTGTCCTCGACGATCACAGGTGGAGAGGAGCGGTCACTAACCGCTGGATGCTCTGACAGTTGCACCTGCCTGGTGTTCGTATCCCGTATTCCCCGACATGACTTCCCAGATGCCTTCGAAACACAAGCCGAAACTTCAGCAATGAATTGTTATTCCCCCCAGAACTCAGACCATGAGTTCTCGGGCTCCTCTCGTCGAATCTGAGGGTTCGTCCTCAATTCTGTATTCTGCGAATCACTCGGCGTCAGGCTGCAGAGTAATATACGAGGGTTTCATGCGCCGAGGGCCAGTCAGGCGACCTCTCAATCCCTTTAGGATGACGCGCGCCAGATATTCGGGAATGCCATATCTGTCACCGAGAGCTTCGTCAGAAGGAGCCTATTTGAAAACATGGTGTCAGACATCATCGGGGATAATTCACCGCTACCCTGGTCAAGTCTTATGCTGTGGATACCGGCCTTGGAAGGGTGTGAATCTGTGAATCTGTGAATCTGTGAATCGTGAGTCGTGAGTCGTGGGTCGTGACCACTAATTTACCCAGTCGGAAAGGCGCATCCTACGCGGCGTGCAACGTACGCGATGTTCTCCTTCGTGTAGCCTCGAGGTGGGCGGTCAGCATACGTACCGGGTGGAATGCTAGTCCACAGCTCTCCTGTTAGACACGAAGTCACACTGATGAACCACAAGGTTCCATTGCCGGAGTGCCTTAAGCTTGGTAATAAGGCATTTGAAGAGAAGAGCCCGACCAGACTGTTGATATGTTGATAAGCACATTCCTCCTCAAGGATCAGCACCTCCTGGCAACTTCCACTTCATTCAATCCCCTATTCGCCTGAAATGGCAGCTACTCAGTCACCAACATCGCTTCTTCCCACCCTCATTGCCTTGGCCACCATTCTTTATGTAAGTGTCTAAGGTTCTAGCACACCTCTACCTCGTACTCATCGTCTGTTACAGATCATTGGAGTAGCTCTCTACAGGCTATACTTTCATCCTCTGGCTAAATACCCTGGACCTTTCTGGGCGAAATTGACTCAATGGCCCGAGGCACAATCCTCCTGGAGAGGCCGAAGACATTTAGACTTGCATGCAATGCATGAGAAATATGGTAGGCTCATGTTGAACCCCTCATTGCAGGGGATCTTGATACTGACTACTCAACAGGTGACGTTGTGAGGCTAGCACCGAACTCGCTTGCATTTCGAACTCCTGGTGCCATCCATGATATCTACACCGATCGAAACGCCAATGTCATCAAAACAGGTTGGACAGAAACTGCACGCAAGCTGAACCCATATCCATCCAGTCAAGTCATATCAGATCGCAAACTTCATGCCGCTCGAAGAAAGCTTTTAAATCAGGCTTTCTCTGTGAGCGCTATCAACTCAATGGAGCAGTATGTCTTGAAAACAATCCGAACTTGGTGTGAATATTTGCAGGAACCCCCTGCAGTCGAGGCTGCTCCTAACAAAGGAGACAAGGCTACAGGAGGTTGGAGCAGGGAACGAGACATTGCGGTGTGGTCAAATCTCTTGACCCTCGACGTCCTAGGAGAGCTCTGCTTTGGAGCGAGCTTTGGCGCCATGAAGGCAGGCCGTACCTATATTGCGGATCTGGTGTTGGGATCTGGAAGGATGATTCTTGTGGTACGTGGTTTCACCTTTGCGTCGTGCTAGAGCTCGATCGCTCCGTGCTACTACTCCTACATCTGACGCCTATTCATATTGCCGAGCGATACTGATCAGCAAACAGCTCTCCTCACTCCCCATTCGTGATCTCCTCATGCCTATCCTCAAAAGACCAGCTCTTGCAAAGATCGTTGGTGGTGATATGTCACGAAAGAGAATTCGCTTCCGAGAAGAGATGGGTGTTTTGGTAGAAAAGCGAACTGCCTTGGAACGAGTCAACGCCGAAAAACCTGCCGAGGAGCAAAGAAAAGACTTCTTCCATTATTTACTCCATGCCCAAGATCCGGAGACGGGCGTCAAGTTTGTACCCAAGGAACTTGTTGGTGAAGCGGGACTGCTCGTCGCGGCCGGCAGCGACACCTCTAGCGCTACCATGAGTGCTTTCCTTTTCAACATGTTACACAATGAGCGCGTGTACAAAAAGGTGCAGCAAGAGGTACGTTCTGCCTTTGACGAGGTTGAGGAAATCAAATATACCGCCAAGCTCTCAGGGTTACCATACCTGCGTGCCTGTATTGACGAAACACTGCGCATCGCTCCACCAGTACCTGGATACTTGGCTCGTGTTATCTTACCAGGAGGAGCTGTGATTGATGGAAATACTTACCCTGCGGGGACTGTGGTTGGGACTGGTGCATACTCAATCCATCATAATGCGAACCTATTCGAGAAGCCATTCTCATACATTCCCGAACGCTGGATCGTCGGATCGAGCGATGAAGACCCTTCCGTCCCGATCAAGGTTACAAAATCCAGCGTGCAAGTCGCGAAAGACTCATTCTGGGCCTTTTCATCCGGACCCAGGGTCTGTGTGGGAAAAGGCATGGCCTATATGGAGTTATCTATCACTCTCGCTCGATTGATCTGGTTGTTCGATATAAGATTTGCCCCTGGGCATGAACGAAGTGGTGGAGGTGGCCCTGGGAAGGGAGATGGTAGAGAGAGGGAAAATGAGTATCAGTTGACCGATGCATTCGTGTCTGATAGATCGGGTCCGGTGTTGCAATTCAAGAGGAGACTGGTGGATGAGTTCTGAGTGGCAGCAGAGGCTGGTTGGTTTGAGCTCGATGAGAAAGGTGGGAAGGAGAGCAGGCATCTCGCCCCATTTCTCCCTCTGAAAGTCGAGGAGAAAACAACTGAAGACACTTTCCCCCTGATAACCGGAGTATGTCATAATGAATTGAGGAGGATATAGTGGTCTGGTTTCCCATTCAGAAGGCTCTCAGCATATTCATCACTTATACTTGACCAGAAGCGACGGGCGTCTCGGGTTTTCGAGTATCTCCTTCACCCACTTCAACGGTGGAAATCCATTGCATGAAATAGCCCACATCCTTCGCGATCTGACTCGGCACGCCCGCCTTCTGCATCCAACCAGGAAGATTACCCTTGGCATCACTAGCGGTCGCCATGATCCACTCGACCTCCTTCTTCTGGGGATTCCGCGTAACGAGCTCGACGGCGGTGTAGACCCCAGCGATGACCTCCCTCCTCTGCGTAGCGGTGGTCCCCTCCTTGACATTCCGATCGGAGCTGTAGAAGGCCTCGTCGAAGCCCGCGGCCGAGAGATTCACAGGCACCGTGACGGCGACAAAGCGGTCCGCATCGACACTGGCCGTCGCGACCAGCACGGGGAAACAGCGCGGCGACATCATCGGGCCCGGAATGACATGGCACATCTCGTAGATGGCCATCGTCGGCTGCGTGTAGGGGCCGAGCTCCTCGCCGTTTCCTCTCCCCGCCAGCGCCGCCACCTCCTCGCCCCAGTCCACGATCAGCCGCGCGTCGTACAGCGACGGCGTGAACTCCAGCTCACGCACGCTGTGCGAGTCCCGCAGCCCGAACACGAACTCGTCCCAGCTGGCATGGCCCGGCTGAGAGGCGTTCTTGCTTGAGATGTCCGCGTGTATGCTGCGCCGGGCGGCCCAGTTCTCGGGGCCGCATGTACGGGGTTTACTGCGTGTGATGGGCTGGTCAGAGGAGGACCAGGTGATCTGGGAGATTTCTGACGCGGGGATCGTGTGAGTGAGGATCTCGACGGGGGCGGCGGAGGGGCCGGACGTCTTGGTCGAGTGGTGCGAGAAGGTCTGGTTGAAGGTGCTGGGATCCAGGAATGCGATGCCGTCGTCCAGCAGTGCGCGTACGAAGGTCGAGACTTCTGGGCGCGCGTTCTTGGATAAGGGGAGCACCGGGTGGGCGGGCAGGTCGCCGAGTTGCAGCGGCGCCATGCGGATGAGGTTGCTGTGTTGGCGTGCCATTGTGTCTGTAGGTATGTTTGTCCTAGGTATGTCGGGTTACAGAGGAGAGAAGAGGGCGAGGCAAGGCAAGGAGACGGTATTGGACTCTTATTATATCACGTATCCGCTCTCGTCCTTGCTTCGCTCGCAGCGAACTGCAAGTGTCGTTTGCGTTTCAACCCCATGGTGGTGATACGTCAGCATTCGACTTTCTGATACGCGGAGGTCCATCAGGTTTGAGAGGGGCAAAGTTTGGGCAGATCCGATTACGCGGTGTGCGGTTAAGGATACGCCTGAGGGGTTCCCCCGGGCGCCCCATGCGCTTAACTGGACTTGGCTTTACGCCTTACCGAACGTGCCATACGAGGGGACGGGATAGTTTAACCTCCCGTTTATCCGTCTTGATATCTAGGTAATCCTAGTCTCTAGTGAAGAAGAATACCGATGGATGGTGTTGGTAAGTTTCATTAGTCTAGGTCTATCTATTCCAGAATATTGTTACTATGGTATCGTTGGTTCCTTCCTTCCTTCACCACAGCATCATCATTCTATTAACTCAGGCCTTTGCAAACAACTTCTCCGCCGCCCCAAACTCAACGTCCCTCCTCCTCTCCTCATCCAGCTCAAACGCCTCAAAATTGCGCGTAAAGTATTTAATCCCCTCAGCAGGGGCGTTGGGGAAATCACTTCCAAAAAGCACGTGCCCGGGTTTCGCGAGCTTGAACAACGTGGTCAAGGTCAACGGGTTCGACGAGATGGCGAGGTCGAAGTAGAAGCGGGACGCCTCCTCGACGATCTGCTCCGTCGACTTGCCCACGCTGAACGGTGTGTGCGGCACCATGCCGGCGACGCGGTAGATGAGCGTGGGCAGGGTGCCGCCGGCGTGGGAGAGGATGATCCTGCAGTCGCGCGCGACCGTGTTGAGCGTGTCGGTTAGGATCAGGTCGATGGCCGTGCGGCCCGTTTCGTGCGGGTAGTCGAACATGGGCTGCGGGAGGTGCGCGTTGACGAGCTTGGTGTCGACGCCGTGCGTCGGGTGCACGAACACGACGGCCTTGCGCCGGTTCAGCTCGTCCCAGATGCTGCGGAAGTCTGGGTGTCCGAGATAGTGGTTGTCGGTGCCGTAGCGGGTGAAGAGCGTGATGCCGTCCGCGTGCAGCGTGTCGAAGGCATAGGTGATTTCCTCCAGCACACGTTCTGTGTCGAGCAGCGAGGGCACTGATGCGAAGAAGCCATATTCCGATGGGCTGGAATCGCGGATCGATGCCGCCGCCTCGTTTGCGGCTCGCGCCAGTGCTGCTGCTGCGACGGGGTCTTTCTCAATGCACGCGCCAGGCGCTGTCATGGAGAGGATGGTCTTGCGGACTCCGATCGCCTTGTTGATTTCTCGGTCGGCTTCGAGCGTCCATTTTGGTACCGTCCATCCAGATGGGTCGCCTCCCGCTCGTTGGAGTGCTGCAATGGGAATGGTAGGTCAGTGATCCTATCTAGCTTTGATGTGTTGAGACATGGGAGGCTGGGACTTCGAAAATACCTTGAGTGAACACTTCAGGGTAGAAGTGGTGGTGAACGTCGATTTTGGACATGGTGAACTAATCTTTCTGTCTATTTTGAACTTTGCGTGTTTTCGAATCTGAATTGGTATACAGAGCACTACTGCGACAATTGTTTTTCGATGATTGATGCTCCTTCTTGAACTGACTTGAACCTACCTCGACATATATACCAAAGTCCACCCAGCTATCATCGCTATACTCGGAACCGAGCATGACGAACTCATCAAGAAGAAGAGCGTTTAGGTTTACGGAACCCCTCTTCATTCATCCCAAGATCATCCCGGCTGAACCGCTGGGCTGCACTTGACCTTGGCTTCACCATTCTAGATGCGACATATCACAAGGCTCACAATCTTCGTACGAGCCGATGTACGAGACACCTAGCTAAGTATTCAGTAGTAGTGGGCAAAGTTTAACCGATGGTAAAAGAAATGCTCACTCTTGCTGAGCGACCATCACAGGTGCCAGGGGTAATGCTGTAGATAGAGCCTACTGTTGAGAAGATTAAACGCATAAACTACTGGTGATTGAGTATGGATGGCTATGATGACATGTTACTTAGGTCCCTCGCGGATAGATCTGGGATCAACCATGCAGTCGTACATCAGGCCGTCTCAAGAGGGTGGTGTTGGAGAACAAATGGGCAGGCGGGATCGGGAATACCCCCCGCCCCCCAACAAGCAGGGAGTCAGAAAGTATTCTGGTTGCCAGTAATGAGGCTCGCTCTCTGGCTCACTCCTTGTGGGGGTTGCAACGATGATACACATAGCTCTGCTCCGAGTCCTGCCCCTGCTGACTCATGCGTAGAGTAGAGTCTTTGAATTCCAGGACGCCCGAGCCTAGTTGGGGGGATCTCCGACAGCCGAAGCTTCGCTGGCATGCTTATCGAGGTCAGTCTACAGTAGAATGATGGATGGGAGGACCCTGTGCTCGGTACAGACGGATAACGAGGGCATAGATTACGAGGATCCCTTCAATTCGGTCTCAAACTGTTCGTGAATCTTGTGCGGAAACCTCGGCAACGAACGCAGGAGGTGGTTTCAAATATAGTGTTAGGATTTCGCGTTCAAACGGATGTACCTTGAAATAGGTAGATCATTATTCATTTCTCTACCAGTGGCCGGGGTTTGGCATACATATACAATAATAAAACCAATTCATGCACTGCATAAGGAAATAGAGACCAATTCATCACAATGTCATGACCGTCGAGTTGGACTGGCTTCAGGTTCTTCTGCAGCTTCCACTCGAACAAGGATTTCCTCCAAGAATCCTTCCAGGAACTCGGTCACTCCGCCACCCATTCCAACAGGACATTCCTCATCACTTTTCTGAATCTCGTAGAACAATCCGGCTGTCTTTGCGATCAGTCTTCGGACTTTCTCGTGTGTCTGAACCCTCTGCTGTTGAATGGCAGCAGCAGCAGAAGGACTCAGTTTGCTCGATCGAGCTAGTTCTTTTAACATGTATGTTCGTCGATGCATTGCAGCTTCGAGAGCTGGTATCAATACAGAGGTCAAAGCTGTCAATTCTTGACCGTTATCTTGAGTCGGTAATTGAGCAGCCGAGACACTCAAAGCCTCAGCCTTTGAATCTTGTCGCTGATTAGTAGTGCTCGTAAGTGGCGGCAGAGGCTGTTGATTCATCGCCGAGGCCGGGCCCTGTCCTTGTGGAATCTGGGGCAAGTCTTTGGGTGAGAACGACGGGAGTGGTTGTTGTCCAGCAAGCTTAGATGATGATGGTTGATCTACCGGCTGTCCTTTACCTGGTACGCCTCTGAATGGCGGAATTTCGGGTATGACCATGCTCGGCTTTCTCCCTGGTGGAGTTGATCCATTTGTTGTTGGAGCGCTCGGGCTGGCTCCTCCATCAAGCTTCAAAAATCCCATATCTTTGGCTAGTTGGGCTTGAAAGGCCTTGTTGTATTCGTTCGATCCCGGACTATCTTTGTGAAATTCGGCAGGAGAGATCTTGTTCGCCAACGCATTTGTCGAGGTCCTTGGAGTTCCCACCGGTTTCGCAGCAATCGAAGGTACGCCTAGCTGAGAATGCTTTGGCTCATATATTGCAGGTGTAGATGTTTTGGTTGGCGAAGGCGGTAGTGGGACTTTTGCAGGAGTAGGAGGGAAAGCTGTTTTCACGGGCGACTTTTGTGGTGAAGATGGGACCTTGACGGTATCGTCCCAGTCAGATCGAAGTTTCGATCCCGATGGTTCAGCACTCGCTCTTGCATTCGTAGCTGAATCATTCATGGGGCGTAAACCGGCCGTGCGACCACCTACTGGTCGGACAGTACCAAAATCCCACAAATCCTCATTTTCCGGTTCACGATTGCCTTGATGGTAGTTCTCTTCCTCATCGTCGTCATCATCTGATGAACGGCCACCTCTTGTTGCGATATACCTCTCATTCCTTTCGATCAATTCGGTTAGATAAGTCGTCTTCTTAGCCTTCTTGATGAAAGGATGCTTGAGTAATTCTTTGGCCGACGGCCGTTCTCTAGGATCTCGTCTTAGGCATAATTCGACAAAATCCTTGAATGTACGGGAGAATTGACCCTGAAGGACTGGTGGGGGGTTTTTGGGGATCAAGAATAAAACCTTCATCGGATGTATGTCGGCATAAGGTGGTTCTCCCATGGCGAGCTCGATGGCCGTAATACCCAATGACCAGATATCGGCTTTATGATCATAGCCTGACTGCTTGATGACTTCTGGTGCCATCCAGAATGGGGTACCCACAAAAGTGTTTTTCTTGGTCATGGTGGCAGATAATTGTCCCGAAACACCAAAATCAGCCAATTTGACTTGACCGTTGGCACCCAGAAGGACGTTGGCGGCTTTGATGTCTCGATGAAGTTTTTTATCACTATGTAGGTAGTCCAAACCCATGAGGAGTTCTCGAAGAATGATGCATATGTAGTCTTCGTGAATCAGACCGGGTCGCATCAAATCCGAACAACTTCCACCCGAGCAGAATTCCATGATGATCCAGAGGTCTGAGCCTTTCAAAAAAGAGCCATGGTATTTTGTAACATAGGGTGACTGTAGCTCGGACAGGATGGATATTTCTTGGATGATATCCTCGACTTCATCCTCGGCATTCTCAACGTCAATAACCTTGATAGCCACTGCTTGTCCTGTACGCTTGTCAACTCCTTTGTAGACCTTGCCAAAACTACCCCCGCCTATACAATTTTGCTTGGTGTAAAGGTCTTCGGGATCCATCGTTGTGACAGTGGAGTGAACCGGAGAGCGGAGAGGATAGGGCAGGGCAGAGCGATGGTCCGATCATGAAGCGGTGGAAGATGAGACCGGTGCTTGCTAGGAGGGTGGAAGCAGTGAAAGCTCGTCTGGTTTAATCGTATGATAACAGTCGTAGTAGTGGTAGTGGTACAAGATGTATGAATTGGATGTAGTAGAGAGTAGAATGTAGCGGTAGGCTTTCCTCTGGAGAGTGAGTGTATAAGAGACGAATACAGACAGTGGCAGCCCAAGAGTCATGAACTTTGGAGACCAAACAGAAAAACACAGAGAGTCCGAGTGGGTAAGATGCACTGTCAATTCTTCAGAGCGCACTGGGCAAGCGCCACTGCCTTTCAGCCACGCGAGGCAAGCCAAACTTGAAGGATGTCAGTCATGGGTATGGGCAGGGGGTTCGTGAAGGGAAGGATTCTTCAAATCATAAAGACATCAAGGCGTGAAGCGTGTAGCGTGTAGCGTGTACCATGGGCAGGGTCGTGAATTGGGTTGAGATTCCTGTGAGTCTTGCGCCTTGAGTCTTGAGATGGTGGAAATGAAACTCGATGTTTACTCCTTACCCCATGTGGTCGCGTTGAGGCGGTCACTGTGTCCAACCCCTCCGATTGGCGGCCGCCGTCTCTGCAACCTTGAACCTTTCAATCTTCCACTCTCGGGCTTTGCGTGAACCAAATATTAATTACCTAGGCGATAATCCAATCAAATAAACTACTCGAAAAACACCAGAAACAGGCACGGGGAACAGCCCAAAATGACGATGCAATGTCGGATCTTGATTCATCTCCCGAGTTCCGACGGCTTGTCGTGATTCATGAGAGCATGCTATGCTGCGCTCACTGGCAGTGCCTGGGTGGTGTCTTGTAGCTATTACTAGCCCGAGTATTGCTTGTATCTCGGATCTGATCCCTCCAAACGCCTCGATCCATGCAGCGTAATACCTATTTGCAATGCGTGCCGAGACACTCTATTCCACAAATTCAACCATGACCGTTCCATTCTTGAGTCCAGCGTCTGCCACTGTATCTTGACGAGCATCAATGAGGTTCTTTCCCATGGAGATCAATTCAAAGTCGGCTCCTGCTTTGCCTTCCAACGGCTCAGATTTGAGAAATTCATAGATGCGTTGCACTGGGTCGCTCTCGGCAAATCGACGAACAATCCTACCGCCAGGATGTCTGATCTGGACTCTCGTAATTCCTGGTCCCGCCGCGGGTTCGCTGTGAGGTTGGTCAGAGGGGATCTGAGCAAAAGCATTCGATTCTTGTGGCTCGCTTGGCTCCTCTTGGTCCACTTCCATGGCGTCCACATTGGCAGATGGTGCGGTTGCTCGCACATCGCCCACGCTTCGAGTGAGATCATCAGGGTCCTCAGTCTCGGGTGGCTTCAGCTCCTGATTTTGTGACGCTAAGCTGGCTTGCAATGCTCTTTCTAACATCTCCTCCTCGGTCAATTGGTCGACTGGTTTCTCCTTCTTTGCCTCTGACTTTCTTTTAGCCACCGGGTTGCGTGCACTGTTGTCCAAGCTGTACCGATCCAAAAATTCGTGTAGTTGCATCAAGAAATCTGCAGGTGACGGAATCTTCCTCGTCCATAACTTGATCTGCTCTCCAGTCCGTGGGTCAACGATAGCGACATGAGGATACATATCCTGGCTCTCATATGCTTGGAAGTAGTATTGCACGTATTGACTGGCTCTTGGGTCTTCCTTGTTGTATTGCAGGAAAACAAAATTCTCCTTGACTGTCTCCACTATGCCTTCGTTTTTCCAAAGGTCACGGTTCAGGGCTTGACAATCAAAGATTGATGGATCCTGAATGTCAACCAGCAACCATTTCTTGTGTTCCTTGCCTTCGTCTCTTGCATCCTCCCACTCGCCTTTGTACATTAATTCCCAAGGTGGTTGGAAAAGTCTTGCAAGTCTGTTGTTTCTCTGTGATGCTTCTGAGGCCCCTCCAGTCGATTCTGCCAGGGTGTTGTTTGTAGTCTCACTGTCCCTCTCCCAGATGCTTGATGGCTGATGTTGATTGAAGATGCCTGCACGAGCTGTTTTCACGTCAGCCACGCCCTCAGTTGTAGATTCCATGACACGTACCTCTACTCGTTCTGCTATTGAACGCTCTCAATCTTTCTTGAACCGCAGCATCATAATCGGACCCGGACAAAGGCAAGTCTGCTCCAGCACCGACCAATGTCTCCGATTGTCGGGCAATGGGCGCTCTCAGAGGTTCATCAACACCACCTCCACCATACATTTCCTCCTGTAACCGCCTCGCCATCGCTTCATCATCTTCGAATGGTGCTGCGGCAGCACTCGGTGGCGGTGGTCGGCTACGACCAGAATTTCTTTGAAATCCTGTGATCTCTGGATCATTGTCATCGGTAATATTATCGTCCTCGTCGATGTTTATAGGATCTTGGGCATGGCCAGGCTGGTTTGAGGTTGCAGTGGAAGGGAGTTGTGACGAGGTTGAGGCAGCCAGATCCGCCCCGCCATTTTCGAAGAATAATGTGACCGCTTGGTTGGCATCGCCATCGGCCAACTGGGCATACTGAGCGGCCAGCTCAGGTGTCGTGCCGGTCACAGCAACTAAGGTGGCGATTGCTTCATCCATGCTGAAAGTGGTGAACGGGAGTCAACCGCGGCGATGATAATGGGTAATCGGTCAATTGAGGAGTATCAGTTGTGGGGTGGGCAGATTGGGTCTCCAGGCCAGCGGATCTAACTGAAGAGAGATATCATGAGTGCGGAAGAGAGTTATGAACACAAGAAGGTGGAAGAAGGCATTAGAAGACGAATCGAAGTCGTAGAATTGGGATAGCAAACAGGCAGTTTCAAGATTTGGTTGTTTCCACCAAAATCAATGGTGATCGCTGGCAGTGCAAGGCGGCGAAGGCTATGACGCGACTGCACCCAACACTCGTAAATCGATAGGTGACGGAAGGAAAGCGCAGGCACACAGAGACAAACTTGCCAAGACACAATCCATTCAGTGCAATTGAATGGAGCTTGCAGGTTGAAGCGAGTAGCCGCGCTTGCCTGATCTCTAGCCGCGGCAGTCTACGGCGGAGTGAACGCTCTTGCAGCGCTGCGGTTTAAAGTGGCTGGGAACAGGAAGGTGGGTCCGACGCGTCGCGTTCGCGACTGCCACTAAATTGCGACAAGCGTCTATTAAGGAAAGAACCTGACTCGTGCCTTCCTCGACTTGAGTCGTGCCTTCCATCTTCTCCAACACCACCAGCAAAAGCAGCAACGACCACATTAATCTGTCTCAATGGCTGCTGCAGTACTCGGAAAGAGATCTCGGGGGGTTCTGGATGAAGAAGGTAATGTCTTTCCACATATCGCGGCTCGAATCAAACATTGACAAAGTATCACAGAGATTTCATTACCTCTCCCAACAACCAAAAGAAGAACGCGACGCTCAGCACCAGTGATATACGAAGATACCACCAGACGAAATGAGTTGGAGAATGTTGGAGCAACCGAGCAACAGAGTAATTTACGGAATACTCGTCCTGTCAGAACGCGTAACAGAACACCCAAAGTCGCGTTGCCAGACAGCTCTGAGAAGATCAAGCCGAGCAATCTTGCACTTGATCAAAGTCCCTCGCAGGGAGTCACAGATGAGAACGTTCCGCCTACACTGATCTCAACTCCATCGGCACTTCGATTTAAAGATGTATTTGAACAGTGCGCTCCGACCACACCAAAACATCGCGTGCGATTAACTGGAAGACTGCTTACACCACGCTCCTCTCGATCATTAACACCATCAAAATCACATAATGTCTATTCTCAAGCTCGACAAGCATTCACACAGACTGGGACGTCCAAAATTATTGGTCGTGAAGTAGAACGAGAGCAATTGAACAAGTTCATTCACAATGCGATCGAAACCGGTACTGGTGGTTGCACCTATGTCAGTGGAGCGCCTGGCACCGGAAAGAGTGCATTGGTACTGGAAATTCTGGAACAATTCGGAGAGCAGCCTGTCAAGGTTGTATCGATCAACTGTGTGGCATTGAAAACTTCATCAGAGGTTCTTGCCAGATTTACCCAGGAGTTCTGCCCACCATCTCGTGGGAAAGCGGGACCGGGAGCGAAAGCAAGTCTTGCGAAGCTGTTCACCACAAGGAAGGCCGGTTCACCAATGCACTTGGTTTTGCTGGATGAAATGGACACACTGCTTGGTGGTGATTGTGAGCTTTTGTATAGCATCTTCGAATGGGCGATGCATCCGGCTTCCTCATTGATTCTCATCGGGATTGCAAACGCACTTGATCTCACAGATCGCTTCTTACCCCGGCTTAAGGTCAGAAATGTCAAGCCACAGCTTCTACCATTTCTCCCTTACTCCGCGCAGCAAATCTCGACCATCATCAGGGAAAAGCTGAGGTCATTACTGCCTGCCGACAGCACGGTGTCACCAGACTTTGTTCCACTGATGCATCCAGCCGCCATTCAGCTCAGTGGAAAGAAAATCGCCTCTCAGACAGGAGATCTCAGAAAGGCTTTCAGTCTTGTACGCCGAGCTATCGATCAGGTGGAGCAGGAGACGCTTTTGAAGATGAGCCAAGAGCAAAGTGTTACGCCAACCAAACAACCTCTTGGAGAAGTCACCAATCCGTCGATCAAGCCACAATCGTGGTCAGTGTCTCCCATGAAGGAGGCCTCCTCTTCGTCTATCCAACGATCTATTCTGTCACAACTTACGATGGAGAGTGCTCCAAGAGCCAGCATTGCGCATGTGGCTAGAATTGCCTCGAGCATATTCAACAACAATGCGCTATCCCGTTTGAATGGATTGAATCTCCAACAAAAAGCGGTCTTGTGTTCACTTGTGGCTTCGGAAAAGAAGCAGATACAGAGAGATCCTTACAAGACACCATCAAAGTCATGGTCAAAGATTGCCAACGTCAAAGAGCTGTTCGAGACTTACACGATGCTTTGCAATCGTGATGAAGGAATTCTGCAAGTACTGAAGAGCACCGAATTTCGAGATGTTGTTGCAAGCCTTGAAACTCTGGGTCTGATACATGAAGCAACTGGACGAACTTCAGGCTTGTTGACACCTGCAAGTACGCCATCTCGGAGTGGACGGGCCATGGATGATAAACAAGTGGTGAGCGCAGTGTCAGAGAAGGAGATGCGAGATAGTTTGAGTGGAGCAGGGTCCGACTTGCTACAACGACTTCTGGACGAGTGACGTAGTTAATTTGTGCTTTTTCTGTCTTGTTCTGAGTTCTGTCCGCATAGCATGCAGTGGGAAAGGATTTGCATCTGGGGTTTTCTGCATAGTCGAGCGATGGGAATGTTGAGCTTGGATTGTCACATGTCTACTAGTCCAGCACGGGGATTGATCAGCTTCAGATGAACAATCACACACGACAATCATTAACGAAAGTTTAAACTAACTATGCTCACCATGACATGTTCCGACAGCTTGAAATCTTTGATGATTCGAGCTTTGAGTACTCGTACTGGCATGATATCCCTAGAAATGATGTCAGTGATTACGACGCATTCACATTTGCCGTGACTTTCCACAGGGTCCAACGGGGGACGAGGCAAGCTTTTCGACAAGCAGGGGGGAGGCCCCAGTGATCAATTGGCTCGTCGAAGGCCGGAAATTGATCATCGTATTTCAAGCTTTGTCCAAGCTTTTCAATCCGAATGGCAATGCGAGCTGGTTGTTGCTTATCGTAGGGTCCAAGAGAGCCCGAGAAATTGAATTGCTAACTAGTGCTAACAGCTTTCCAGTTGGGGGGGCGCCCGTGGCCGCCCGCGTTAACCGGGGCTGCGTCAGCCCCAAGCACTGCCAGTGCCGCCAAAACTTCTCAGCACGAATCCTACCCTAGGTCTTTATGAGGTTCAGCTACGAGTAGGTTTGACCGTCACGGTAAATCAGATACAAGTAGAATCCTTCCAGTAGTCCGTCGTTCTTCCTTCAGCTGATGAACTCGTTTATAGTATCCGGCATCCATGCCCCCTACTTATGCTCTTAAACTTCACCCCTTCAACTCCTCTCCTCTGCCTTGAGTATCCGTAACAATCCACGCTCTTTGACGCGGGGTATTCCGATCTCTAACCACAACATGGCTGACCGCGCAGACAATGACTCGGAAGGTCCGGTAATGCGCAACGGGCCCATTCAGCAGGTAGATAATTTGGCTACCAAGGCAGTGGACCAATCCGACAAATTGCAGCAGAAATTCAAAAAGCAGGACAGTTCCAAGTCACAAAAAAAAGAGCCTGCTGGCGGTTATGATGCGACACCAATTCCTCAACTACCACCAGGCTACACCATCAAGATCACTTTCCACAAGGCAGAAAACCTCCCTTTCGCCGACTTTGGCACCTTTTCCTCCGATCCCTATATCCTTGCCGCTTTGAAGACCGATCTTCCACGCCGGCATAAACAAGACCCAGAATTGCGACTGCGCACTCCGACAATCCATCGGAATACCAATCCAGAATGGAACGTTGAATGGGTAATTGCTAATGTGCCCTCCTCGGGCTTCTTTCTGAAGTGCCGGCTGTACGATGAAGATCCGAGCGACCACGATGACCGTCTGGGCAATGCTCATATCACTGTCAACCATATTGATGAGAACTATAAAGGCTTTTCGCAGCAGAAATTTGCCATCAAGAAGAGAATGGCTAGCAAAAGAGCATACACTTTTCGTGGATGTGCTGCGCTGCTTTCCAAGCGCGTGAAAATGGGAGGCGATCTGATCGTCAGTGTTGAGAACTTGGGAAGGACAAAAGACGAAAGCGGCGGTCGTGCATATACCATTGCTCCTCTCCCGTGGAGTCAACACTATTCTCCACTCATTGGAAGACTTGCAGGTACCAAGGATACTGAGCACGATAAAGACGGCAAGGAAGTTCAGAAATACAAGTATGCACCCAATTCGATGTGAAGTTTCATATTCACTAACAATGCCTGTAGCTTCCAGTCAATCCAGATGCAACTACCTGGTCCTGTTCCTGGCGACCTTTATCACCGCTATGTGGAATTCAAGCCCTTTGTAGCAGGAATGTTTCAGGGCAAATCCATCCGTGGTCGACTGTTAAATCGAGCTCTTCATCACCAGCATGCTCGAATATACAACTACGATAAGAGCACCAAATACGGAGGCTTTCGAGAACCAGGGCTCGATCTGACCAAGAAATTCCTCGAATTCGTCCGATACGATCAAGGCGGCCGAATCTTCACTTACGTCCTTACGCTGGACGCTCAGCTCCGATTCACCGAGACTGGCAAAGAATTCGGCATTGATCTCCTCAGCAAACACACGATGCACAGCGACGTCAGTATATACATAGCGTTTAGCGGCGAGTTTTTCATTCGGCGCCTGAAGCGACCTCACATGCTCAAGCATGACAGTGGTCCTGATCCGTTCGAACACGCGTATCCGCCAGCTCCTGATCCAGGCGCAGAGATGGAGGAAGAAGAGAAAGAAGAGAAAGACAGCAACGGCTGTCGCATTCGACCCAGCAGCAAAAAGAGCGACAAGAGCAAGACAAACGGACAAACGGTGCCCAAAGAAGAATCCTCAAGCACAAGATCCACAAGCTCTCGCGAAGCCCAGCCGCAGCCGCCATCCGAACCATCCAAAGATCCATCCCACTACGAATTAATCATCGACAACGACAGTGGCACATACCGACCCAACGCGGAGAAACTCTCCGTACTGCGCAAATACCTGATCTCGGCGCTGCCGGGCCTGAAAGTCGTGACGCTCGACTGCCAGGCCGACGAGGAGAAGATGAAGAAGCTCAAGGGCGAGCAGCGCGAGCGCAAGAAGTCCGCCGGCAAGCAGATCACATACCTGCAGAACAGCTCCATGAGCAGCATCTCCAGCAGCGACGAGGAGGAGCTGTCGGCGCGTGCAAATGGCCAGGCTCACCGCGAGAGCAGGCATAAGCGTGAGATGCACAAGTATCTGGGCCATGGGCGGGATGATCACCATTACCCGGATGATGAGCAGGATACGGCACAGAATGATGTCGCTGTGGGGAATCCGAGTGTCACTCATGACACGCCCGCGCGCGACTTGAATGAAAAGACAGACCTCAACGATACTGTGCCGCAACGTGGGGACGAGACCGCACACGTTACGAACCATGACCCTATCCAGGAGAAATAAAAGATTTCGCTCTCCTCCCGTGCTTGAAGCTACAGCCAAGGTTGAGGGTCGCATCTCTTGAAGGTCGAATTTCGGCTCGAATCCCCCCTCCAAGTTGCGGTGAGCCTTGTCGGATGTGATCGAGCGTTTTTGATCATGTTTTTGTCACGATATTGTTTTTTCCTGTCTACCTAACTAGTTGATACCCGGGGTACGCGGCACTTTCTCCTTTTGCGTTTGCGGAGGCCGCTGTGCCCATGTTGAACATCCAAATGTCTGTTCCTTGAATTACTGTCGCCTGACGAGGTTGAGCCTAGCCTAATCTACATAATTCTAGTATTTGTTTAATGATAACCTCCTGTTCGGTCTTCAGCGCTCTGCCTCGCCCCTGGCAGGCTCCGCGAGCTAAGTGGCAAGCTTTCCGAATCCTGTGCTTCCGTGTACTCATGTGCATCGGCTCTCTTTCTGCGCCGTCTACCCGTCCCCTGTGGCGGGAGTTTCTTGCCACCAGAAAACTCCCCTCGCGGACCTCGTAGAACACTGATTGGGTTGAAGATATTCAGCAACGTCAGTGCCCCGGCCATGGGCAGAGCATCGAACACGTAGAACCACCACTCGTGAAGACGCAGCGCCGAATCCACGCCCGTCGCATACTCGGCGAGGCGCCACGAGTTGCGGTACAGGATGAGGACCAGTACAGCATACAGAGCGTAGATGATACGTTTGACGGCGGGGAGCGCAGCGCGGCCGTCGCCGGACAGCTCGTAGGTGTCGGGTCTACGCAGCTTGAAGTGGAATCTGAGCACCAGCGCGACGAACCACAGGATGAAGCCCATCTGGATGCCGACGCCCGCGCTGTAGAGGTTGTAGCCGGCGATTTTCGTCGAGCGATTGTCGCTCTTCGCGGCTAGGATGCCCCCTGACGCCTGCATTATGAACGCTGTGATGTCGAATGCGACGAACATGACCGTCAGATGGCGGGCGCGCAGGCGGAGGATTTTGTCGTGCACGAGAGTGAAGTGGATCAGCCGCCCGAGCGCCATGTACACGAATGCGTTGATCCAGAGGGGTGCTAGCAGAATAAGGATTCCCATGCTGCTGTGAAAGGCGCCTGAGTAGGGATTCAGGATCGCGCTTACGCGCAGCGCGAACCCTGATAGTTCCCAGATGCCACCCATGATGAGGACGATGGTGAAGGGCTTCCTGTATATGATCCCCTGAATCCCGTGGACTAGCGTCGAGGCAGAGTAGATGATCAAGAATGTGATTGCCGCTCCATAGCTGGGGCAGAAATCCCATAAACGCTCCGCTTCAGCTAGGATGACGCACTCGGGCATACTGGCAGTTTATCTGTACTGGTCTTGGATAAGTGAAAGGCTATGTGTGAAGCTGATGAACGAGATAACTTGCTCTGTTGCAACTTACTGGAAGGGTTCTCATCAGGTATATATACGTATGTATCCCAGATTATCAGGGCAGTTCGCCGCAGTGATCTCTTGCAGTGCCTCCGAAGGTCAATCTGCGACCGTTGTCGCGTGAACATCGTCACTTCTCGAGGCCGCAACATTATGAGAGGGCTATGAGATGGCTCAATGTACATGGCGCCCACCCACGAGGCAGCGTTCGCTCAAGCGAAAGGGAGTAGGTATTGATGAATGCCAAGCTGGTTATGGAGCGTCGTTAGTATATTGATCTCCCGACCTAGGTATAGACGCGGGATCGGAATTCCGTTCCCTTTCCCAAGGGGTCGCCTGAGTCGTCGATGGTCCTCTTCAGGCTTTTCATTGGACGCTGGAGAGAATGCTTGTACCCCAGAAGCTGCGGTGGTTTCAGGGATATTGGCTGCCAAGTGTGTGTCGATGATCATGGTGTATAGATGAGAGAATCAGGACTTTAACTGAGAACAAAGTTAAATCAAAGTGTGTTATGTTATGTACTTAGGTACCTAGGTAAGAAGGTATTTAGGAGAAAAAAGAGCCGAAAGGCAAAATGTCGGGTTCCGATATGGATCGCGCCTTCCTCATCTCCAAAAGGATCTTGCATTGTTTATTGACGCACGCCATTCATCGACCGAGCACACTTATGTCTTGATCAATCGAGATCTCCATGGCTTAGTGAAAGTAGATCGGGCTGTGTTTGCCCACTCTGCTGACTACTCATGCCCCAAGATGCGGACAGAATGCGTACGAATAAAGCGTTGACCCCTGGTTGCAGGGTGTTTTGATTGCTGCCTGATGCCTGGAGAAAATCCACAGCGAGTCTCGCGGATAACTAAGACACCAAGCCACAGGATTGACGTATCTGTGTTTCATTGACTAGGCTTTAGCCTTTGGAGGTTTTCTTCAACGTCACATACTATGGGGTTGTACCCAAAATGTTTGGCAATGCAGAACTCAACTTCAATTACCGTTGAGAAGCCATTGAATCATGACTTACCGATCTCGAGAGCTCAAAGCATGCCATACGTGTGCAAGGGCGAAGTCGAAATGTGAACTTGACCATGGGGCGAGCAAATGCAATCGGTATGGTGCTGTAGGAAGTCAAGCATGAGCGTTCGGCACACTAATGGAGCATGACGAAGCTGTCGGCGGTTGAACAAGGAGTGTGCATTTCAGCAGCATGTGTCTCAGCATCCTAAGTCGCCAAAGAATCAGTCAAATCACAATTCGTGAGTTCGAACTTGTGTTTCTGTGAGGAGACTTCTGGAAGTACAGCTACTCACCGACCGACCAGAGATCTACTTCGCTTGGAATCGAAAGTCGACTCAATGTCTCAATTACTTTCTACGAGTACTACTACGCGCACGAACTCGTCCACCTCGTCCTCGATCAGCAGGATTATTCCAGCAGAGACACGTGCTGCTGGTACACTGCTAGACTTCTTCCGTTTGGAAATGATGCCCCTGTTTCCATTTGTCTATATCCACCCAACCATCACCCCATCAGAACTTCTCGAGGATAAGCCAGTTGTTTATCTGGCCGCCATGATGGCCGCGAGTCAGAGTGATACTCAGATGCAGATGAGCATTGCGACAATCACTCGAGAAGAGGTCAGCCGTAGGTTTCTAAATTCCTCCGACCAGGATTTTGGGCTGCTGGAAGGACTACTTCTGTACCTCGCCTGGTGAATGCTTTTCCCACAGCCCTTCTTCATTAACGGAGGCCTTCTTGAACTTTATCTGACTCACTCCTTCTTTTGCAGGAATCATGCATATCTGTCAATTGGCCCATCAACCATTCGTGTCCTTCACATGGTTATGGCTCTGGTCACTGAACTTGGTCTTGATCAAGAGCCACACATGTTGGCAAATGCCGCACTGGGAGGCGTCGGTTCCATCGGACGATCTGCTTCCACACTCAAAACCCGGACGTTAGCGGAAAGGAGGGTATTCCTGGGTGCCATCTGGCTCAGGTCCATGTCAGTCAACTCCAGGGACCTACATCTTGGCTCCAGCCGTACTGACATCCAAGTTACATTAGATTCACCACATGCAGCGCAGAGTTCGATGGCATAAAGTTCGGAAGATATGCAGAGAACTGTTGCCGGATCCTGGAAGACGCTATGGAACATCCTGATGATTTATACCTAGTGCAACTTATCCGAATGCAGAGAATAGCAGATTCTAGTAGGATGACGCTACACAATGAGGCACTGGAAAATTCTCCTGGCTTTCCCATGTTCTTGTCTATTGGTGTGGCATCGTTGGTGAAGAGTGTACAGGATATGGGGACAACACTTAGCCTCGAACTTCCTCAAGCAGGTGGGCAAAACCCTCTCCTCTCCTACCGAATTGCATTTGGGACAGAAAGCCCCTGACATTCAGCCTTGAACATGTTCACTGACACAATGCAGCCTTGATGGTGGTATGTTATCACATGGTCCAAGTCCACATCTACAAAATCGCTCTGGAAGACCGACTGTTCCCAACATCACGCGGAGAATATAGCACCACCCACATCCCCAATCCATATCCCTCCGACACACCCATCCTCGACCGAAACGACCTCCTCTCCTCGTGCTGGACCGCGACGAAAGCAATGACGAGGACCATCCTCACCCTCCCACCACTCCTAATGTTCTCGATGCCGTACCCGATGTGGCTCCAACTCGCGCACTCGCTGCTCGTCTTCTCGCGCCTCCTGACGGTGCGGGACTCGACATGGGACCACTCGCGGCCAACCATCATGGCCGACTTCCGCGACACCATCCTCGGGCTATCGCAGCGACTAGAAGAGGTCATGAACCACGGCGTGCAGCTCGTCCCTTCGCGCCGCCTGCCCGACATCTTCCACACGTTGGTCGAGCGCCTGAAAGAGATTTCGCTCAACATCGGCATGAATTCTGTGGATTTCGCTGTCCAACACCATCAGGTACCTGACAGCAGCGAAGCTTTCTTGATGTCGAGCGAGGCGCTGGATGCCATCGATCAGTTTTTGATGCGAGAGGCGGCCCAGACTTCGCTGTTCAACTTCTCTTCTTACGGGGGCGAGGCGTGGGTGTGATTATTCATGTAAAATAAAGACAGACCTTGTGCTAAATTAGAGTTTTGTTCACTGGGACGATGACGACGCCGCCGCCGCCGTGGCTCATGTCTATACCAGAAGCTCCAGGAATATGTTGACTAGTATTATGTGTGTAACTACCTGTCGATGGATCCCCCTTTGAGGCCAGCCTTTTCCGCTTGGCGCGAGTTGAGGGACTTGAAGGGTGGCACACAACCTTGTGGTGGGTACGAGTATTAGTTAGTCACCGCACCAAGGTAATCCGTTGGTTGCGAAAGCAAGTAGCTGCCTATACCTTCGAAGGGATAGAACGGCTTGCTCTTCTACACAATTCTGCCGAGATATCAGATCATGGGATGACTAATTCCCGTTGGTTCTCACAATCAAATGGAAACAAGACATCGATCGGTCAGGTATGAGTTGAGTCTCGCAAGGTCCTGTTGTCCTCATCCTCATCATCAGCTCTATCGTCAGCTTCCTTTTGCTAGATACTCTTGAGATCTATCCTCTCAGAGAGACTAAACTCTCCATAGCCATATTCTTCGATTTGTGCATAGCTTCTTCTCGCTCGTAAAATTGCCCCAAACTCTCCACAAAAAAATGTCGCCAGGTCAGATCGTGTGAGGTCAGATGCCTCAATTGACGGAAGAAAGGGATAAAAAAAGCCATAATCCTTCATAAACACCTCGGTATCCCAATTGAAAATCCCTCCAATCGCTAAAACTTTGAGCCGTCTTGTCCAATATGAAGAAGAACACCCGATCTCGCTGCAAAGAAACTTTTCCTTGTTTTCATCGTGAAGATTGCAATCCAGTAATGGCGGGACTTGCAATTGCTTCTCCTGAGGGGAATTTTGAGCTCAGGTATCCCTTCTTCTCTGACTTTCAAGATCTTGCAGAACCTTGCCCGTTGCTTCCACAATTACTTTCCACTCGCTCTCGTGGATTCTTGTCTCGAGATCTTCCTGAGAGTCTCCTTCCCGAATATCGATCTCTTGAACCAAGACCGGTTTCCCCATGTCGACCTCTTCAATGACGTAGTGAACCATGACACCCGTGGTTGAGATTTCTCCTCGCTGGAAAGCTTTGTATGCGCGACCAATAGCATCTGAGCCATTGAACTTCCCTGGTAAAGCCGGGTGTAAATTGATAATTGGCACGTCGGCTTTTGCCAGTTGATTGACGAACTCACGCGATAGAATATGCATGAAACCTGCACATACCACCAAATCAGGGCACGGGATGTGTGTGAGAATTTTCTGTGCCAGATCTGTGTCGTAGTGGGCTCTAGCAGCATTGTTCCCAGCTTCCGTATCTGGAAATTTCTTCTTGTAGGCTAATAAATTGTGATATGTAACAGGGATATGGGCATTTTGAGCGCGCTCAAGACCCTTGGCTTCGCGACGATTGGAGATGACATGGGTAATATGGCCATTGGGAAGTGTTCGTCGTGGAGCAGGTTTGCCTTTTACGGCAGGTGCTTGACCACAGGCGTCGATGAGGGCTTGTAAGTTTGTCCCTGAGCCTGAGATCAGAACAGTGATGTTAAAGTCGGTGGCCGTACTATAAGTGCGGCTCTTATCGGTGGATTTCCCCGACGCCATTTTCGAGAGAGGGGGAGAGATGGTGTAGGCAGAATATTTCGCACAAGGAAAAGGTGTTGGGTGGGGTAGAAGTGAGGCTGGTGTTTGTTCTCGAGGTCGAAAGAAGGGAGGGGACAATCAGCAGCTCGAGGCAAGGATGAGGGAGTAAGGTGGTGACTGGGTTTGTGAATGTTGAGGATTATCGAGGTCGTAGCATGACCTGTCAGAGATGTGTTAGGCGAGGAGGTTGCGACCGTGCTCAGTATGCGCACGGGGTAATTGCCAGTGGTGCTAGTAGTAGTACTTGGAGGGGTTGGGACATGAAGCAGCAGTTGCGCAAGTCTCGGAGTTGAGAGTCTCCAAAGTGACAGCAGTCTCGAAGGGAGGGACGGGTGAGGGAAGAGGTCAAGTTACAAGTATCGCAAGGAGTGGACTCATAGACAGAAAATGACACTGTCTCATTCATATCCCAGTCTACAGATGGTTTGCTAGAGAGTGAAAATGGGTTCAGTTCTACGCAAGTTCTCGAGCGTGTGGAAGCGGGAGGTGGGGAGCCTGCTTAGGTTAGTTAGCCTTCAAGTTGAACTCGAAGTGGGAACCTTGGACCACAACGGGTGTCAGTGTCAACCTTGAAGCTTTGACGGGTCAAACACCTTCGTCCTGATCTTCATCCATCTCCATCTGGCCGGCATATCCTTACGGATGTCTGCAGAGTACAACTCCGGATACCTCTGACATTTCGTGTAGGGAATGCCTCGTATGTTCCAAGTTGGAAGGATCGACCATCAAGGTCGCGGGTGCTCCCATGGTCCATTCCATGGATTCCCGGGCACCAAACAGGGACACTCCCCTAGTCTGAGGTGCCGTGGGTACCCAACACTAGTTGGAAAACTAGCGATGCAGGCCGAGGCCTCGGGCGTTCATCCCTTCCCTCACTGGGCCCGCGGGGTTCTCTTCGAGTCCCTGTCATCAGCGTCACGTCATGCCTGGCTTTAAGCTATTGCCCCCTTAAGAGTAAGCAGGCGAGCCCTCGGCCTGTCTTCCTTAACCCGCCCGTTGGGTTTAGATTTAGGTACTGACGCAGGTGCACAATCAGAGTTTCACTGCGAACCACAGGACCATCGAGTTGCTGCCAGAACGCCAGTCTCCTTACTTCGTAGGTACCTGGGTAGTCAACCATTTGAGTTAGTTGGCCAGCTTTGTCAGAGTATTCAGTCTCTATGTCTGTGTCTGTGAGCGAGCTACAAGTATCAAGGCCGACTGCGGGGACAGTCACGCTTTTGCGATAGTCTACCTCGTATTCTGTTGAGTAATTAAATGGTGGCTTGTGGTACGCGAGAGCTAGCTACGAAGTATTTACCTCTTTACCGGGGCCGGGGAAGGGCTATTGCGAAGTACGAAGTAGGTGCATTTCGAAGAGAATTTGTCGCCAAACACACTCTGGTTCTCGTTGATATCTGCCCCATGGTGCGAGGTACCGAGTACTCTCTATACAACATGCCACGGCCAGACCAGTCCCCGGTCCAGACATCGGTCCGGCTTTCGCCTCTCAACACCAATTTGGGGAAAATATGGCCATTTGACTGAGCAACCAGGTACCTACCTGGTTGCTGGTGGCATGACAATGGCTTTTTGGCATTGGCTTCGATCCTGGCACTTTGGAACACTGCTGCTCTCAGTCGGGTGTCATCAAGAGTGAGTAGGTACTTCGGTACCTCCATACATTGGCCCAAAGGTCAATAGTATCTGCTCCGCATGCACCGAGAAGCGCTTAGGTACGTACCCTTCTCAGAGTTTGCAAACTAACGTACTCACCCCCAGGCGGATATCACCCTGCATGCATCCGCCAGCAATCCACATCTTCGTCACCGTGTTCGATTTTGCTTTTTCCTTCTAGATGCCGCAGAAGCGTCCTCTTCGGGAACTCATCTGCCCACCCAGCTATGACTTCAAGCGTCAAAAACTGTGTAAGTATCTATGCGAGGGTAAACACCGAACATATGAATTGCCTGCTTCTGAGGAAGTGTGGATTGAATTACGTGGTACTGTGAGATTGATACCACTACAGACTCGGCTTTCGACTTGTTAGACATCATCTCCCACTAGTTAACTCGCAAAGGTATGCATCTTGATCGGCTCTCATGTTCACATTCCACCGACATGCACCAATGTCACCTGGCAAGGATGTACAGATACAGGTATCGGCCCTACCTTGGCTCATGAGGCCTATGCAACTTCAACCGTGGCGTTTCTAAACAGCGGGCCCTCCATCTTCTTCAACTGGTCGCTTCTCCCGTCCAATCAAGGAGAAAGAGGTTCATGCTACCTACCCTCTTATCGGTCGTCCAAGCCGCGAGGCGTCCAATGCACCCACTTCCAGTACTTTCCATGACAAAGCTGGCCTCATGTCTATACGAGAACAGTGATGCCACATTTTGACTCGGGTCTTTCGCTCCAGGTCGTTCGAAACAAACTTGCCTGAACCAGTCTATGCGCGATGCATATCACACCTTGCCCACTGCCATCGCAAGTAGCCGAGAGTTGTGAGGCTCTTCCCCCTCCTTGGACTTTGGGATATATGGCATACTTTTGCCGAGATGGCCTCTTCTTCTGGGCCACAGTTTCCATGCCACAGGGCGCTGGGCCTATGGGACATTTGGAATGTTGATAATTCAAGGTGGACTGAAATCAAGGCTGCAGATTCCTGACTCGGGAAATAACTCACTCCAATGAGCGAGGTTCCAACATCCGGCGTAGCGCAAAGTCCACCAGAAAGACTCCAGAAGAGCGACCGCCGGGTGACAAACCAACACTCTTTGAGGGGTGACCATCAGAGGCTAGCGAGCTTGGTGGTCTCTTGTACAGCAACAGCAGCCAATGCAGTCAAAAGTTGAGTGAATGCGACCGAGGTTGGTCGACGTACGCCCGCAGGCCGTACATGAATGCTTTCTGTCGAAGAAGGAATCACGATTCCCAAACTCTCCCCGGATCATAAAAGCCGCGGTCTCAGTACGACTTCGAGGTACGATATTCCTCTATGTTGCTTGCTGAACCCGAGCACCGTTCGTTTTGTCGGCTTGGCACGAACGTGTACTGACTCGGACAGAATGTCGATCGATGTCGATTTCGAGCCGTTCTCATGCTGTCGCAGACACATCTGTATGTCATGGTACTGCGACGTCTCGTCTCCCAGATACGTGATTCTCATCGCACTGATGGCGAGCCGTCTATTTTTTTCCCAAGTGAGACTGGTCGGTTTCGACACAGTGCTCACCTCACAATGAAGATCTATCACTTGGACAAGACGCGACAAAAGTCTGCATAGAGATTATCGACCTCTCGACCACTGGTCCTAGCATTGGTTGTACTCGAGGGATGGCGAAGGCTGTTGTTGAGGTCGTTGGGGTGGGAAAGAACTCTCGCAATGGTGTCGTCCCCATCATCGTCGCCATCGACGGGCGACGACCCCGACATGGAAGGACTGAACCTCGGATCGACGTTGCCGAAATCCTTCTGGACGTGCGCAGCCCCATTGTTGGACGAATCGCTGCCGTACCACTTGATGATGGAGCCGCGACCGCCGTTCAATTCGCGCTGGACGTCGAGTTGGGCCTGGCCCTGGACGGCGTTGGAGTCGATGGCTTCGAGGGTCATGGAGCGGTTCTTGACGGAGGAGCCGTGCACCAGATCGACGAGTTTGGAGAGGATGTTCATTTCGAGTTTCAGCTTGATGCTGTAGAACAGGATCTTGAAGCTCTCCTGGTAGAGCTGCATGTGGTGGAACTGCATCACCAGCAGGGCGATGTCCATGGCGATGATGATGATGTTGATGGCCAACACCTGGCTCACCATGCTCCGGGTATTCTGCTTCGAGACGACCTGCAGCAGACTGTAGGTTTTCCACACATACAGGCCCGAGATGATCAACTCCTGCAATGTGAAGATGGTGATCTGGATGAGTTCGATGTAATAATACCCGACCAAATAACTCATGTCGCTCGAGTACGTGCTCCCCCAGTCGAGGACATCGACGATCGTGAAAACGACACAGCTGTTGACGATGATCATCCACTTGACCGACTTGAGGATCTTGTCGTTATCCACCAGCAATCCCAATCTCGAATACAAGACAAGACTCTGGCACGTAATCATCGTCATCCAACCCATGGTGACGAGGATCTTGGTCGCCCACAGCACGGTCAGTTTCCAATAGTCGGTCATCATGCCGAAGGCGTACGACGCCACGCCGAAGTTGCACAGCGACAGCGACCAGAAATACAGGCCGCGCCATCGCTTGAACGTCGTGAGGATCAACAGTGCCAGTTCCACGCAGTTGTAGAGTGCCAGGCCCAGCGCCAGCGTCACAATCACCGACGACTTCGAGTACTGTCCGTCGAACGGCTCCTTTTGGAGGATGGCCGTGTAGTTTCTCATTGTGCTGCTGCTGGACGAGATGCTGGGTAGTACATCTCTCGGTGTATCTCGATCTCCTTCAATTCTCGAACTTTGGCTGGGGCAGTGGGGCTCGCTGTGTGCATAGAGGTTGTATATGTGTGTCTTTGACTCAGCACGGTGCTCCAAGGCGCATCATTATCGATACAGATTTGAGTGTTGAAAGTGAGCGCAAAATGTACGTGAACGTTTTCTATCGTCGATGAGCACAGCAGGCGAATGATCGATCGTCAGAAGCTACAATAGAATCGCCAGATGGTGGTAAGGAAAACGGGCAGAAAAGTAAAAGGTTAAAGAATCAATCAATCCGTTGAACCAGGTCTGTCAAAAATGGGGAGAGAAGGATTGCTTGCACACACACACACATCCTGCATGGCAGGCTAGTTAGACGTCAAGGCCAGGACAAGTTCAGCCCCAAGAAAAGTAACGGGTCCAGGGACCAGGGATCATCGAGTTTGTTCCCTTATCTCCAGCTCAACTTAACTAGATCGACGGACGGCGGCCTTTGCCTTTTCTTTGGGGTCGGTCGAATGATAGATAGAGAACCGACGCTACCCAGAACCGTGGAACCACACCCCCTGGGTAGATACTTAGGACGAAAGTAACTAGCTGGGCGTAGAAACCCCCCCAGGACGACTCCAGGAGTGGTTGGTTTTTAGTGGGTGAACGCCGCGAAGCAACACGGGACGAGAATCATCGAAGGTTCGACGGGCGACCGAGCGAACAATTGCAAATGGAAAAGAGATGCACAGGTAACAAGAAACTAAGGCGATTGGATCGCCGCTGGTTGCAGTGCATGCATTGGCAGTCAGCACATACTGCATTGCGTGGAAGGGCAAAAGAAAAGCCAGCACTCCGTATTCAAGTTTGCCTTACCAGCACAGCAGCACAGACATGTTTAGGCAGTAGATAATGGCCATTTGTTGGGCGATGAGACGCTTCGCCCGTACGCCTTGTTTCTGTTCGGACCATGCAGCAGCATTTTCTGCAGATAAGGGAAATGATCTAGAATTGTCCTTTGATTGAGGTTCATCAGCCCAGCAGCAGGGCAATCAGTCAATCCGACCCAAACAAGCCCACAAAAGATAAGGGCGCGAGATGAGCCCCCGTCCTTCGTAGGCAGAGAGATGCGGAACTTTCTGACATTTCTAGGCCGCATATTCCGTCTCTCGCTTGTCATTCATCCACAGGGACCCAAGACCCAGGTGCTCGTAGGTCCAAGAGAAATAAGTGTCACCGAGGCATATGCCAGGCATTCCCAGAGTTCCAGACTAACGAGGATACGGCCAACAGATCTACTGGTGCCCGTGGTGCGCATGGTGTGGCAAGAAACTCGCACTCGTAGGCTTTTTCCCCGGGTCTTGGGAGGCGAGCTAGTTAGTCACTCCGTCGAGGGTAAAGTGACAGCCCAGAAAACCTTGGATGTTCAACACGAGAGGCAAAGAGATTGGTTTGTATTTTTCGAAAGTGACTCTCTTTTGGCTTTCCGTTCCGAATCTGAACCCCAGAGGAAGATACCTCGTACCTCCTGCCAGCCAGCCATCTGGCGGTTCGTCGAATCAGAAGGCGTGCATCCAAAAGGGGATCCGAAATCTGAGTGCCGTGAGAGTTGGAATCCCTAGTTAAACTGGGGTAAAGAAAGTTGCTTTTTCTTGACTGCGACACCGACACGGCGATGGCCCTTTTGATGGCTGCGGGAGCAGGAGCACAGACTCAGGGGACAGTCGTGAAGATACTGTGCGGATAGGCAGCTGGGCTCACTACGTTTCAAAGCAGTCCCCCTTATCTCTGATGGGTGTCTCTTCCCCTCGTATCGGGCACAGACAAGGAGGCATCTTAACATGGTCGGGCTTCTGCAACGTGAAGATCATGATGTTATAGGTAGATACCTGACCTGTGCATGGACAGCACAGGCCGCCCTGCATTAGGGGATTCAGGATCATGTACGGAATACGGATAAAGTAAACTCGACAAGGCTGCTTCAGTTATATCCGAGCCTTATAACTTGTCCCAGATACTCGTATAGATTGACAGATCTGCAAGTATGCTATTCGAACGCATGAGAGCCCAGTATTCCAAATACGACCTTCGCTGGGCAAAAACGTCAACATATCAATTGGTATGTACCTCGTACCTACGGTTACATTTCCTGCCTTCCCAGAACTCGTACTTGCTCTCGATCCTTATTGTCCAGTCCAGTCAAGGCCAGTCCAAGCGTTTTGCATATGCTGTACTCTGCTCGATCCAGGTAGCCACACTCCAATCAAGGGGTCAGAGTCAGGTGCTGCAACGACCACGAAAGATTCGGTAAGAGCGAAAGAGACAAACTGGCGAAAGAAATGCAGATCTACAACTTCGGCCTTGCCTTGTTGAGCTTCGCGTCCTCCTCCTCGCGGAACTCCTTCTTCGCCTGCTCCTTCAGAATCCTCCTGAGGATCTTCCCACTGACGCTCTTGGGCACGGCGTCGATGAATTTCACGCCCCCACGCAACTTCTTGTGATTGGCGACTTTGCCGTTCAGCCACTGAATGATTTCCTTGGCATCCGAGTCCTTGACGGCCTTCAAGCCTCCTTTGCGCACGATGTACGCGCGTGGAACTTCGGTGCCGAGTTCTTGACTGTCGACGCCGACGACGCAGACGTCGTCGATCAGTTCGTGGTTCGCGAGATAGCCTTCGAGTTCGGCGGGCGGGACTTGGAAGCCTTTGTATTTGATGAGTTCTTTGACGCGGTCGGTGATGGTCAGGTTGCCTGCTTTGTCGAGGAAGCCGACGTCTCCTGTGCGAAACCAGCCGTCTTCAAGGCATTCCGCCGTCGCTGTAGGATTGTTGTGATATCCGGTGAATACGTTGGGTCCCTTGACGTAGAGCTCACCGACTTCTCCGCGCGGAAGCTCTTTGGTACCGTCGTGTTCTTCACCCTCGTTGGGCACGGCGCAGAACTTGGCGAGTAGGTTTGGTACCATCCAGCCCGTGGTTCCGACAGCGGACTCCCAATCTTGCCATCTTTGGATGAATATCGTGGGACTGGTCTCAGATAATCCATAGCCCTGCTTCACTCGTACGCCCTTCCTTTTGAAGAGAGACTCCACCAGATCCTTTGTCAGCGGTGCAGCACCCGAGTTGGTCATACGTAGAGAGCTCAGGTCGTATTTCTCAACTATGGGATGTTTGCACAGTAGTAGCACAATTGGAGGGACAATGTATGAGTAGGTGATTTGAAAGTCCTGGACCAGCTGACACCATTTCTCCAGGTCAAATCGTTGAAGTACCAATGTTTGCACTCCTGTGTAGATTGGATTTAGAACGAGTACATTCAGACCGTAGATGTGGAAGAATGGTAAACAGGCAAGAATCTTGTCACCCTTGCCCTTGGGTGCATCCGGAATTCCAGGACAACTCACGGACCCATCGTGAGTGAGCCAAGCTTCTGCTCCGATTATCTGTTGAATATTCGCCGTCATATTATGATGCGTGAGTCTGACACCCTTGGGTCGGCCGGTCGTACCAGAGCTGTACACGAGAAAAGCGAGATCTTCCTTGGGATTGATTCGTGGAATCCGATATCGATCGGTTCCAGACAAGACCCTAATCGAGGACCAATGCTTCGTCTTGTTCGAAGGGTCTTTCTCCTCGCCTAGAAGAATGATACGCTTCTCATCGATTCCCACTTCCCGAGCGGCCTTCTTCGCGACATCAAGCACGCTGAGATGTGTAACAAGAACTTTGGCGCCAGAGTCCTTGAGTTGGTAGACCAATTCTGCCTGTGTATAGCCTGGATTTGCAGGCGAGACAATGGCGCCTGTCCATAGTGCACCGAGAACAACACCGGGGGTGTCGACATCATTTGGTGCATATACTCCGACAACGTCGCCTTTCTTGAGATCAAAGTTGGATCGCAGTCCCTTGCCAAAATCTGTTGCTGACTGCTTGAGTTGTTTATATGTATACTGCCGCGACAGGTTGTCACCAGATTGGAATATCACTGCTTGAATTAGAACATGATCTAATATGGGCGAAGACATGGCTAGACTTGTTGGGGCGCAACACCCATAGTTGGTGGAACAGAACGGAGAAGACACGTACCTTGATCATCTGAAAACTTTCGATCCTTGCGATTGAACAAGAAATTGAAGAGATCAACCACTTGGAGGTTGATATTGGGAAAGTTTGACTCAATAGGCATGATGGCGGGTGATTAGTGACGTCCAACCAGGGATTTCTTTGCTTAATTAGCGCAGTCCTTTTGTCGTAATCGCACGGAGGAAGCGTCCTTATCCTGAGTGGGATGAAAGACGGTGTTCAGCAGGAGTGGCAGATAATCCTAATGTCGACCATAACCAAGGGACGAGTTGCTATTTCTACTCAAAGAGATAGCAGAGCTTACTACAAATGTGATTTCAAAAGACCACTAGAAGCTCTGAGTTTCGAAGACGATCAACAATGTCGTTTATGATGCAGCGAAGTAGTAATGCGTACTGCTGAAGGAGATGGAGCAAGAACAGGTAGATTTGTAGAATTGATAATGAGAAATGAGAGATGAGGTCAAGGCTGGTGATTTTTCGGCGATGTTCCAATACAAGCTTCAGCGACCAACCCCGTTGACCTTGCTAGAGATCTCAAAATGACAGAGTCACAGACCAATTAACGATGGCGTGAATATGCGAGGACTACCGTTGCCCCATGGAGTGCATCGGATGGCTGATGGATGGGGAAGGCTGTCGATTGCGTCGAGTTGTCCAGGTGGCGTTCTAGCAGGTCCGTGGGTGCCCGTAACCTGAAAAGGTACTTACCGAGGCTCAAATCGCTGGTGGGGTCCTTTTAACTATGGGGTTTCAGGATGCCTACACCTTTTTGTGCTCCGGGTTAACCCTAAATACTCGCCTTTCCTTGTTGCTAACGTACGAGAGCGAAAGCGAAAGCCGACTCCGATTTTGGGTCCTCCGGTCACGTCGGCTCGCCACATCGGACATCCAAATCGCTCTTGTGCATCAAAACCTGGTGGTGCCTGGAAGCTTGCAGTTGTTGTACGATATGTTAATAGGAACCCATGATTTAGTGGTAAAACGAGCAGGTCCTATGTCTCAAATACTGGGTTGTTGTGATCTCATGTAAGTTGATATATGAACACTTGCAAAACCATGTGGGTATACCTAAGTCAGCACCAGGACTGACAAAATCCAAGGAAGCCTGAGTCCAAGCAGTCAGACGCCCCTATGTTTAAATTATATATGTACTGGGGCAAGTTTCCATTCCGATGGATATCTCGTGCACCTTTCAACGCCATGTAAATGTTGTGGTAACTGCTTCGTCGCATAATTCTCGACCGTCGTGTTTTCGTCTCTTTATAATACCTCAACTATCACATTAGCCGTGGTTGAAATGGCCCAAACGGCAATCAATCCTATACCAATCTTCCTATCCATTCTCCATCCATTGAGTGGCACGAAGATGAGCAACCCAATGAGAGTGATCAGCAATGTAATACCCGAAATGATCAATGTGGTACTGATCTCCAATTCGTAAGGCTTGTAGTGAATTGGTTTGTCGGGATGTTTATGGTGCTTGTGAGTGGCAGTGTGAATTGTCATGTACATGCCTCCAAGACCAATACCGAGCAAGATATTTAACATTGGGCCTCCGAAGCATGCTGATAAGGCCATGACAGGGAAACCCAACTTTGCGACAGTTACATCTGCCACCCAATCACCCACGGAATTACCCATGGCGAAAATGGTTAGACCGAGAATTGCATCTGACATGCCAGTGACAACTCCAAATGCCTTGAGAACTCCGACCACTTCGTTGGCAATGGTTGATATCCATGCAATTGCGACCAGGAAGCCCAGAAAGCAAAAGACCGACCGATATTTTGGTTCGCGGTATGCTGATGTCGTCGCAAGAAGTATCAGAACCATGACGAGAGAAAATACCAGCGAGCCTAGTGCCAGTCGTATATAAAGCTTGGTCGAATAATCTTCTTCCAAATTGGCCCAAACGACAGAAACGATGAAGAAAGGTGCGGTAAAAGCCTGAACAAATACAAGCCACCGGTTCCAGTCACCGACTTCCAAAGCCTCATTGTTTTGATTGTTTAGACTTCTGGTCAAGTCCGTTCCCTGTCGTGACAAAGATCCATGAGGGTGTGGAGGAGCATCAAACACGGGTTTTTGTGGCGAGATAAGAGAGCCATCAACAGGAAGACCTGCTAGACTCTGCGAACGACTTCGATAGCCTCCTCCAGGCGTCAGTACACCAAAATCGGGCTCTTCATCCTCCTCCTTAGGTTCCACGACGGGCAGGGTTATCCTAAAGAGGAACAAAGATGGACTTGTGACGATGCCCAACAAGCGTTCCCCCGCGGACCGTTTACGCCACTCATACAGGGTGGGGAACAAGGTGGATACTATGGTCTGAGGTGCTGGAAGATACTTGTATGGCCACCAACTGAAAGTACGCATGGGCTCTTCCTCTTCATCCGGTAAAAGACCCAAATGGTGAGTAGACTCTGGGGACATACTGGGGGCCAAAGGATGAATGCTCGGTGGACGAGAGGATACGGGAGTCATGACACTGGGTGAATCAACATATGGAGGAAAGTCTTCCTGGTGTAAAACTCCTCGAGAATGATCTGGATGTGGCGTATGCAAGAGTGGAACTTGAAGAGTTGAACCGGTCCGTGGGGAGAGTGCTGGACTTTTATCGTCATCTGAATATTGTCGGTAATAATCTGGACGACGAAAATCCGTGAGAGGCGGAGCCAGGAGGTTAGGCGACTTGGGAGCCCCGGACACGCCCCGCTTATCATTTGAAGCTCGTCGAGGGTTCGCCGGGGATAGAACGAGTTTAGGTGAGGGAGGTCTTTGGGGAGAAGGGTCATTGAGAGATCCCAGTATGGCAGCACTCGGTCGAGAAGAACTGGGCACCTGGCCATTTGAGGAAGAACCTTGACTACTGACGGCGGATTCCGAAATTTGGTCTGATAGAAAATTGGTGTCAATTCGAAGCCTGGAGGCGTCATTCGCAGACACGGCTCTCATCCGATTGCTGACACTGCCAGCCTCGAGATAGTCTGGCGTGACCAGCTCAGGGTGTGAAGCGGTAGGAGGTGCGCTAATGGGACCGGAACCCAGAAAGGCATTGGCGTCGTCAGAATACCGCCGACCACTACTGAGTGGAATGTTGGTACCTTTCTTTTCAAGGGAACTCATGATTGATCTGAACTCTAAAGCACCAATCAAGCTAGGTCGAATCGGGGTGATGGTATTCCTCCTTTCTCCACGAGCAGGACGACTAACTCTCATCTGGCTCCGAAGGGTCGCAAGATATCGGTCACGTGCTTCATCGTCATCATCAAGATCTTCCAATTTCCATGCAAGATTGATTGGAGTATGTAAAGTGGGAACACTGTCTGCAGATTCATGCCGGAGAAGACTTGCCTGTTCACTAGCAGGGCGAGACTCTTCATCGTCATCTAGATCCGGGACTTCGAGCTCCTGGTGTTCAGGGATATGATGATGAAGTCTGGCAGCAGTTTCTGCGAGCCTCAATCTCCGGCGGCGACCCAAATACCAGTGCCAGGCGGTGACAAAGACGACATAGAAAGCATAGTAGCCCACCATGACCACGCACTCCCACAAACGTAAACTTCCATCAGCGAGGAAGACGAGACTGAAGGAAGCGGAGACGGCAAAGAAGCCGACATCGCGGATGAAGCTCTTGCGGGCAACTTGAAAGGGGTTGACGATGGCCATTGAACCCGCGACAACGGCGGTGATAAAACCAGCGGCACCAATTAATTCTCCAACAGCCAAACTACCACTGTTGGATTTCATTGCGGCGAAGGTAGAAAAGACATCGGGGCTTCCATTCCCAAAGGCCAGAAAGGTGACGCCCGTCAGACTCTCGCTCATGCGCAGAATGCTGGCGATTGTGCTCAAGTTGATGCAGAGGAAGTCGGAGGCGGCCAAGCCGATACTGGTGAAGAGGAGGCAACTCCATAGTATTATAAGGGTGATGGCGAAGGGTCTTACGGCCGGTGAGGAACAGTAGTAGAATTGGAGGTAAGAGATGAGGCCGGCTTCTTCATCGGGGCAATTCTCTTTCACGAAGGAGCATTGATCTGGAGCATGTTTGACCAGGCGACACTCGAGATTCGGGGAATTGGTTGAGCGGGCGTGAAGAGACTGAGCGGGTAAGACATCTTGTTGATAGAAGTCTCGGAGATAGCTATAACAAAGAAGTGATGTGAGGACGAGTGCGGCGAGGTAGAAGGTGCGGCCTTGTTCTCGCACGCGACGGCGCATGGGCGGAGAGGGAGGATGAAGTAGTGCGGGTGGTATCAATCTCTGTGCCATTTTTGGAGACGCAGTGCATTATTGCAGTGGATATGGGGTAGGGAGGGTTCGACTGATAGTCATGATGAATACAGAGTATAGAATGGATAGATGATGTGCCAGTGGACTGCGGCGACGGCGAGGGGTGAGGGAATACAAGCTTTAGAAGCAGTCTTTGCTTCGAGATCAAGAAACAAGATGTGGAAGCAGTGACGGAGGTTCGAGTTCGAGTTTGGTTTCACTTTCACTTTCGGAGACGGAGACACAGTGCCACCTTCCTTGTTCACGTTCATCATGATGCATAAATCACCCGATGCACAGCCACAATCCTTGACACGTGAGGGGCCCTACCAAGTTTTTGTGCCCGTAACTTTGGTGCCTGGCACTGACTGGCACTGGCACTGGCACCGGGATCAACCACCCGTGGGTTCACCTGAAGGGCACCCGCCGGCCACCACCCCATGCTCTTATCTGGAGTACTTCCCCCCTCGCCCCCATTCCTCGCCTGGAACATCGTCGAGGAGTCCCTATCGATCATCATCTCCCACTAACGCAATTCGAGGGGAACGGCCAGTACCGAGGTTCAGGTTCAGGTTCCGATTCCTTTTCTCGGTTTTGATCGCTCATCCTTGACCTTTCTTTTCCTTAACAAACTTACCCGGTACAATATACTCTCTCTCAATTCACACCAGGGGAATAATGTTACTCTCCCTCACGTGAATACATATATTCACTACTTCTGACCTTGGACATCATACATCACTGCCATGGCCGCCCCAACCTTTGCAGATGTCGTGCCCATCAAGCGCATCTCCTCTCACCAATATTCCATCTCCCTCGAGGATGAATGGTGTATCGGCTCAGGTCTGCTTTCTAATGCTGCTCAACCTCACCCTAACCCAAGCTGACACCCTCTATCAGTCCCCAACGGCGGATATGTCACCTCGTCCTTCCTCGTCGTCGCTCGAACACACATGTCGCAAACCCACTCAACCCGCTCTGAACCACATCCTGTAAACCTACATCTTGAGTTCCTGCGCCGAACATCTGTCGGCGAGGCCATCTTCACCGTGCAAGATGTCAAACTTGGCTCTCGTATCTCCAACCTTCACATCACCCTATCTCAACCTAAACACCCAGGCGACACTGTACGAGAAGACAAAGCCCAAGGCTACATCACCATGAGCAACATCGCGACTGAAGAAGGCCTCTCTCTCGACACAGAATACACACTCTCTTCACCCCAAGCCCTACCCGTAAATCTCCCCATCCTAGGCGCGAACAATCTCGACGAGAACTACACCATCCGTCCTGCCGACCCATTTCCACAGTTCAGAAGGGCGGCGCAATGCAGTAGGTTTGACGCTGGAGAGCTCCAGGGTTCTCTGACTGTGTGGCTGCGCTGATGTCTCCCAGTCCAAATATTTCTCGTCAGGCCAGATAAAAGGGGTCCATCGCGCCCCAAATCCATCATCGACCAATGGGTGCGCTTCTCCCCCAAAGGCGTCCCAAACGGACGCTGGACCAACGATGCCCTCGGCTTCCTAGTCGACATGTTCCCCCAGATCGTCGAGAGCTACATAAATCCCGAGAGTGAAGACGCCGCCCTGGGCGCGCAATCGCAACAACAGCGCCGAGATTCCACCAAGAAACCCAAGGTCAACGGCGGCCGGCCCTTCTGGTATCCGACGCTGGTTCTGAACCTCGACGTCAAGAAACTCCTACCCGAGGAGGGCGTGGAATGGCTGTTCGTTCGCGTCCGCGCGAAAGCCGTCAAGAACGGCCGCTTCGATCTCGACATTGAAGTCTGGGACGAAACCAACGAGTTGGTCGCGACCAGCACGCACGCCAGTTTGATCGTCGATGCCTCGCGGAACATCGCCGGGAGGTCGAGGTCTAAAACGAGCAAGAAGAACAATGACTCGAAGCTATGATGGGTGGTTTCCTCCGAGGTTGATTCTTTAACCTATCCGTTGATCCTCGATACTTCTTGCAGCGTTCTGTATAGATATAATAACCTGGACATATCACCTTGGGGGGCTCCAGAGTTAGGACCACGAGAAGGATGCTGTTTGCGACATCACCTGCCCGGTCATAGAAGTGGGCATAGATACTCCCAGAGACTACACAATACTACAATGGGATAGAGATATATAATTTAGCGCAAGTAGTCGCAATCGTGAGCGGTGGAAGAAGATGTGTGTAAACAAGTCAATTCGGGATAATCGTCTTGATTGAGATCATTACTTCTGTACTGCACATTGTACAATTATGTACGTACATACACCCAGACCTTCCTCTCACCAACCGCTCAAGAGCACAGCCAAACACTCAACCAAGTACATCAAGCCGCGTCCTTCTCCATCCGTGTAATCGATCAGATCCGACCCGATCAAATCACAGCCGCGACACCCAAGCCCAGCAGACCCAGAACACCCCATTGCTGCTGCAGGACATTGGCGGCGCCGGTGAACGTTGCGGCGGGCGGGGGAGCGCTCGAGCCGCCAGACGAAGCAGGGCTGAGCGAGGTGATGGTCGAGGTGGCCGACACGGTCGGTGGAGCCGCAGACGCGGAGACGGTGGAGCCAGGGGCGGACGATGGGCTGACGGTCGTGGCGGGCACGGCTCCCCCTGTTGGCAGTGTGATGGTCACGCCGCCGGAGAGGCAGTACTGCTGTGCGAAGGCGAGGGTTGCTGGTCAAGCGTTAGTTATAAGTCATTTGGTTCTTGCATGAGGGGTGTCTTGTCTCTCAGCGGCGACAGGGACGGCAACATACCTGCTACATCAGTGGCGTTGCAGGCGGTGCCGATGCATGTCTGCACTGTCGTCAGGAACGATGTTGCTGAGCAGACGCAATGAGCGTCCGTCGCGGAGCAGCCTGTTGCTCCGATGGCGTTGAGAGCACATGTCACCTGTTGGGACTGGATTAGCAACTGATAGTATGGGCGTCCTCCTCGAGGTCAACACTTACGGCACAGGCTGGGAGGGTGGAGAGGTCCTGTGAAGCGACCAGCTGGACGAGCGAGACCAGGCCCAGTGAGGCAAGTGAGAGAAAACGCATATTGGCTGGTTGGTGAGTGAGCGTTGATGAGTGTTTCTTCTCCTGAAAGCGAGAGTAGTCGACGAACAGGACGACAACGAGTGTAAGTAACAGTTTTGGCAACACTTGAGGAAATTGAAGGGGGCTGACAGCTATGGATCCAGGTTCGAGACGAGGAGGATTCCAGTTTACCTTTATTTATATGGGCCGGGAGATCCTGCCATTGCTTGAAGCTCGAGTGGGCCCGAAAGGCAGACTGCGGGGAATGAATGGATACCCCCGTATAGGTTTTTTAGCTGTAGCTTCAGGTTGCCTCGGACCAGACGAACAGGACAGCAGGTGACATAGCATCGCTTAAACCACACATGTGCCCAAAGAACTTTTTCAACTCATAGCTCCAAATCTAAAGCTCCCAAATGCGGGACTCAGGTCGTAGGCGGGAAGGTGGGAAAAAAAGAGTTGTTCGCAAGCTTGCGAAAGACTCGAATCAGACCCTTGTTGAGAAAGAGGGCTACCACACCCTCTAGGTGCTGCGTGACGCATGTCTCAGGCACCAGTAGCATTTCAACGAATGGCCTCGAGTCCGCCTGCCTGAAAAGGGATCATGGTGCAGACTGAATACGAGGGGACGATAGCAAAAACTGGACCACGCCCGTGGGAGCTGATTTTTTGTGGTGACATTTGACAGCGGACGCTGATGGCTCGGTTGCGGAGAGGAAGAGGAACTAAACGTACAATATTGATAAAGATGCGGGGAACCTGACACTTGACACCGCTCTGGTTGCCATGTCTGATGCTGGTGGCTGGGAAAAGAACAAGCTGAATGTGATGCTTGGACCGGGCGGGAACATGAAGCCCGCGTGGCCTTTTTCTTTAGTTCCAGACAGCAAGATATCCGTGCCTAGAGAGGCATGAAAACCGCCAGAAGTTTGGACTTTGAAGGCGTTTGAATTGTACTTGTAGAACTTAGAGTGGAAGGCTCCTTCCCAAAAGCAACACAAGGCGAAATGTGTTTATTGTAAATATCTGGCTTATTCCCTAGTTTAGATTAGCGTTAAACACCACTATGATGGCCAAAATCCCTCTATTGTGAAACTCTCGGTTCCGACCCTCGGTTCCTGAAACTTGTCAGGCTACCAACACTACAAGCATTGTATAGGAACTCAACCTGCGATATGCTCCTATCATGAATATGATGCAAGCATTGTCTCTCGGACTGAGAATGTTAATAGTATCACAATACGAGTTCCCTCAATCCAAAGACAGCCAAGCGGGATTGCTGCCTTGCACTAGGCGATATTTGTACAAGTAAGTGTCGAGATGGACCTCTGTTGAGAGAATGAGAGCATACATATAAGAAACAGCTGTTTGTTCTTTCCATTCGCATCATGAGCGATCTTTCTTCGACTTTGAAAATCATAATTCGAACAGAGAATTCCCACCATGTCTGTTCCTGTCCCAGCAAAGCAAACCTTCAATGGATCATGCCACTGTGGTTTCATTCGATATACGGTAGCACTGCCCGTCACCAATACGCCAGTGGCAGGACGCTGCAACTGCACCATCTGCCTGAAGCAGGGGTACACGGGGATCAGGATATCGCCCGAGGACTTCAATTTGGTATCTCCGAGTTCCCAATCCGAGGTCAAGAACTATCAGTGGAGATCCAAAGATATCAATAAATACTTCTGTGCCAACTGCGGGATCCATTGTTGGAGTACTGGACAATTTGAATTTCAAGGAACGCACCATCAATTCTTCACGATCAATATCTTGACCTTGGATCAACCACAGGATGGCTTGGATTTGAGCAAGTGGAAAATCAATTATGTGGATGGCAGAAATGATAATTGGGCTGTGGGTCCAAGTGACACCCCTCATCCTGGTGGCATCATATGATGGGAATCGTATACTTCCAGCGAGACAGACAGAATATGTTGCCATCTTTGTTAGCTCTCAAAAGGGGCGGCGATGAGCAGCAACTTTCTGGCCAGAGTATCATCATCTGGAGTTTGCAAGACCCGATCGTGGAGTGCACCAGACTAAACTTCCCTATATGGATCCTGTTTGTCGGACGACTTGATTCTGCATTGCAATGTTGGGCAAGATTGATTGCATCGAGCAATGTTGAGCTCATGTTGTACGCGAATCTATGAAGCAAGTTGAAGCTCTTTCGTGAGGAGTGAAGCACGGGGGTAGCTCGCTTAACGAATGGTACTTGCTTTCTACGTTTGCATTTTCGAGGCACTGCTATTTCAAGGCTCAAGATCGTGGCCAACCTTAGGAGTCGCTTAGTTATGTAAGAGATGACAAGTCTTGATACGGGGACTGATATCGAAGCACCAGCTGTTGAACCAGAACTCCAGATCGTACAGAATCATCTCGATCCTTCCCAGGTGTATAATTCCAAGGTGCAAGGAAATGTTACTCCAGCGGTCTTCCTGACATCCAACGACTGTGATATATCTTCATCACATGCAATCAAGTCATCCACCACCGCATACACAGCAATCAAACCCTCCCCACAGGATTGCCCAGCGTTCCCACTAACCAATGCACCTTGTACACCGCGACTTTTTGCCTGTCCATGCCTCTTGAAGTTGTATTCCCACAATGTCAGCCCCCACTTTTGAGGCGGTGGGATGCCCCCCTGAAAGTTCTCAGCCCTGGCGCCGGGCCGCAGAGTTCCTCTCTTGAAACCCCGTAAGTTCTCTCCCAATTCTCGAATCGATCTCAGCCCTACAAGCCCAAACCCCATTTCTCCCTGCGCCTTGTCAGCACTTTGTTACACAATGCCACCCCCAATTGTCTAACCATCGGGAAGATTCTCATACTCCTTGCTTCACATTGGACCAGAGAGTGCTTGGGACGGATCACATCAACCGCAGCGTCGTAGTCAGCTGTGCATTCAACGGTTACGTGCTCTTTCGTTGGTTGATTCTCAATCACACGTGTTGTCTTCTGCTTCCACAGTTTTCCTCGCTTGACTAAAACTTGCGTTCTGGGTGGTCCTCGTACGCATTGAATCTCGATACGATGCAAGTCAGAGTGCTTTGAGGGTGATGGTAGAGGACTCGGAGAAAACCAACCATGTGCATGATCGCACTGCCCGGATTCATGTGAAGGTTGAATATCAATATAGATGCGGTAAAAAGAAGCCAGGTAAGATCTCAGCCCAGATCACCTTCGAGCTCTATCGGATCTTAATTCAATTCTCCTCCTATCTTATTGTCTTGCTGCGACAACTTGTCGAAACTATACTTCTCATTCCCTTCAACTCCTCTTTGTTGCCGTGGACATACTCATCCAACACTCACAACCACTTGAAATCTATAAGCAAGAATGGCATCAAGATACTTCTCTCGCAGATCCGATATGGCGATGAACTCGACCACGGGCACCAACTACAGCAGCAGCTACAGGGATAAGACGGCTACATCGACCCAAGATCGATCTACTGCCTCTGCATCTTCATCGATATCTTCTCGCCGCCCATCCACAACATCGACATCGACAAGCTCAAGCACTTCAGGGAAAATCGCCACTCCCGCCACATCACTACCCGTCAAATCAGACAGAAACGTGGGCATAACCTACCGCGATCGTCTGTACGAGACCGACTGTTGGAGCGGCTCCATGGGGAGTAGCTACGGGTCGTTTATGCGCTCATTACATACTCGTGCATCTTGAAGCTTGAAGCTTGACATCAAGATTTGACTCCGAGAAGGCTTTTGTTCCTATCTGACAATGATCTGGCGAACCTGAAAGTTCCTCTCAAGGAAGAGGCGGGAAATAGCACGCAGATAGAGACGAGCGTGGCCATCATTTTGTTTTGTAACACAAATTGTACAGCAGAACAAACATTTACCATATCCATAAGCACAAATCATCTTACCAACACTACCAGATTCCACAAACATCTCATTCATGCTTACCTAACATTATAGTTCTTCTCTTCACCGTCTGAGCCCTCATGGTCTATCTGCCCAGCGCATCCATCACTTAAATACAACACCACCACCACCACCCTCTCCCTCAAAATTTCTCCTTCGCAGGCCGCATATCCAACTCATGGACCCAGAGATCCGGACTCTGGGCCTCGAGCATCAAATACAACCTCCCCACACTCTCGGCACGAATATTCTCCCCGTTCTTGACCTTCTGCAGCGCCCCTTTCTCCTGCACGCCCTTCCTCAACTCCTCGTCCGTGGTATCGACATCGACAATCGACCCGTTCGCAATCGCATGCACGACATGCACTCCACGCTCGCTGTACTCCCTCGCCAGACTCTGCGCGAGCATGCGCACGCCCGCGCGTGCAGCGCCATACGCCGCGAACTTGGGGTTCGTGCGCAGCGCGCCCAGCGTGCCGATGAAGACGAGCGTGCCTTTCTTCCTCATCCCCTGCACATCCCCGTCCTCGTCCTGCCCTAGATCCTGCCCGACCATCCATTTCAGCACCTCCTGCGCGAAAACCATCGCGCCGGTGACATAGACCTGCAGACTCTCCGCGAAGGCCGCGGGGCTCTCCTCCTCAAACGGCACGCGGTGCGAGTTTTTCACGTTCCAGACCGCGAGGCGCAGCTTCAGCTTCCCCTTCCCGGTCCCCTCCAACGACTCCGCCCAGCTTTGCACTTCCGGCACGGTCTTGCCGAGCTGCTCCGGCGACGTGTCGGTCTTGAATGCCCGGAGCACGCCGCCATTGGATTCGCGGGACAGGCGCTCCGCGAGCCCTGCGTCGCCGCTGCGGCTGAGCAGTGCCACGGCCAGGTTTCCTCGTGCTGGGTGCGCGAGTACGCGTGCGATGCCTGACGCTGCCGTGGGGCCGGCGCCCATGATTATTGCGAGGCCGGAAGGTGGCATGTCTTCTGGCAGTTGGAAGTCCCCTTTTTTCTTTCCTGGGAGTCTTGCTGGGTTAAGATGAAGTTTAATGGTGACTCGGACCGGTGGTGGGTGGGTGTCTGTATGATTTGGGGTGGTGAATGCTTCCCCTGAATGCTGATGTGAATGTTTGCGGATGATGTAGCAAGGACTCGACTTATCTGGCGTTACTGACCTACCTATATATGCAGTTTCAAAGTTGAAAGAGATTCATGTGTGAATGCTTCAGACTCTGTGATGAGGACATCAAACGTCATTGGTATCAATCGGGGATAACTTTTCCGAGACCTGACTGGCTCGAGGTTGCAGAACAACGGATTCAGTCGCTCCCAAAACTAAGTAGCTGAGTCACCCTGAGAAGGTAGTAGACGATGAGAGGATATAACTGAGGAGAAGCGAAAGCAGATGACGTCTGAATGAAATTGGGGCCCCTATGAGATGACGGGGGAATATCGAGGGGGGTGACTACCGCTTGCGGGCCACCAAGTTTTGACGTGTTCAAAAGTTCTTCACACTGAAGTGTCAATTCGATTTTCTATGTAAACATGACAGCTCACTGGCCCGTTAACTCCCCAGTTGCCTGAAACTGCTATGCAAGGGTATCATATTACAAGAGCTGCGAATGCTCACGTCAAGTTCGTTTGTCTCATTGTACGAGGTCTGTTCTGAAATTGCTGGAACACACGAATACACAGTTTCATGCATAACAATCTTCCAATACTTCGGAGCTCGATTGATAACAGAGATCTTTCTTTCACTTTGCGGACCCATTCATTTGTCCAGGATCCTCACGTTTCACTAGTTTCTCCAGAATGGACAAAACACCTATGACCTTGTCAGTTCAAGCAATCGAGTTGGAGCTTGAAAGATTTCACTTACCGGTAACACCTTGTGTCAAGGTCGCGGACGCTTCTGTACTCCTAGCTCCGAGCGTGACGGTCACCACATCCTTGATCTTATTTGCCTTCTCCAACTTATGCGCCCAGTTGAAGACATATTCATCCTCCCGAGAGTCACCGATTACGAGCAGGAAGTCAGGTAGAGCTTCTTCAGTCCCCACGATTCCCTCCTCCAACTTGTCGCTGATCATCTGTGCAGCCAAGCCTTTGTTGACATCCATCTCTGAAATGATCAAGCCATCTTCAATTGGAACTGCGCTGACATGTTGATTACGGCATGCGTCGTTGATGTGGTTTGCACATTCTCCTGCTTGTTTGAATGCGGTGGACACGTCTTCTGCATCAGTGTAATCAAACACGAGAGCCGAGTGTCGTTCCTCGATGCGGCTCCCCTCAATTCTGTCGACATAGTATTGAAGGATGCTTCGGACACCGGATTTCCAAGTTTTGATGTTTTCCAGGTCGGTCAACTCGGTCCAGTCATCAGTACATGGTTCTTGCACAAATGCACCGTTCTCCGCGATCATACCAATGCCAGAAACCTGACTGAACAGTCGTTCCATTTCCTCGGGCATTCGAGAACTCATGACATAGACGATATTCTTCTTGTCCTCCACCAAATCATTCAGCACGTCAATTGAACGTTTGGGAGTGGTCAAGATGATGTCTGTTGGAGCTCCCCAAGAAGCAAGGGTGCCTTCGTAATCGATAATGATGAGACGTTTGTTAGCTTTGCGGTATTTCGAGGTCGTGCCAGAAACCGACAAACGTGGAACGGAGGTTGAATCACGAATTGAGTGTTCTTTCCAGGCATGATCGAGTGCTTTCATGAATGATTCATACCAGCGTGTAGCATTGTATTGACCGACAATATCGGACATGGCCTTCCAGCGACGTTGTCGTTCTTCATCCGGCATGTCCAGTGCTTTCTTGATGGAATCGGCGCATTGTGTATAATGCCAAGGATTGACAAGTAAAGCGTCTTTTCCAAACACAGTTGCGGAGCCAGTAAACTCACTAAGAATAAGTGGCGCACATTTGGTGTTTGAAATCTTGCCATCTTGACAGAAGATGAATTCATGGCTGGTAAGGTTCATGCCTTCCCTCAAGCTGGAAATCATAAGGCAATCGGCAATGGTGAGGAGAGCAAGATACTGTGCAAAATCGATGTCTTGCTTCAAAAACACAACAGGTTGATGAGCTAGTGTTGAATGAGAAGAATTGATACGGGTCACAATGTCGGCAACTGTGGCACTCAACTCAGGGTCTTCTGTGGATGAGGTAGCGATTTGAATCAAGACAACCTGATCCTCGTACTGGGGGTACTTGTTAAGAAACAACTCATACGACAACATCTTTTGGCGTACTCCACGAATATTGTCAAGCTTGTCACGACCAACAATCATTCGCTTCCCGGCATACTTTTCAGCAATTGTGCGAACCCATTCACTGACTTCTGGTAATTTTCGTTGTGCATCAAGTGATTTTGGATCAATGCCAATGGGACAGGTCTGTACGTGAACAAAACGTCCGTCCTCAAGGATGACACCATGTTTGGTTGCCTCGACATTCAACAGCCGGCTGCAAGTTTGAAGAAAATGATGCCCGTATTCTTCATTCTGAAATCCAATCATACTTGCACCAAGAACACCTTCGAGAAGATTGTTGCGAACAGCCAAGCAGCGGAAGATTTCTGAAGATGGGAAGGCGGTATGAAGGAAGAAGCCAATTTGAGCCTCAGGAATCTTCTTTCGCAGAAGACCAGGGACCAGGAGAAGGTGATAATCATGAACCCAAATTATGTCACCTTTCTTGTAATTCTTGGCAATACGATCGGCAAAGGCTTCGTTGACTTTGACATAGTAGACCCAAGAATGATCCTCATATGCCTTGCTCTTTGGATGGTCTGGAACTTGATAGTGGAAAACAGGCCAAAGAATGGTCTTGCAGTAGTGCTCGTAATGTCCGTTGAGATCGCTATCACTAGCAAAGACTGCCAATGAATCGTAATCATTCTCAAGTTTCTCGGCAATGTTGGCTCTCAGATGATCCTCCAATGCTTCGGTTGGACAACCCAAGGTACCCACCCAAGTTTTGTCCTCGAGAATTCCAGCATCGGTGACTGCGTCGATCGCATTGAATAATCCACCGTTGCCGATCTGAGCCTTTTCCACTGTGTAGCTGTATTCAGAGAAACGTCGCTCATGGCTCACTGTTCTTGCTCTTTGGCGGCGGCCGCTGATCTTGATTTGCGCACTTTGCAGCAAAGCAGTGGCCTTTTCTCTTGTGATACGAGGATCAGCGTGTTTCAGGATGTCGCTTGGAGGAGGTTCCTTCGCGCGTGAAGGAGGTTGATTCCAAGTCACAGTTTTACCCCATGTTGGTGAATGTAGATCGGCACGAGAAATCGTGCGCGGATCTCTGATAGCGGGGGACTCTGCGTCTGCTAGCTTGATATGACTGGGTAGTCTTAGACTGATTGGCCGCTCGACATGAGGACGGAAGATGCGCTCGTGGTCAGTGGTGGCGCCAGGGGTCTGAACAATAGGACCAGGAGTGTCGACGAGGCCTGCACTTGGGGTAAAGAGACTCACTGCGGGCACAAGGCCGGGAGTGATTGCAGGTACATCAGTGGTTTGAGATCTGGTGGCTTCTGGTGACGCGGGCCTTGACTTTGAAGGGACGTCAAAATTGACCGTGTATGGTAAGAAGAGGGTCGCGACAAAGACCGTCATGGTAACATAAGGATGCTGCTGAAAGAGTGTTCTGCGCGAGCAAAATAATAGATTGACTGGAGAAGGATTGATGTTGCGACGATGATGTGAGAGGGAGAGCAAGGAAAGAGGTCGCAAGGACTGATGAGTTAAAGCAACTTATCGATCTAGTCGTGGAAGGTGACAGTGAAGACAGGACTGTGACAGAGGCATGGAGGAGGGTGGAGAGACAGCAAGAATGTGCTCGTGAGTGAAGATAGGAGCAAAGATACTTCTGAATGTGAAGTAAGGGATGTGGAAGGAAGGACGGATCATATAATGGAAAGTTCTAGGAATTACGACGGATGTGATATACGGGACGATGCAATGATGGCATCGTGAACTTACAAGTTTGGGATGGGAACAGGGGAAGGAAGAAGCCGAGGGGGCCAGCTATTCCATGATGGGCCAGATTACGGGACTCGAATACACTGGGTCCCGGTCCTGGTACAAATAGAGAATAGAAGACGGGAGGGCAGGGTTGTTGGACATGAAGAGGGTGCCGTGCCTGTGACACCAACTTGAAGTGAATGCAATTGATGGAAATTCCAACATTTATTTTTTTGGAAGCAAACACTTGCATGAGTGACGCAGCATGTGGAGTAAGTGATTTACTGTTCCTGAACGGAACAAAGAACCTGAGGCTAGAAAGAGGGACGTGTGTGTTTCCAAGGCGCCTTGTCGTCAGCTGCCCGCCGCTAATCAACTTTGAGGCCTAGGGCACATTGCTGCCCATCATGGAGGTGACCAGGAGCCCGGAGCCCTTATTCTGCCACGCCCCTGGCCCCTAAGCGTCCTTCCCGCCCTCCATTCCGGGCCTTGATGAATGCTGGTTCTCCGCTTAACCTACCAAAGGAATGGGCATGATTTGACCGGGGCCCTCTTCCGAACCTTTTCGAAACTCTCTTCCAACCACGCTGCACGTCTTTTCAGGTTTTGAGTCTTCTGCAAGCCTCAGACCACACCCAATGAGAGAAATCTACTCCGTACACTTGCCACGCTGCTGCCTTGCCATGCACCAGAATTGGCGAGAAAGTGCATGTGCTCGATTCTTCTGGTTCTCGGACCATGTATCTACGGATAACTAAATTTGGTCTCTGTTGATCCGACTATCTCATTTGAATCCTGTCCCCCTCTCCCCTCCCTCCTCCTTTCCCTGGACATGCCACTTTATCTAACGGCGTCCCACTCATCTCGAGTTCATAAGTCGGGACAAAGTTCCGCCACTACTGGCCGCCGTAATTCGGCCTCACCTTTTTCAAATGCTCCACGTAGGAAATCGACGATCCAGAGATCACACTCTCTAGCTGGCGCTCTCGAGGACGGGCTTACCGACAACGAGGATGACGCCTTGCTGCCAACCGGAAAGGTTGTATCCGTCCTCAAGATCGATGAAGCCAAAGATGTGATAAGTGCTGTTCACTATGGTCGCACTTCCATGTTTGCCGCCTTTCCAGAACGGGCTGGCATGAACAGTGTACGCATTGCTGAAGTCCTCAATTTTCAGCGAAACTTACCTTCCATTATCTCCTTGGCCCATGTTCACGCTCTTCTCGCTGCTTCTTCCAAGACGGAACGAGAAATTTCTGCATTACAGTCTGCTGGTAAGATTCGTAAAGTCAAAGTGGTGGGTCGGGGCAACGACATCAGTGGCGTCAGTGAGGTTCTCATCACGACAGATGACCTGGACAGCCTCTTGCAAAGAAGCAATATATCAGCAGATGTTATAACGGACTTCTGTACCGCTCTTCGGCGTTTTCCGCGAGCCACGTCCATCCCAGCCCAAGAACTATTTGAATCATCTGTCACCGAGTTGAGTCGGAAGGGATTTCTGGTTTCTTCCTCTCTTTCGGGTTCCCGGAACCTGTCCTTGGCCGGTTCAAGCCTGGTTGGCATTCCCAAAATATCGCGTGCAGCATCTGGAACTTCTGATGCAGTTGGGGGAGATGCAGCCTTTGAGAACTTGGGTGGGGTCGGTTCTGCAAAGCGGCCCAAAGCCCACGGCAACCGCACCTCTCATGCCCAAGGTGGTGAATTGGCGCTCTCTGTGCCAAACCTCGGTCCTTATTTGAGACTCCTGAGTGCCGGTCGAGCACACCTTCTAGAACTACTCGGCAAATCAAAATACAAGGAGGCACCGTTATATCTTCTCCGAGAGCGCTGGGACGGTGCGGTCGACACGGACAACCGGATTTCTACCGCCAAGCGAGTCAGAGGGGAATTCTCGGCTGTCATGCCATCCAAGACAAAGAAATGGAAGGATCTATATGGACTCAGCTTTGATTGGGCTCTTGAGGAGTGCCTGGGTGCAGGACTGATCGAGCTATTTGAGACTCGGAGTGTTGGGTTGGGTGTTCGTGCATTGACCTAATGTCTGAACCGAAAAAGACACAACTTCTGCGAACTCCTGCGAACACTTTCGACCTCCTGCATATTGGCAAGGGTGTACTCCTTGCTAGTATCCTATTTACAGTGTTACACAAGCGCCCTGCTCAGCGACACGAACCGCCATGCTTCAGTTGGAAGTATCAATTGGTGTGGTTCAGTGATGGAGTCTAAGTGAGGCTTCCAAGGCCGGCTGTCTCCGCCATGAAGCCAGCTAGAGAGATATTATGCGCATCCTGCGACACGCTTCATCCATCCTTATCCATAAGGAGGAGGATTCTTATCAAAAGGTCTTGACTCAATGTCACCGAGATCAGTCCAAGAATGCGGCACATAGAACAACCGCAGCATCCCTTATTACTGTGCATATCAGATCGCACTCAACACTTCGACCCTCCAGCCAAGTCGCGGACAACTCTCGAGGCAACATCGCGACCAGGTGCCAGGAATTCGTCTTACTTCCTAGAGAAATGAACGACTATCCTTGATGCCAGGGTGAAGGCTGGTGTCATGTTCAGAGAATGTTCTGCACCAGTGCGACGGTTCTTCGGCCGAGCATCTCCTATCTAGAGGCTGGAGCTGCGGTCCCCAGTCTTATTTGATAGCAATAGTCTAGCATCGCACGATTGTCCAAAGGCTCGCATCTTGCGGTAGAGGAGTAGTTCCTTGCCCACTGCCGCGCCGTAGTCTACGTGGAAATTGCGACGTATTTGACGACACTCAGAGGAAAATAGATTTTGAGACATTTGAATAGTATATATAATTTTACAGCATCTCTTTCTTGTACAGCTCGTTTCCGGCGGACAGGAATACCGCTACTCCCGCTCGACAACCGCTTCTCGTCCAGAGCATTTGTGCATGTCAGCCATCTAAACTCTATCCCTCCAGCTCCCACTTCACAAGAAATAATGGGGCGTCCAAAGCTTGCTCCAAGACCACCTCTTAAATCTTACCACCACTCAATTTCTCCGCAATCTTCTTCATGCGCTCCTGGTCTCTCAAGAACCGCTCACTACTGGGCACCAGGTTCGTCATAGATCCCGCATCGACCTTACTCTCGCCGGGGTTGCGTCCAGCCAACATATCCTTGAGCGAGGACGGCGGGCCCAGTTTCCAGACCGACGCCTTCTCGAACTCGGCATCGATCACACTCGCCAGCTGCTCCTGGGTCGTGATGAATTTCCGCGCGTGCATGTACAGTGTGTGTAGGTTGTCGAGACGGGCTTCGCGCCTGGCGTTCTGCAGGTCGTCGTAGCGCGCTTTGCGGGCTTGGTAGATGGCTTCTTCTTCTTCTGCGGGGAGGGCGAGGAGTTGTTTTGGTTTCATGGAGGTCAGGACCGTGTTAGCCGTCAGTCGCTCATCTTCACGCTCGGCTTGATTGAGGAGCCGTTCGTGCTGTTCTCGCTTGATAGCACTCCGCTGTTGTACTCGCTTCTCGTGCGTGATTTTTCGGGCGTGTAGTTGGGTCAGGGATTCGCGGAGATGCTCTTTTCGCAAATCCGACATGCGGAGTTTGTATTTCTTGGTTTCTGACTGGTACTCGGGTGGTGGGATGTTATGGGGCAGTGCATCTGGGGTCACGTTGTCCAGGTATTGCTGGCCGGGCTTGTCTGGTCGACGACGGGGGAAGAGCTCTCGCGGAACGGGGAGAAGGCCCTTGGTGGGGGGCTTAGGCTCGCGGATCGGTTGGTTGGGTTCCGGAATTTCAACGAAGGCTGGTGATTCGGGTGGGATGTATTGTCTTATGGAGGAAGAAGTGAAGGTGCGTGTAGAAGATGGAAGTGCTGGCTTCTTGACCTGCAGTCGAAGCCGGCAAGCTCGACATACTGAGCTAGATAAAGATTCCATGGTTGACGGTTGGGCCCGTTGAAGAGCCTTCAAGTCACGCCTTTGGCTCCAAGCTCCGGAGTTGATGTTGGTGACTAGGAACAATTCGTGAAGTGTATGTACACGAAGTCATTGATAAAGCGATGAACATACCGAGTATTGAAAGCCAAAAAGAAGATTGAAATATTGCGCCTTTCCTGATTCGGCCATTGCCTTTCGCGGGTAAAGCGCTTCACCCTAGCTTGGCCACTTTTAGTTACCGGGGGCATTCAGAAAACACACACGTATCTCGACCATCGACGCAACTACCTCTACTTCGGATTTGCTTGCACTGGACGTGGCTCCCGTCTCTTTCTCTCCTCGAATAAATTGCGCCTTACAATTGTATGAATAAGCTTCGCGATCTACGCCCTGGATCTGGTCGTCGCTCATGTTCATGTAAGGAGCAACATGGCTTCTGAGGTGCGTACCTAAATATCTATCACACATATCTATGTATCTAGGCATTTCGCGGGGTAGGTATTATTACTCCTCCCTGGATAGCGCCAAGACTGTTAGGCATCGTATCAATTGCTCAGCTGTGGTGAATCCAGGCAGCCATGATTCCACACAATCGATACTACAAATCGTTTTCCGCTTGAAATGTGAATGTACTGATACATACGCCAAAGGCAAACCCTCGGCTGAACTTGGGTTATCGAACGCGTCGTTCTATATTTTTTCTCGTTCTATTTTCACGTCTAGATGGAAGAGGCATACCACCGCGCGAAGGGTGAGGAGGAGCACATCCTCCCCTTGCCTGGCGGAAGACAGCTGGCCTATGCACACAATGGACCATCAGTGTCACGCAATATTGTGATCTTTTTCGCCGGCATGATGAGCGTAGGCACTGCTCCAGATGTACCAATACCATGCCGCGAGCTTGGTATGCATTGGATCGCACCCACGTTAGCAGGCATGGGCCGGTCCAGCACTCGCGACATGAGTGTGCCATATCATATTGGTCTGGCAAGAGATATTTCGGCTCTTCTGGAGCATCTCTATCCCAGTGGGGCATTTGATAGAATTTATGTCGCTGGTGGCTCATTGGGGACTGTTCAAGCACAAATGCTCTATGGAGCGCCGTACGACATATTTCCCGCCGGCCGCAAAATAGTGGGATGCATGCTGCTTGCTGGTTTCTCCCCAGTCAAACACGATTCAAAGTATGCCAAGGAGTTGTCATGGCAGAACTGGTTCTCCTTTGGTCCACCTTCTCAGCTCCCGTTCCGGCCTCTGCAAAGAATCTTTAGGTCTGTGATATCATCCAAGTTCAGAAGACAGGAAGGGGCAGAAGATTTCCTTCGACAGACGATAGTGAGCCAGATGGACGAGGACGAAAGGGTCAAATTAGGAGAATGGTTACAGAAGAACGATAGGACGGAGGATGAGTGGATGGAGACTGCTACGAAGATGGTCATGAGGTCTTGTGAGAATTGGGACGGATTTATGGAAATTTCCGATGTGATCCATTCGGATTGGGGATTTGCGCCAGCCACTCTAGACGATGAACATGCGTCCAAGCCCATACTGGTCGTAGGATCACAGAATGATCATATTGGTGGAAGCAACAATGGATGGCTTGTGGAAAATTACAAATCTGCGAAGCTGAAGGTCATTCCAGGAGGGCACATCTCGAGCGTCTACTACATGGATGAAATCTGGCGAGAAATGATAGACTTGGATGCATCGATTGAAGTACCTATGTCTCGATCTCAAGTGTTGTAACCCGGCAGCCTTAGGGTACAACTGGTGTTGTGGCTCACCGTTATTTAGGGCGGCAACATCTTCTAAGTGGAGTCAGTAGTCTTGGCATGGCGGTGGGCTTATCCAAAATTTTGGAGAAGTCCAGAAGTTTTTATTACCTCGAGGTTTAAAGGCTAACACCATCTTTTCGACCATACTAGTGTTGTATGTAAGACGTCGTTCCCTCATATAACGCTTGTTTATCAGATCTCTCAAGATGGGTGCACGAAAGAAGGAGGCCGCCCGCCGGGAGCGGCAGGGCGTTTCGACAGATGGTATGGCAAATGTCAAGACGAAAGGCGAAAACTTCTACAGGTATATACGAATGCCCGTATATGGCAAGGCTTCTGGACAGTAGTTGCTGACTTCATGATCAGGAGTGCCAAAAAAGTCAAAACCTTGAATATGTTCAAGGACGGCAGGGCCCAGAGAAACGCCGCAGGCGATATCACCAAAGCGGCATCCTACCAATCCCGCGAGAAACCACAAGCAAGAGTCGAGCCGAATCGAAAGTGGTTTGGAAATACTCGAGTTATCTCTCAGGATGCCTTGGACTCTTTCCGACAAGCTGTTGCTGAAAGGGCTGCCGATCCATATCAGGTCCTTCTCAAGACGAATAAACTGCCTATGAGTTTAATCCGGGACACCGAGAACACCAAGAATGGGGTTAAACAACATCAAGCAAAAATCGCAGTCGAGTCAGCCCCATTCGCAGATACCTTTGGACCTAAGTCGCAGCGGAAGCGTGTGAAGCTCAGTTCAGGAACTGTCACAGATCTAGCTGATGAATCCGTGAAAATGCATGACAATTATCTTGAAAGGCTAGAAGAGAACAAACTTCTCAGTGGACAAGCTGCCGCTGCCGAAACATCGCAAGGCCAAGATGATGGACAGCTGACCACCGCCCGAGAGCCCATATTTTCCAAGGGCCAGAGTAAACGAATTTGGAACGAATTGTACAAGGTCATCGACTCTTCCGATGTCGTTATTCATGTCCTAGATGCACGAGATCCTGAAGGGACGAGATGTCGAAGTGTCGAGAAATACATCCGGGAGGAGGCGCCTCACAAGCACTTGATATTCGTTTTGAATAAATGTGACCTGGTACCGACGAAAATTGGTAAGTCATTTTCTTGTTACACATCATGATTCTTCCCCACTCCCCTTTCCATCGCTAAGTCAAGACGCCTTTCTGCATTCAATTGCAATTCTTCCCATGAAAGTCGCCTGTTACAGCTTTGGTACATTGAGCAGCACTCGCCACCTGTTTCGGCAGGTCGGTTTTCGACATTGCATCCGTCTTGGAAGCCTTGTCTCTAGAGTGCATGGCGTGTTTCGTTTGAGTTGAGGTTTGCTTTGCCGGATTCCTGGCTTTCTTTTTTATAGCACGTCTCTTAGTAATGTCTCACACATACTGACTGTTCTTCTCTCAGCGGCGCAATGGGTGCGTTTACTGTCGAAAGACTATCCCACCCTTGCTTTCCATGCTTCGATGACGAATTCTTTCGGCAAAGGGTCTCTCATCACTCTTTTACGGCAATTTTCCACATTGCATTCATCTCGAAAGCAAATCTCCGTTGGGTTTATAGGCTACCCCAATACTGGAAAGTCCTCCATCATCAACACTTTACGGAAAAAGCGAGTGTGTACAGTAGCACCGATCCCAGGCGAGACAAAAGTGTGGCAATATATCACTCTAATGAAAAGAATATACCTTATCGATTGCCCTGGTGTCGTACCCCCGAGTCAGTCCGACAGCGAAGAAGATATTCTCCTGAGAGGCGTCGTCCGAGTCGAAAATGTGGAACATCCCGCACAATACGTCGAAGCTGTACTGCGGAGGACTCAAACCCGCCACATCGAACGAACGTACGAGATGAAGGCATCCGAATACAATGACGATCCTATCGAGTTTCTGAGCATCCTTGCCCGCAAAGGTGGGCGATTGTTGAAAGGCGGCGAGCCAGACGTTGATGGCGTTGCCAAGATGGTTCTCAATGATTTCTTACGAGGCAAGATTCCATGGTTTACACCTCCACCGAAGAGAGAAGGCGCCAGCACAGAAGAGGCTGTGGAAGTGGTGGAAGGGCGCGAAGGTCGACTGGGCGAGATGCCTGGGAAGAGAAAGGCCACTGCCGCTGAACCTGACCAAGAAGGCGAACACGTTAACCAATCCGGTTCTGAGGAGGAGGAGGATGAAGAAGATGAGGGGGATAACGATGATGATACTACGTCTCCTAACGACAATGACTTTGCAAAATTTGACGACGAGGAAGATGAGGACGAAGACAGTGATCCCGAGCAGGATGACCATGGCGGTGCTAAAGTATAAATAACTAGTGCTATACACAGTCCGCAAAAAAATCATATAGATCATATTGCCTCTCTTCCTCCTTGCATCTGTACCGGTTTGGCGAACGACAGTCGAGAGCACTTAGTGGATCTTGGAACCAAATATACGGTTCTGTTACTGTCCATGAGAGTAGATTGTAAGGATTGAGACGGAATGCGCGAGCTTTCGCGGTAGGTATGTAACTGGCTAGGGTACTTTTAAGCACTGGCACGTTCCGAGGCCTCAGCCGGGCAGTTTCCAAGGTCCTCACTAGTAGAGGTACCTGAGGTACCTATAGGTAGTTAGGTAGTTAAGCAATTTACCCGAAGCTTACATGGGTCTACGAATTGTTGTAATCAATTCGCTGGCTTACTCCTGAGGATGTCACAATTTACCTACTTCATACACCCATCTAACCTCACTGATAAGATTATGTAGCTTGATTATGAGCTCATTGCCTGCAGTGCTTGCTGCATGAAGGGTCTTCACATAAACGTTCTGCTAATTAGTTTCGTGCACGTGATGGAAGTTCCTTTGCGCCACTGGTAGGTAGTCATGGAGTTTAAAAATAGATACCAAGATAAGAGGCTTGAGCTGAAATCTCAGCCTGATTTTGTACTTCGACTTCTCGATCTAAGAGCCTAAGCTAAAAGTCGAAGCCGCTTAGGGGCATTGAAACGATCATATTTAAATGTCGCGTATCTTTAGTTTTGATTTCCGAACACGACGTGGAGCTCGAGCCAGCACTGGCATTCCCGAAGGGCGTCAAAGTACTGGCGAACCCTACCGGCGCGGTGATCGATGTCGTCTTTGTCCATAAGCTTACCAGTGACCGTGAACGGACCTGGTCATATCCCCAGTCAAATGAATTTCGAGGATCTTTTGGCCTCGAGATTGGCTACCCGTCGCTATACCAAATTGTCGCGTTATCACATTTGGCTATGATGCATATATCGCACGTCTGCGCCAACGCCTCTCAACAAATCGTCTACTCAACCATGCCAGTGATCTCCTCAATGCTTTTATAGGACTCAGAGGCGCAGATTCAACCGCGGGTAGACCAATCATTTTTGTCGTCCACAGTTTCCGGTGAATTGTATGTAAGGATGCTCTACGACTTTCTAGGGACAGCGTTGAGTTCTACCTCCAAGATATCTACAAATCAGTCCGAGGCATAGCATTTATGGCCACTCCCCATGGCGGCAGCTGGCTTGCGACTTGGGCCAGGCTACCCGTGAAGGCTTTTGGTCTTCTGCACCGTACAGACATCAATCTGCTATCTGTTTTAGAGACTGATTCCGAAGTTCTGAAACGGAGTCCATGATACCTTTCTCGCTATGCTTCTAGCGAGAGAGGCGCAAGGATTCCCAATCTTCATCACCTGCTTCTTTGAGACTCTTCCTCTTGTGGGCAATATTCTTGTCGTCCAACCTGATTCTGGGATCATACCTGGTTATAATCAAATTTCGATACACGCAGATCATCGAGGTATTGTTAGATTCCCACATGATTTTGACCCTGGTTATGTCAGCGTTGTTCAGCTTTTGAGTACATGGACACAGCAAATCCAGCGTGAGGTGTGACCAATGCCTTCAACCAGCGGCCCGTCATCTACGGTGTCCGGTGCACCGCATTCGGCACAAGAGCCTCTCTCTGCACAAACTACCCGCCTGTCATCATTATTGTCAGAGTCTCGAACAGCTAGCATCACTCAGACATCCACATCAGCATGGAGTATTGACGATCTTTTGGGGGTACCTAAGGAGCATGAAACCACTTTTCTGGAATCACTCTATTTCGCAGAAATGGGCTAGCGACAGATTAGCGTGGGAGACGCTGCAACGGTTACATGCGGCTGGATCTTTTACAATGAAGAATTTCAAGCCTGGACGAAGTTCCAGCGACTTGAAAAGTCTCACAGCATTCTTTGGATAAAGGGGAAGCCAGGTTCTGGAAAATCTACCATTTTAAAACACTGTCTTCGAAATCTCAGTCAAATGCCCGGTGGGGAGGTGCGACACCAAATCAGTCACTTTTTCAATGCCCGAGGTACCGAAATGGAGCGCTCTCTAGATGGTCTTTACCGAAGTATGATCTACCAGATCTGCTCAAAATCAAGGCGCGTACTTCAGACACTTTGCACAACGTACAAGGACAGAATAGTCCGCGCAGGCGCAATACCACTCTCATGGGAACCAGGGGAGCTGGCAAGGCTGTTCCATAGTTGCCTGATCGAACAAAAACTGCAGGTTGATATCTTCATTGATGCCCTTGATGAATGCCCAGACGAAGAAGTGCGGCAAGTAGTCTACGCTTTCGCCGACACAGCAGCGTTAGGCTCTAGTTCGCTCCGAATATGTTGGTCAAGCCGCCATTATCCTCATATCAGTATCGACCATAGATTTTGAACTATGTATGGAAGATCTGAATTCTGGCGACATAGGCGAGTACGTGAAGCAGCAGTTCAGGCATTCCAGAATATTGTCTACCGAAAAATATTTTGCGATCGAGATTGTCTTAAAGGTGAAAGGAGTTTTTCTCTGGGCAGTTCTCACCGCCCGCCGCCTGCTCAAGATGGTAGACCAGGGTGTTCCTACAGACGTGTTAAAAGACGAGTTACAGAAATCGCCCTCGGAGTTGTTTGAGCTATTTCAGAAGATTTTTGCAACGCTAGATCCCGATCTTAAGATGCAGACCTTTCATCTCATGCAATGGGTCATGTTTTCTCGCATACCTCTTTACATCGACGCCTTGCAAGCCGCGATGGCATATAGTTCGTCGGTCGTCCCAGATTCATTGGTGAGATGGGCTTCCTCGCTTGCCGGCCCACAGAGTTTTCTCGCATCCTCGGCAGAACGGCTTGCATTTTGGAAGCACTATGTGACCGAGAGATCCGGAGGGCTATTTGAAGTCGTTTCCGCGGAGAGACCAAGGACCATCTACGATGACGTGAATGACAGTTTTGAAGTCGAAGCCGAACCGTTAGCCCAGAAACTTTCAAGTCTTAGACCTGCTTCTCGCAGCTCAGACAAATTTACTGTACTGGCTCCTAAACCACAGTTTGGAGACATCAGCAGTCTCATGCAGAGTGATGGCTCACCATTCGCATCTACAGGAGCCACACCCTCAGACAATCTTATAGCCACTACTGGTAATAACCGGGGCCATGATTTGATTGGGTCGTGGAAGGAAGCGTTGAAGAAGTTGGAACAAGACAACCATTTTGTACAAGTAATTCACCAATCTGTACGTGATTTCTTACTGGATTCGCTTGGCTGCGGGCTTCATGATGCCGAATCGAGTGGAACGTTCGTCGAAATGGGAAACTATACGCTGTTCCGCGTCTGCGCACGATTTTTATCATCTCCAGAACTAGTTTGTGCCTTTCCCGTTCATCGTTCTCGCGAAATGTTTCTTGGTCTTGTACCTCAGATGGTTCAGGACGGGCGAGCCTGGCTGACGCACAGCTTCACGGAGTATGCTCGCAATTGCATTTGGGATCATTTCAGGAGAAGTGGCCCTCATCTAGGTCAACTACTCCAACAAGAGGATGACAAAGATTTGATAAGGAAAGCATTCAAGCGTTGGTGGTCCCTCGAAATATGCTACAGGCCTCTGGTTGCGTCAAAGGATCGCATTACACTCGATAGACAGGAACACACAAGCCGACGCGCGTGGGTGAAGCAGTCTTTGTTCCTTGCTGACTTAGGTATCTTGTCCGAAGCCCAAGCTTTGGAGGACAGACACTGCGCAGAAGGATTACATGATGGTCTTCTCAATCTTCTCTCGCACGGTTGTCGACTTGAACCGCGAGCCGGGGAGTGCACATTCGTCGCGGCTGCCCATCACGGTCTCGATTCGATCATCTGGCACCTTCTGCAGCGAGGTATGCCTGTGGACTGCATCGACTTGCGGGGTCATTCGGCATTGTTGGAAGCCGTCAGGGGTGGGCACCAGTCTACAGTTCTCTTACTTCTCCAAAGCAGCGCAAAGACGGGAAGTTTGGACATATGGACTGAATCTCCGCTCTTCATTGCTTCAAAAATGGGATTTCTGAGAGTTGCAGCTATCCTGTGCAAATTTGGCGCAGACGTGAATTCTCAAAGTTGGTTGCGCGAGACGCCAATTCACCTGGCTGCGGCAGAAGGACATGTGCAGCTGCTCAAGTTATTCGGGCATTTCGGTGCGCATCTTGATGATGCAGACGTGTTTGCAGAATCGCCACTCTTTAAAGCGATCAAAGGCAACCAAACACAGGCTGCATGTTACTTGATTGATCGTGGAGTCGATATAGAGCGCCGAAACCGCCTGAAAAATACTCCTCTGATTGAGTATTCCCGGGTCGGCAACCAGGAGATCGCACAAGTACTCCTCTCTAAAGGTGCCTCTTATGACACCACTGGCTAGTACGGCACTTCCCCACTCTACATCGCTGCAATAGTGAAGAGCAACGAAGTTGTTCTCCTATTACTGAAAAAAGGAGCCAGGTTACTGCTCAAAAACGATGAGATTTACTTCGGCCTGGCTTCTCACGGTCGTGTTTTCAAGCTGAGCGAGGAAGAGGTCTCAGATCCTCAACTTTTCGCCGAGCTTGATCTAGATTCATTGACCCTCCAAATAAAGTCGCCACAGAACAGAACCGGATTCTCTGATCTCTGTCATCAAGAACACGTAAGAGGCAAATTTGAATCCGCAAAGAAGTTCATCCTAGATGCTCTCATCGAAGACGTTCGACGTAAAGTCAGGTCGTGAGATTGAGAGATCTATTGGTCCCTATAAAAGCAGATCCGTCCAGTGAATATAGTAATTCGACTTACTCATGATAATTCACATAACATAGCTTATGTATCCCATCTAGGTCCTTAAAGGCCCATGTGAATGTCAATTAACGAGCCTCATGAAATCCTGGAGTTGAGTAAGGCTGAGATGTTCTAGCTGAATAGGGCTCTTTGAAGTCAGTGCCGAAAGCACTCTGACCGACGTCATAGCTTGGCAAGAGACTCAGCCTTCAACTGAAGAGGGTCATGCACCCTTCCTTCTCTTCCCGCAGTCCTTCTGACTCGACCATCTGCACTACCGAAATATCTGTTCACCGTCCCGACCTCGTGTCATCCCCTCTCCTCTAAAGAATGAATCTGACGATCGTCGCATCGCTGCCAACTTAGTAACCTAATGCTCTACGCACCTTTCATCTATCTTTTGTGGCTCTCCATTGTTGGAGTGTTCGCGCTTCCGGCGCACATACAATCTGATGATAAAGACATCTCCTTTGAGACCTTTGAGTCTCTGGAAGAACTCTCACGAATAGTCGATATCGCCTACTGCGTTGGCACGAGTGGCATTCAGAAGCCGTTCAAATGTTTGAGCCGATGCAGTGATTTTGAGGGCTTTGAACTGGTTACAACGTGGAATACTGGACCACGCCTCTCCGATTCTTGTGGCTATATCGCTGTGTCGCATCCTCCTTTCGCGAAACGGGTTATCGTCGCTTTTCGAGGAACATATTCGATCGCCAATACAATCGCTGACCTCTCCACGAATCCTGCCGAATACGCGCCATTTCCCTCAGACCATGATAACGATTCTTTATGCGCAAGTGTTTTACCAGAGAACGATAAACAGGCCTTGTTACCACAATTATTGAAACAACAAAATAAAAGAGATCTGGCACCTGAATGCCTCAACTGCACTGTACATTCGGGGTTCATGACTTCTTGGCGCAACACCCGTTGTACTATAGTTCCTCATGTTGAAAAGGCACTCAACGACTTCCCAGGCTACGAACTTGTCCTAGTGGGACATTCCCTGGGTGGTGCTGTCGCAGCCCTGGCGGCTCTGGAGTTCCAAGCTCGCGGATGGACACCCAAAGTCACCACATTTGGTGAACCTCGAATTGGCAATCTGGCTCTCAACAAATTTATCGACAGTCGCTTCAACCTCAATTCAACAAACCCCGATGATGCACTCTACCGACGGGTAACTCACGCTGATGATCCAGTACCTCTCCTCCCTCTGGAAGAATGGGGTTACAGAATGCATGCTGGTGAAATTTATATTTCAAAGCCCTCTCTTCCTCCAACCCGAGCAGATATCCATCATTGCAACGGCGATGAAGATCCATCTTGCATCGCGGAACCAAGCAGCAGCGATGAGCCAAGTGAGACTCCAGACGATGAGAACGTTGAAGAATCAGAGATGCAGGCGATGTGGGGAATCGGCCGGCGTTACAAGCTCTGGGAACTTTTCTTCGCCCACCGAGATTACTTCTGGAGGCTGGGGTTATGCCTTCCTGGTGGCGACCCCTGGGACTGGTCTCGAGGCAAATATAATGAATCCGTGACGAATGATGATTTGTGAACGAGTGGGGTATATAAATCGAGATCTTGCGATGCAAAGGCGTTTTGGTTTGGATGGTATTCAGCAATGATCGTGTTGCTTCCGTAGCCATGAGTCTGGGTTTGGTGCTGTACAGTACCTACTTTAGGACAAAAGTTCCTCCATAATTAAGATGACAATTATACGAGCTTTATGAGCCCACTCTTAGGGTCGAAATAACCCTAACACCTAATATTGGTGGCGGCCGCCCATTAACGAAATGGCTAAATATGTGGTCCTGTGAATGTTTTCTGACAGGTATGCTTAGATCTCTCATGAGAGAATTGTATGTCGTATGTCTTATGGCAATATATCTCGTCTCGAATTTGGAGTGAGTTGCGTAAACGGATTTTCCAGGGTATAAATATTCTGGCCTTGGCGGATCCAGCCTTTCATGCTGAACTTCACGGTTTGGAAACCTACAACTTGTGAACCTCAACGTCCGAATCACATCCGAGGACACTTGTTCTTCTCCAATAAGTTGCAAGACGAACGCCGGAAAAAACCTGAAGGCGCAAAGAAAAGACCAGCAATTCTTCCAAACACGCGATAGTCGACTACGCAAACGGAGTCGAACGTTTGAATTTCCACGACCACGCTTCTATCCTGCGAGGCTCGCACATATCAAGTCTCTTAGGAGTCAACGATGGCGTCTCAACTATTACCACTCGGTAAGACTCAGCAACCCATTCTACCAACCCCACCACTATCTATACTCATTGACTTCCGCAGAATTGATCGACAAATGCGTCGGGTCGCGGATATGGATCGTCATGAAAGGCGACAAAGGTTCGTTTTCTCTTCGTACCGCGCAAGCACCGCCTTCTCCCCTTCATGCTTGAAGCGGGCTGTTTACGGATGCGATTTTCTTTATCCGAACTTGAACGTGCGATGGCTGATGTTCCGTTTTGTTTGTCCCTCTAGAGTTTGCGGGCACGTTGTTGGGCTTCGACGACTACGTCAGTGAGTGACTCCATTTCCATCTCTCGCGTGCTTTCACAAATGGGAGAGCACTCCAATGCTGATTCGATGCGATACGCACTAGATATGGTGCTTGAGGACGTGATTGAGTTGTGAGTTTTACGCTACTTTTCATTTACACCTCTCTTCATGCATTCAGCACCCCCCTCTTTAATTTCCTGGTCTCAAGTACCGTCGGGCCAATTTAACTAACCCACAACACAGCGACTACACCGGCGCGCAAACCAAACTCCCCAAGATTCTACTCAACGGGAATAATATCTGCATGGTGAGTTCGCACGATCAATAATGCCTCACCCTTACTGTGCCCGCTATCCTCCCTTTCAATGTTCCCACAATCATATAGGGGTCCAAAGCCGAGAAACGTATCCGATGTTGATCTGTCTCGGCGCTTTTTCAATGCCCGACCTCTTGTTACATCTTGTTACATTGCTAATCATGTGTGTGTCGTCGTATAGTTGATTCCTGGTGGAGAGGGCCCCGTCGCTGCTTCCTCGTGATGTTGACTCATCGGGCCCTGGAGCTGGTATAGATCTCCGCGGGAAGGGACGTGGTGCCGGTATCGGGCCGACCAGGATGCACCGGTCGCGGACAGGGAGTCTCTGGAGGTCATCGATGGACGTCGAGAGCCAGTTCACGATGCTTCTATCGAGCGAGGCTGATCACATGTAGCTTGTGACTCAGGGCGAGACTCATTGACCGGAGTTCGTGGCTCGAATTGAGGGAATGCAAATACGTGTTTCATTATTACAAGCTATACCGATAAATCGACCACACTCACTACTTCGCGAATCTTGCCGCTGTCTTTAGAAGCAAATTTATAGCTTCCTGTTGCACACTCTTCACAATCTCGCCCGCTGGCATGACCTTGTGTACCAGACCAATTCCTGTTCCTGCGTAAGTAGTCATTCTGCCTTCAGGTCCCCACCCAGAGTCTCCTTGTTTCATGGCTTCTTTGTAGAGCTCCTGGTTCTCTCTCTCACTCATGCCATGCACGGCATCTAAATAACTGCGGTTCGCCACTCCTCGACCATTGTATGCTTGTGGCCAACCATGAATGTTCCGCACAGTGTCATACACTGTGGTTGCAACTGTACTGACGCCTCCATCGGTAACTCTGAGAACCTCATCTTGATATCCCTTGGCAATAGTGATCTCTTCGCTTGCAAGGAATCTGGTTCCAAGCGCAACGCCACTTGCACCAAGTAATGATGCTGCTGCGGCACCACGGCCATCAATGATACCACCAGCTGCAATCAAAGGTGTACTGATTCCCTCTTTTGCCAACGCGTCTGCAATTTCCGGGAGAAGAGTTAGAAGACTGGCTCTTTGTGCGAGTCCGTGACCACCCGAATCAGCACCCTGTACTACAATGACATCTGGTTTGCTGGTCTTGGCAACCTCGACTGCTTCTGCCACGGTCCCAATCTGTATCCAGACTTTGGTCTTTCCGTTGGTTGCTTCACGAATCTCTCTCGTCCAATCCAGAAGTTCGCAAAGTTGGTTCGGTGCAAAGAACCAGACCGCTGCAACGGGATGATTTTTTATTGCTTCGAGGGCCAATTTCAAATCACTGCCCCAATTTTGAAAACCAACCCCGATCGGGAGGACTCCATCATGGAGTGAGAGAGATTGACTCTTGACCAGTTCAGCAGCTTCACTGAGATCCTTTCCTAAGTTTGAAAGATCGAAGCCTCCAGCTACAAAACCGAATCCTCCGTTCGCGGAGACAGTGACTGCAGCCTTGGCCAGTGTGATTTTCATCATTGGTGCAGAGACCACCAGAGGAGCATCTGGGGTTGTCCAGGGATAATCATGATGGAGTGGATTTTGAGTCATGTTGGTGACTGATTCTTGGTGAGGTCTAGTTAGTGTTTGAGTATTACGCTTTACCTGCAGTTATATAGGCGTTATAGATAGTTAATATCGGATGGATGTCTCAGGAGATGCTTCCAAAGCATTCGTGAGTCAGAAAGAATGAGATATACTCAACTCCGCGGAAGCTGGAACAGGTAAGAGGCGGACTCTCAACGCCTACAAGTGTTGTCGAATGTGACCATAAATTGCGCCCGAGCCAGGTATCGAGCTTGGTGTCAAAGGGCCGTAATCGGGGACGAAAATCAAGATCCCTATGGCCGAGCAATATGGAGCAAATCGACTGAGATGGTCATCACGGAAAATGCCTCGGTGGCTCTCTGGGAACCCAGGGTCCAGGATGAGGGCTCACAGTTTCTCACAGTTGTGAATAACGGTGGGCGAGATGATGTCTAAACGTAAGAAACACCTTCGGTAGACCTGCCCAACCGTAGAACAAGGACGCTTGGCATACATCTCGCGACTTGGAACTTCTCGTTGTTGATTTCAAGCTGGTGACATTCTTTCTTTCGTAAAGAACAACTTTCTGTTTCTTCTCTTTCTATCTCCTCGTAACGAAGGAACATTTTGGTTGATCGCGCCTCCCTTTCAAACTTTGAACATCTGTAAAATCCAGGAGACAGTTGATTTCTCTTTCCGACTACCAAAATGGCCAACGCCCCAGATCGGTATGTGATTTGATTTTTATTTTGTTTGACTTTTGTGATCTGGGGCTTGTAATCGTTTGTGCTGGGTTGATTTCGTTGTACTGTCACTGCCAATTGAAAAAAATAAGACATGAACCAGACGAGAGAAAAGAGAAGAGAAGAGAAGAGAATTGCATGTAGTGTCTGCGATTCCCAAGAGGCAGTCGCATCCTTCAGTGTCTCTATAATTGCCGGAACTTTCACAGAGGGAAGGAGCCCCATGGATCTGTCGCAGGGTAACTGCGACGCCGAGCCTTATGGTACCTGCATCCTGGACCATGCAGTGCCTTCCACATTGTTCACACCTCACGGCTTGGCTTGGTGTGTCGATTGACATTCTTCCACCTGGCCTTCCAACCCTTTCGGATTCCAATTCAACCTCTCCTCTTCCAGAAGGCTTTCATTAACCCAACCAATTCACAATTCACGATCATGTCTCTCCCAAGAGCCATGACAAGGAATGCCAATGGGGCTGTCTCTGAGTTGCAGGACCAGAAATGGCGACACTATCCTAAGAATCTACTCTACCGAGGGAATGGTGACTCGACCTTCAATGATCCCTCCTTCAACCAACCCGATCCGTGAGTAATTCTTAACCCACAAAACTCACAAGAAACCCCCGACACCGTGACTGGTCTTGAGAGGGTTACCAAAGAACACTAGAGCCAAGACCACTGTGTCCACGGTTTGTCCCAACACTGCCGCATCGGAGGATACCGAGGCTTCCCAGCCACCCTCGTCCTTCTCTTCTGCTGCCAGTATTTCTCGCCTGCCGCGAGAGGGCAAAGATGGAAGTTGGAAACACCATCCCAGTCACAAACTTTACCAATCCCAAGATATCAACCACCTCGAGATCGATCTACCCGATACGTGAGTACGGGCAGTCTGTGGAATTGGCAGTGGCAGTGACAACCAGAAAAAACCCTCCCATGCACAGTTCAGTCTGGATTATAGCAAGCAACAAGCAATTGTTTTCGAACTCTACTAATCCAACTGTGCTGTTCAGTACCGAATCTTTCCTCCTTGATGAAGGTGAGAAGAAGATTGAAGAGAAGATTGATACTCGTGAGTAGTCCAAACCTCATCTCGACTTAGCTTACTGATAATCGATCATCAGGTACTCCCAACACCACCATCTTCACGTTCAACAAGGAAGACCACACCCTCGCCAATCTTCTTCGTGACAAGCTCTTGAAAAACAGCCACGTTACCTTCGCTGCCTATCGAGTACGTCATGTCCCATCTCAACCCGTCAGCTTCACAACATTGATAAATACAGGTTCCCCACCCTCTCTTTGCCAAGTTCGAGCTTCGTGTCCAGACTGATGGCGAGATTACTCCTAAAGAAGCTGTTCTTGCCAGTTGCCGCGACACAATCGGTGAATTGAATACCTTCAAAAGCAATTTCACTCGAGAATATGAATTGCGCAAGATGGTTGGAAGTGGTGGCCAGAACGGAAAATGATCGGATCTCACACACTGACGAGGCTCATGATGATGTCTTTCATTGATACCCTGTACAAAATCACCTCAAGAGGGAGGCAAATTCTAATGGTTCCCGATCAGGCGTGGCGTTTTCGGCGAAGGGCAGGCTACTGTTGCTGCATCAGTACACAATAAAAGCGACATGCAGGCGAATCCAGCACAAATGCAAGTGCGTACTGAGCCATAAATAAACCATCAAATTGAATTGAGATCAAGCTCCATGTATTCGTGACGATTGTCGTAGTTGAGGCCCGTCTTCAAGCTTGCCAGTGAAGTCCTAGTAAAAGCGGCCGCCTTGATGCCAAGGCTGGGGCTCGAATTTCCCTAGTCTGCCCTCCGCGTCATTCCTGGTAAGTAAGTTGGTGCTGAGTAAGTCTGGGCACCACGTAATGAACCAACCTAGTAATGGAACACGCGTTTTTCCGTCACGTCTCTTC